AGATTTCTCTTTCAGAATTGTTTATCAAAATGAAGGGGTACTAATTCAAAGTTGGCGAATACTCATCGACAAGCTGACAAAATTACTAACCAGCTCTACATCCATAGATTTCCACCCTCATCGAGATGTGACTTCGCCATCCCCACGGGTGAATCTTGATGATTCGTGCATATATGGCGGGAGTCAAAGCTTGTATTTTGACGCTGTTTTGATCATTATTGCCACGGAAAGTCTTAAAAAAGAGAAAACACAAAACAAGAGTGATTTTTATGCCAAAACATGAAGGAAACGTTTAGCACAATAGTCAACTGAAACAGTTACACCTTGGCCTATAGAGGCCTGTGAACGACCAGAGTTGGGATAGAGGGATGTAGCGTTATACTCCTCAGAACAGTCAGAAGTTCCAAGTTTTCTTTAATCGCTGTTTTGTTCCCATTTTATGCTCTCAATTGGGGTTCGTCCTTTCGCTAAGCCTACAACTGCAGAATAACTCTTGTACCTCCTTCCACTTTTATGAAGAAGGTAAAACAGCATTGAATTAGGTCTGTTTGTATTAATTTGGTTCTATCAAAATCTCACTCTTCGAAACCCCCTACCACCTTAACTTATAAACTTTCAATCAGTAAAAACGCACTTATTACCAACCAAGTGTACATTAAAAGCAGACTTCGAACATGTCACATTTCCCTACCATATCGTTGTTTTTGAAGCGATACATTTGCCAGTGTATGCCATCGACGCTGGATGACACTCTATAGTACGTCACCCACTGGGCTGCATCCTGTCTACCCTGAGTAGCTATTTTTGTGATCTTCACCAGCCGTCCAAAGTTCACCTTAAACCACTGATTTCTGTTTTTGTGCTTTGCGCACCAGGCCCCCACATATCTACCTCTCTTATGCAGATGCAGTCTCCCAAGTCTGGCTGCATGGTACACATTGTACTCGGACGATGCAGTGATTCTACTGTTACGGATACGACCATTCTGTAAACCTAGCGGAGTGCTACAGAGTGCACCTAGCAAAACAATGATATGCATGTCAACTGCTGCTTGTTCATTTTTTCATCGGAAATAAGAAAAGGGGTAAGAGGAGAAGAACACCTTATATTGGACCTGTTTTCGTTACATTTCTCCATTGGTTTTCGGAAGGGGAAGACTGCAGTCCGTTTCATCGTTATCTACTCTATTTACAGAGAGGTTTGCTACAAACGTATATCTAAATTTCATTGCAAGTGATATTCATCTTCTCTAAGATGAGGAAAAAAAACCTTACTTGTGCAACCAAAGAGTTCAACTCTCATTGAAATCCAGCTGTACCAAGATTTTGGATGGATCTTCACGAAAGCAGCAGTGAAAGATTTCAGGAAACGATGAAACACAATGGAATGTCTGTCACTATTACCAGAGAAGACCTGAGACATAAGAAGGTGGTAAGAAAGTTATAAGCAAACGTAAAGAAATAATATGCCTTTCATCAAGATAGCGCATTTCGATTGAGTGTCGTAAAACCAAAATTACAAAGATTGCAAAAGCTACTCACAGGAAAGGAAAATATAACAGCGATCCAATGAGAATTAATAGTAAATGTGCGCAAACTGCTCAAAGCGCAGGAATTGCGCGAAAAACGCGCGTGACAAAGTCGCGATTAGTTTTGGTTGAGAGGATGGCGCGAGTTTTCTAGCCAATCATAGAACATAAGAAAGTAAAAGCAATGTTATCCTTGATTACTTTCGACACCCTATTGAAAATTTTTTCTATCTATGCCTGGTTATCTGAATTGTATAAAGAAAAATAAATTGTCCAAACTTCAGTACAGATTTTACTCAGACGAGCGAAAGTGATCTCTAACTCAAATTAAAACTCCGCTGAGTTGAAATTGCACTAGTCCAAGGTTAAAAAAAATTGAGGTAATTTTTATGTGGAAAGAATTATTTTCAATCGACAAGAAACGCTGTATGCTCAGAATTACACATGCTAATTAAAATCGGAAACTACAGTAACTCCAAACCGATCAACTTCAAAATTTCACCCTTATCATCCATATTTTAATAAAAAACTCACCTTAATGCGCCTGTTTTCCGTGTAAGGCACATAACTAACACCATCACCACTGTATCTGACAATGTAGGTCTTTACCCACTGATTTGCATCCTGCCTTCCTTGGGTCGCTATTCCTTTAAATCTTGTTACATAACCAAAGTTAACCTTGAACCATTGGTGAACATCTCTGCGCCGAGAACTCCATGACCATCTGTGGTTCAGTCGGCCATGCCATGGTGACAGGTGATGATTGTAGTAAGTAGACGCTGACAAAGACCCTGGACTGAGACGTTTGTCTTCTAGACCCAGTGGTATGTTACAGCGGTCTGCAAGGTAAAGGAGATTAATTGATCAAGTAGTGAGAGCGTAGAAGTGGCTTTCCTGACACTTTTGTAGGACTCAAAAGCTAAGTATGCACGGGAACGAACAGCCTACTACATTTTGCCACGCTTCCAACATGAGACTTCGTATCTCATTTGATTGTGGTACAAAAGTAGTATTTGGGAAGCCTAGGTTCAATCCTTTCAAACCAAAACAGCCAGATACATGAAGGAATATTAATAATAGCCTTAGCATAAAAACAGCTATCTCAAATTAAGTCCATAATTTTACTGATACAAAATACAAATTTGTCACACCTTCAACACATCCATAGAACTCCACTCTCATAGAGATATGTCCATACCATCCCCACGGGCGAACCTGAACGAACCGCGCTTTGATTGGTGGATAAAATCTCTGTATTACTACAGTATTTTGGTCTCTATTTCCCGTGAAATACTGAAAAAGAAACAAACAAAGTGGAGGAGGAAAAATAAATGTATATATAAGATATATAAGATTTTCGCTTACAAAGTCATTTGGCCAACCATTCCACTTAACTGGCAAAAAAGGACGCTCACTAAGATATAATTTCTCCCCCATAAAAACTAGATTTTACCCAAGAATATTTCCCCTAAAAGGCTTTCCAATCAATTACGGACGATTATAGGATATGATTCACCGATAACACTGTATAAATATTCCCACCATTTGCTGGAGTATGGTTGTCTGTATTAGAAAGTATGATAGAGAGATTGAAAAGCTCACATAACATTTAAACCAGAGAGACATTTCGAACACAAATTATGTTTATTATGGTTCTATTTAAGATAGTTTCTTGTTACCTTTCTATTGCTGTTCTCCTCATAGTCGGCAAAATGCGCGCAGTCTTGACTGTATCTGACGTAGTACTTCGTCACCCACTGACGTGCATCTTGTCGTCCTTGGGTGGCGATCTTTACAATCCGCATGTAGCGTTTGAAATCCACTTGTAGCCACTGGTAATGATTATTGAGACGAGATGACCAAGCGCCTGTTCTTGCACCGGTTCTTCGCCAATGAAGCCTGGCATTATTTGCTCCATGATTTCGGTCCCATATTGATGCTGCTGTGAGTTGATTAGCGTGAATGCGGCCATTCTTCATTCCTAGAGGTTTGTCACATCTCGGGCCTACGTTTTGTGAGAGAAAAGTACGAATTTGAGAATGCATATGGTTTGCTTTCAAGACATAGGGGTTTTAATAAAAGCAAGTTACCGCTGGTCTACCGTACACGTTGTCGTTTGAACCTGCAAGCACTCTCTCGTGTTTGGGTTTCGCCATACGTCACCTTTTCGAGCACAGCCGCATATAACACCATAGCCAGCCGCTTATGGAAAAAGTTATTGTATTGTTAACTTCGTTTGCAAGGTTCACCTTGATAGAGTTCTCTCTTTGAGAATCATACCAACCGCTTTATACGTAACGCATGAAAGAAATGCACCTTTTATTGTAAAACGGAGGTCTGTTTAAGGTGATGAATTCTCAAAGATTTAGCTTCAATTTCAGATTATTTTCAATCCGTCTCGAAAGTTGTCTTTGGCTCTTTTTCCACTTCCATTTCGGTGCTTCTTCTTCTAACTGAATTCAAATTTTTTAGTTCTTTCAGTTGTAGGTAGTTTTGCAAGTCGCCTAAAAGCTCTAAAAATATCGAGGTGCAACTCATTCAAGTTAATATAATGGATCTAGACGACACTTTGGTTATCTACACTCGATAGCTCTAGGGCTGTAAAGAGAGATGAGATAGTGTTATATCTAAGTGAATAACCTATCATAATATTATACAAGTTGTCGTACCAATGACGCAGCCATATAATTCTACTCTCATGGAGATCCAGCTTCGCCACGTGACCGGGTGTATCTTGAAGTAACGTCCCACTATTGGTCGAAGGAATCGGTGTGTTACAACCACATATCGGTCAAAGTTGCCTGGGAATATCTGAAATGGAATAATAATAATTGCAGTTTACTCATATATTATTTCTTACAAATGTAATTAATAATTGCAATAGGAGACGGTTGCACAAAGAATAAGAACACTCAAAGTATTAATTTGCTTTGCTTTTCATCAATCAGCTCTTTTTCATTTGCCCCTTCTATGCTTCAAATATCAAGATCTTATTTATAATTCTCCATTACAGAGGTTTCGGCTTTGTATCATGGAAACACCTTCTGTTTGATAAAATGTGTCCACTCTCGTTATCTGTTTACCTATAACGTGTTGGTATTGCCATGAGTTGTTACATTTTAATCAACTTTAGGAGTTAAGGGGATAAATTATTATTTCTCTATGAAGTAGATTGTTGTTTTTCTTCACATAGGCAGCAAAATGGAAAGATCTACTCTAAAAAGAGGCAAAGTTTGAAGTCTCGGTCTCACCACTCCTCCTCTCATCCTTTTACCCCATGACCATGAAGTAATTTCTCTTATACACTGACAAGCCGACAAGTGATAATAAAGAACAATATAAGCTGGGAGACATTATTTGATTTCACGTCAAATTCTTCGAACTAACATTATAAAAAAATGTGCAACAGAGAGTAGGAAAAATGACTTGTGAGAGAGATCGTCCCCCACCTGCCCTGATTAGAAATCTTACTGACCTTTGTACGTCTGTACTCTTTATACGTCACAAACCGGTATCCCTTCACACTGTAGGACACGTAATAACTTGTTACCCATTGGTCAGCATTCTGACGACCTTGAGTGGCACAACGTGACACCCGTGTCAGTCCACCCATGTCTATCTTCAGCCATTGGCGTTTGTCGCTCCGTTTGGCATACCAGGAGCCTCCAAACTTGCCAACGCGTCTCTGATGCAGCCTGGCCATTCTCGGTGAACCCCAGTAGTTGTAGTAGGAGGAGGCAGTAATGAGTTGATCAGGGACACGGTGGTCTTCCATTCCAAGGGGAACATCGCACTTACCTTCAAGAAATCAAAGCAAAAATGTGATAATATTCTAAATAAAGTTTCATGTAATAAGGAGTTTACCTTTGGCTAAAAAACTGCCCCCATAATCTTCTTATCCTTCACCGTTATTGAAGGGAAACCTTCTTCTAGTTTCAATATTGTTCTCTTAAATTGAATTTACAATTTATCTTTCATCTTCATAATGGCTTAGTTTAAATCGTTCAGAGTTCCAACTTGCACAGCGCTGCGAGATAGTAAGGCAATGAGTTGAATCCAGAGCAACTCCAGGCCATATGTCTCCAAATTCAACACTTAAATAATTATCTCTTCGAAGAGGAAATTCAACGCTCAACAGAGATTAACCAACTTTTTTCTTCAAATTTTGAACATTGAAAGTAGTTTGTACAAAGCCGATAAATAGCATTTCTATGTGACAAGTTGCTCTCATGTGGTCACATAGTCAGTGTAACGTTACACTTCTCACAAATTGTACAAGCTTATAATGTTCTTGACTTACTCCATGCCCCACCATACACTTCCACCCTCATCGAGATGTGTGATCGCCAGCCACGAGGATTGATTTTAATAAATCTTGCATAGAGAGGAGGGTTGAACGAGCGCGTTTGGACACCATTTCGATCATAATTTCCTCGAAAAGTCTAAAACACAATTAAGAAAAATATTTCACAGTGATGTATTACTCTACGCAAAAAATACTTCCATCGCAACCTTAAGCTTTCTATGCTAACACTAAAAAAAAAAAGACAAAAGAGTAAAATCGTTTTGTAAATAATCCAATCTTAATTCGTGTTTTCAGGTTAGCCATTAGTCCAAATATAAAGCTTCAACTTACGAACCGATTATGGTTCAATTGAGGTCAATTAGTTTTGCTTTTCATGACAATGGGTCGCGTTTATATGAGCAGAATACAAACATTTCCGATGGTCGATCATTGACACTGATCGTAAACTGACGACTCCCTTCTGTGACAGTGACAGAGTGACGTTCGTTAAATAACTTTTTGATCATGCGATTCTGACGTAACCAACAACATTCCTTTTAAGGACTAAACCCAGACGAACTGACCAGACGAACCACTTTTATTCCAGTGTTCAAACAGGTAACTGAACTTGAAAGTCTACAGTTCAACCACTAACCTTTATAACATCCCACCAGTAGGTGACTCGAGAAAAGCGTACTCCATCCAAACTGTAGTAAACATAATATGCTGTCACCCACTGGTCTGCATCTTGGCGTCCCTGTGTTGCCATACCAGTCACCTTGGTTGGTCTGCCCAAGTCAATCTTCAACCATTGATTGTGGTTGTTATGGCGGGAGGACCATGCCCCAATGTACCGTCCTTGTTTGGGGATGTGCAACCGGGCACGGAATGGGGCATGGTATTTGTCCCATTGGGATGAGGCAGTGAAAGCTGCATTCTTTATTGTACCTCTTTGGAGTCCTTGGATTCGGTCACAGAAACGTTCTGAGGAATGCAAATGAAATAAAACGAAAACTAAGTAAAATAAATTGAAGTTTTGAGTTTTTCCGATGTGTTACTCTGCGTTAGTTTCCTTTTGTTCTCAAGCATGACATTGTATAATAAAGAGTTTATAATACAGGAATTTAAACCTGGCATTGAGGGCAAAATCTGCCTGGTGTAATCTTATTCTCTTTAAACGTACCCTTGTATCTGCATCCATACAACTCTACACGCATTGCGATGTAACTGCGCCAACTTCTAGGATGAATACGAACAAACCTGGCTTTGATCGCTGGGATTATCTTGTATGAAAGTGTGTGGTAGATATCATAGTTGCCGCGGAATAACTGTTCAAACAAAGAAGTTTTAAAATAAAAATACAAATATGAAAAAGAGAATGGTTTTAAGACGCTACGGTGAGGTTGAGATTGTAAAGATAAGAATCAGATACCTACATCAATCTGCAAAGATCTTCCAAATTAATTACCTTAGCAAGAAATATTCATGAAAAATTTATTGCACCTGATGTCTACGAAAATCTATACGGTTAGGTGTCGTCCAAAAATCTTGTCACATCTTTAAAAGATGTATTAATAAACTAATGGCGGATAGTAAAGATTAGTTTCACTGATACAAGCATAGCCTGGAGAAGAGAGTAAGCCAGAAGTCAAAAGGTACATTGAAATATAATTGTGTTCATGATGAGGAGTTTTTGACGCAGAAGCATCCACAATGATAGTCAGAATAGGTATCATTGATTAAGACGTTAGACCAGTCCATGTAACAAGAATTTGATATTTCAATATCAAAGAAAGCTAAGAAAAGTTGAAATGTGGAGAAATTATCATACACTTTGAAACACCATCTCACCTTAACCTTGCCATACGCGACATATGGTCTAAAGCGTAGACCTTTTGCACTGTAGGAGAGTGTATAACTCTTAACCCATTGATGGGCTTCTCTTCTTCCTTGTGTAGCGATTCCTTTAATGATACTCATTATTCTTAAGTCGATCTGCAGCCACTGATTAGCCTTCCGGTACTTTGCTACCCAAGCTCCTGTTCGTCCATGTCCGTTATAGATATTTAGTCGTGCTCGGTCAGGTCCGTGGTTATAGTTGTACGACGACGAGGCCCGAAGATGACCCGACAAGATGCGATGGTCCTCCATACCAAGAGGCATGGTACATTTGTCTATGAAGGTAAAAACAAAAGTTAGTTTAGATGATTACGTTTTAAAAAATTGCCATGTTTTTCCAGTGGAAATAAGAGAACCTTTTTATTCATTTTACCTGTTAGACATCCATAGAACTCAAGTCTCATGGAGATATGCCTGTACCATCCCCAAGGGTGAACTCGAACATAGCGACATCTAAGCGCAGGGATGAAGGCGTGACTAACAATAGTATTCTGATCACGGTTACCTGTAAAATACTGGACAGAGAAAAGTAATGAAACGACAGTTAGAACATGCGCATTTTGGGGTTCGTTCGGAAGTATTTCGGAGCTTCCGTTCGTTCGGAAATATTTCCGAGCTTCCGTTTGTTCGGAAGTATTACCCAGCTTCCGTTCGTTCGAATATATTTTCGAGTTTCCGTGCGTTCAAAAGTATTTCCGAGCTTCCGCTCGTTCGGAAGTATTACCGATCTTCCGTTCGTTCGAAAGTACTACCAAGCTTCCGTTCGTGCGAATGTATTACCGAGCGTCCGTTCGATCGGAAGCACTGACGAGCGACGCAACAACGTAACAACAAGGAAACGGAAAGTACCTAGGGGAGGATGAGTGGCACCATATTAAGAGTGCTCGTCTATCACTTTTGTGTCAGGGGGAGCTCAATTACCGAACCTTGCGTCAAATTTGAGTTGAAATTATCTCTTTATCTCGTCCTTATTGAGAGCTAACAGCGTTTAAACTGCTCCGACAATTTTCTTCTCCCTTCCCCAAAGGAGAAGAAAACAGACCCAAGACCTCTGATTCGGCCTGAAATCTGTAGAGCAACAGAAGCCACGTATATTTGTCACTCTTACAGTATGATGCTCAATCAAGGCTAACAAGAGCAACATACTGTGAAATTTTCAACTACTTTGATATTCCTTCTTTTACTTACCTTTATTGAATTTCTCTCTTGATAAGGCCTAAAATTCACCGCATCCAAGCTACGTGTCACGTAATACTGCGTGACCCACTGATTAATGTCCTGTCGCCCTTGGGTGGAAATCCTTATAATTTTTGCAGGTCCCGTGAAGTCACATTGAATCCACTGATAACGGTTGTTGTACTGTGCAGACCAGGCTCCGATCCATCTGCCATGGCGACGGATATTAAGCCGCGCTCGATAAGGACCATGGAAGTTGTCCCATCGAGATGATGACGTCATGAGATGATTTTTCAATCTGTTGTTCTGTAATCCCATTGGCCGATTGCACAAGTGACCTGTGTTTCAAAAAGAAAGAGGTTACTTAGAAAAGCGTTGAATCAGAGTTTGTCACCATGCAAGAACATAAAATATTATACCATACAAAACAGTGCAACTGGTAAACAAAGGCTAAATTACAAAGACTTAAAGAGTACATGAGCAAAAGAAATAATAAGTAATTTTATAAGGCGACAGAAACTAAAAAACCACGCAAACCACATTTCCTGCCACTAAATATGACAGCCACAACGTTTAATAAACTACAATGATGTCCCGTTGTGTCGGGACCCGCGGAACATTCTGAGGTTCCCGGTGTCTAGACACATTCCCACCCACTGACCCACAGTACTAACTGCTCTTTTACTAACAATATCCACATCCAATGATAATTGTTTCTGAAGTCGCAAACTGATTATTCATTTCTGCTCCGTTTTCTTTGTAAAACAAGATCGGTATCACTGTGTTACATACCCAGACGGCATCCGTACAACTCCACCCTCATGGCAATGTATCCATACCAGGACCTTGGCTGAATTCGGATATAACGGGCCCTTATGGCCGGGCGGAGCTTGTGCACCACAACAAAGTATCGTTCAGTGTTTCCTTGGAAGAGCTGTAAACACAAATAGTTCGGTTGTAGTACAGTCACATTGAAGAAAAGGTTGAATTTTCATCGATCGTTTTGAAAACTGACTAGGTTCGAGGGAACTATTCCTTATGGGGAACCCAGGAAAATTTGAAAATTAAAATGATACGCTTCCGCTTTCAGTTAAAACGTACAAAACAGGATGTATATAGCTGGAAGGAAATATGAATTTGTTCAATAGAATAAAACCACTTACCCTTGTTCTTCTTGCCTGCTTGTATGGGAAAAATCTGACTCCATTGTTACTATAGGATACAGTGTATGATGTAACCCACTGGTTTGCATCATATCGAGCCTGAGTCGCGATGCGTTTCACAATGGACACTGTTCCTAAGTCAATCTGCAGCCACTGGTGAGTGTTACGGTACTTAGCGACCCAGCCTCCTCGGAAGGAGCCATGATTCTGAGCCTGCAGTCTTGCGCTCCAAGGACCGTAGTAGTGGTTGTACATGGAGGAGGCTGTGAACATAGCGCGTGTGATGCGACCGTCCTGGATACCAAGAGGAACATCACAGCGATCTGAGGGAAAATTAAGACATTATTAAGACATATTATCATTTTTGGTAACTGGATACTGACAAATGAAAGTTAAAAACCAACTAAAATCCAAGTTGTAAACAAAACTAAAACACTGTGCCTTGACAAACTTAACCAAAGGAAAGTGTATACGTCATAATCTTCGAGGTCGTTATTTACAATAGTTTCAGTTTCTCCCATCCTCATCGCCCTTGTTCATTTTTGCTTTTTTCATTCAATTTTGGTACTTTTCTTCCTTCCAAAACAAAGATTTAGGATATTGTCTCTTTCATGCTCCAGGCGAGTTTTCACCTCGCAGTAAAATGTATACAAAAATTTTAAATCACATTTATTACTAACCAACTGGGCATCCATAAAATTCTGCCCTCAAACATGGCCAACCGTGCCATCCACGAGGATTTAGACGTAAAAATCGACATCTTATGGAAGGATTGATTGCATTCATCACGATAGTGTTTTGGTCACGATTGGCTTGGAACAGCTATTTGAGATAAGATCATTAAAATCAGGCATACAATATCTATAAATAAGAACAGGAACTCTCGCTAACCCATTGGTCTACAGCTATTATCGAAAGCAGAACCTATCAAAACTTTTCCTTGTAAACTCTCATTGATCGCAGAAATGACGTAGAAATGCTCAAAACTAATAACGTTAAACCCGCAATGGGCGCAGCCAGTCAAAACACAATTAGGCTAGTAAAGTTACTATAAACGCGCTAACTGTCATAGCAGAGATGAAAACTATATACTTGTCCTTTAAAAAAGATGTGACCTCACCTTGTTAGAGCTTCTGAAGCGATACATTGCCCAACGAACGTTGTCTATGCTAGATGACACATAGTATGACGTCACCCAGTGACCAGCATCCTGTCTTCCTTGTGTGGTAATTTTGGTTATTTTCATCAGTCGACCAAAGTCCACTTTCAACCACTGAAGATGATTCCTGTGTTTTGGGCACCAGGCCCCAATATAACGGCCAGTCTTCACTCGCCCTAGTCTACCAAGCCAGGCAGTATGGAAACGGTTAACCTCTGAAGATGAAGTGATTTGGTTGTTTCGAATACGACCATTTTGCATTCCCAAGGCACGGTTGCACAAAGATGCTGATAAAAGAAGATAAATAAAGTTTAAATGCATTCCTGATTTGTCCTTGATAAACTTCGTGATGATTACTGAAGTCTCGTTGGGGTGTCAAGCAAGGTGTTCTGTGACAGACCAAAAATGTTTAATAGAAAATAAGCCATACAGTTTCTTTTCGGAAATTAAGCAAAAAGCCATATTGACATTTTCCATACACCAATATATCATCCCATTAAATTCCTCCTTTCAAAAGCAAAAAACAAGTAAACAAACAAGACTGACCGAGTTTGTGCATTTTCATGTGTACAAGGTTAGTCCTTCTTCGTTGCAAATCTCCCATATTATTTTTTGTGTGTGTGCAAATGAAAGGTACACTGTTATTCTTCCAAAACCCGTGCGCAAAAGTTGAACCTTATCCTTCTGAAACTCAGAAAAGCGAGTTTTACGTAGCCCATTAAGCCAATTTTTAGCTCATTCGTCTCTTATTTTAAGCGACGGCTTCTTCAAATTTGCTGCCCAATCAGTTTTGAATGATTTATAATATCGTCGCATTCTTCCCGATGACCAAACAGTAAACACAACATTTGTTTCGTATGTTTTCTAATCTAAGTGTACCTGAACAGCCATAAAACTCGGCTCTCATGGAAATCCAGCTGTGCCAACTCTTAGGATAGATGCGGACATAAATGGCTGAGAAGGGTCTCATGAATTGATGATAGACAATTGAGTGCCGATCCGTGTTGGCAGTGAAGATCTGCAAAAAGATGTCCAAAAATGGAAAGAAGACAGTGACGCAGTTGCGTAAGGATGCCCAGAATGCAAAATTAATGTGAACATTTTTACTGGTAAATTTAATGCTCGCAGCTTACGCGCTTGCAGCTTTTAGGATTGAACAACATCAATAACCAAATCCTAACATGCTTTATAACTTAATTAACCATTGGAACCATAAGAGTTACTAGCATTAATTTCCTAATTGGAGTATTACCCTTGAATTAAACATTCACAAGTCACAAGAAAAAATAAAAAAATGATAGCTTAGTAACGAACCTGATGATTTTACAACAAAATCTCCTTACTGTTCTATGGGAAACGTAAAGAAAATGGTATAGAGATTATACATACTGATGTTGGAGTGTACAGGGTTACGTCACCTACCTTGACACCACGGTTTTCCTTGTAGGGTATAAAATTCATTCCATCTGGGCTGTAACGGACTGAATATGCTCTCACCCACTGAGCGGCATCCTGTCTTCCCTGGGTGGCCACGCCTTTTATGCGCATCAGCTCTACAAAATTCACTTGAAACCATTCCCCTGCTCGTCTCGTTCGCACACTCCATGACCAGCGGCTGTTTAGTCTGCCGTGCCAAGGAGACAAATGATGATTGTAGTAAGTGGAAGCTGTGAGATGACCATTTGGCACGCGTTTGTCTTCTAAACCAAGTGGCATAGCACAACGATCTGAAAAGTTTCCAGAAGAACATTAGTTAGCTTTTTTTCATCCTGTTATTTCATAAACTGAACGATCAGTTTTTACAAACCAGACTTATGACACTCGACTGACTTATAACTCTTCACTTGAGCTTAGTGTTGATAACTTCCGCTCTGATTGTCGAAACGTCAGTCACTACTACCAACAACAGTCCTACTCAAGACTAGTCTCACTCGGACGATTAAACTACACAATCAAATGTGAAAACCATTTACAGCATAAAGATATCACCGTTGTTTCTTGCGTTCCTGTCGTCAAATATTTTTAGGGTGGAGAGAATTTAGGCATACCATGTTAATATGAAAAGTGCCTAAAATCTGAAAATGAAATACCGATTTTTGCATTCACTCCTAAAAAAATGTACCTGAAACTTAGGTTGTAAAAAAAAGCCTCTAAGTATAGTATAGATCACCAAAAATAGTGTTGTATTTTCACCTTCTGTGCATCCATAGAATTCCACTCTCATGGAGATATGTCTGTACCATCCCCATGGGTGAACTCTGATTATGTAAGCTTTGATATTAGGGTAGAGGCCGTGATGGACAATACTGTTCTGATCCCTGTTCCCTGTAAAATACTGAAAAAATGGTTTACGATTAATATCACTATGATACCTTCTGGTGAATAACAAACTATACAATTGCTCCAACTTGTTTAATACAGAAATTTCTGTAACTTTGACAACATTATTTGACTTCAGTTTTCAACATTATCCGCACAAAATAGATGAAAACAGAAAGAAAGAACACTTGTTTTTTTGCCTGTTTTAAAGCGAATAAGCCTACATGCTCCAAATCTCTGATTTTCTTTCGTTTTACCGATTTTGACACTGACATGTGTCAGGGATGATTCGATCTAGGTCGATTTTGAGTTAAATGCCTGAATTACAAGTACCATTAACAAGCTGTGGCTTAATCGACTGATTCAGAAGCATAACTGCATTTTTATTCGAAACTGAACTATTTCTCCCTTGACCAGACTCAAGGATTTAAAGAACCTAACATAATTGTTCAAAGTCAGCATTTTCCATTAAGTGTTATCATCTTTTCGTTTTCATACACTTAATCTTAAGCTTAATAACCTGTCAGTCGGTTGGCCCTTAACGGGTCGTGGAAACAGCTGCTGTTCGATGTTTGTAAATCGAGGGGGTCTAATTACAACGCGTTGAACAATACAATAGAAAAAGATTGTAATGAAGTCGGGGCTGGTGTTGAATTTTAATTATCCGTTAATAACAAGTAAGGACTCATGTTTTTACCATTCTTGTGCCGCAGTCATTTTCGTGCATTTAGTTTGTCTTATAAGAGCTTTTTTTATAAGAACGTTTAGATTGGAAAGTTTTAAGCTAAACGTATTAGGCTTTCATATATGTTATCACGTTCTCCTCAATCGCGCGAGAGTAAGTAATAAGTATGTAAATGAGCTTTGTTCTGACACTTTGACGTTCGAATTATAAGAAAAAATTTGAGCCAAAGGAAATTAAAATTAGTTCAAGTTAATGGAGAGCTCGAGGTAGAGTTACTCAAGATAGAGTTACCCTTGTTCAAGTTAGCTGCTTGTAAATGACTGTAAAAATGAGATCAAACTCGGAGTAAAGGCTCGGATCTTATTCGAGTTAGCGGGGGACTCGAGTAAACCGGTTTTGAGTCAGCGGGATTCTGTTGTAATTAAAAAAAAAATGTAATATTTAAAAAAGGGAAAATTTAAATGGAAGTTAATCCTAATCAAACGTACATCTTAATCAAAAGTCCAAGATTGATATGCTTTGTTTATTCAGATGGAACAATTCAGTAGCGAGTGTTTTTCCATTAAGACCCAATAATTACAAAATGCAAAACAACATGATTAAATTGGAGAGGAAAGCACTATGAAGCTTTCTTTAATTAAGCAACTCTCCTGGAAGTGAATTCTGTTCTTATTGACAGAGGCACATATTTCACACCGTAAGACTCACAAAAAGTTCAAGTTTACTTCACAAGTGTCAAAAGGTGTTTAAAGGTTCTGTCAAAAGAAGAATACACTGCTTCCTTGAGACCTGACAGAGTAATATCCACCTCGTTGCCAAGAAATACAATGCCTTTGCAAGGTCTTAATGAGACTGAACATGACCATCAGCAAACGAACTGTTCTTACCAAGAGCTGCCTGCTGCAGTGGACAACTTCAAACTTTGTATGTACTGCTTTCTTTTGCTTGGCAGCCTTTTCGGAAATATCTCCATAATCATTATCGTTTACAAACACCGTGATCTACAAAAAACGGTGAACTACTTCATCGTGAACATGGCTGTGTCTGATCTCGTTTTTCCGTTGGCTTTGCTTCCCCTTGAAATTTTTTCAATGGCGACTGGTTCGACTTTAACGCGTTGGCACGTTGATGGGATCTTTGGATCGATTACTTGCAAGTCTATACATTTCGTTGCCCAAGTTTCTCCTGCCGTTTCTTCCCAAAGCTTCGTCTGGATAGCGATTGACAGATTTGTCGCCATTCTATTTCCAGTGAGACTTGGGCTTGTTTCAAGAAAGATACGAGTCATAGCTATTGCTTCTACTTGGATTCTGGCAGCCGCTATTAATTCTAATCGTCTTGTTAGCCAGGATCTTCACATAAGAGACAATAAGACTTTTTGTGAAGTAAAATTGGTTTCCGCCATCACAGAAGAAACATACTTCGCAATATTTTATTATATGCAATTGTTTCTTAATACTTTCGGTTCTTTTTTTTTATCAGTAGTTTTGTACACAGCCATAGCTGTTTCGTTACATAAGCAAAGCAAAGCGCTGGCTAATTCCGGCCCAAATATTCAACGAAACATATTCAAGAAGAGAAAAAGGGCAATTCAATTATCAGCAGTTACCATGGTGACGTATTACCTAACTGTTACCATACCCATGCTTTCTTATTTGCAACACAGAAAGGTTTTTCGATTTCCCTGCAACGTAATGAAAGTAGTGAGTTTTATGGGCGATCTTTGTCAATATGCATCGACTGTTATCAATCCCGTCATTTGTTTGTCATTTGTTTGTCATTTGTTCACAGCTATCGTAAAGGATTACGAAATATTTTATGTTATTGCTTCAGGACAAGGAGAGACGAGACAGGCAAACGAGAGCAAAAAACTCCAACAGAAATGAAGTCTCCATCTACAGCAAACTGCAGGAATCGACGAAATTGTAAAGTGTCTGCGAATAACGACGAAATACTGGATACTTCTTTGTAAATTTACAGACATTGTGCGCTTCAGTCGATCCGAGCATACCTTAGTCTAAAATTCTAACGCAATTTCAGTGTTTCTGATCTTAGCGCATTGTACCGAATATAGCTAAAATAGACAACTTTAATGATATTGTAAAACATAGTGAGAGCGATCACAGTTTTTAGCTCTGTGATCGAATGAAATAAAGGTGCTATCATTTACCAAAAGCAAGGGACATGGAACAAAAATACATTTTCTAACATTATCGGGCAATCACGACTCACTATTGGCGAAGAACGGAATTTACTGCTACAAGCGAGGAAATACTAGGATACTGCGGGCTACAAGTATTAAATCTTAAACTCTTAGACGTACCATGCATTTCATTTCTCCTCAAAGCAGTACTGCAGTAATTTCACGAGAAGAAAACCAAACATCACCAACCAAAGAAGCTCTTAGTTGTTAGATAAATTATCCTTGTCAGTACCACAGGAAATGTATACAGAACAGTATAGGCCCAACGAGAAAGCAAAACTAGAGCGAATTACGTACAAGAAATGAAAAATATCTCAAGAGAAAATGATCGTAGCGTGAGAAGGCAGCAGATCATAAAGAAACAGCAGCTGGATACAGCAATACAGCAGCAAGACTACATGAGAAATGTCTTTGGCATTATCATCATTAAACCCCACCTTTCCCAACCACGACGTATTATTATTATGAACTAGTTTGAACAAAGAATTGAATCGGCTGAAATGTCCAATGCTCGAATTATACCTACCATTAACTACCGGTAGCATAATCGACTGATTCAGCAGCGAAACTGCATTTCTGTCAAAACTGATCTCCTTTTCCCTTTGCCGACCACATCCAGAGATTTAGGGAACCAAACATTGTTTTCCAATGTCTGCACAAACACAACTTTTTAAAATCATTTTACTTTCAGTATTATCAACATTTTTGTTTTATTACACTACATTTCAATAACCTTTCAGTCTCTTTGCCCTTCATGTGTCTCGAAAAGTAGCTACTGTGGATTGTCGGTGAATTAAGGAAAATCTACTCACAAATTATTTTGGAGACTTCATTGAAAAATACAACGGAAATGAATTGAAAAATGTGAATTGAAAATGTAATCTAAATCAAATGTCCAGGCTCAATATGCTTTGTTTATTCAGATGGAACAATTCAGAAGTGAATGTTTATCCATTAAGATCCAATCACTATAATATGCAAAACAACATGATTAGATTGAAGGAAAAAGTACCATTCAGCTTGAACAAATATTTTAGTTGAGATGTTGTTATTAACTGAGGCACACAACGAATTTCACACCGTAAGACAAACTCGTCTGTTCTAAATGACTAGGGAACGACGTTCAAATTTACTTCACAAGTGTCAAAAAGTTTTTCAAGGCCCTGTCGAGGCAAAAAGGTTATACCACTTCCTTGAGACCTGACAGAGTAACATCTATTTCGTTGCCACGAAATACAATGCAAGGTCTTAATGAGACTACACATGACCATCAGCAAATGAACTGTTCTTACCAAGAACTGTCCGCTTTCGAGGACAACTTCAAACTTATTACGTATTGGTTTCTTATGCTTGGCAGTCTTTTCGGGAATATCTTCATAATCACCATCGTTTACAAAAACCAGGATTTACACAAAACAGTGAACTATTTTATTGTGAATATGGCTGTGTCTGATCTCGTTTTCCCGTTAGTTTGGCTCCCCGTAGAAATTGTTGCAAAGGCGAACAATTCGACATGGTGGCGTTGGTACCTTAGTGGGACCTTTGGATCGATTACTTGCAAGTTTATTATTCTCGTCTCCCAAGTTTCTTTTCATGTATCCTCCCAAAGCTTCGTGTGGATAGCTATTGACAGATTTTTCGCCGTTGTGTTTCCAGTAAGACTAGGGTTTATTTCTAAAAAGATACGTATGATAGCGATCGCTTCTACTTGGAGTCTAGCTGCTGCTTTTTGTTTTACATACCTACTAAGTTTGGATCTTCGTAAAGAAGGCAATTACGCTTGCCGTAAACACACGACGTTCGTTTCCATTAACCAAAAAGATTTCGCAATATATCTTTGGTTTCAAACGACTCTCCTTTATTTTTTCCCGTTGTTTATCTCAACACTTTTATACGCAGCCATAACTGCTGCCCTACATAAGCAAAGTAAATCGCTGGCGAATTCCGGCCCGAGAATTCAACGAAACGTTTTCGAGAAGAGAAAAAGAGCCATCCGATTGTCCGTTGTTACCATGGTGACATATTTCCTGTCCGTTTCACCAGCAATGCTTGTTCGCCTGCATTTCAGCAGAGTTTTGCCACTTTCCTGCACCATGATTGAAGTGTTAAGAGTTACGGCAGATGTTTGCCATTACGCATCGACTGTCATCAATCCCGTCATTTGTTTGTCATTTGTTCAGAGCTATCGTCGAGGATTACGAAATATTTTATGCTGTTGCTTCAGAAAACAGAGAGATGAGACAGCACAACAAGGGCAAATAGCCCAAAAAGAAATAATCACTCCATCTGGAGCAAACTACAGGAACCGACGAAATTGTAAAGTGTCTGCAAATAACGAGGAAACACTGGATACTACATTGTGAATTTACATATAACATGTGCTTAAGTCGACCCAAAGATACTTCATCTAAACATTTGGGTGCATCCGATCTTAGCATTTTGATCAGAATAGAGCAGGAGAAAACCATCGGCGCCGTGTGGAAGCAGCAGATCATGAAGGAGATATCTACAAGTAGATAACTGCTAAGGTCCCCTGATATCCAGTCATTGGAACAAGCTCTTAGCCAATAAAAAGACCCGTAGCTAGTACAGTGCATAGTTGATATGATAATCGCAGGATTTGACCTCAACACCGAGAAGATATCTGCAAGTAGATAACTGCTACGGTTCCCTGATATCCAGAACTTAAAACAAGTTCTTAGCCAATGAGAAGACAAGTGGCCAGAACAGTGTATAATTGAAATGATAATCGCAGGATTTGACTTCAACAAAGTTTGAAAGAGAGATTTCTTTGACCCATTTTTATCTTATGATTCAATGGATGCATTAGTTACAGAAATTCTTAATAATTTTCGTACTTTTTCGCACAAATTTAAAAATAATATTACCTTTACAAGACGCAAAAGGTTCATGAAAAGCAATTAAATTGTATCGTGTGGAGACACTTAAAGCATACTAGATGCTAAAAGGAGAGAAGTCCATACCTTTCGATTGCTGTTCTTCTTAAATTCTGCATAGTGTATTCCATCCTGACTGTATGACAAATAGTACTGAGTCACCCACTGACGGGCATCCTGTCGTCCTTGTGTGGCAATCTTCACCACCCGAGTGGGGCGACCAAAGAAAACCTGAAACCACTGAAGACGGTTGTTATGTCGCGTGCACCAGGCCCCCATTCGATGACCAACGCGGCGGAAATGAAGCCTGCCGTTGTTGGGTGCGTGGTTCTTGTCCCAGCTGGAAGAAGCAGTAAGTTGGTTTGCACGAATGCGGCCATTTTTCAGTCCTAAAGGCTTGTCGCATTTTGGTCCTTAAAACAGATAAAAAAGTTTTAGGAGTTTTGAATCAACTGATGCTACCTATGACTCATTATTACTGATGCCCGGATGTAAGTGTACACTTACCGACAACGCAACCATAAAATTCCACTCTCATTGAAATCCATCCGTACCACGTGACTGGATGAACCCTGAAAAAGCGTGCTGTTATGGGTCTCGCCAGTTTGTGACGAACGATAATGTACCGATCGTAATTACCCTGGAATATCTGAAAGACATAAGAGTAAATTAATTTTTAGGTTTCTGAGCAACATCATTTTAACACTTTATGGTTAAAATCAAGTAGGGAGATTGGAAAGAAGCTACAAAACATGACAAACAAATAAAAAACCTTCAGTTAAAACCATTTTTGTCTATTTTGAGCAGCGTTGATTTGATTATTTTTTCAACCATGTTGATTGTCAGTGATGTGCACTGAGCAAGAAACAAGAGTGACTCGCACCTAGTTTCCCTTTTCAATTTCACTGCCGAATTCAACATTATGGTAAAAGAACTGATCACCAACCGAAGACTCTCTTGATTGTTCATAAATTTCTCTCGGTCATTATCATAAACAATGTTTAGAGAACACTTTGAGGAATATACATACTAATACATCCAAAAGTATCGATTGTGGACCATTCAAAGATGATCTTACCTTAGTACGCCTGCCCTCTCTATAAGGTGTGTACTTATACCCATTTTTACTGTATGAAATGTAATAACTCGTCACCCACTGAGCGGAGTTCTGTCTTCCCTGAGTGGCAACACGTGATACTTTGGTAGCCGCACCAAAATCTATCAGCAGCCACTGACGTCTGTCTCGTCTTTTGGCGCACCAGGCCCCTCCGTATCGGCCATAACGTCGTCTGTTAAGTCTACCATTGAACGGGCTGCAGTAGTAGTTGTAGAACGATGAGGCGCGCATGAGTGGATCTGGAACACGGCCGTCCTCTATACCGAGTGGCATGTCACAACGATCTATGAGAAATACGTGTTGTTATCAGTTAACAAGAATGTTCAGTGTCAAAACGAGACTGGCTAGTAACTTGCAGAAACAACATGGTGTCAATATACTTTCATATCGAACCCTATTTGCTGTTACGCCTTATAGGTTGCCTTTGAAAAAAGGTCTGACCGTAAATCTTGACTACTGATGCACTTGATAAAACAAATTAAAGGAGCCCACGATACGGAACCTCAATTTTTACCGCTCGGATTTATGGCCAGCGCACGAAAAAACTCTGGCCGTAACTTACAGTACGGACATTGAACTCGTAATAAGAAGTACGTAGGTTGCAAAACTTACTCCATGGTGCTCCATATAATTCCAGTCTCATGGAAATGTGGGACCTCCATCCTCGTGGTATCACTCGAACATATCGGCCGTACAGTGGTGGATCAATTGGATGTGTTTGGACAGACAGTCGGTCTCGATTGCCTTGGAAAGTCTATGGAACCGAAGAAAATCGTGAAAGTATTGATAATTATTGAAAAACGTACAAATGCCTTAAGAGAGAGCTGAGAAGAGAGAATCAACCGCTATTGAGGTCACTTACAACACGATAAATGATGAGCTGATTGAGCTTTCTTGATTGAGTTTTGGCCTAACAAGAGGCGGTAATGATAACCGCTATTGTCTCAGACTGTTTAACAAACCTTTAACCTTGCAGGATCTAAAAGCTAACTTTACTAAACAGATAACCAAACCCTTGGTTGGCTGGTCCTAAAAATTTGGTTAAATATCCGCATAATATAGCCCCAGCTGATATTGTCAAAATTTTTGATTCGTTTACGGTATATCAAAACTGCAATTAGCATTTAGAAAATGATTACTGTTGTACCTTAACATAATTCCACCAATGCTTTACTTTAGCAAAGTTGACTCCATCCGCACTGTAATACAGATAGTACGCCGTTACCCACTGGTCAGCGTCGTATCGACCCTGAGTAGCAATTCCCGTCACCTTCATTGACCTTCCCAGGTCTACCTGCAGCCATTGATTATGATTATTGTGTCTAGAGGACCAGGCCCCAATAAACCGACCTCGACGCGGACGATGAAGTCGCGCCAACCAAGGAGAATGGTTCGCATCCCACCGAGACGAGGCTGTAATGGCGGCATTTTTGATTCGATTGTTTTGAAGGCCAAGAGGACTGTCGTAAAATCGTTCTGGAGTAAATGGACAAGACAATTTCCTTGAGGGGACACATTGCTGGTACATTTGTGTGTTAAATAGCCTTTAATTTTCAAGGGTGACAAACAAAAGTTTCACAGAAATGTAAAACGGCTTTTGAAAATCTTTTTGAATTTTTTGTAAGCCTCTGATCTAAAATGAATAAAATCCTAAGAGTGTTTATCTCTCTATAGTCTTGAAATTGAATTTCTTATGAAACATTAGTTAAAAGAATGTTCATTCTTAACTGATATGCTTGAGCCTTACCGCGCAGGCGACATCCATAAAGTTCCACACGCATGGCTATATAGCTGTACCACGACTTCGGGTTAATTCGGACAAACTGTGCTTTTATTGCTGGCATGATCTTGTGCCCCACCGTATGATAAATGTCGTAGTTACCTCGGAATACCTGTAGAGATCACAGATAAGTATCTAAAGCCACAAACTAAACGCGCACGATAAGAAATTCAGTAAACATGTTGCATTTGGCATCTGATTTCTCTCCAATTTGCCACCTTCAGTTCTAGTAATTTTCACACATTTCATCAAACTGTGATCTTTCTGTACCCCAGTATGCCTTATCCCTTTAACCCTTAGAGTGACTCAAATCTAATTTATCTTTACAGTATTATTTCTGAATCAAACATTAAGGTCACGGGAATAAGGAAAAATGATCACCAACATAAAGAGTTCTTGACTGTTAAACAGAATCTCCTTATCAGCCCTGTAGATAGTGTATGGAGAACATTATGCAGAATATGCATACTGATATAAGGGTGAAAGGTCTTAAGGAAAAGTATTACAGGCCGATTGTTCGTACCTTAACTCTTCCGTAGGATACATAAGCCTTGAATCTCATTCCAAAGCGACTGTACGAGAGTGTGTAACTTCTCACGTATTGATTAGCTTCTCTCCTTCCTTGTGTAGCGATTCCTTTTATGATACAACTCTGGCCCAAGTCAATCTGTAGCCACTGGTTGGCACTTCGAAGTCGGGCTACCCAGGCCCCTGTTCGTCCATGACCATTAATGATGTTCAGACGCGCTCGGTCGGGTCCGTGGTTGTAGTTGTACGACGACGAGGCACGAAGACGACCCGATAGGATACGACGATCTTCCATACCCAAAGGCATAACACACCGATCTTAAGAGCAAAACAGAGACAAAGTAAAAACTTTATATCTCGCCAAAACGTTTCAGTATTTTTCCAACTTTAAGTGAATTAAATTTAAATGATGCTCACCTGTGAAACAACCGTAAAACTCTACCCTCATGGATATGTGTTTGTACCATCCTCTGGGACGAACCCGGATGTAACGACATCGCAAAATAGGAACAAAGGAGTTGGTGACAACAGTATTTTGGTCACGGTTTCCCGTGAAGTACTGCAACAGATAAAAGAACATATATATTAGAATATATATTATTAGTAAGATTTTAACTGAATTTTACTCATGAAATACTCGTAGATAGCCTCAGTGAGATGTTCTTGTGCCGCTGGGTGCTTTTCGTATAACAAACCGTCGTATTAGCGCTGCCAGGAGAACATGGCCGTAACCATGGTAGGAGGGAGACAGGCCCTTAGACTCTCAGACGAGTGGGATTATGCGACCCACACATGATATATGTATATCGAGAAGTTTCACTGAGACCTTTGTGGGCAAAAAAGTTTACAATATTGGTATTGGGTGCAACTGCGCCTTTTCTTAAAGGAAAATGAAGGGGGCTGGGGGACAATAAAACTGCTATCGTGACGATATCCTCCCTTCATGTTAAGGGTAACATTGTTTATCCTGCAAGATAACGAAGGTTCGATCGCATCAACCGATTCCCTGTTGGAGGATCTGGAATTTGTAGGCTTACTAATCTTAGGACATTTAGCTATCCCATCAAGTGACTATAGTGACGGGCGCCTTATTAACTGGACACATCACCTACGAGAGTTTGAGGCCAACAAACTCGCAACCGTGTCCTAGTTTAGTTAGTGCTGAAACACAGACAACCAGCACCCTGTTTCAAAGATTTTCACCAATCAGTTCTAGACTCGTGCTCTGCCTCTTACCTTAATGTTATTCCTTTCCATATATGGCATAAAATGAACTCTGTCGAGACTCCTGGTGACATAATACTGTGTAACCCACTGGTAAGTATCCTGCCGTCCCTGTGTAGATATCTTAATGATCTTCGCTGCTCTTTTAAAGTCCACTTGCAACCACTGGTAATGGTTATTGTATTTTGCTGACCAGGCCCCTATGTATCGTCCCCGACGCGGCCGATGGAGTCTTGCCAGATAAGGACCATGGAACGTATCCCACATAGATGCCGCCGTGATTTGGTAGTTCTTGATGCGCCCTGTCTGCATACCCATTGGACGGTTGCAGAGGACACCTAATGAAGACAAAATAAAGAGACTATTAAGAAAAAATATTGTATAACTGTCTACGACGCCAGGCTCATCCGTTTTTGGGATCAAAACATCGACTTTCCTCACCAAACATCAAACAGATAATAAAAAGTTCGTTGCAAGAATTTCTCGTCACATCCATACATCAGCCCATATTTAATTAGAAAAAACGACATAGTAGTCCATTAAAATTTTACGGCCAATGCTGTGCTGGCAACACTTAAAAAAGACTTATTGTCAAATCGGCGAACTTGATAAAATTTTGATTGAATTTACGAGTTTTAAATGCAGATTAAGTTGTCAGTTCTCAGAGGTCTGCGATATTTTCCCAGATGACAGCATACGATAAAAGTCAGTTGATACGATATTAATGTTTTTCAGACTTCTGCGCAACTGGGGACACTGTAAATAAATCAGCAGATAGGAACAATAAAAAGTGGATTGTTTTAAATTCTGACTGATGTTTAGCAAACCAGTTGGAAATTAACTAAGCGCAGTCGAGGAGATGAACTCGGAACTACAACAAAACAAGGCTTGTTTCGTTGCAAAGTCGAAGATTTGTGACCTCCAGATCCTAATTCAGTCGGCACCCAAGGCGAACTTTCGATTGCATATCCTGTCAGTATTCTGAGAAAATTTGGCCCCGGATACTTCACATACTAGGGCTACACATACCCAGTCGACAGCCGTAAAGTTCAACCCTCATAGAGATCCAGCTGTACCAAGTCCGTGGGTGAATACGTATATAGCGGGCCTTGATGGTCGGGCGAAACCTGTGGTACACCACATAATATCTCTCGGTGTTGCCTTGGAATATCTATAAAATAAATGTGCAATGAGCATTTGTTTTTCGATTGGCTAGATATCATAACATTAGTAACAAACGAAGCGAGAGACTTTATCGCCTTGGCCTGATAAATAATACTTTTAAAAATCGTATCTGATCATGAGACATCTACTCCTCGCGTCGGTTTCTCATGTAATTCTGACGGTAATGATTTTCTCTAGTTCGCCTCTAATGCGTCTCGAGACATCCATGGAGTACACAATTCTCATATATATCTTCAATTAAGATATACAGCTAACGACTATGTGACATTGTAGTAGTCAGAGCAACAGTATCAGTAGAAGTAAAAGGGCAAAAAAGAAGCCTTTATGTTACTCCTACCTTGTATGGGTAGCTTCAAGCTCTTTCCTTAAACTACACAACGTAAATTTATCGAAATATATTGAATACCCAAGTGCATTTCATTACAGAGATTTCCAAATAATTTGAATCTTGTCAAATTTTGCATCTGGAAATTGCATTAGCACTTTGTTCCTTGCTTTCCTTCCTTTATCGATATCCTTTACGATTTGCTCGCATGTTAAATAAATATCGCTTCTTCGTGGAATAAAAGTGGCCAAAGTGAGATATGACACGTTCAATTCTGTATAACTAACCTTTACTCTCCTTCCGTGTCTGTGAGGATAGAACCTCACACCGTTGTTGCTATACGATACAGTGTAAGACTTCACCCACTGGTTGGCATCATACCGGCCTTGGGTAGCTATCCTCTTCACTCTGGAAGTAGTTCCTAAGTCAATCTGTAGCCATTGACGAGTGTTGCGGTACTTAGCGACCCAGCCTCCTCTGGTTATACCATGATTCTGAGCCTGCAGTCTTGCGCTCCAAGGACCGTAGTAGTGGTTGTACATGGATGAAGCGGTGAACATTGCGCGTGTGACGCGACCGTCTCGGACTCCAAGGGGAACATCGCAACGATCTGGATTGTGAGAGTAAAATTGTTTAACATTCCTGATGGTCTGATTCACAACTTTTGCTTGTTGAAAATTTCGCCTAACTTTTCAAGATGGCCATTCAAAGCGTGTTAGTTTCGACACGCTTGACTATCTATGATCCTTTCGGTCTAACGTTGGTCCCTTAAATCTCAAGATTTCAGTGGAAAAATACATTCCTTATATTTTTTTCCTTTGGAGATTTGATGTTAATGAAGTGTTATCCTTCGTCACTTGTCTTCTAGACAATTCATTGCCTTAGAAAAGAAGAAGTTACCTTTTCGTCAGGCATGGAATTGAAAGGGTTAAATAAAGACTCGACGATAAACATCACCAACGGAGACAGGAAACAGGGTACTATTGGATTCTGGTCGAAAGTGAAAGGTGGAGGTGAAAGCAACTTACCAGCGACACAACCATAGTACTCGATTCTCATTGAAATGTGTCTGTACCAGCCACGTGGATTAAGCTTGACATATCTGGCTAAGATTGGTGGGTTGATGGCATTTTTAGCGATGCTGTTTTGATCACGATTGGCTTGAAAAAGCTGAAAGAGCGAAATAATAATCACGAGCCTCGCAAAAATGTTAGAGGGAATTGGCTCAAAACTAGAAAGCCAGTGTTCCGTAATCCTGCTGATACGTTTTAGAATCACAGTCTCTGAGCATCAGGGTCTGAAAAACTTATTCCTTCTTTATCCTTATTTTCATTCGCAAAATTTGACGAACCACTAAGCAGCGAGATTCCTGGAAAGGTTTTACTGAAAGGTAGAGCAGAACTCACTCAGAAAATCATTCAATGAATTTCTTCTCTAAGAATACAAACAAAAGGGCACATTTAAATCTAAAATGGTTGGCAATGAGATTTTTAGCTTCTACACAACAGCGTTCACAAGTACAGCTGCAAATGTCAGCTTTGCTATGATTGTTTATTTAGATAGTTCGGGCAGAAAATTTGTAAATCTAACACCTGATTATAGTGATTGATTTTATCGGTATTTTCATATGTTTTTACCTTGAATACACTTCTAAACTTGAATGCCTCCCAGTGCACGTTATCCTGACTTGACGACAGATAGAAAGAAGTCACCCATTGGTTGGTATCCTGTCGGCCTTGAGTGGCTACTTTAGTGATTTTCATTGGTCGACCAAAGTCCACCTTGAACCATTGTAGATGATTATTGTACCGTGTGCACCAGGCCCCTACATATTTGCCACGTTTGACTTGACCCAGTCTCCCAAGTCTGGCTGCGTGGAATTGATTCCATTCCGTTGATGCTGTAATACGGCTGTTGGGGAGACGGTGGTTTTGTAATCCCAGAGGTTTGTTACACGGAGAGGCTGTATAATCGGACATAAAAACAGTGAACAACAATTTTTTTCGGTTAATGACAAATAAGAAACGAAAGATGGCAGAAAAGCCCCCATATCTCGTCGATTTATGGTTCACACGTGGCGTTAAAGTGTACGATAAATCATCAAAATATCGGCGATATCTCGGCAGAGCAAAGCGCAATATTCGACGATAATCGTTCGCATTACATTTGCACAGTACTAAATTTCTTTGTCAATAAATTTCTTACTTACTTTTTGTCGTAATTTCATCGCTTAGACATTTTTCTTAGAAAGTTAAGGCATACCTGAAGCGCCATAAACTTCAGCTCTCATAGATATCCAACCGTACCAGGTTTTCGGATAAAAACGAACGTTTATGGCCGTGAAGGGCCTGAGGAACTGGTGATACACGATGGAATGGCGGTTTGTGTTTCCACTGAAGACCTAAGATAAAACCATGAATCTTTTAAAACAGCCAAAAAACACAACAGAGGAAAAACTATTACATATGAATGACGGAGGGTTGTACTGGCTGAGTTCCCCAATTAAACAAGAGGAGTATTCTCTAATTAACCGGAAGGCCAGCGATCCACGTCCCTCAGCGGGCATCTGTGCATTCCAATTAAAGCGTCGTAAAACAAAAAAAAGACGTTTCTGTTATTCTCGTTAGTAGCAAAAAAAAATACTAGTTTATACTCAAAATCAGAATTTACTCGTATAGTTGCATTTCTCAGCCGGGAACTTGAGATTATCGCATTATTTGAAAGTTGACGCAAAGTGTATTGAAATAACGAACAGTTTCATTCAATTGAGTTTTTCGCTGATTCTTTATGGAAGCGGAATACTTCCATATTTGTTAGAAACTGACATCGCGCGAAAACATAAAACGAATAACACTTGCGCACTTTTCAATGTCATGCGGTTTCACTTGTGAACCAAATACATCTACTTTTGAAAATCACACTAGACATTTACCTTGGTGGTACGTCCTTCCTTGTAAGACAAGAAATTCATTCCGTCCACGCTGTACATAATTGTATAGCTTCTCACCCACTGGGAAGCGTCCTGCCTTCCCTGGGTAGCCACGCCTTTTATGCGCATCAGCTCAACAAAGTTCACTTGGAACCATTCCCCTCTGCGGTTGCGGCGCACGCTCCATGACCAGCGGCTGTTCAGTCGGCCATGCCATGGAGAGAGGTGATGATTGTAGTAAGTGGATGCGGTGAGAGAACCATCTGTAATACGCTTATCTTCCAAACCAAGTGGCATAACAAAGCGATCTGAAAGTGTTAGAGGAAGAGGGGTTAGATTCTTTCGTTCTGTACCCTGACGAGAGAGAGAAGCCATGTATTTAAGAGCTTCTAATGACTCTTGATAAGGCTTGATACTAGACGAAAAGAAGGTTCTTGCAAGTATAAAAAATATGAGCAGAACGCTTGTGTTAACAAAGAAATTTTGCTCCATTTAATTGCTTGTTTTTGTTTTTCTTTCGAAAGAGAGAGGACCAGAAATTTTTCTCTCGCCAAACACTCAATGATAGATCGTCCTCGGCTTTACAATCCAACACTTTCACTTCAGGAAAACCAATACGTAATTTCTCCTTACGATATCAATACACCACCAAACAGAAGATAAAGAGAGAGAGTATGAAATGTATGGCAAGCAATAAGGAGAACTTATATTGAGGTTTTGGAATTGAAAGGGTTAAATGGTTTCTCGACTACCTTCTGCACAGCCATAGAATTCGACCCTCATGGAGATATGTCCGTACCAACCCCATGGATGGATCTCAATATATTGCGCTTTAATATTAGGAAAGAGGCGATGTTGGACAACACTGTTTTGATCTCTGTTTCCTTGGAAGTACTGCAATAAAAAAATTAAATATTGCCATTTATTTTATATCCCTTGCCCTGTCTTTTAGTTAGAAGCACACCAAATAAATATTCATGCATGTTTGTCGATATCCAAGGTGCCTTGTTAGCGCAGTAGGCAGCAGCGCGTCAGTCTCAAAATGAGTTGAAGAAATTTAAAGGTCGTGGGTACGATCCTCAAATGGGGCACATATTTTACTGGTTTCCAAAAATCTAGCTATCTCTCTGTCCTCTTTTTTAGATAATCAATTTTGCTTTTCCTTGAACACATGTCTGGCGGAAAAGCAACCAAGGTACGTAAAGAAGAAATACTTAGTGAGGAATGTTCTTAAAGCTGACATCTCTATTTGCTTCGATTTCAGTTTCCACACATGTCCACTGTTTGGAAAAAATGATCTTTTAAAAAATTTCAACGAGCAATTATGATGTACCTTTCGATTACTGTTTTCTTTGTATTCAGCAGAATGCACTCCATCCTGACTAAATGTCAAATAATACTGAGTCACCCATTGACGGGCATCCTGTCGTCCTTGTGTGGCAAACTTCACCACCCGGGTGGGGCGACCAAAGTAAACCTGAAACCACTGGAGACGGTTGTTATGCCGCGAGCACCAGGCCCCCACTCGATGACCAGCGCGGCGGAAATGTAGCCTGCCGTAGCTGGGTGCGTGGTTCTTGTCCCAGCTGGAAGAAGCAGTAAGTTGGTTTGCACGTATGCGGCCATTTTGCATTCCTAAAGGCCTGTTGCATCGTGCTCCTAAAAGGAATAAACAAAAGAGCGCATACGACAATCAATACGATATGGTTTTCATTCTTCCATAAAAAGTGGGAGTTGTTCCATGTTAAGAAGGATGTTACTCTTTTGACGTGACTGTGAAGTAAGAAAGCCAGGAGGCAGTGGCTGGTGCCATGGACATTAGACTGAGAGTACTTGTTTCGAACCTGGCCGAACTTCTTCAAATTCCGCATGGACACTCAGAAATTCAAGTTGATGCCTAAATTTACCTTACTTCTCCGGTTAGAGATCGTAAATTTAGCCCTTGTTTTGGTCGGCCATTGTGATTTCTTTGGTCGTAATTTTATTTCACTTGATCGAAACGCACTTTAAACGTTCTGAAAAAAATCGCAATAAGAAACTAAAGGGCGAGAAAAACTCACCAACGACACAGCCATACAGTTCAACTCTCATTGAGATCCAGCTGTACCACGTGATGGGATGGAATCTAAAATAGCGCGCTGTGATATGGTGACGTAATCTGTGGCGTACAATCACGTGTTGATCATAGTTTCCAAGGAATATCTGAAAGTAAAATAGATCATTGATATCAGGTTTAAAAACCTAAGTGTCCCAATGAAAAGTGTGTGTTAGACTAAGAGTTCGGGAGAAAAAATTGAAAGAGTGCTACAAAGTTTCCTTGCTCAAAAGAAGACTGTATTTCCAGTCCACTGGAGTCTGTGCGTTATTCTGAGCTGAATTATTCAAAACACCGAGAGACCTCACCAAATGTTGGCGGTAATGTGCGATGCTAAACAAGAGAAGTCAAAACCAAGTTTAAATTTTAATCCTACATTTGCACTAACACCACCCTTGAACTACCGGCTCCTGGGCAAGAGCTGTGGACACATAAAACAGAAGAACTAGGAACCTAAGTCTTGAGTAGATAGTGGATGTCATTCTTTTGAATATTCTTTCACTAACCTTTGTTCGACCTCCCACTCTGTAAGGTACATACGCATATCCATTCTTGCTGTATGAAAGAGAGTACGATTTCACCCATTGAGCGGAGTTCTGTCTTCCTTGCGTAGCAATACGAGACACTCTGGTATATGCACCAAAATCCACCTGAAGCCACTGGCGCCTGTCTCGTCTCTTTGCACACCAGGCCCCTCCGTATCGACCATATCGGCGGCCGTTCAGCCGTCCACTTGCTGGTCTACAGTAGTGGCTGGCGTACGAAGAAGCGCGCATCATTTTGTCGTGGACGCGCTTATCTTCGATACCAAGTGGCATATCACAACGATCTACAACAGAAAAAAATTAAGTACACGTAGGGCTTCGTCGACTTGGCTCTTTTTTCGAGTGTCACTCGTGGGTTTAGATGATTAAAATCAAAAAGGGAAGGGGAAAGTTTTAAATGACAAACGTAACATTTAACTAATAGTTGAACGAGCACAAGAAGGTGAAGAGGTGAGGTTCAAATGGATTTAACACAAAACAGGAAAACCTAAGAATCATTTAGTGTCGTTCAACGTATTAAAGTAGATGTAGAGATTTGCGATGCGTGTAATATTGAATTTCTCTTTTAACCCTTTAGTAACCAGATTCTAAGTTCTCATTACAGTGATACTGCTGAATCATTAATTAAGAGAATTGAGGAAATGATCGCCAACCTTAGAAGCTTGATTGTGGAACAAATTCTCCTTGTCAATACCAAAGGAAATTTATAGAGAAGAGTAGGGAGAAGATGGACACTGATGTTAGGGAGTAGAGGATTAAACTCACAACAACTTCTCCTTGGAGCTTGTATGTGATTATTGGTTTACTCCAGACAACAGAAATAACAAACACAAAAATGGCGTTTTTGAAAAACTTACTCCAAGGACTTCCATAAAGCTCTAGCCTCATTGAAATATGTGATCTCCAGCCTCGTGGTATGATTCGCACGTATCTGCCGTAAATAGCTGGGTTTATAGGGTGTGTTTGTACAGACAGTTGATCTCGGTTGCCTTGGAAAGTCTGTTAAAGGACAAACACAACAGAAGCAATAATGTATTAGCATGGAAATACATGAATCACCTCGAGCATTTCATCAAGTAGTGCGAGCTTGCCTTACAAGCAAACGATCGTTCACGGATCCACTATTGATCCCCCCTCCCCCTTCCTTCTACATTCTTTTTGCCAGTCGTCTTTCCTCACTTTATTTGCTGTACTCATCTTTCTTCCACTCTAAAACGCCATGATGTCGGCAAAATTTTTCATGAAGAAATATTGAGCACTTGCCAGCCGAAAATTTATTAATACTGCAAAGCCCACAACAAAGTTACCTCATCTAAACTATCAGTAACTTCAGTAACCTAATAAGTTGGAGAATAACCTAAGGCGACTTCTGTCACTTGCTTAAATCAGGTAAAACTTTCTTAGGCAGTCAAAAGGATACAAAATTAGAATGGAAAGGAATCGGTAGTCCTGTATTGTTACCGATGAGTTCCCAAACTCATCACTTGAATTTCAAATCGATGTGCTCCTTCACGCCAGAATGCAACTAAATTTGCCATCATGTCATACCCCCTGACGATCTTTAGTTAAAAGCTATCTTACCCTTGGTGCATAACTCCACCAATATTTCACTTGGGAAAAGTACACACCATCGTAACCATAGTAGATATAGTACGCGGTCACCCATTGGACAGCGTCCTGTCGACCTTGAGTGGCAATACCAGTGATCTTCATTGCCCTTCTAAAGTCGATTTGTAGCCACTGATTGTGGTTGTTATGTCGGGAAGACCAGGATCCAATGTAAGGCCCCCTTTTGGCTCGGTGCAGACGAGCAAGCCAGGGTGCGTGATGCTTATTCCACTGAGAGGAAGCTGTGATTTGGCTGTTTTTTATACGACCGGATTGAAGACCTACTGGCGCATCGCAGAAGTTTTCTGTATACAAAGTAAATGAAGTATTGAATGCTTAACTCTTGATGGACCAAATATTTAAACATCAGACCCATGATATTCGTCATGTAATCACCTCTTAATCGTCCTCCATAAAGTTCGACCCTCATGGCGATGTATGAACGCCATCCCTTAGGATGGATCCTGATGTAGCGCGCTTTGATAGCGGGAAGTATCTTCTGGGCCACTGTGTGATAAATGTCGTAGTTACCTCGGAACATCTAAATTAAGAGTAAAAGACAAATTTTACTTACAGCCGAAAATGCTAGAACGGGAACAGGGACAAATTTTGTTACATCCTTAATTGCAGATGGGTTTGCTTTAAACAAATTGAAGTAAATCCAACAAAATGTTTGATAACAACAAAGTCGGCCCCTAAAGTTAAACAGTTTTATTAGTAGCTTTCTTCTATATAGTTACACTACTTGCGAGAAAATTAAAAACCTGGTTTTGCAAATGTTGAATGAAGGGGGAACGCTGCGAGATTTGTTAAATTATGTTCAGGGGTGGTACACTGAACTTCTCTCCGAACAACTTTGCGCGGCAATCAAACTACACCGTTTGTGACTAAATATGAAAATAACAGGGTATAGAGTTTGGAATTTATCTTCAAAAGAGAAATCATCTCTATACGCTGTAAAAAACTGTAGAAAAAAAGGTAAACGTAGAAACTGCCCCAATTTACATTGAGTGGAAAAAGTATTTGGAACGCCTCCTCTTAGAAAGTGGTCTTTAACCCTGCACTCAACATAACGAACAGAAATCTTGCAATTCATCTCTAACAAGTTTCCCGAGAGTACAATTTCTTCGCCTTACCTTAACGCGCCCGAAAGATACGTAAGAGATGAATCGCGCTCCGAATCGACTGTAGGATATCTGATACTTTGTCACCCATTGATGAGCTTCTCTCCTTCCTTGTGTAGCGATTCCTTTCACAATAGTCATTTCCCTGAGGTCAATCTGTAGCCACTGATTGTAGTTACGATGCCTGGCTACCCAGGCTCCTGTTCGTCCACGACCGTTGACGATGTTTAGACGCGATCGGTCAGGTCCGTGGTTGTAGTTGTAAGACGACGAGGCCCGAAGATGACCCGACAGAATACGACGATCTTCCATACCAAGAGGCATGGTGAAACGATCTTAAAAAAATTCAAGTGACAAGTTTTAAAAGGCATACCAACAAAAAATGGAAATTTTATAAGTCATTCAGATGTGAACAAGGCTTTTTAGTAACTTGTAGGTCATAATTTTGCAACTGTAAGTAGCTGAATGTTCCTCTCCAGAACGCAAGACTCTTTAAGAGTCTTACGTTCATGCCCAGTTGACGAATTGCGACCTAAAAATTTAACGTTTAGCCACAGAACAAGACCTAATGATTTACTTTCTGAATTACACTTAAAATGTCCTCTTGAAATAAACGCATAGAGGTCCTAAAGGAAAAAGTCATGTCCTGGAAGCTCTAATATAAAACCCGACACTTTTCTATGACATTTCGAGTTTGTCTTGCCATCAGGCCTATAACGCATTCACCAGGTCCTCGTTCCTCTCAGTTTTCGAACGAGTGAGCAGAATAAAGGGGCATTTACTCTTACCAATGCGACATCCGAAGAACTCTAGTCTCATAGAGATATGAGCGTGCCATCCCCAAGGATGTACCCGGATGTACCGTCCTCGAATGGCAGGAATAAATGAGTGTAACCTTACTGTGTTCCGGTCGTGATTACCAGAGAAATACTGGAACGAGACAACAAACAAACAAAAATAAAATATTTTGGTTGCTTATGAGAAAAATAATAGTAAGAATGATAATACTAATAAAATGAAAAATAATGATACTAATAATAACGATTTGTTCAACAAATCCATTGGGATACTCTTCCCCGTTAGTGAAGAAAAAACGAGAGCTTAATTGAAAAAAAAAAAAAAATATAATACTGGTATAAACAAGATAACATATTTTATTTGATGTCTGGTCAATGATAATTTTAATAATTATTAAATAAATTATTACCTTTCGGGAGTTTCGTTCTTTATACTCTGAGAAGTGGATTCGGGTTAAACTGTGTGATACATAGTATTGCGTCACCCACTGGTTTGCGTCATGTCGTCCCTGGGTCGCAATTCGAATTATTTTAGACGCTCCGCCAAAGTCGACCTGCAGGAACTGGTACCGATTGTTGTATTTTGAGGACCAAGCCCCGATGAAACGACCGCGGCGGCGGTGGTGAAGCCGACCAAAGTGAGCAGCGTGGTTCACATCCCAATAAGATGAGGCTGACATCATGTGATTTTTAATGCGGCCAGACTGTAATCCCATTGGTCGGTTGCATAGTGGGCCTGCGAGCAGAGCAATAAGAGAAAGTCATTACAGCTACGTCTAGGTTCACCGGTTGCAGAGAGGAGAAAGGCAGAAACGTATTTTACGAACTCAAAGTAAACAAAATTAAGTTCAGAAGGATGAAAATAAACACAGAGATAATTATACTCAAAAAGTGTTAAAAGGTAACCAATCGAGAAACTCGCGACCGAAAATTCCAAAGAATAACATTAGAATTAAGTGCTGTAGACAAAGCAGTAATTAAAACTAACGTTGTTCTGCCTGCGGGAGATATGTCTAGAAATGCATGCTGTAACGAAAATGGCGAAAATTCGTCAAAATCTTCAAAACCACCCCGCTGATTTCGCTTTGACGAATTTGACTAAAATTCACCAAAATTGTCAAATCCATGAAATCCACCGGTTTGGTGAAATTTCGTCAAATCTGCCATTTTCGTCACTGCATGCATTTCTGACAGAAGTGACCGGCGGAGTGGAAAGCTTTAGTTTGAGTTTTCCCTAATCAAGGAAAACGTTATAAGGGTTTGAGGGAGCACACTTACCAAGCCTACAACCATACAACTCTACTCTCATAGAAATGTAGCTGTACCATGATTTGGGATGTATACGAACGTAACGCGTTTTCAATGAAGGCCTGAATTTATGGAAGACAACATGATTTCTTTCGATGTTGCCTTGGAACACCTTGAAAAGAAAAGGAAAGAAACGAAGCACATAAGTAAGCAGGTCCTTTAAAGTACGAATAAGCAAGATTTGAATCAAATCAGAAATTGAAATCTAGTACCTTGACATTCCTTCCTTGTTTGACAGGATAAAACCTCGCTCCGTTATTGCTGTAAGACACTGTATAAGACTTCACCCACTGGTTAGCGTCGTACCGACCCTGAGTAGCGATTCTCTTTACTCTGGATAAGATTCCTAGGTCAATCTGCAGCCACTGATGAGTGTTGCGGTACTTTGCGATCCAGCCTCCCCGGAGGGAGCCATAGTTCCTGGCCTGAAGCCTGGCACTCCAGGGACCGTAGTAATGGTTATACATGGAGGATGCCGTGAGCATTCCCTTGGTGACCCGACCGTCTTCTATTCCCAACGGAACATCGCACGGATCTGAAACAATCATTGCAATGTTAATAATATAGTCAAAATACAGTACATAGACAAATAAATGAATAAAAACCTCCATTTACCTCAAAAATACGAACACAGTACAGAGACCCAATAATAATACAAAACAGACCACGTTCATAAAAAGACACAAAAACAGACCCTGGCCGTCAATGCAAAATTGAAAATTTTATATTGATAACTGCTCAATAAAATTCTATGATTTATTATTCATAGTACTACTATTATTATTGAAGAATTACTGCGCATCATATATTTACATAGAAATTGGTCCCTACCTGCGCGACATCCATAGAACTCGACTCTCATAGAAATGTGGCCACTCCATCCCTTCGGGTGTAAACGAATGTAACGCGCCAAGATAGGTGGATTTATAGCTTGCGTGACTACGCTGTTACGATCGCGGTTTCCTTGGAAGTACTTTAAGAGCAAATTTGAAGATAACGTTTAGCGAAAAGTTAGCAAAGAGGCGTTAGTATCACAACAATCAAGAAAACTGATCATCAAATTCTTGGGGGACGCTAAGGTTCAAAGGCATTTCTTTTAGGTGCTCATGCAACTTGCGTTATGTCAAAATGGCACGACGAGGAAACGCCTTAAACTCGAGCTCGTCAGGCGACATATGTCTTCCGCGCTGAGGCCCGTGATGGAGCTTAAAAAATTCAGTTTGTTGGTCAGTTGTTTTTAAAGCTATGGCTATCTACTTTACTTTGAAGGTAACGAGTCGTATTTGCGTCTGTTAAAGTAGGGTATAGTCGCCTTAGTAGCCTCTATTTGCCATTGTCGCGCAACGCACTTTCTTCCCTGAGAGACCATGTTGCGTGACGGTCACAGTGAGCATTCTCAAATTGCATGCGATAACTTCACAAATGACTCTTTAATCGTAGGTGTCCTACCTTGTCCTGACTGTTAATCCTATGAATCTGCCAGTGAATTCCATCCAAGCTGGAGGAAAGCAGATAACGCGTTACCCACTGGTTAGAGTCCTGTCGACCTTGAGTGTCCACTTTAGTGATTTTCATTGGTCGAGAGAAGTCAAACTTGATCCATTGGTTGTGATTGTTGTGTCTTGAGCTCCAGGCTCCCACGTAACCTCTATGCCGCACTTGACCCAATCTAACAAGCCGGGGCGCGTGGTATTTGTTGTATTCCGAAGACGCGGTGATCTTGGAATTCGGTAGCTTTCTAACCAGTGGGCTGCTGCATGAAAATACTGCAAAACATCGAAATTTTGCCACAATTAACTTATAGAATGTCAACATCTTGATAGAAAACTTTTCATTTCATAGCAAGAGTTTTATTGACTCAAATCTCATATTATATATTTTCACGTTTTTATTGATAAAGAGGAAAAACTTTTTCATAAAATACTATCGGTGAGTGACAAAACTCTTGAAAATATTGAAATAGGATCGGTACATACTTCATCACTCTAAAGTATCAATACTACTTCGATCATAACCTCAAGGTAATCGACAACTGCTGAAATGTGGAAAAGCGAACAAGGAACGATAAAATTTTATCTAAACATTCATAGGCCAAAAATGAAAAGTTAGACTGATTGTAACTTTATTGATCGGTATAACGCTGGTGAACAAAGTTTCTTCCATCAATCAATCAATCAATCAATCAATCAATCAATTAATCTGTCTGTCAATCAATCAGTCAATCAGTCCATCAACCAGTCAACCAATCAGTCCATCAATCAATCACCAATCTACATATTAGTCTGTCTTCTTGTCTGTCTGTCTGTCATTCAATAAACCAATCAATCAATCGGTTAGTCCCGGACTAATAATGAAACATTTTCGTCCCTCAGTTTCTCAAACACCCTCGAAGCGCAAACTCCAACATACCATAACAGCCGTATATCTCGGTCCTCATAGACATCCAGCCGTACCAACTTCTTGGATAAATACGAACATACACGGCTTTGAACTGTTTAACAAAATCATGGTACACAATCGAGTGCCTGTTGCTGTTTCCGGTGAAAACCTGCCAGGATTTAGAATAGTAAAATTTCAAAGAGGTGATTGATGAGTAATCACAGTAATTAAGGTGATTAGCAAGATTGCCTTACTCATCAAGCCTTACACTCTGGTTTAACCGTTTAACAAAAAGACTCCATGTTATCGTGCGACTTTTCAGTGAGAATCTGGTAAGAACAAAAAAGTGGCACACAAGGCACACTCTTACCTTGGTTCCCCTCCCTTCAGAGTAAAAGCGGAAGTGGGTTGAATCCGGACTGTAGGACACAATATACTTTGTCACCCATTGATTAGCATCCTGTCTTCCCTGGGTACCAATCCCTGTCGCCCTGACCACACCCACAAAACTCACTTGGAACCACTGGTTATGGTTGTTGGTCCTTGCGCTCCATGACCAGCGGTGGTTCAACCGGCCATGCCAAGGGGACAGATGATGATTGTAATATGTAGACGCCGATAAAAGGCCATTAGTGATACGTTTGTCTTCCAAACCAAGAGGAAGAGAGCAACGTCCTTATATTCAAAAGATAAAAATAATAAACAGACAATGAAAAGGACGAAATCGTAAAGTTACAAACGACAAATAGAATATACAGATGACAAAGGGCAAGGGTAGGTAAAAAAAAATACTTGAGCTCATTAAAATCAGGTATTGGCTCATTAATAAGGTTATTTCCTAGAAATAAAGGTTGTTTTCGGACCTTTTTAAATTTTCCTTGATTCTTCCCCACAATACAGTATACCAAAATTTAAAAAAAAGGAAAAAAGATCAAGCATACATGTTTAGGAAAAAATGTCTTATTTCAACATGTATTTCCAATGAATCGTAGAATCGGAGTCAGTATCTGAGCAAATCTATACTTACCCCTTCCCTAACCCGACCACAGTCAACTGATAACGAGTCAGAGTTATTTTGGGTTAGGGGAGGGGTAGGCAGGGGCAGATAGAAGGTAATATTAGCGCTGAATAACGCGCGTCCTACTTAAAGCACTTTGCTTGTACTATATTAGGTAGAACAGGATGAACCATGTAACACCCAGGAATCATAATTTTGCTTTGATTTCTATAAGGACGACATCAAACCTGTAGAACACCCATACAGCTCCACTCTCATAGAGATATGTCGGTACCAGCCCCAAGGATGGACACGGAGAAAACGCGCTCTGATTTGCGGGAATAAACGATGCTGTACCACACTGTTTTGGTCTCTATTACCCCTGAGGTACTGGGAAAATAAGAAAGACGAAACCGTTAACTACTTTTCATTCTCTAAAGCTTAAATTTTAACCCTTTGAGAGCTAAGAGTGACTAACATCTGATTTCTCCTAACAACATCATTCCCGAATCAAACATTAAGGTCATGAGAATACAGGAAATGATCTCCAACTAAAGAAGCTTTTGATTGTTAAACAAAGTCTCCCTGTTAGCACCTTAGGAAATGTATAGAGAACAGTTGGGAGAAAATGGATACTGATGCTTAAGTGTAAAGAGTTATTCTGAGAATGACTTTAGGCGCTATTTCAGGGCAAGTGTATGAAATCAAATCGCCCACTAAGCAACGTCGCAAAAGTAGTATATCAAGTGTTGAAAAAACTTCCTAACCTCCAGGTTAGCGCCACGCTTGAATCATATACTAATATTAGCACTAAAACTTAGTGGCAAACGTGACTTACAAATCTCTGTTTACAGTTCAGAAATTGCACGTATTGCCGACTTATTTAGATATGATACTTATCCTTGATTTAGGCTTTTATAATTGCAAGAACGACTCTTTTCTACTTTCTTCCGAAAGTTTATTGCACGGCGAACGACATGGTCCAATAAAGTAGTACAAAAATACTGCTTCTAAATTAAATAACTGAACTTACTTTCCGGTTGCTGTTATGTTTAAACTCCGCGAAGTGTGCGCCATCTTGACTGTAGCTGAGATAATACTGAGTGACCCACTGAGCAGCATCTTGTCTTCCTTGAGTAGCGATTTTTACCAGTCTCACAGCGCGGTAAAAATCGATCTGAAACCACTGGTACCGAGTGTTATGTCGGGCACACCAGGCCCCCACTCGATGGCCAACGCGGCGGAGATGAAGCCTGCCGTTGTTAGGCACGTGATTTCCGTCCCAACTGGAGGAGGCGGATAATTGTGCTGCTTTTATGCGACCATTTTGCATGCCCAAAGGTTGGTTACATCGCTTTCCTGTAAATTGAGGGGTAAAATTAATGTATTACTAAGAGTTTTTATAAAAAATGTTACCTTAAGTTCTCAACACTTGTGTTTTTATGGGCAAATTAACCAGGTTAGAAATAAATTTCCTTACTTCGTTAAATTTGGGACAAGATATCAAAATCTACAGCATTCACATATTCTATTCCATTCTTAATGAAACAGAAATTGATTAGAGAAAATTTGTGTAATTGTATCCGGAAAGTGGAAAGATTCTGAATTGTGATATTGAGTTGAGTGTTCCAATCAGCTTAGTCTGCCCTTTCAAATGATACTTCACGCACAATTTGGGATCTCGGGGTCTCAATAAGTTAAGTCTACCTTTTCGTACGATATTTCGTAAAAGAACGATTCAAAGTTCGGTGATCACATCGATGTCTCTTTCACTTTCTGTCAAACGCTGTCAGATTTGAAATTCAACTCAGTAAGAGTGCAGTTACCTCGGCACTTCAAGTTTTAGAGATCAAGAAACTTCGCCACTCAAGTGAAATCTTACCGTACACACATCCATAGAACTCGACCCTCAAGCCAATCCAAGAGTACCAAGAAACAGGGTAAACTCTGAAGTATTTTCCATGGAGAACCCGGGCAAACCTATTTTCCACGGTGATGTATCTATCATTGTTTCCACGGAAAATCTACAAAAAAAGGAAATACAAATGAAACGATCGATACGATTGAGCTAATGGAAGAATCTACTCAATCGGTCGGAAGTGTTAAGGTGATCTCCTTGAAAAGAGCGACCTCGAACCGTCTGAGCAAAGCCTGGAGATGAAGCTTTAACATCACATAAGTAAGTAAAACATACCTTTGTGGTTCTACCTTCGCGATATGTAGCAAATCCAGTTCTAGTTCTTGAGTATTTAATATAATATTTCTTCACCCAGTAATTGGCATTTTGCATTCCCTGGGTAGCGACACGTGTCACTTTCGCCAAAGCCTGGAAGTCAACCTGCAGAAACCTATGTCCGTCATTTCTACGCGGTGACCATCCTCCGCCAAAACGACTGTAACGCCGCCTGTTGAGACGGGCGTTCCATGGTGCATCGTAAATATTGTTGTACGAAGAAGCAGTCATGACTTGGTCTGGCACACGGCCGTCTTCGAGACCGAGTGGCATATCACAATGACCTAGAAAACATAAGCAAAATTTACAGAAATACGTTAAACATTTGTGACTAGCTTGGGACAGATTGAACTCTAGTTCAGCCAGTTCTGATCGGCCAACTCCATAGAATAGGTTTACGCAACAAGCGTCTTGGGTAATATTAGGATCATCAATGTTACAAGCGTCTTTCTGGTCATCAAACAAAGAAAAAAGTATTAAATAAGTAGAGGCTGATGTAAATGGGATGTAGATGGGATGACTGAATCAAAAGAAAAAAATAAAACAATTCGATCATAATTGCTCGAGAAGTTTAATACTTCTTTTTAGCTTAGAAACGCTTGGAAGGAGAAATCATCGTTAAAAAATCACCACAGAGAGCGAAGTTGTGTCAACACTTACACCGACCCCAAGTTAAGTTAAGGTTTGACTTTTCATTCAGCTTTCCTTCTATGGTTCTAGTTGTGCTGCATTGAAAGGGGTTTAAGGGGGGGGGTTCTCGAAAATAGCTTCCTATAGTTCTTTAAAGTGTAGAGAGCCCCACTTACTCCACGGACATCCGTACAGCTCCATCCTCATGGAAATATGTGATTTCCAGCCTCGTGGTTGGATACGAACGAAGCGGGTGTAAATAGCTGGCCTGAAAGCGTGCGTACGTAGAGAATATCTGTCGTAGTTGCCTGAGAATTGCTGCGAAAGAAACGTTAAAAAAATCCATGAATTTTTTTTACAGGTGTGGTAAGGTTATGTCATTATAATTAGGTAGGTCTTCCCCTTGTCTACTTCGGTATGGAGTGCGTAGGTATTCTGTTACCACTGATGAATCCTTTCTAGTTCTTTTAAGATATTTGGACAATTTTTGTCTGTGCCAATTTAACTCTTTGACCCATTAGAGTGACTTGCATTGTTTCTAACTTCTCATTACAGTATCACCCCTGAATCACATATAAAGGTTATAAGAATTAAGATAATGATCAAAGACTACAGAAGCTCTTGATTGTTAAGAAAATTCTCCTTTTCAGCACCTTAGGAAATGTATGGGGAAAAGTGTGGAGAATATGCAGACTGATGTTAGAGTTTAGGGGTTAAACTTTGAAGAGAAGTGAAGTCTATCGCCCATGCAAGAATATATATGGAAAGCTGACCAAATCATAAACCTTGATAACATTTTGACCAAGCTTCACTGAAGGCTCCTCACACGATTTCGGATTGAATTATCGCAAAAAGCACTAATGATAATCAAAAACCTAGAATTGGAAGAAAATGGCAAAAACAAATGGTCAGTTTTTAAAACCGACATGAGTCAGTAGGCAACGTCTGACAATTTTTTCATAAGAAAAAGAACAGAAAAATTTTAACCATTCAACCCGGCTCTCGACAAGGGTTTGACTCGCCTAAACGTCTTTATTCATGTAAACGCACACAAACATTTACCCGCAAGTAGATTTCCCAGTGCAGTTAGTTAAAACAGAACTAAACAGAGCTGTACAACGTCAGCCACCAACCTTCACATGATTCCACCAGTGCTTCACTTTAGCAAAGTACATTCCATCCAAGCTGTAGAACACATAATAAGCAGTCACCCACTGATGGAGGTCCTGTCGTCCCTGAGTATTGATACCAGTCACTTTCATGGTCTTTCCCAGGTCAACTTGTAGCCACTGATTGTGGTTGTTGTGTCTTGATGACCAAGAGCCAATGTAGCGGCCATGTTTGGCGCGGTGGAGCCTGGCAAGCCACGGTGCGTGGAACTGATTGAACATTGAGGAGGCGGTGATTTGACCATTTTTGATCTTCCCATTTTGCATTCCGACTGGATTGGTACAGAAACGAGCTGTTGAAAAATGGGAACATGAACCATTAAATGAATTGAGCTGATAAACAAATCAACGAAGACGTATATTCTGTAGTGAAAGACAATGTTTTTCATCCGATGGCATGTTCACAAAAGAGGAAAAAGAAATTCTTAACGTTCGCTATCGAAATCGAGCCTCTGCTTTGCAATGGTTACTTCGAACGCTTTAGTTTATAGCTTGTCAATCAATCCCTGGGCTTTTGACCAAAATCTTGACCATAGTACTCATGCAGAGATGTAACAGGAAGATAGACAAAGCTTGCCGAGAGAAGGAGCTTATTGAAACTCTTGTACACTAAAAACAGGCAAAATTTTATCATGATAGGCAAATTTCGCCATTATTCTTTTAACTCAAGAACCAACCAAATATGTTCCCTCGTATACTTATATAACTGCACCTGTCACAAAGATATCCTTACCTCCCCCATAATAGCAGCCGAAAACCTCTACCCTCATGGCGATGCCGCCTCGGAACGACTTCGGATAAAATCGGACAAATTTGGCTCTGATCGGAGGAGCAAGTTCGTGTATTACGATCGTGTAGCGATCGAAGTTTCCGCTGAATACCTGCGAATCGGTGTATAGAACATTTCATATACGAAAAAATTGAAGAAATATGCAACTGGGGTACAACTTGCAACTTGGAAAGTTGCAAAAACATCCTCGAAAGTGACATTTTTCTCACACTACTATAAGACTTGAGAACCAATAAAAATTTACACTGAAAGATGCCGCATCTGTTTTAAAATCCTGTTTCTAGTTTTAAGCGGTAGCCTACCGCTCAGCTGGCGAGTTCAAAAAGCAGGAATTGCTTATTCCAGTATTAACTTCCAGCAAAAGAATAATTAAAGGTCATTAAGTCATGTAGTGAATCTGCTTACTTTAAAGGTCAACCAAAAAATATCGGAAGACACTGTTTTTACCACTTGGCAGACAATTCCGCTATTTTGACTTAATCTCTCTTAATCTTTCTTCAACTCTGATAAACTTTGAAAAAGCTAGAAAACAAACTGACAACGAAATCTAGAGAAATCTGAATACCGGAATCGTCTGTAACCTTACAACAGACATTCTCAATTTTTTTTCAATTTATAGTAGGAATGGTATTCAGTTGTCGCAATGTATTTCATTTTATTCCCCAGATAGATTTTGAAGAGTCGAGAAAGGACTTTTACATAGAAATAATTACCAACCTTGGTTCTACCAAATTCAAGATACGCCTTAAACGACTTTCCATCTAAACTGTAAGACACAATGTAACTGGTAACCCATTGGTGGCCATCATGCCGACCCTGAGTAGCCACGCCTGTAACTTTGGCCGGTCGATCCAGTTCCACCTGTAGCCACTGATTTGTGTTTCTGCCTCTCGCAACCCAGGCCCCTGACCGACTATGTCCCGAAGGAAAGTTGATTCGCGCGCGGTCTGGACCATGGTTGTAGTTCCAGGAGGATGATGCTTGAAGTGAGCCAGAAGGGATACGATAGTCTTCTACACCAAGAGGCATCTTACAATGATCTTTAAGAGAACGAAAGAAATATGCAGTTAAAATGAGTCTCTCGATATTGATAATCTGTGAATGACTGTTCTTTTACAAAAACTCAAATTTTCTGCAAAGCTTCAGAACTTCATAGTGAGCCTTGTTTCAGAAGATCTAGTGACAGTAGCGTTTATGACTTAATTTAAAACCGCACGCAAAATAATTTTGGTCTCAACTACATGTCTTAATCAGTGCAACCCCTGACCAGGCCATTGCGTTCCACAGAGCCTCGATCGACCGAGTTACATAATGAGTGTCAATGACCTGTAAAGAAAATAAACGTAATACTTATGGGTAACGTGGCTTGCGGGAGTCATTTCATTGTTTATGAGAGAGCTTAGACAAGCAGGAGGTGTGAGTGCAGAAAAGAGTCGTATACGAGAATCAAAGTTCTCCGTCTCGCGTGTGACTCGCCTTTCACGGACGCCTCTCGCACGTGTCTGCCTATTCTGCAGGCTAAGTCACTCTATGCCACAGAAACTGGGATAAGCTTCGGTAGCTGAGCGCGTCAGTCTTGTAGCCAGACTTCCACACTCAGTTAAACACTCTGTGTGATTTTCTCTACTGCTTGAATAGTGTTCATTACTGCGAAAATCGCTTTCATATTCATAACAAACCTGTAAGGCATCCATAAAACTCTGCTCGCATGGAGATGTGCCCATACCAATGCCAGGGCACAATACGAATAATCCTCGTTCTTATATTAGGTACCAGCGCGTGTGATACAACCGTGTTCTGATCGCGATTTCCTGGGAAATACTAAGACAAACAAAGGGCATAACACATTAGACACTTGGGAACAAGACATCATCACTGCTCAGCCTAAAGATATACTAAAAGAACGTCGTCCCGAAGGCAATTTAGGCGCGTTATCGGCTAAGATCCAGTTTAATGGGTGCTAACACGCCAGAGCGACTTCTGCAATGCGTAAAGAATTTCTTTATAAACTTCAGACCTTAACAAGACATGTAAGTAGCTTTATACCGAGTGAATCGTGGATTTAAATCCTTCAAGTCTTCTCTTAAATTTTCCCGTGCAATAACTCTCAGACCACCCGCAGAACGAATTTAAGCAAAACCAAAGCAATTGCGGATTACTTTCGACAATCAATTGAAAATTGCTCGATCTTTGATAATAAATATCTACCTTTCTAGTGTGACGTTGCTTGTAGTCAACGAAGTGAATTCCGTCTAATGAGTATCTCAAATAATATTGTGTGACCCACTGTCTGTAGTCCTGTCGCCCCTGAGTTGCGACTCTGACGATGAGAGCAGCTCTTGAAAAATCCACCTATTTTAAAATAAAAAAAACATTTATCCAACAACTCAATAACTTCTTAGGCAGCGTGCCAAACGATTGAGTACGGAGGGCGCATGTTCCAGTGTGAGCGGGAAAAAATAAATGAAAAACCACGCGCTTTTAAAAGTGACGCTGTTTCCAGCCTAGCGCCCACAATGCTAGGCAATAACTCAATCAATCTAAGAGCCTCTTACATAGGTCACTCTGACCACCAACCGGCTTATTCGGTGTGAGTCGATTTGATGAGTGGAATTTAGTCCCCATCTTACTGATTGGCTGAGCTTGTGCAACAATATTGTGTACAAGGCCAGGAAGAAAATATTTAATGTCCTTCCACGTTCGTCGGAACAACTGTCACGAAGCATTTAGCGAGCCTGATCTGTGCTAAGACCGTACAATCTTCAGGGCTAGTTACGTTTGTATGTATAACATTCATTGGATAAAATAGCGTTTTACTTGACTCAAACATGAATCATATACTTCCAACAAGCTTTTCATTTATCGACAATAATTTTTTTTTTTTTAGTATTCACCTGCAGAAATTGATAACGATTGTTAGTTTTCGCACTCCATGCTCCAATGAAGCGTCCAGCTTTACCATGATGCAATCTGGCGCGAAACGCGGCATGGAATGGGTCCCAATTAGACGAGGCAGTGATTTTGCTATTGTGAATACGACCACTCTGCATTCCCATCGGTCGGTTACACAGAGGACCTAAAGTGGAAAATGGCGTCAAACACAGCAATGATTAAGCCAGAGGGAAATCTTTCAAACGGGTGTAAAGGAAACGATCAAACGGTAAAGAAGCTCTTGATTGTTAAGCAAATTCTCCTCGTCGGCTCTTTAGGGAATGTATAGAAAACAGTATGAAGAATATGCATACTAATGTTAGGGTGTAAAAAGGTGAATGAACTCTCTGTAGGTGCCACACTCACCGTGTCTACAGCCGTACAATTCCATTCTCAAAGATATGTACCCGTACCAGGATTTCGGATGCAGTCGTACATACCGAGCCCTGAATGGTTTTACAAAGCGATGCAGGACCACGTGGTATCTGTCACTATTGCCACTAAACACCTATAAACAATAAATGACATTATATTTGACCAATAAGATGACTGACGTTAGCAAAGACCTGAAGACACTAATGAGACTGTGAAAAGTAGTGAAAGATCAAAACCATGGTTTTTTTATTTCAAGAACAAAAGGCTATTTCGATCAATTCAACCTAGGGTTCACAAACCAAGCAAATGAATGTAAAAGCTTGTTCCTCTTCAGTCCTTTTACCCCTAAGAGTGACTAGCTTTTAACTTCTCCTTAAAGTATTAATTTTAATTAATAATAATTAATAATAATTAATACTTAATAATTAATAATAATTAATAATTATTATTAATGAATTATCAATTGAATCAAATGTAAAAGTAATAAGAATAAAGGAAACTATCACCAATTTAAGAAGCTCCTTGTTTTCAAAAAAATCTTCCTTGTAAAGAGAAAGTGTGGAGAATATGAATCCTAATGTTAGAGCGTAAAGGGTTAAAACTTCTTAACCACGGAAAAAAAAAAAAAATTTTTATTACATCGAGAGTAGCTCATATTTTGAACGTTACTGAATACTGCAGATAGAAAACGAACAGTGATGATAGTAGCATGTTACCCTCGTACGGCTCCCTTCTTTGTACGGATAAAAGCGCCTTCCATTTCCACTGTAAGTGACGAGGTACGACTTTACATATTGATATGCGTCATAGCGACCCTGGGTAGCGACGCCTTTTAGTGTAGAGGGTTTTTCCAAATCAACCTGAATCCATTGCTGAGTGTTTCTTATCTTGGCGATCCAACCTCCTCGTGTGGAGCCATAGTTTCGCGCCTGTAGCCTGGCATTGTATGGTCCATAGTACCAGTTGTACATGGAAGATGCGCGAAGGCGGGATTTTGTAATGCGGCCATCTTGCATTCCGAGAGGTACGAAGCAACGATCTGCAAAAGGAGCAATACTTTAAAGTTATAGTTTATACCCATGCTGGTAAATATCTTTATGGAAATGGTTCACGAGCAAACGCTAGCTTCTTCCTTTTACTTTGCGGGGTTTTGTTTCAATCGATTTAATCAATTTAACCTTTTTTCATTAGCAATTCTCCTTACTATCTGCCATAAAATTCTTATGATGTTAGTTCAGAGAAATAGGTATTGGATCGACTAATAATCCCCTCGTTGAAATTTTTTTCTTTAATCTCGTCACTTGTCTGCTTGATATTATTTTGATAGTGTGAGGAGAGATTATTTCTCCGACACTCATGGGAGATATAAAGGGGTAAATAGTTCTGCCAGTGATTTAAACCGGACAGCCATCTCTTAGAGCTCATAAAAAAGAGACAAAGACAAATCAATGAAAAAAATATCCATATTGTCGCATACTTTGTTATGTCTTTTGCAATTCTTAGAGATGAGAGAAGTAACCATTGCCGTAAGAATTACAACATCCATACTTAACTACGTTAAATATCTATTTACCTGCTGGACAGCCGTAAAATTCGACTCTCATACAAATATGACTCCGCCAGCCACGTGGTTGTATTTTCACAAATCTTGCAATGATTGCTGGGTTTATTGGCTGCGTCACCACTGAATCTTTATCGCGGCTTCCAGGAAAGTACTGAGACATTAAACGCAACAAATGAATTAATAAATTCACCATACACTTTCATTAAGGAAAAGTAATTGGTCCCTCACTGCTAAGAAAACCGGGATTAGCTCCGGCGCCTTGTGGGCCACTCAGTTCCATTGCTGCTTTTACCTTGTCTCGTACCCAGACCTTCCACGGCTATTTCAGTTACAGTTGAACGGGAGGATCTGGATACGACATTACCGTAAATACTCACCTTATCATTATTCTTGTATCTGTACACATTCCAATGCACATTATCCAGACTTGAGTGCAAAAGGAACCGAGTTACCCACTGATGCACATTAGACCTCCCCTGTAAGGCGATTCCTGTCACTTTTGTGGGCCGAAGGAAGTCAAATTTGAGCCACTGATTGTGATTGTTATACCGTGCGCACCATGCCTGACTGTGATGCAGTCTCGCGCGCCAAGTGTAAAGGCCTGGCCACGAAGAGGATGCTGTGATTTGCTTGTTCTTTAGACGGCCATTTTGAAGACCGAGAACACCATTACAGAGACCGACTGAAAGGAAAAATACTGCAATAAGCTTTGGATTTATCATGATCATTCAATCATGGCTGGTGTAAAAGAATTTAGGGATAAACGTTAATCTAGTTAATCTAAAAGACCACTCATTATTTTTCGCGGAAGGAGGGGAGGGGATGGTCGGAGGATTTTCGTCGAGTCACGATACAATTTACCTGCCCTCCCCCCATAAGGCTCTGTAATGTTCTTATGACCCCCCTTCCCCCTCATCGGCAGTTAGTTGGTAGTCAATTTTCTATAGTACCCCCTTTTTTTCCTTTTTGGCGACGACTGGCCTCCCTCCATTCCCTCCGACCCCCCCCCCCTCCCCGCACGCGATAAATCATGGCTGTCGCTGAGTACTGTTGCTTGGCATCTTACTTCCTGATTTGCTTTTTTTTGTCATTATTTAAACATGGAAATTCGCTTTTCTCGGCGTACACTCGAATCCTCAAAAGTTTTTAAATATAGTGTAATGTGGCTAAAAAGTAGAAAGAACTTTACTTGTGGAACATCCATAGACTTCGACCCTCATTGAAATCCAGCTGTACCATCCACGAGGATAAAAACGAACGTGACTCGCCACAAACGGTCTGTTGATGAGGTGAAAAACGATTCCAAAGCGATTCATGTTTCCCCTAAACATCTAAAAACAAGGAAAGAAATAGAAATAAATAAATGAACAAATTGCTTGGTTAGAGTTGTTTCAAATGACTCATACAAAAATAAATGACTTTCTTCATTTATCTTTAACTCTCAAGATCTCATTTGTACTCCTCCTCACTGTCAGCCTTAAGGCTCCCATGGTGTTGGTGCGGAGAATTTGGTATTGAAACAACTAATAATCCCCTAATTTATATTTTTCTTTGTTCCCATCAATTGTTTGCTTGTTATTGTATCGATGTTATAAGGCGAAATTCTGTCTTGGTCACTCATGGGAGTTAAAGGATTAAAATAAGGGAAGCTTCCTTGCTCCTCTATCTGTTCTCCTCTTTGTTTCCATGTGTACTACAGGAAACACTTTGAAAAAAAAGCATGAACGCAAATTTCTTTCTCCTCTGCTTCGACGGGAATGTCTGCTTTCTCTGTACTCAATCATACACTTTAATGATACTCCTATTTTCGAATTTGAATCTGAACAAGAGCGAAAAAAAATGCAAGCTCATCGTGAAATGAACTATTTTCTAATATCTGCCCATACTTCCTGCTACGTGCAGCACTAGAACATTTGCATACTATGATATGGTCCAGTAAAAGCACGGATTCAGTGAAGGATTAGTCTGAAAAAATTAAATCGTAACAATAATCTCTTTTACCATTGTTCCTCGTCCCTCGTGGTATGGATAAAATTTCATGCCATCTGTACTGCGACCAAGTGTGTACTGCGTTACCCATTGGTTAGCGTCCTGTCTGCCTTGTGACGCGATTCCCTTCACTGTTGCACTTCCTCCAAAAGAAATCTGCATCCATTGGCCGTGCCTGCGGTAACGTGCGCTCCATGACCAGCGGTGATTTAAGCGACCGTGCCATGGTGCCAGATAATGATTATAGTAGGTCGAGGCCGAGAAAGAACCTGGGACCAAGCGGCCGTCTTCTGCACCAAGAGGCATGCGGCATTGGTCTGCAAAGCAGCATAGGACAACAATCAAAAGGTTAACAGTAAGTAAATATATAACATTAAAACAAGCACATCCTACCAAGAATTTGCGCGAATTTTGCCGAAAGGAAGTTGAACGAGGAAAACACCTCCCGATTACGTTTGACAAATGAAGCGAAGTGTCACATGCTAAAAAAATCAGAGTAGAGCGCCAACACATCCCCTCTCGTTCTGACTTTGTCCCGCTAATACTAAGTCACTATCCACAAATTAAGTGATTACCTTGCTCTCCTTGCCTGCCTGTTTCACGCTATATAATAGGCTGGATTATACAGGCATTTTGACAGGTTTTTATTAATGATCTATTGGAATCCATTTTGTATTTTATGTATTCATTGTTGAGATTAATAAAAACTCAGAATATCCCACCAACATAACATCCATAAAACTCTGTCCTCATGGAGATATGGCTGCGCCATCCCCAGGGGATAATCCTGACGAATCGTGCTCTGATTGGTGTACTGAGTGTATTGGTCACCACAGTGTTTCTGTCTTTGTTAGCTGAGAAATACTGAGAAAAAAATAAAGACAAATAGCTGTAACAAAACTCATAGTTTAGTCCGAAGTAAGACTGGCAAATCGCTAAGTTGATGGTAAATTTTCTAAAGCATGCCTCTTTCTTTTGCGGGATAGTTCCGTTAGATGATAATACTAGTGGTCCAAGGATCCTCCTTTTTCCCCATTTCACTCCTTGAGATCTATATTTCAATTCTCTTCACTGTCTGCTATACATTTCGTATAATCTTAGCTCTGATAATTTGGCGTTTAATTAGAAAATATCGACCAATTGATATGTTTCTTTTTTCTCAAGTCCCTTCCTCCCAAAAATGTATCGGAATTGTATGGTGAAACTCCGTTTTTATCACTCTTAGGAGTGAAAAGGTTAAGCCAGTCACTTTCCATCGTCTGCTGCTTCATCAACGCGGGCACTCAAGAGTAACGTTACACGACGTACGGTCTTTTAGCACAGTAGTCGAAAACGCGTAAGGCCATTTAAGACATTTATAATGTTTTTTTTTATCTACGTGTTAAATAATGAACCATGTATTCCAACAGTGGTCTCATATTTTACTTCGCTCAAAAAACAAAGCATCTTCCTTTTTACGTTGCGCGAATATTTACTGCTTAAGCTTGTTAAGATGATCACCCCAATTAACAGTGAAATATGACAGTCAATAAAGAATCTTCCGTAAGGCGTGTAAATAATTCTTGGGAAAAAATTTGTCTCCTGAGAGCATACTATTGTATATCCCTTTGTGCACTGGAAGCTACTGTACACAAGGACTTTATCTTTGCAGAGAGCGAAGGTGTGATGTAAAAAATGTTTTAACTATGCGTGACTACTTCGGTTCATTACGGATACAAACACTACATTCCCCATACCTTAATACCATCTCTCAGCTTATAAAAAACCCATGACAACCCATCTTGACTGTATGAGAGTCGGTACTGTGTTACCCATTGATTTGCATTTTGTCTTCCTTGAGTAGCGACGGCTGTAATCTTTGTCGGTCGACGAAAGTTCACTTGAAAATACTGATTACGATTGTTATGCCGTGAGCTCCAAGCTCCTTGGTACCTTCCACGGGCGGTGAAATGCAGGCGTCCCAGATAGGGACCGTGATTTTTGTCCCATGAAGAAGAGGCCGTGATAGCATAGTTAGGAATCTTGCGATTCTGCATTCCAAGAGGGTTCTTGCAGGGTTCTAAAGAAAGTGAGATTGTAACGTTTGGCCAAAATAAAGTATACCGTCAGAGGTATTAAAAGTTTTCATCGGGTTTCGCATCCACTGTTTTAAACAATCAACTGCTACTTACTCTCGCATTTGATATTGCCTCGTAGGTCATCAAAATTGATATGTCCCCAGCCACCTGAGCCATAATCCACAAGACGCACAAAGCCCGTTCTTCCGATGTATTGGCGTACATTCCATCGCTTCCGTTGCATGGTTTCTTTGCAACGTCCTGTAGTCAGAAAAATAAGAATTTACAAGAATGTTAAATTTATATTTTACCTCAAGCTTGTTGCGAACAAAGGTGTGATACTCTAAATCAAAGGTTGTATTAGCTTTTCAATGACATTGAGAAGGTATGGTGGCAGAAGCATTCTCACATGAGGTCACTGTGATTGCATTTATCATATAAGAACATATAAGAATATATGCGAACTATATCAGAGAACATCTAACGAGCAAGACGAAATGTAAGGTAGCTTGAGCATAAAAACGTTTTAAGACATTCGTAGACTAGCCAGATGATTTATAATGGTAACTGAACTGAGTGGAGTGCAATTGGGGCTGAAAACATTCGTGTGATTTGAAATCACAAGTATGATTTCAGACCAAAATTGCACGACACGAGGTTCAATCACCAGGTTATTGCATCCATTTTGAAATTGCCCAAATACAGGACTTGGTCAGTTCAAATATTTTATTGGTGCAGTACTAAGCCGGTTTGAAATTAAATTCATCCTATTTTTTTTTTGGGGGGGGGGGAAGGGATAAGAGATTTGGAAAAAATAGTTGCCAAATTTGCCACATGAAACTCTTTGTCTTACATTTTCCTGCGATTTGATTGGTTACTTTAAACAAGCCTTGAAATCTGCTTGGTTTTTTTGTTTTTAGTGTAGCCTTCTCATTGGCTGGGAAAAAGATGCGATTTAAAGCAAAAAATGGTGCGATTCGTGAATAAATCGCACCAATTCGAGTCAATCAGATTACAGGGACCACCAGTGATTTCAAAATGGGTGTAATAAAGGACAATAATGATAATAATCATCAATATGATTAGCTGTCTGTAAAACCTACGACTAGTTAGTGAAGAGGAATAAAATTGCTTGAGATACACTGGGAATGTTAAGGGGCGAATCGGAATATTATATTTCCGTATGAATGATTTAATGACTAGTAGAGAAGATGATTTTGTTATTTAATTTTCGCTAAAAAGCCGCGAGATCTTTCGTACCTTCTACAATCCGTCGTATTTATGCGTTTTTATAAATAAAGTATTTTTGGGAAAAACAGTCAACTCTCTCGGTGCATCTCTCCGCCCAGGCGTATAAATAGGCACCAAGGGAAGCGTAAGGGAAGCGTAATGAAAAAAAAAAAAGGGGGTGTAACCTTACGATGGACTGGCATCCTATCAAAAGGGGTGTAGTGATACTCGTATTAGCTAAAGAAACCGGGATAAGCTCTGGCCGGGTGGGCTACTCAACTCGAGTACAGACTAGGAGTAACTTGGTGACAACCATGCACAACTCTCTGGTGACAATGAAAATCGTGTATTTGTGACTGTAGACGAAAACCACGTGCGTATACTGACCTGTGGTACGAAGCACAACTCCTCGCCCATCAATGACAAGCTCTGCCCTGGCATAATTAATATTGCAACCTCCGCCGATCAGGAAATCAATGTAATTCCCTATGATACGGAACCGGGTGGAGCTCAAAGTTCCGGTGGGGCGGTCCCCTTGTATGGCACCCGCTCGGCTCCGAGGATTGGGGCGCTTCTCATATGTGCCAATCCAATAATTCCCCTGATGCTTTGAGGGCTGTCTTGTGCGACGAGCCGTGGGGTTGTCACCGTATGTTGGCTGGTAATTAAACGCAGTACCTGACTTTGTCCATCCGTAAAGATTTCCCCTTTCGAAATTGAAGTTTACACATCCGGGTGGACTGGCTAGAAATCACCAAATATTGCATTAGAAAACAAAATCAGCTAGTCTCTCAAATGGACACCAACCCTTAGAATTTAACAATTTATCAGAAATAAACATTATGGTGCAGAAAGATCGGTTAAAAATTTTAAGTCAATACAATTCAGATATATCAGAGAAATAACGATTTGATGGTGTTACAACAAACAGATGTCGATGTGACAAGGGGTACATCACATACCCCCCAAAATACTTCATACCGCGGCCTGAGATACCCAAAAAAGGAGTTGAAGTATGTGAAGGGAGGGAGGGAGGGGGGGTAGGGTGACAGTCAAAGAGTTTCTGGTGTGAACACTAACGAACACAACTATGGCCCCGTCAATGCTCAGTGTTGAGATCAAATGTGATTGGTCGGTGATATGCTTTGTGTGACACAAAAGATAGAAACTCCAAGAAGTGATGTCAATAATACATACTTTCTGCGGCATTCCAGTACCTAAAATGAAAAAAGGAAAGAAATGTTACATTAACAAGATACTTCTTAACCAACTTAAAAGATCTCCAAGTTTAGTTTCTGTAAGGAAAAAAATTGCAAAACGATAGACGAATCTCTCTGTTTCACAACTACAGTACTGTACATGTCAAGTGATCATACAAAGGAACTCAGATGCGTTACAAAATGGAACCGAGTTATATAACAGAATGGAACCTGATTATGCAACAAAAGGGACCTAATTAGGTAAGAATATGGAACCCGGTTATGTACCATGACAGAGCCCCGACAGTAAGACCAAGTACCGCTGAGCCACGAAAATATGGTCGCAATAACTTGGTAAACGTTGCAACGTTGTGGAGTTATGTAATGATTCTGACCCGTTACAAGTATGAACAACAATATGATTTTATGTACTATACAAAGATTTGGTCAGGATAAGAAAAGATGATTTTACGATGAGCGTAATTGTCGAACTCAAAAAGGAAATACCGTTGATATAAATAACTAATAAAGACAAGGCGGGACACCAAGAACCATACGAGCAACAGGTATTTCGGGACACGCGCTGGCAAATTAACCCTTTAAAGACGTCAGTACAGTATTTTGTAAGATCATTCCAACTTAGCCAACTATTTAACGAAACATAATTCACTCCAACAGTATCATAAACATAAGCCACCAAAATGGGAAGATTTTGTGCAATGAAGATGCACTTTAATTTTTATTTTCATAAAGTTGACTGGTGCTATCGCTGTTTTTAAAAACTATTGAGCCTTTCATTCCTCAGTAACATAAATACTCGTTCTACTTATCCAATGATTTCGAAAGAAACTAAAAGTACAAGAAAAACATCTTGAAAGAAGTTTTAGGGGAAGAAAATGAACCATTTTATGGGTGCTCAAATCAATAAACAAATCAATAAAAAAAGCTAAGTCAAGATTTCAAGATAACTCCTTTTTTTAAAATGTAATCCTTCGGAACTATTAGTTCAGAATCTTGATTTAAAAGTTATTACCTCTCTTGTAACAAAAACTTCAGATTCAAGATAACAAAACTTTTAGTGAGCAAAAATTCAAGATGATCAATTTAAAATTTTTTCAGGGGAACGTGTTAAAGAGGCGTTGCTATACTTGGATATCATTTTGGTGCCCTGTGAGGGAGCTATACCGTCGGATGAGAGAAGAAAAGATGTCTTTCTTTAAAGAATTTAAAGAAAAAAATGTAACCAAGGGGTGTTCCATAATTTTCCTACCATTGCCTTGGAGTGTTATTATGTTATAAAAATCACGATGTTACAATGGTGACAATTTTCTCGCGTAATACATCAGGTTAAACTCTGCTATTTCCAAGGTTAATTTTTGTGAATTCCCCTCACTAGCCATGTTTAATCAATGAATCAGTAATTTAAGTATTTCTTTAACCAAAACTAGGTGATCCGTTTTATTAAACATGGAACAAATTGAATACCATTAAAATAATGACGTTTTCGGTAAAACCCGAGGACTACTATGGTGCTCAAGATTCACAAAGTGACTGGCGCTTGAAAGAAATAAAGACTGTTTCAATTTAAAAGCTGGTCCAAGAGTGTTACTTTTTAAAGCTAAGAGTGTTTTACTTTTGATCACAGGGAACAAATGTAAACTTAGAATATAACTAGGAACACAAAAATTTGGGCGCGTTTCGTACAATTCCCTGAATTTCCACATATTTGACTTGGTGTTTAGAGACATTTTTCACTGCCAAAATTGTTCAATTTTGCTTTTAAAATTTGATGGACTACTTAGATAACTCAATATGGCGCCATTAAAGAGTTAGGTCTGTTAAATATCGTTTTAAATAGACGATTCAACTAATAAAGGCTTATATACTATTCAAAGTTGGATTAAGTACTTACAATATAAACAGCAATAAGCCGGGAAGTGGTCCTCGTAGAAGCATTCTCAACAGAAGACGGTAAAAACCGTCTCTTGTCTCAGCTCTTCGAGGCTAAGTCGCAACGACAAAGCCTTTTGAATAATTTTCGAACCCTTAAACTTAAAGTTTTGTTCAAGTTTAATTATTCATCTCGTTGCTTTGGAAAACACTCTGTAATAGCGTTTGTCGATTTGTTGCTGCTTTAAAACACGTTTGGTATCACAACAAGAGATAATTGTTCGTGATTTGACACAAACAACAAGACTGTAGATCGCAAGTGTTCACAATGGCTGTTCTTACCCCTAGAAAAAAGTTATTTTTCCTTTCAAAATGCTAAAATAAAAACAATATAGGCAAATCTGAGCGTCCACGTACAGGAAAACACGCACGCTAAAGACCGTACCCTCTTGTGATCTTCGATTATTAATCGGTTACAAGATTACAAAAGGAAAAGCAGGTGAAAAAAAAAATGTGTCAAGCAAATTTTTTTTTCGTTTGTCTTAAGAAAAGTGGCGTGATCTTTGTTGATTCCTGTGTAAGCTCAGACCCCCTCGTGGCAGAAGCACCATGTTCCAAGGAGGCCTACTGCTGCGCAGTCAGTTACGTTACTACTTCATTTATAACATCACAAGTCTATCAGAATGTTCAGTCCACCGGAGAGAAAGATAAAATTGCGAGTTTACGTAATAATACTTAAGATAAAAAGCAACTTTTATCTCTAACATTTCTTAATTTTCGAAGTTTTTCGTTTATTTTCAGCTTTTACCTAGAGGCCAACATGTGATATATAAAAGCAAACCTGTTTAGCAGTTGTCTAGATTTCTAAGCCTGTCAACGTTTTTACACAAAAAATAGGGTCTGAACTTATTAGATTTTTCTCACTTGAAAAAACAAATATCCAAAAAATTCCTAGCAAATAACAAAAAGATACACTCCTTTAAAGAGTCACTCAAAAAACGTGCTTGTTCGACAAAAGCAAAAACAAAAAAGCAAAACCAAGAAAGCAGAAACAAAAAAGCAGAAACAAAAAAGCAAAAACAAAAAAGCAAAAACAAAGAAGCAAAAACACCAGCGATGGAGGAATCGATGGCTTGCAGCCATAATCACTTCACTTTTCTTTAAGGAGTTTAGAAACGTTTTTTATTATTTTTAAGATGTACCAACATCGCGTTTACGTTCGTCTTTAAGAGAAGAGCAAATAAAAAACTGTTTAGATATCAATAGAACTGCTAAACAGGTAGAACACTGAATAAAAATTTTGATAACATTTATTTGTGAATAAATGTTTTGCTTACTTCTCCTGGATAAAAACGAGCAACAAATCGAAATAATCCAATCAAGAATATGAAAATTGAGGTTAAAGTTTCAAGACAGAGCTCAGTACTGTTATAAATAAAACTTCTTGAGTTGATCTTGCCGGCATTCTTTACTCCATGACGAAACATGGACGCGGACTCAAGGTGTTTGTAACTTGCTGTGAACTTATACGAAATAAGGAGATATGAAGGATTCAGCCGAATCGAATTTTTTTCAGCTCATTAGTGGACAATAATAACTTAGAACATAAGAAATAATAAAATAGAGCGTAACAAATTGTACTTTCGATAAAAAACTCATAGTTCCCAAGAAGACTCGAGTTAAGCTTACAATGCCATGCGCGACAACGAGACTGTTAATAAATATTTCCGACTACAATTTAACAGCATTTTAAAAGAGCAAACTGTGGAGAATTCAGCTGTATAGAAACAACACTTTAAACTCAAGGGTGATTTTGATTCACCTCAATGGACACAAAACTAAGGTAAAGTTTGTAACTTTCGTGTTGTAATGTTTATGTCGGTTCATTAGCGCCTCAGATGTCATGTCCTAAGTTAAACTTTATTTTACTCTCAAGATGTCAGCATTAAATCTTCTTACTGCCAGCAACACATTTTCTTAAATTAAACATTTTTCGTTAGTCATTCGGTTGCGCCTCTGATGTGAGGCACGTCGCGAAAATTTCGCGAAATTGGTCGATCGTTTAAAGATGTTTGAAAGACTGAACAAAAGTTAACTATTATGATAAGGATCTGGCTGTCTAGCGGGGTGCTTGAATCTTAGCACAAAATTACATCGCTCATGGCTGACTGGAAAACGTACTGATTAATATTCATGCCAGCTCTTCAAACAGAGTAACGATCTTTCATCTCAAAACGAAGGCAATCTATAAATAAAAAGGTACTCGTGATTTCAAGCTACAATAAGTGCATTCACTTTGAATTGACATAAGTTAACACATTTTTCATCTTTGGAAAAAAAAAAAAAGAAAAGAAAAAGGGACACGTACGTTTACTGGTCTGGCTCATTACCATTTGCGAGAAGCGCGAGACGATTGAAGAGAAAGGCATTTTTAGGGCCACGTTTTCGATCTGGTTAAGGTGAACTACATACTTCAACATAATTACTTCTCCCTTTTGGAACGAAAGTGTGGGGTTAAAAGGATCGAGTAATTAATTAATGAAAATACCATTTAGTTGGAAACCTAAAATTATTTCAAGACAGATACGACTTCTTAAATTCATGCGCTTTATTCAAATTTCTAAAAAAGGCAATTCTAAGACCTATTGGTTACCGAATGATCATGATTATTTTCTGATCATTCTAATAACAAATAGTTATATTCCAGTTGTTAGTTTTATTATGAATCCAGCTAGTTTAATACGGCTCTTCCGTTTCCCAGTTACATAAATTTCGACAACTGATATTCAACAATTTGGATGCATCTGTTAGCATGAAGACTTCAACATTCGGTGAGTAATTTTCCTTTTTTCTAAAAATTAAGTAATCTCTCACAGTCTAGAATTATGTACAGAAAGACAGAGAGTGCAGTTTATCCTACATTGACTGGATCCAACTATTGTGTTAAAAAATTCTACAATGTTGGTTATCAGTCTTATTGATTTGCGGTCTATTGTTACCCGTCCCTAAAATCTAGTAAGCTTTTCATCCATTTTTCCAGCTTATAAGATTGGAGCAAATCATATGATAGAAATATAGTGCAGGTTTTACTACCTGCTCATATTTTTCTCCACTGCTCTCCGGGAATCGAATTGGAAAAAGTGCCTTTCTTTAGCTTCTTTATAATGTTACAGTAATTGAAGCTTCCACTAGATCATTACTAACTCATACCCAACCAGAAGTAAATTCCAAGATAATGTGATTCTATCATCCGAGTAGATAATATAAGTTGGCCACCGTTAAGAGTTTCAGCTTTAAGCGAATATAATGTAATTCCAATCCGCCTGAGGACTGCGGAGAAAAAAAAAGAATTATGTTCATACTACAGTTTTTTCTTTCTGTACATTGTGTTGATCCTGCCACATAGAAAATAAGCTGATTGCGAAGGTTAGCTTAAGTGAATATTGCAGCAAGACTCTACAGCTTCTATCAATAATAATTCAAAACTTTTTTTTTGTTTCAACGTTGTTCAATCGTGAAAAAATTGCGCATCCCAAAGAGTCTTTTGTGTAGTATATTGACCGTCGACTTCCAGTTTCCTGCCAAGGTATAAATAGAACCCACAGTTATACATAGTAAAACACGCGATTTCGACTTCGGTTTTTCTCGCTCTAAAGACGATTGTGATTGGCCGATTAGCTATCACACGACCCTGCATAAAATTAATTGTATCCGAAAAGAAATGGTCACGGTTTTTGCTCGTGATTGGAGCGTGATTAAGGCAGGTGGTGTTATTGTAACGTGATACTTCTTCTCAGCGATTCCCGGCAATTTTAATTTGTCGCCAGCTCTCTGCTTATTATTGATAACAGAATGAAGCGACATCTGGCTGAGGCTTTTTCTACATTATCGAAAGCAAAAGTCGAAAAACTGGTGGAGCAGAAGAACTCCCAAAATACGATTCTTCAAAGGTACAGCTTAGTTTACAAAGTATGAAGTTGTACTATTATAAACATCGAACTAATTGCAAAGTTCAACGCTAGAAAGTTATTTTAATACTATTGAAACTTCGAAAAACTTGTAAAAACCGTTCGTAACATATTTTTGATGACGTTTTGACATTGCTTCACCTCATCACCAAGCTAGTAAAGAGTAAAAATTGATAAGTGAAAACAAATACAGTATTCAAACAGTGGATAAATTGTTTTCGCCCCTGTGGCTGTTGTTCCCAAAGATGAAAGAACAAATAACAATTAAGTGTCAGGTGAAGAGTTTGGCGCGAATCGTGACAGTTTGGGTGTTCAGCGAAGGCTTGGTGTCCCGAATAACAAACATTCCGTAGACCAGACAGTCAAACTTGCTGATACATTTCCTGTTAGGACTTTACAAAGGCGATCATCAGCTTCGCTTTTGTCTTACCCATATGTTGAGTTCTTTTCCGATTGCAGAGAGACGAATGGATCACACAAAAAGTTGAACTTTGCAATCTCTTATTATACTATTATAGAAGCTCGTTTTTTGCCTATTTACTAAGCTTGTCCTTTGCAATTATAACAAAGCACTTACAGTCTGGTGCCTCGGGACTCTCAGGAAAACGGCGATTAGATCACCTCTGATGAAGGCACTAGACAGGACTGTCGAAACGTTGGGTCTATAAATTGTAACTTCTCGGTTACATTCATTAAATCTTTCAACTAGAGTAGCATCAAACTATGTCTAGAAAGAAACTGTTTCCCTCGGAACCGGACACAAGTGTATGATAATATATCACAATAACACATCATGCCTCAAGGAATATTGGCTCTGGCAGAAGGTCAACATTTATTTCAAGCCGAACGAACTTTCGCTCTCGTGCACAGTCACAGTACCTGAGGCCGTTTATTTGAAAAATGCTTTCATCTCGTGCATTTTGGGTAAATATGTCATTTATCATTTTCACTCTTTTATTCTTATAGTTTCATCAAAGATTGAGAGTAATAACACTGGTTAAGATGGCAGTCCGAATTTAGGGTCAAATGAAAGAGTTTTCTTCTGTTCAACCGATTAAATAGCGTCACAGACTAAGCTTTTAAAATTTCAAATTACTTCGATCATTTAAACTACAATTTGATATAAAAGATTATATTTTCAAGGTCAGAGAGAACTGTAGGTACGCTGGTACTCATGTGATGAATCGGCGATGTAGAAATAGTGAACAAATATGCGATAGTTTGTAAATAGAAGATGAATGATGGAAGTATTAAGTTTTAATATGAACTTCGTAATGCACTTTGCTCACCATAAAGTCTCTGTGGCTCAGTGGTAGAGCATCGTAGCGTGGAATCTGAAGGTTTGGGTTCGGTTCCTCATGGGAACTTAGAATTTTTTCTTTGTCCCACGTTCGTGACCAGACGAAGAAAAATCTTTCTCTAAATATGCAATATTTGGTTGGCTGTTATGTTCTTTAGCGTGTCATAGGCCTGATTACCTTGATGACTGTAACAGTGTAAATGGTATTTAATACAGCGAACCAAAAAGAGGGAAAAGAGAATCAGAAAAAAGGCCTAATCGCTCAGAAAGCAGAGGAGTTTTAGTTAACTGTATTCCCATTAAAACTACTGTTACAGTTGTAGCGTGAGTCGTTCTGGTTGATTGACAATCGATAAATATAGGATCACGTCTTTCGAGATGAAAACCGCTTAAATTAAGTAATGTCGGCCTAGCACACTTCTTTTCACTCGTGATACTTCGTGCCTCGTATGGATCTTCGTGCTCCGAACATGACTCGTGCGGAGAGGTTTGGTAACCGATTGATGTCGCTGTATTCAGCGGAAAGGATGTATCTCAGGACAGTGTTTGAACTTGCCATCAGAACACTCTCTTTAACAGCTTTGAAAGAATCAAAACCTAAGGCTGTATGTTACGTGCTTTCTTAATTCCTTTCTAGCACTTTTAATGAGTTTTCAATTTTCTCTGCTGATAAAACAAGACCCGAGTGTCTCAATCTGCCGGGGCTTCTCTCGGTTTCTGACGCATATGGTGATTATCCAATGAAGGGGATGCTCGTTTCAGCCCCCTCCCCTCCCCCTATTTTCAGTTATACACGAATCACGTAGCAAATCATGGCTGGGTTGTTCAAATCTAACTTAAGATAACCTAGGAAAGCTTTCAAAGAATATTCTTTTTGTCTACAACTTGATGCTTGGATGCTCTAAAAAGAATAGAGGAAATTATCTGAAAAAGGCTTGTGAAGAAAGAAATACAGAAACCCAGATTAACTCTTAACCCTGGGTTAGTGCTAATCGGCTTTCGAATAACTGGGCCCATATCTCTTAATACGCTTTATACCAATTGAAGGTTTCTCATCATTTGTTTCAGGTAAGTGTTGGCGCTTGGTGCTCAGAACCATGACCGCAACACAATACAGAATGTTCTCAGTTAACAATCCGTGGTCCCGTTCTCGGATCATCGCAGGATTCATTTTCACATCTGCAATTCTCCTGATAGTAAGCTTTTCCGTCATAGACTATAACTCTTGGCCACGACTAGCCTATGCATCGACCAGCCTGAAACATACTATACCACGAACGACCAGAGGTTACAATCGATTACAACCCCTCATCGACATGTTTTACAACGCGTCAAAAGGCAAAGTGTTGAATGAACAAAGGCAAACCTCTGCCCTTGGAGATAAATGGCCATCAGTGGCGCATTCCACGTTGAATATGAGCAGTTTGCAAGAAGTCGATAACAAAGTATCTGTTCTGTTATTGTTGATTGTTACCACGGCTCCTTCGAGATTTGACAGAAGAGAAGCAATCAGAGCAACGTGGTGGAAAAACTGCGATGGAGCTGAGGTGAGTTCTAAAAGGCCATGCAAAAAAATTATCTCCTTTCAGTTGGAAGGAGAATTCAGTACACTTAGCCAGAGAAACACAAAAGCAGGTTAAGTCTTCGCGATACCCAAGTTATTCGTGAGCATGCTTAGACGATTTCAGCATATCACGGCCTTATTTGCATGAAGTGACCTATGGGACTGTCTCTCTCTTTGAGACGCTACTCACTGAAGGTAACAACAGCGTGCCGGTAAACAGTGGCATGACTTTGCTGCACTAGATCAAGGTTTGCGCATGACAGATCATCGATTTGTTACGCGTTGAGATTCCATAGTTATCGCTTCCAGCGTCCGCGGTTCCTTTGACAAGCGTCGCAAATCGAAACGCTGACCAAAGGGGTCAAGAGCGCAGGAAGTAGTAATGGTCGAAAGGGAAGGGAAATCGCAGATGAGGCCATACTCAGCTTTGTATTTATCATTATTCCTTTTCCTCCTTCCTTTCTGTGCTTTTGTTTGCTTTTCAGGTCATGTGCAAGTTCTTCACTGATGGTCTCCAGTTGACTAAAGAGCTACAGAAAAATCTCTCCGCGGAGCAGAAGATTCGCAGGGATATCGAGTTTATGCCATTTGAAGAAACAAGAATTTTTGGAATACGCTTCTTGTACCAGATAATGTGGGCGAAAGCAAAATATGAATTCAAGTTTATGTTACACATGGATGACGACTACTTTTTATGCTTGGAAAAACTTAAATCGGAGTTGTACCACAGACCGAAAAAATCACTAGTTTGGGGTTCATATCACTGCTCATTTAAAGACATCATTTATGTCGATGAAGCGTGGATAATATTTTCTTCGGACGTTATAGAGCAGTTCCTCTCTCAAGATCCACAAACCATTTTATGCCATCCACATAGCGATCAACAAATTGCAGTTTGGCTCAGTACTTTGTATGGCAGTAAGAAGAGCTTGATAGAATTTCACGATGGAAGGCTTCACCACTACCCGCCAGCAAGAAAACTAGACAAATTCAAGAATTTACCACAGGTTTGTGACAATTTCCTTGGAGTGCACGGAAGCTCGCCAGAAATGATAAAAAAGTTTGGGCGCAACAGCGCTGATAGGCGTCGTATTTTAAAACTTCCAAAATTAACTCGTATAACGGAGACGTGCCATTTTCCTAACGTGTTTAACATCTCTAAAGTTGCTGGAATGTATCAGTTTGATTTGAGACCGTGTATAACAAACCCACGATGGACACCCGGTGAAGGAATGTGGCGTGGTTCACAATGAGATCAGCAGCAGAAAAAGATTAGCATAAAGAAGAGAAACTGCATCGATCTGACCGCCGAATGACTCCGTCTTGTGTCACATAACCAAAATCGTCCTTCTAAAACGGATTCATTTAACAATAAACTAGAGGAGGAAACTCAGATGTAGTGCATACCATTAACATCGCGTTCTGCTAGGCTTGGAAGAGGTGTTAATCATGTATTATGTTCGTAAGAGCAATTTGTAATGGAGTGTCGCAAGTTACTCGAGATTGCACTAACTCTGCTGTGATTGGTGTAGAAAACTCATGCCACCCTCTCAACCAATCAGATGCAAAACTTGAACCAATCGAGACTAGGTTTCTCGCGTTTTCCCGCCCTTCAGACAGTAGGCCCATTTTTACCTTGAGATTTCATTGGCTCCTTATGAGATTTTCCTTTGTTCTGGTGGGCTGTTGTGATTTCTTTTCCACGAATAGCAAGTAGCCTCTATGACTGCGTCTGTTTCTGTTTACAGACCCAGCTTCCCTCGATTTACAACTCCACAATTTGAATAAAATAATCAAAAATTTACCTCGGATGAAATTCAAGTCAATATATGATCCTTGAAGGGTAAACTACAATTTAGGCAATTTCAGAAAAGAAGCCTATCAAAATTCCAACTTCGAACCCCCCCTCCCCCCCTTACCTTCCCAGATACTATAGTTGGGCGTTACTACCAACTGAGCTGAGCTACAAAGCCTCATGTTGAGAGCAAGGGAAATTTTAGTGGGTTCTTCTTTCCCGTCAACAGAGGAGTCCGGCCTGTTTACTCGACGCTGAAAGCGGCATTAACCATTCCCAACGCCTCAGACCGCGGCATGAAATTTTTACAATAAAATAAAACAAAGTCAGCATACCATTTACTTAAAAAAGCAACTCTTCAGTTTATGTCTAGATGTTCACGTCATGGAGTCCTTCCGTACGTGCTCTATAAAAAATTGAAATTAGTTCTCATTAAATAACTGGAGAGAAATCGGTTTGAATGGATATTGGAGGGCCTGAGAAGTTCTACTTTCCTTTTTCTGATAAGAAATATTTCCACTCTCAGATGACACTATACTAACTGAAATAACGTATTGCTATCATAAAACAATGCTAGTGCGAGATGTTTTCACCAATATGATAGGAAGTTTCTGCGGATCAACTTTGCTAGACTCCAATAATGATCGAAGGCGCTACTTAATGATGATAACCATCTACTTCTAACGGATATGAAAACTAAATATATCTATGACTTCAAATAATTTAAAAACCCTTCAGATCTAACCAGACATTCGCTATTTACAAAAGCTGTTAGCAGCTATTATAGACATAATGATGATGGTAATAAGGGTATCATGTTACTCCTGATCAAAATATTTGCGTCTTTCTAACGAATTAATTCACCGGTTACCTCAGAAATTTAAATGATGATTGGTTAGTTTGCATTTCATGAACTCGTTCATCAAAAGACACTATTGTTAGCTTTCACGACTTCTCAGAAATTCCCAGGGCGATAAATGCCTTAGATCAATTACAACTGCACTGCAAATTTCAGACCCGGGAAAGGAACTCACACAATAGCATAGTAATCGTAACATAATACCTGAAGGTGGTCAGGAAGTGTGAAGTTTTTCACAGGACTTGAAAACAGTAATCGCCAGGCGCCATGTTTTAAGAAATCGTGGCAATCCAACCACGGTGGAGACTGGATCCAGTGAGCAAAGATGCATAAGGTCTCCTCTACCACCACACCCTAAGGAAAAACAACTCCGTGTTCCGAAGTATGGGAGTTCGCGAGTCTCCTTCGTAATCGTTGTTTGAACTCATGAGGACAAAAACTAGCTGTGTGGTTAGTCCAGACAAATTGAATATCTTGCAGAGAGTGCGAACTCTTCTTTGTTTATTCACTTCTTTCCTCGATTGTCGCATTCTGGTGTGAGTATTACAATAAATCCGCAACACTTCGTAGCCGAGCCCGACCTCATTTCAGAAACAATGTCAAATTTTCTCTTCCCACTCCCCACCCCTCTCCCCATCCGTTTAGCTCCACCAAGCTGTGCTTACCTTCCTCTGGGGAAAGGTTAGCAAAGACAGAGTCTTTTTTTCTCTCCTAAACACAATTATATCCAATAAACGAATAAAGAAATACTGGCACACACAAAAGAAAACCAAAGTAAGAAATTAATTTTTATTTTTCTCAATCTCTCTCATTTTACAAGCTGCTACAAACAGGAACAAGAATAACATGTCTAAAGCTATCTTAACAAGACCCTTCCCCCCATACCGACAAAGAATCACAACAAATCCCTATGAATCAAAGGAAAAAAAGTGTTTAACATTACAAATTGAATTTTAAGAACCCTCCTTAAGAGCTGAAGTGAAAAATTGAATATACATGAATCTAGCACCCCTGTAAGTTTTACAAATAAAACTGATTGATCAACCTTATTTTTTCAACAAATCAATCAAATCTGTAACCATATTGAAGGGCAAAACCTTTGGTCAATTCAAATTGTCAAACCAGATGTGACAACAAATAAAACCCCAATTTGAATTTACTTCCAAAGTAATAGAAGAAAACCTATTGGTTTTAATTATTAACTTGCTTAAAAACCACAAATCAAAGAGATGATTCATTAACTTTGAGAAGAACTTTTTAAGCCCTAAATTTCCAAGAAAGATCAGCTATTAAAGTAAAATAGATGAACTGAAAAAAAACCCTTAGGAGATCTGAATACAAGGATCAACAAATATTAAATTAAATCTAACAAGAACAGTAGATGTAGAGGCAATAAGATGTCTAGCACCCAAAGCACATATTTCAAATTTTTAAAATACAGAGGCCACCCTTGCCTTTAATCCTTTTCACCTAACAAAAATCAAGTAATTTGTGCGTCAAATCCAGAAAAAAGCAAAACATAAATCAAAATGAAAAAAGAAAACAGAAAATTCCCAAGTATATAATTCCAATATTTTGAATTTCCCTATTTAAGTGATGGTTTATCTACAATGCTAATGAAACAGATCCTAAAATGTAGGAAATTTTGATGTTTTCATACTAGAGAACAAAAACTTCAAAAAAGGAATCCTTCACTTTGATTAGGCAATATGTTACTTTTAAAATGTTAATTGCATTGGAACGTGTGCACGTACAGCTGCATGTACATAAAGGTCAACTGACTTGAGTTTGAGATGACTTAGGCATGATATGGAGCAACCTGTAATCTAACAAGCTTTTTTTGCACTGCCAAAATTTGAGTTCCCACCAAAAAAAGAATGTGTGATCACAGGTTAGATTCAGATGCTCAGTTAGATGATCTTGTTTTAGCAAAAGATACTCTGAGGTGATTAGATTCTGTGATTTTGTAGTTGTGCATTTTCTGTTGGATGGGGAGAGAAAAAGAGGAAAATTAGTAAATCTACAAGAAGGAACTACTAAACAGTTCTATAATGCACTTTTCAATACAATACATAATATAAAACTCAACCATTTACACCCTAACATCAGTATGCATATTCTCCATACTGTTCTCTGTACATTTCCAAAGGTGCTGACAAGGAGAATTTGTTAAAAAATCAAGAGCTTCTTCAGCTGGTGGTCATTTATCTTATTCTCATGACCTTAATGTTTCATTGTGAGGTGATTTTCTAAAGGGAAATTAGATGCTAGTCACCCTCAGGGGTTGAAGGATTAACAGCCATTGCAGGGGTTTCAATAACTTTTTCTATTTATGAGCAGTTGCAGATGGTGTAATAGGCAGCTGTGCCCAAGAAAGGGCTGTAAGGAAAAGCCCAAACAAAAGAGCTTGCTCACAAGCTAAACAAACTGCAGCATGAGGTCTTGCAGGAGGCAGTAGAGTGCTTGTAACCAGCCGTTATTGAAACCCCTGAATTTTTATTGAAGAGTGGATTATGATACACAACACAAACCAAAGAAAATCATTCCAAACAAATAGGTGGAAACAATGCATGTAAAATTCAAACATCTGAAATGAAAAAAATCAGAGTGCTCAATAAAACTTACAATAAGAGCATCAATTGCCTCTTCTATTGTTGTCATAGTCACCAGGGCCATTTTTCGGTCTTTCCTGAAGAGCAAAACAAAAGAAAAAAAAAATGCCACTAATTACAACTCAGCAAAACATTACACAAACTAAGCAGCATCTTGCCATGAAAATGAAGTCACAGAACTTATGACACATGCACATACATATGTATAAATTCCACCATTACACATATTTTATCACTTACGCAAAGAAGCGGAATTCTGTTACTGTTCCAGAAACAGAGAAAGCATCTATTAATTCTTCTTCTGTAGCTGTGTCACTGAGGTGAAGATCGTAAAAAAAAAGTTATTCTCAAAATTGTTAAATTCCTATGCTGACTATTTTTGTTTCCACAAACTAATTCTGTAAATAGAGAAGAGAGGAAAGTGTTCCAGGTACTCAGCAGTTGCATAGCATGCAAACATTTACTTACGGTATATTTGATACATGAAGTGTTCTGATAGGAGGGAAAATGTTCTGGAAGTTTTTGGATCCTGGTTTCTTGAAGCGATGTAAGGGTGAATTGGTGAAATCTTTTGTTAGATTATTTTCCTAAAAATGCAAAAAACAACATCTGCTAAAATACTTTCAAATATAATCTGTGAATTCATTAGGGAAACCTGATATTGATTACCGTTATAGAAAGAAAATTATTGGTCCATCTTCTTCAATTCAAGTACAGCTGTAAGATTGTCCTGAAAGAACCTAAATTTTGTAACAATGACACCCACATAACTTTAAAGCAGCTAAACCATTTCACTCCCATTAGTTATTCTCCTGACTGTCTTCCATGCAATTCTCATGATATAAATTTGGTATTGGATCAACTAATAATCCCCTAATTAATACTTTTCTTTATTTTCATCACTTGCCTGCTTGGTATTGTACTGATATTGTAATGAGAAATACCTTAATGAGAAATACTGTCCCTAGTAACTGATGGGAGTTAAAGGATTAAAGAAAATGATAAAAACAGGCTGTCTTACATCTCCATCCTTAGGCATGGAAACATAGGTGTGTTTTGACAAAGTCACTTTGATTTCTTTTCCATACATAGAGACTCCACTCAGATTTCTGATTGCTGGAATGGACAACAAGAAAAGCATTTTCAATTCACCACCAAAACTAATTTAGGATAACATAAGATTTCACTGAACTTCACATTATATTTGGTATAAAAGACTCCTACCGCCTTCTCAACAAAACCAATGCAAAACTATGTTGAAGATCAATCAGCACTTGGTCACTAGAGTCTAACCCCCCCCTTGCCACTGTTTGCTTGTTTTTACTTTGAATTCCCATTAGTTTCTTCAAATGTTTTCTTTTGTTGTTTACTATAGTTTTGGTTTGATGCCATTAATCACAACGCATTTAGTCTCAAAACACTATCATTACCTGTCTGGGCTTGTTGAGGATCGTTAAACTGGATTAGAGCTGTGTCTTTCTTGTTAAACAGAATCTTTACACGGATTACGTCACCATAATTACCTACAAAGTAAAATATAATGTTGTCTTTTCAAGTAGACCTTAGGGGTAAATTAAACAAGACATTGTACAGAATAACAGATCCCAAGTTCAGAAGGTCATATCTATATTTCTGTTTCAGGGTTGTAAATGACTACTATTTTGTTTATATGGGGTATAAATGCAAATCAATAGATGGAGATGTTTACTTTTTTTAAGTCAACATAGGGGTACTGAATTATCAACAAGTGTATTTGTGAGTCATACACACACACACACACACAGAGAAGAGATAAAATTTTTATCTCCACAGTCTTAATTTAAAGCAGAAACTGTTGCAATCACTGCAGATACAGACTATTAACCCTTTCACTCCCAGAACTGAACACAAATTTATTCCACCATTCAGTATCAATACATTTCAAGCAGAAAGGTGATTGGAAGAGGGAAAACTATCAACTAAGGGATATTGTTTAATTTACAGTGTTCTCTCTTATTTTAAGCAAAACAGGTAAAGTAAATTTCCAAACCAGTGGAGCAATATTTTTACCCATTGAATATTCAAGAATTCCAAGCAATTTAAGGGGGTAATAAGAGGCATGACAGGCAGTAAATTAAACCAGTTACCAACTGAAAAGGAGAATACTGATCTAGCGCTAAATTCTCAGAGCGAAAAATAATGAGGAATATGTGACATACAGCACAGAGAATTGATAATTACACCATGGGAGTGAAAGGGTTAATTTACATACATAGGTCAATAAGTGCAGCATACTAGTCAAATACTATGGAGTTTGTGGAAAAAGTCATGGTTTGTAAATAAACTTGCCAATACATGGTCTTGTAGAGTGACCCAGAAAAGAGTTAGAAGCATTAGTTATTTGATGAAACAGCCCAAAATAAAACAAAACATAAAACTATAAAATGATAAAACATGAACAAGCTATATCAATATGGAGATTTATCACCAAAAAAAAAAAATTCTTTAACCATGGAAAACAAAATGAAAAAGGAAGGCTTAGGATGACAGAGACTTTGGCAAAAAGACATACCAAACAGAGTGAAAAGCATGTCACAGTTTATCTTCTAGAAAATGGATTCCAAGTGGCGTGAGTAGCGGACAGCAAGAGAGAGAAGGGGGTGACCATCAGTCAGCACCGCAAACACAGCATGGAAGGGGAAAGAAGGAAAAAAACAAAAGATGAGTTTAAGTTTCAGAAAATCCAGGCTGTAGGTATAGCTATAAGAGAAAGAAAGAGGTTAAGACTCAAAATAAAATAAGGAAATTAAAATAATGTCTGTTATTTACATGTAGGAACAAGGAAGAAAACAAAATAAAAAGTATAGCAATGAAATGAAAATAGACCTTGGGAATGAACGTTCTGATAACGTCAAGAAGAAACATTATTTTATCTCCAAAATTCAGTTATTCCATGGCATGACAGCATAAATGATATGAGATAATTTTGAATGTTCTTTAGCTGAGTATTAGAATTACAGGTCAGGAGATTGCTCAGGACCAACAAGTGATGTACTTAAATGATAAAACCAGTCATTAAGCTGTAAAAGAATTCCAAAGACACATTTAAATCAAAAGACCTCACACTATTCAAAGGTTTTTGGTCAACATTTAAGGTAATTAATGACAGCAGCCATTTAAGTGACCCAAGAGGATGATTTATCTGATTCGTGGCCTACTTTCAAGAACTGTGCCCATGAATCAGTAAAAAAAAAAAAAAAAAAAAACCCGTAAGAAGTTCTCTTTTGGTCACACACCATGGTATTAAAAATGCCACTTTACTCATTAGTGCATTGCTCCACACAATGCAACCCTGATTGATAGAGCTTGAGCAATAGCCTATGAAGTCTCTACCTCTTCATTTAAGTTGCTAACAAGGACAACAGGAGACCCTCCCATGTTCAATCCTCCTCTGCCGCCTGTGGCACCAAAGAAACCTACAAACAAAATCATTTGAAATTAGTTCATAGATAAATAACCCATCAGCTAAAGCTTCCTTAGTATGAATATTCTCCATTCTGTTCTCTATACATTTCCTTGGGGGCTGACAAGGAGAATTTGCTTAACAATCAAGAGCTTCTTTATTTGGTGATCATTTCTTTTACACTAGAGACCTTAATGTTTGATTCACAATCAGGGGTGATATTGTGAGGAGAAATTAGATGCTAGTCACTCTTAGGGGCCAATGGGTTTAAAGTAAAAAATGGAAGCAGCAACAAGAATTTTAACTAACAATGTTAGAAATATATAAATTTACATAAAACAGTTCTTCTTCCAAATGATAATGGGGAGACTGCTTAGCAAAGTTGTTCTAAAAAGCATGGATCAACATTTTTAGAGAAAATGAGATGATATCATTGTCTTCACTGAAACGACTCGTGTCTTCCACTCAAGTTGTTTTCTGAGTTAAAAGTGATCTGATCTCATATATAATAACATCATGTTTTTCTTACTTGCTGGAAGTAATCCTCCTTGAGGGAGAAGACTCAAAAGAGCTGGAGCTCCCATCAGACTAGCACTTCCAGCTGCACCACCAGCTGAAAGGAATAATAAAAATTTAGCAAACCTTGATGAGGAAAGATGAAAAAAAGGTGCATGTTTGTAAAGAGAGGATATAATGATATATTCTGTATGCAGATGAAAATGTTTTCTTTACCAAGAAACATTGGACATATTAATGATAAAGAAGGAACTCACTGAGTAAACCAGCAAGATCAGCTCCACTAAAAGGGCTGTCATTGGGACCTGAGGGAAGATCAGGCCTGGTGTAATCTCTGCACAAAAAAAAAATTGTTCAAGATAGTCAACTCAGTAATAACTTAATCAAGTCCATTCCTTATTCAGTGAGTCAGGATGTAAACAAGGCATAGTTTAAACCAGTCTATGTGGCTGTTTCTAATGAGTGGGTGTGTGCCTATGCATATCAGGGGTTGGAGGGCACTGCAAACAGCTGCACCTTCCAGCACATATGGGAGGAGGTAGTTCATGCCTTGCTTGCCATGGCAAATAAATACAAGTAATGACAATTATACAACTCTTACTTGCTCTTATCATTGTTGTATTTCACTGTCAACGTGGTCAATTTGGAGAATTCAAGATGCAAGGTGCAGCAGCCATTGTAAATATTTTGTCCATCAAGTGTCTAAAAAGAGGAACAAAAGCAAAGCAAAATTCAATAAATATCAGTGTCACTATAAGATAAAACAAATCCAAAAAATAAAACAAATTTTGACTGATACACTACTTACAACTTTTGCCAGCTCTGCTTCAGTAACAGTGGTGAACTCTATTAGCGCCTGAAACTGACCTAAGAAGTGACATATTAAACATCAGAGTTTACTAATAAATCAGTCATTACCATACACAAATACATAGGAATTCTATAGCAAATATAAAGTTTGATCCAGTAAACAAATGTTACCTACCATTTTTTGTAAAGGTCACAATCCTAAGAATAGTCCCTAAACTTGAAAATATCTGTTGAGGAAGCAAAAATTCAGATCTCAGAAACTGTCAACTAACAAATTAGTTAGGTAATTAAGTTATTTTTGATGAAAAACTAAAAACAATCAAGATTGGTTGACTACATTTTCCTATTTCCTGGCTTGTAGTTTCTTTCTCATACATAATATCTAAAGTACCATTCAAAAATAAGTTGACACTCTCCAATTGAAACTATATCCTAAAAATTATTGAGAATCAAGGATCAAGAATTGAGGATTCAGACACTTGAAGAATATTTCGAGGATCTTGATTTGCAGTCTTAAGAACATAATTTCATTCTTGCACTCCAAAACTGGCTCTACAATATTTCCCTTTATTCTGATTGGATATAATAATTACTTCATTGAATAATTTGGTTTTAGTTTTAGGAGACTCAAAATTAAAACATGTATTGAGTAAGATACTATTCCTCAATGTTAAAACACAACTTTACATACCTTGTAGAGGACTTCAACAGTTATTGGATACCACAACTTGTCAATCACTGCTCTGATGACATTGCTTTTATTTCCTGTCACAACTTTGGCGGCAGCAGCAGCAAGAGCTCCCTGTCCATCTGCTGAGTAAGGATAGTCTCCACCAGCTGCAATGATTTTTGAAGTCTGGGGCAAAAAATGCAAAGCAAAATATATGACTGACAAATACATAGCTAAATAACCAAAAGAGTCTCTTGCTATTACAAGATGCTTACCCCAGAGGAATGCTGAGAGGGTTCTGTCTTCAACTCAGGATGATTTGAATACTGCACATATACCACTTGACCTCTAGCAATAATAAAAAGAAAATACATAAATGTGCTGATATAACTGACCATGGCTTGAGTTCATATTAAGTTCTATCAATAGACATTGTTTCTGTTTGTATCTTTTCTATGAAATCCAGACTAATCTATCTAGAACATAATTACTCCTGCTCACTGTGAAGATAAGAGGGGTGATGTTTCAAAGCTTTCTTTGGATATTTCTCTAAAAAATTGCCATAAGTTTTAGTGATCCAAGGAATTGTGTATATTTCTTTATTCTTGCATGTCTAACCTACATAGTGGAAATATCCTCCTCCATACTACTTGAATCACACCAATGATTACCTATCAGGCCACAAACACGATTTTCTGCTAAGGGACACTACACTGCTGTTTTGGAGACAAGTCAGGTCATTTAATATTTTTCTAAAAAATCAACAGTCAGTCAATTATCAAGGGCTTCATTCTGTGCACCCCTTAAATTTCTACTTTTTCTTGACAAATGGGGAGAGGGGCACATGTATCCTACAAACTTCCTCCTTACTACACGGTTGACTCATCTGCTACAGTAGTAGACACCTTGAAAATAGGACAGATACTTTACCTGATGGTTGGTGATATATGTGAGTAATAAGTGAGAAAGTTTGCAGCTGTTTGTTTGTCCTCCATTTCAATAAAACCCTACAACAAATATTTACCAATACCTGTTAACATATTGAAGACACAGTTGGGGTTCAAATACACCTTAAGTTTACGTAAACCGCAACAGCCCACAACTAGTAAAGGTGATACCAAAAAGTGAAAGTGGTTATATCATTGCCTAACATTTTACAACCTGACATCAGTATTCAAGTTCTCCAAACTATTCTCTATACATTTCCTTTGGTAATTACAAGGAGAATTTATTTAATAATCAAGAACTTTTTGAGTCTGCAAAAACTTTCTTTATTTCCATGACCTTAATGTTTGATTCAGAGGTGATTTTGTTGGGAAAAATTAGATGCTTATCACTTTTTAGGGGTTAAAGGGTTTATAGAAAAATCATCCATCAAAATCTTACCTGTCGTTTAGTTTTTAATAAAAGGACATTTTTTACTCGTCCAAATTCCAGTCCAAGTGCAAGAAGCTGTTGCCAAAAAAAAGAAAAAAAAAATTTATATATATTATTATGCATATCACTGCAAATTAAACCATACTAGGCAAAAGACAGAATAACAAAAATGACAGTTAAAACTGTGCATACCTCTGTATCATTAGCATCAACTGGTACATTTCTAACATGGATCACTTTTGATGGAGCATTTTCAAATCTTGCCTAAAGGAGACAGTTAACATGAACCAGTAAATTCAAAGCTTTGAATCATCTTGAAGACCAACAAAAACAAATAGGTCATGAATATAATTAAAGATATTAAGGTTAATAAATATTCAGGGTATCAATTTCTTGACAGGCTCAAATAAGTACAACACAAAGTTTGAGATCAAATGACATTAACTCTGAAATAGCCAAAATTTAGGGAAACTGGAATACCTCAAAATAGTTTCAGACACAAGATTTATCACATGAAAGGGTCTAAAAAAGTATTTTAATTAAACATAAGAATCTATTATTATTGCAGTTGATTTAAGTTACACAATCATAACTTGGGCAACTCCTCTATAGGGTTGCATGATTTACTAAACATAAACCAGCTTTGAGATAATTCATAAAATGCCCCACTAAAAACAAACACACTTAATTCAAGCATTGATGTTTTTTTAAGCACTTAAAACATACCTTTTTCTGGTCCCCCATAAGGCCTGAAAAACAATTTTAAAAACAAAATAAATTTATCAACTTCCTGTGATCAACTATGATCTCTTGTAAAGCTTTGTTGTTTGATCATCCAGGTGAGAGAAGTTTTAAAAAGCCTGTTGTCGCAGACAGTGACAAATATTTTAACTCTGATGAAGACTTCTGCCCAAGTTGTCCCAACAACCATGTGACAGACAACAGTCTTTTTAAATGCTACTCTCACCCTTACAACGAGACTACATGATAAACTATTTCTCCTGGGTTCAACCCAGTTAACCCTCTCACTCTCATGATCTCAATTTCAATTCTCCATACTGTCTCCTACATATTTCATAAACATTTAGCTCTGAGAATTGGGTGTTAAATCAGACAATGACTGCTCATTGATCTGTTTCTATCTTCTCAACATCCTTCTGCTCAAAACTATATAAAATTGTAGGGGGAAATTCTGTTTTGGTCACTCCTGGGAGTAAAAGGGTTATTGTAAAGTTCTTAAATGAGTTCCAGTAGAACATAGTGGTTGGGGTAATGACTAATTTAGCAGAAATTCTACACTTGTTTTCCATCTATCTTCCAACAATTCACAATCAAAGAGAATAGAAGAGAAGGATTCTAGAGTAACTGCAAGGGTATACAAGAGAATTTGTTAAAAATATTCCACATTAGGGGAAGTGGGTATTAAAAAGGGAAGAAAGCTGACCTGCTATGCTCAGAATTTCTTCAGCTGTACGCTGCAAAAAAGGGAGAAAGAAATGATACAAGTCAGGCATCATAAAATAAACAGAACATCAAAAAAACCAATATCAATTTTGACTAGCTGTTCAGTATCAAACACTATTATTGTATCAGCTGCTGCATCTAGTTGGCACAATGCATGAGTTAAATGATAGGAATCCATATTTTCAACTTTGTCTTTCAAAAAAGTACAAAGTGAAGGGATTTATAATGAATACAAGAGTTGTCTTTAGAAGTGGCCTGAAAGCAATCATCACTAACATTTTATTCAGGCAGTTTCAAAATAATTAGGACTTTTTTTTTATCAGCCAGACAATTGAATAGTTGTCGCAAAGGAACTAATCTAGGAACTTCATCTAATATTTACTTTTCAAAAATGATTGCCTCCAGCTTAGTGAGTGATTCGGCCTAGGTTTATTTTAGAAAGATCTTTTGATGTCTTAATTTCACTCCTCGATGAGAGTAAACAACCCTAAGCAAAATTACATCTCCCCCAAAAATTGCAAATTATTTTACATCTAAAGTCATTTTCCGCAAGGAAAACTTTTAGTACTTTCCTTGCGGTATCCCGTTTCAAACGACCGCTAATTTATTCGCTAATGTATTGCAATTCGTAGAATATCCAGCTACATCATTGTGTAAACAATTATCATCGGCGATTATCGAGACATGTTCCACCAAAGAGAGCTCGAATTTTCTGCAACTTTCGGGGAAACGTGCCTCATATTTTGGCACACCTTTAATAATCATTTCAGACAAAAGGCGAACGTGATACTGTTATGGAAAAATAGAACAAAAACACCCTAAAAGGTGCATTAAAAATTCATAGAAAACAAAGAGTCATGGGGATACTTCACGAGCTTAAGAATGCTTTTCTTTCCACGATTAATTTCGTCCGCAAGAAATATTGCTGCTACAAGGGCGTGTGAACGATTTTTTTCAGAAACAAAAGAATTTCCTTCGTTTGAAAAAGCTAGCGAAAAGTTTTACGCAAATGTAGCGTTTTTGGGTCGTTAGATAAGCTTTGTCAATTACCAAACAGTGACTAATTGATACCACGCAAATCGACGGCCCATGAGCGAGGTAGTAAAAAAAAAAGCAGCAGGAAACAAGACTTCAGTTTTATTTCCTCGGACTTCATTTCGTGAATTCTAAAACATACGAGGAGTCTCTCAAGGAAGACAGCAAATAGTTAAATATTACCAGTTCTGATTCTTTTTAAATGTAAACAATCCCCTTGAAGAATTAAAATTGTGTCGATTTCATGAGTAGATGTTACTGTGGGTAAGGGCTTTTGCGCCGTTTCACGAATGAATTCTGCGAAGGTCACGACAAACATATCTTACAACAAGGTTTCAAACATTAGAGAGTCATTCCATAAGTTTCCACGGAAAAATACGACGAAACCATACCTTTGTAGCCTAAGCGAGATAAGGAAATCAACATTAATCCCTCTGAAAACAAAACGATAAACGTAGTCTAACCGAAAGGGACCGCAGATCGAGAAATTGATTCTTACGAAAAAAAATATTTTGATGTCATTAAGCTTTTCTTTTATCAATAATAATAAGGCTGTATCTCTTACTCAACATTCTTACTCGAAAGTAATCACATCGACGGAAGTTAAAAACCCGTTGTCGTTTTCGCAGTCGATTCATTTCACTAACCACAGCACATGGCCTCGACGCGCAGGCCAGCCTACCTTCGTTCCTGTAGCAGAGGGTATCCCAGCCAAAGCTGCGACACTGGTCATATTCTGTTGGAAATAAAGCGGAACAAAGAGCGATCGAAACTTGCACAAGTGTGAGAAGTCACTTCTAAAACGTCAATTTCAAAATAAGGCAAACCTCGAGCGTTGCTCAGTCACAGGAACAAGATGGCGGGTGATTGGAATTTGCAAATAAAAACACGTGAGGCACTGTGGGATGGAACTCGTGAACATGAACCAATAGCATTATGCAATTATTTCACGTGACTGAAATGCCATTTGAAATGTGGCAAAACTTTTATTGTTAGCTTTATCATTTGAAGTTATTATTATGACTTCTTGTTATTAATTATTAATTCCTGGGCCACAAAAGTTGCCAACATCTCTGCGACCGACCTCACCTGCGTTTAATTTCTACCAAAAAAGCATCCCAAAAACTTTCAACGCAGTTTCCCTTTCCTTGATGATCAACAATACCAGCCCCTGAGTGTTTTTTTTTCGATATTTTCGATCTTCATGACGTCTTTGTCCTGGAGAATTTTCTATATATTACGATTGAGCGAAGAAAATTATATACCAGTTCAATCTAACAGTGGGCAATTAAATGCAAATTTGTCGAGCGATATTTTTTAACGTAACAATATTGAGTAACTTTTCTCACTATCAATTCCGATAGAAGAGTTTTTTTTTCAACTCAAAAAAGAAATCAGAGGTCAACAAGGAGACATGCCAAGGCCGCGCTGTTGAAGCAGAGATACCCAAAGGGCTGTCTAGTATTCTTGCGTGTTTTTAAAGACCGTCCTAGAAACAAGTTAGCAGGTGGCCATGAAGGACACTGACCGCGCTACAGCAATAAAACAGCGTGAAGCAGACATGAAAGAAACATGTGCACGTTAACAGGTACCATGAATAAGAAACTGCAGTGACGACCTCTGGCCAAAAGGTCGTTTGTACCCCAGGATAATCGGCTGCAGACCCGTCAAAGATGAAAAAAGTGATACGCACCTGGGTTTTTTCTTTCTTTTTTTTCAAGTCTTGGGGGCGTCTATGGCCACAAGACTTAGAAAAAATATTTGGACTGTGCCACTTTCTTCAATTTTGAAAGGTATGTACACGATTTTCCTACGTAGTAACACAGCCATATCGATGCCTTGCAACTCCCGCCGTCACCCTCCCCCTCCTAGAAAGAAAGAAGTACTAGAAAAAAATCACGGTGAAAAACACGGGTCCCATCCTTGCATGATACGCAAAGTTCACACTAGTAACTTCACACTAGTAACAATTCGGGATCCATACTCCTTTTCTAACGGGTCCTTACTAGGTTTTTTTTCTGCATTGTGAACGGCACTCTATCGGTAGAGGGGTATTAGAGTAGAGCACCACTCTTGAAAAAAAATATTTACAAGACAATTCTTGCAAATTTGACAAAGCTCTTTCACCCCACTCACACCGAAGTTAAATGTTTTAAAGCTGTTTTGATGAATGCAGTTTAAAATGATTTTCTTCGTAGAAGTTGCCGAAACTCATGTTTGTCGACTTCAAAATTAAACACAAAAAAATACAAGTGCAAAAGTAGAGTAGTGCCCGGGTCGCATCTACTTGGTTTTGAAGGTGAAATCGAAGTATGTAGGGTTGACAACGAAGATCGTGCTCTTTAGCTAAGGTAGACGTGACGAAATAAGAATCACCCAAATTTTATCAAATGGATCTCAAGACACAGTTGGGTCAGGTTCATTGTGGAGAACACAAGATACGATTGCATTGCTCAGTAACGTTGTATTTCAGATGAACGTAGACATCTTAGAAGACAGCATGGGGAAAACGCGCGATCAAAGCGCGAGAAAGTGAATTTCTCAGCCATCAAGAAACCTTGCATTTCTCTTCGTCTCGCCGGTCAAAACTTATTAATTCAGACACTTATTCCTTATCTTATAAGTCAGTGTCCTCTGAGGTTTAACTATACTGCACTTATCCAAGTAACTCCGGTCCGCTCTTAATTAATAATGGAATCAGGTCGTTCATGATGTAAAAAGGACTGAAGAAAGGAAAACACACACTGAATTTGCCAGTTAACCCACATTTAATGACTTTTTGAATTTCTACAGATACTCGTACTAGCTACGTTTTGTTGATTAACATATCTGTCCCTATTCAAGCCGTATCTATCCTAAAATAACAAGTATTTGTTAAGATTACAGTTTGTATTCAACTACTTATTGAGAAACATCTAGAAAGAAAGAAAAAAATCCTTTACTGCCTGTTCGAATGAACTCGATAAAAGTTTATTACTAAATATAAGCTAAGTTATAACACTTCCCCGATTCTAAGGTTATCTAATGTGCTTTTTTTAAGTCGGAAATGCAAGTCAATAACTTGTTCATCACGCGCCAAAATCATGTGACTTTATCCACTCAAGGAGGACGCCAAGAAAGCCACACCTCGCTCATAAAAGCGGTGTTCTCGACCAGCAGCTTCTCCTCTGGTTGTCATGTCGACGGTGAAGAGGAGCTCAGTTCGTGTGTGGTTGAGGTACACGGGGAGGGTGACCTTGAAAGAGGGGAGGGGAGTAACTGTTAGCAAGATGTGCTCACTGATGACACTTAACTCTCTGAGAGCCTGATTCTATCCAAGGAAACAGACGATTTATAAACAACTATTAAAGCTATAGAAACCTACTTTAAGTTCGATTCTGAACCTAAAATGGTTCGTCGACGAGAGGAGACCAGGCCAGGCTCACTCCCTCGTGCTAACGTCACTTGTATCTCGTATTAGTCTGATTTAATCTAGATGGGGAGGGGGTGGGGAAGTTGGATGGGGTGGATGTGGAATAGGGTGGGGGTGGGTATGGGGGAATGGAGAATGGGGAATGGGAGAGGGATATGGGGAATAGGGAATGGGGGATGGGGATGGGTGAGGAGTATAGGGGATGGGGGATGGGGAGATAGGAAATGGGGAAGTGGGGAGATGGGGAGGTGGGGAGGTGGGGAAATGGGGAGGTGGGGAGGCGGGGAGGCGGGGAGGCGGGGAGGGGGGGAGGGGGGGAGATGGGGAGATGAGGACTGGGAAATGGGGAATGGGAGAAGAGAGGGTCATAATTGTGACGAACAAACAAAGAAACCTCAGAGAGAAATAGAAACCTGACACTTACTTTTCCTACTTCAAGGTTTGCAGATCCTGGTTCAACTCTAAAAATTCGGAAAGGAAAATGTGTCAGGGCTCTCCTTAATGCCAAGCAATGAATATATTTACTTCAATCGATACGCGGACACAAATCTACTGCCTAAGTATACGTTAAAAACAACTCAATGCTGTTGCTTTAAGGGTAGGTATGCATCCTGCATAATATAACTGGAGAACTCACTCTATTTCCTTTGCTTCACAAGAGGCACGTACAATGAAGTCACACGAGTTTCGCGCGATCTACGCAAACCTCGTGTTTCATATGTGGAAACAAAGGAGATCGCGTGACGAAAATTGGTGACCACCCATCGAAAGGTCTCTTTATTAACATCATCCGCAGTGAGCTTTTGAAACCCAATGCTTCGAAAGACCAGAAACTTGCGTTCAGTGTCCCATGGCGCGTTACGTCAAGGGCATACGTAGAATTACCTCAGGTGGGTCACGAGGATATCCGCACCAACAAGCTGTTTTCACGAACAAATTGTGGGATATTTGATGGTCAAATGATTTGGAGGACGACCCAAAAAGTTAGTTCTAAACTCATAAGGGTAAATCCAAAGAAATCAATCTCAAACACGATACCTGATCCACTTAAGACTTGTCAGTGCGAGGTCTGTTGAAATTGTTGCCGTTAGCTCCAGCTTGTTGTCTTGGCAACGGGCACCTTGAAGCCTCAAACCTTAACAAATTAGTAACAAAGTAAAAAGTTGTCAGACATAAGAAAAAATGTTTCGTTATTTCGATTTTGTTGATTAAACCTTCTAATTCCTGAGGAGATAAACAATAGAGGTATTTTCAAATCAATCTGCTACTATAAACTGTAGTGTCTAAATAAAAAATAGGACACAAGTGTTCAAAATCCATATCGGACACCAATGCCTAAAATGAAAAAAATCGAACACTTGAGTCCAAAATAAAAAGTTGAACACAAGTGTCCAAAATCGGACACTAATGTCCGATCAAAATCGGACGTTTATGTCTAAAATGAAAAATCAAACACCAGTGTTTAAAATGAAAAATCGGACCCTAGTGTTGAAGATCAAAAAGAGGACATTGGTGTCCAAATCAAAATTCATACACTAGTGTCCAAATCTAAAATCGGACACTAGTGTTCAAAACAAAAAAATTGGACAATACTGACCAAAATTCAAAATCGGACACTAGCGTACCAAAAATTTAGAAGATCGAGCTTTTCAGCGTGATTTGCAATCTTTCTTACCTTTAATTCCAAAGCTGCAGTCGTCAATAGTCAACCGATCGTTAGGACCACTGGCAATGGTGACCTAAACAAAAGGCAATTTGGTTTTATCAGCTGAGTTGATAATGAAAACTGGCCATAATAGAGAGCTTCTAAAGCTGACGTTTCGAGCGTTAGTCTTTCGCGTGAGCAACGAAAGGCGACGAACGATTAAAACAACAAACGAGCACACGAACAAAGGATCACAAGAAGAGACGAACAAACGAACAAACGAACAAACAAACAGACGAACAAACGAGCACACGAACGAACGAGCAGACGCACAGACGAACAAACGAAAAAACGGATAAACGTTGCCATTTAGCAAAGGATGTACCTCTAAAGCCAGCTCCTCAAGAGACCAATTGTTTGCCTGAGCAACAAACTGACGAGTAGCAGTGATGTAGGCTTCAGGAACGAACATTCCACCCAACCAAATGTGAAGGTTCTGAGGGGAAAAAAGGGAAGCAAAATTAATTCGTGCTCATTCCAGTTAAGTGCGCGAAATTATCAATCTCTGTCTTATTACTCGTATTTGAAACTGAACTTCCTCTAACTGTTCCGTAAGGCTGAAACTGATGCCCAACACCTCTCCACAAAAACCAAAACACAAGCAAACAGTACACAAAACCAATACTGCTCGGCTGAAGAAGGCGTAAGTCAGGGGTTACACTCATTTATTTAAAGAGGAGATGGTTTTTTCCGGGAAAAAAAAACTTACTGTAACGAAAACAAAGGGAAAAAAAATGGCCTTTTCGCGTATGACAGTACTTCGCCTCTAAAGGTCCCACTGAACTGGAAAATTATATTTATGCCCCTGAAAATCTTACTCTTTCCTGTCCTATAGTAACACACCTTTAAACCCTTTGCTCCATCAGTATTGGCAGCGTGTGAGATCTTCTGCAGCTGTTTAACGCGGTCACTGAAATCTGCGACCCACTGAAGAACAGTGAGGCCTTTAGGAACAGTGTAGCGCCTCCAATTTGACGGCAATATACCTGAAAGCATAGAGACGGGATAAGGTAACCCTCCACTGTCATTGGATACATCAGTGGTCCGTCCCATTTGCAGAAAGTGTAAGATCAAAGCTATTCAGCTTAGCGAAGACATGATTAAAGGAGGTTTCGCTTCATTGCAAGTTCGCCCCCAACTGGTTCACCTCAATACGACGAGTTCGCCTCATCAAATATGACAACTTCGCCCCCGTCTTTACCAGTTCACCCCCCATATGTTCAACTCGTTTCCTTAAGGCAGAACGCGTTCCCTTGTAGGAAGGGAAGAATAATGAGCGCCTTGGTGAGGATCAAAATATGTCGCATTCGTCAGGAAAAGGACACGGTCTGCCTGAAGGTAATGAGGTGAAAGATTCAGGGGCGAACTTGTAAAGAGGGTAAGTTTCTGAAGAAACTGTGGTTTTGCGACCGTAAGAGAGTAAAACAAGATGATTTTGGTTTTATCAATTGAGTTGATAATGGAAATTGGCCACCGTAAAGACAGGGCGTGAAATTGCGCCCAATACATGCGCCAATGCGACTAAATTTTTCACTTTGGCGACCAAATCCTGAAAATTAGTCTCCAAACTGGCGACTAGAATACTTCATCATAACCTTATTTAGAGATAAAGTGAACTAAATTGGACATCCTCGTGTCCAATTTGTAGCACGTTAAAGATCTTTTCCCTAACTTAATTTTGGAGGGTCTATCTAGAATGCTGACAGCGTTAAAAAAAGGTTTTATGTGTCTTTAAAAATGGCGACCAACTTTTTTTGAATTGGCTAACACTTTGAAAAATTTAGGGGGCAAGTGGCTATCAGAAAAAAATTAATTTCACGCCCTGAAAGAGTTTCAAAGTTGACGTTTCGAGCGTTAGCCCTTCGTCAGAGCGAATGAGGGAGTTCTGGGTTGTGTGTGTTTATATACGAACTAGTAAAAAAGGGGGCTGTATTCAATAGGGCGAACTAGTGGGGGCGAACTTCAAATGGGGCGAAACCTCCAGGTACTGCAGGTATCATACACAAACGTCAGTTCTCCGTCTCACACAATCAAGCACCATCTTGAAAACGAAACACTTCCTACCTTTGACAAGTTCACTCATAAGTTGTCGTAAATAGTTGGTTGGCTTCCTTTGGCCTTCACACACGAGTACAATATGATTAAGGTCCTCTCGGATGGTGCTTAGCAACTGGAACCCAGTGTTAACCTAAAAAGAAAGAATACAAAAGATCAATGCGTTTACATCGTGGCTACACCCCATTGTTTGCACAGATTGCGCGTCTTGCCCCATTTGGTCTTAAACGAGTTTTTCTCAAGATTGCTTCACCACTAAGTTGTCACGGAGCGCTTTTCGATTGAGTGTCGTAAACCAAAACCAAAGCAATCACAACCAATCAGAAGAAAGGAAAATATCACAAGAAGCCAATAAGAGGTCAAAGCGAAAACGAACAAACCGCCTGGAGCGCAGGAAAACGCCAGTTCTGAATCTTATCAGTTGAGAAAGTGGCGCAATTTTTTGGACCAATCACCCTGCAAAATGGATTCAAAGTAACAGCTGTTTAAACTGTAACTCACTTCGCGTTCAAAGTAGCGGAAGAGCGGATCCTTGATGTTCTCCAAGGTACGCTTCAAGGGAGTCAAATCCTATGAAGAAATCAATTAGAAAAAAAATTGCATAAAATACTTAATTTTATGAAAATAAATACGTGTGGGCAGAGGTTTAGAGACTGAGTCATTTTCATGCGGCGTGCAAACCTGCCTTTGCTTGTAGGAGACAAAGTGTAAGAAGGGTAAGAAAGTGTAAGAGAGGAACGCAAGCTGATAACAAACCAACATGGAACATGGACGGTACTGGATGTTTAAGAAGAAAGTCGATTGCAAATGACGAAGCTGGGCTAAAATTTTCAAGAGCCACGATGCACGAGGTAGATCCATCCATTAAAAAAAAAAAAAAAAAAAAAAAAAAAGGAAATCTAAAACAAGATAAAGGCACCGTAAAATGTTGTTACAAACTGACGTTATTTTTTTCCTCACGAGTCAGTGCCGAAGTTACCAAAATGCTTACCTTGGGTATCATGCTCAGCCAATTGGCTGCTGTGGTATGTAAGGTTCTCATCCAGGCCGGACGCGGGTCACTCTCTCTTCTCTTTCTGTTGTAAAAAAGTTTGAAACATAATTAGAGCGGTATTCATTTGAGAGAAGAAAAGCTAAAACCAAAGACCAAAGGCCAAAGACCAAAGTCATTACCGCGGTTCGTATCACCATTAGCTAATGAGAACTCAAAGTGAAAACAAGCAAACTGCTTGAAGCGCGGGAAAACGCGAATGACCACGCCGTTGATGTTTTAAGTCTGGCATCTGATTGGTTGAGGTGGTGACACGAGTTTCCAAGACCAATGACGGAGCGAAGAAATGTGAAACCAAAATATTTCGGATAACTGTCGATATTCAATTGGAAACTGCGGCGGTATACAGGACTGAAGAGTGGATGCAATTTTGCTCTCCACCGTTTTAACTTTCAATCTGATTGGCCCCCACATTTATCATATCAATCAATACACTTCCCCTGGGGGGTTTACGTTTCCATATCTCAGCCAGGTTGGCTCAGAATCGATAAAAAAATTGAGTGAGATAACTCATTTCATCCAACCAATTTGATTAACGAATTTACTTTTAGACGTTCAGGTAATTCATTAAATGTAATTAAATTGCATTTTTTAAGTTTAAATCGATTTTTTTTAAGAACAAAAGCGAAAACAAATAGTCGTGAGGTACCAGTTTAACGGATGTGTAAAGCTCAACATGATAACGTTGACGATACAAAATTTTATAATACCAGAGTTTAAATTGTAACCTAAAAATACTTGAAAATTAAGGGAAAAGTTACATTTACAACATTGATTTTAGACGCAAATAAAAGAAAAAGCTTTTCAAAATAACAAAACAATAAGAAAATGATGAAACAAAAGCGATATGACAATGAAGCATGTTAAAAAAAAAAATAAAAGAAAAACTGTGTGATGCAGGCACTCGAGATCTTGCAAACTTACCACATTTCAAGCTCGTGCGTTAAAAAACATACGTGGGAGAGTAACAGATGCGTTCTCGTTTAGGAATATTGGCTTATTTACCTAAACTGCCCTGGTATCTCAAGCTTTACTTCAATTCCCTTACCGTACTGGCTCAAAGCGCTTTATTCTAGACGATTTTGGCAACCGACATTGGCTTCTTGGCCAATCACAGCAAGCGTACTATAATTTCCATTTTATAAAGCCTTTACTTACTCATCGTCACTTCCATACACGATAGCTGGGAACACGGCTTCAAGCGGCTGCCCTGGGCTTTAAATAAAACGTTTAACATGCATGAAGTTTGAACGTTGCAGAAGCAGAACAGATTTCGAGGAATAGAGCAGAGATCGAGAAACAAGATTGAATTTAGCTGTCGCGTTTTACAATTCGCAGAAGAAATCACCTCGCCAGTTCCAAAGACTTGTTAAACGATGTTATAGCCACGAGTGAAAGATGTCAAGAATCCCACAGCATTGAAAGCACCGCTAAACCCTCGATAATTACTGGAAGATTCCCACGAAAAGCCACTTTCTCAGTTGCGTTAAACGATCAAGATTGATCAGATTATAGTCCGATCTAATTCGAATGGAATAATCGCTCCACGTATTAGACATTAGCTGTTAAGAGAATCATTACATCAGCGAGCATGTGCAATACAAATGGATTGTGATAAGTGGTTATGAAAAACAAAGAAATGACAGTGGTTAAAAGATTTAAAGAAAAAGAAAAGTGAAAAAAAATAATAGAGCAGTTCACATGACACAGAACACTTTAAAAAAAACATTATCAAATGTTGAACATTTAAGTCGACAGAACGATATATGTTCGTTGATAGTTAAATGTTCCATACATCACAAAACTACCCCACCGTCGACTCATGATTGCAACGATTTAATCATGTTTAGTATAATGATCGAAAGGAAAAAATACGTTACTTTTATCAGGGTATAATTTAATAAGTCATTTAATCAATTCTATCCAATTTTATTCGCTAAATTATTACCTGAGTAATTCGTTTATAGGAATGTTTGATTTTTATGTTCAAAATCCAAATCTCAAAGTTAGTTTCTGTGTATTTGTTTTAAGAGACAACGAAAGAATTTTGATTCACATCAAATTTATAAACATTATCCTCAATTCCATTCTACATGGCCAATCATTTAATAACGTATGGAGTTTAAAAAGGTTACTTGGAGTTTAAGAACAACTGAGCTAATCAAGAATCAAAAGCTATTAACAACGATCCGTTAAAAAAAATTATGAAACCGCGTTAAAAAACTCTATGCCAAAAATAAGACATTATGATGTAATTTCCAACAATTTTTCTGACATCACGGCCATATCTTACCTAGCGGAGTCTGGGGAGTAGGCAAGCTCATCGTCATCACTCAACATCTGCATCTTCAGCAGCTTCGTAACCATGTCCTGACCTGCATAAAAAGCGCCTCTGATATCAACAATTTCTCAGTAGAGAGAGAGGAGTGGAAAAAAGAAGGTTACAAAAGTTTCATATTGCTTCCAGTTTCGATTTATATATATAGATATATAGTAGTTAATGTGTACATGTTCTAACCTTGTGTGGTGAGCAGCACTTTCTCAGCATTGTTGGGCAAGCCGAGCCAAGAGGGAGACTGGGCATCAGGAAGAGCTTCAGTCCATTGTAGAAACTGTTCTCGCCTGAGTATACGGTTCAAAGAGAGAACGTAATGGTGAACTACTTTAAAAAACAACCATGTGTGAAAGTCCATGGAATTTTGACTGTTAGGTTTTTCCAACACTGAACCGCTCGGAGAGAAAAAGTACTTTTTGATGGTGTGGTTTCTTACCTAATTCCTTCTGGCATAACGATCTTTTTGCCTTTTTCACCATCCACATCAAGAACCAACGGGAAATCGGATTCAAAACTGCTAACGGTGAACAGGCGAGTCACAAAGGAGGTCATCAGACGCTACAAGAAACAAAGTTGAAATTATACATCAGCTTGAAAAAAAAAAAAACCTTCGTCCCAGAAAACTACTCTCCAAAACCAAGCGTCACACAGCACTAATCTTCAACGGATAGTAACAGGGAAAGGCGATACACGAAGCTTGACATAGTGCTACACTAAATAACAGAATGACGGGTTGATCTTACAAGACGAACGTGACGATTCAGAGAGAAGAACGAAAGTTTAAACCTGATCAAAATCGTTGTCAATTCGTCCGCCATAAATTGCTTGAGATAGCAACGCTTGAAGTGCATCCCATGGAACCTTGTTGGGAGGCAGGTTTGTTCGACCCTGTAAAACAAAAAGTAAACAGAAGAAAATACTTTTAAGTGAATGACACAGGCATACTGGGAGAAAAAAGAAGTCCGACTGCTTCCAATCTGAGTCGAACCCTACGATCTTCCGATCAGTACTTCGGATACTCTGCCACTGAGCTATAGGAGACTCATGGCAGGTAAGGCCGCTTAGCTAGGTCCTGCATACTGTTAGGATAGGAATGTTGATATGTGATACTTATGCGCAATGATGATGTAAATGAAGATGATGAATTTGAGGCGGGGTGTTTGCAAAGAAAGAAGGAAAAGTAAATGGTTTGAGTACGCAAAAGGAAGACAAGTTAGAAAAGTCTCTCGCACTTGCTTCACTTATAAAGTTATTGGACTTGAACTGACACGCACCTGGGCAATGGCGTCCAGCCAAGTATCCAGTGTATCACAAGCGACTCGCAGATCAGACTCACTAAACTCATAACGTTTGGACCATCCAAGGGGTACATAGCGGAGACGTTCTTGAACAATGGCATGGAACCAGGCCAATAAGAAGTAGAGGCGGGCTCGTTCACTAGGAGCCTGGTACAAAACATAACAATGATACGTAAGTCAAAGGAGCTAGGCTACAACATATCAAATCGCTCACTAAATTTATTTAACGGAGTCCGTAATTTATCAGTTAAGTAGGATAAAAAAAGCATTCTAGAGGAGAAAATAAACTACAAAGGAACGACAATAGCTGAGGATGGAGACGATTGAAACGGATTGGAAATGAAGACGCATTCTGAGACCTATTTTTCAAGATGGACCATGACATCATTTGTTCTACTGAAGTAGTAGTGGTTATAACTGACCTTGCACATCCTGGCGGCTGGTACAGCGCTGAAGGTTCTAAGTAAATTGGCCTTCACGCCTGGCGGTGGTTCGAACACAAACACACGGGAAGCTCTCAGTAAGTTAACAGGAACCTGACGTTGGACAAAAACAGAACCACACCCTTAGTATCTCAATTTAAAGATATCAATATGACATCAAGAAATATTTTCTATTTTATCCTCTTTTGGGGGGGGGGTCATGATCATTAAAAAACGCAACCAAATAACATTGAGCAACGACAAACAGCAATTTGAAACACAGCAAATTGAAAGTATCGTTCCAAGTTTTCCTTTTACAGACGTCACACGAAACTCTCTTGTCACTTTCACCTAAAAGTACCCCCGACTAAAAGCAGATTGATCGCGGAGCCGTACGAACAGTTATCATCCATGCACCTCGTACCTTGGGATTTATCTCCATGGTCATAAACAGCCTGAAGCTAGAGTGTGGGTTTAGAGAATGGAGCTTCTTCTCCAAAGTTACCAGCCACTGTGGAGCCAGATGAACGTTCTTGAGGAGAACCCACCTGCAGAGAGAGAAAAAGAGAGAAAACACTAAGTAAGGAAATGAGGAGAGACTGTTAGTAAACAGAGACAAAGGGGGATAGAACACAGATAGGTACAGGTGTAATATTGGACAGAATTAACCCTTAGTCGTCCTTCCTCTGAAGCAACGATGACAGTGTGATACCATTTGACATCCTTTAAATTTGTGGAAGGTACTTTGCACCTGGTGCTCAAATTAATACTTCCGAGATTGCAGGGGGAAGGGAAACCTTTAGGAATATGTGCAACGAGATACATTAGGGACGAAGTAAGTTTCGCAGAATTCAGTGCTTTAAGATTAAACATTAGAAAAGCAGACATACCTTCCAGACTTTGTTGCTGAGTTGATGGCCTTGTCAGCAAGACTGAAACCCTCCGCAGATCCTGGAAATAAAGAGGAAAAAAAACCATGCTTTGGCGTTTGTAAAGTTTTGATGCCTCATGCACGGTGGAGTTGTTACTCACCAATAGCAATTGACGTGCACTGTTTGTTCTGTTCGGCGGCGAGGTCATCAACCCAACCACTGGCATCATAACCGGTCACAGAGCACAACAGCAACGGTGTAGACGACTTGACCTGTTGAGATGGAAAATTTTCATCAAAATCTCATTTCGTATTACCACGAGAAAACCCTAAAGAGAATCACTGTATCAATTACTATGTCCGTGCATTTTGATTTGCATGGACGCTGACGGGAAGAAGCTGAAGCCAATTTTAGGGTACAAACCACTCAATCGAGAAAATTTCCGTGAGACTTTCTCTTCATTTCCTTAAGACCAAGTTTTAGATACAAACCTCGTTTTCAACAACAGATGCTAGGTCCAGTCCTTGCTCGGCATCATGCATAAAGTTCTCGCCGAGTATTGTCCCCACGACCCTCTGACCCATGGCTAAAATCCGATCAGGTCTTAACGCCTGTATCACAAGCAGCTGATGGACTGACAGGGCAATATTTGCTACAAAAAGACGAAAGAAGCCATGGTTACGTATACTTAAATCAATACTTCGTTACCACTAGAAAGAGAGTCTGCACGTGAGTCACGTGCCGCCAACACCCTGGAGCTCGTACTGATTTTGTGTCACACTCTACTAGCGTCTGATTTTGAGCATTGGTGTTCGAATTTCGTTAGGCTCTTGTGTACGATTTTAGACACTGGTGTCCGATTTTGGACACAAGAGTCCGATTTGGGACACTAGTGTCAGATTTGGACACTAGCGTACGATTTTGGATATCTGTGTCCCATTTCGGACCCATCAACGGGAACGCTTACTCCCAAACGCCACAAGCAGAGATAGAGTGTGGGAAAAGGAGAGCCCAGAGGCGAAGGATCAATATCAGTATCTGGGCAACTGTCCACCTACCCCTCCCCTGACCCAACATTAACCTTAACTTGTTGTCAATTGACTGTTGTTGAGTTAGGGGAGGGGTAGGTGGACAGTTGCCCAGATACTGATGTTGACCCGAGGCAAAAGGGAGGGAGAGGCATAACTGCGAGGTGTGAGGGTCTCCAAACACGCACGACGTCCTTTTGAGCCTAGTGGGAGGAATAAATGGGATAAAACGCACTTAGCAGATGCAAGGAAATTCCAAATTTAAATTACAAGGGAATTTGGGGCGTAAGATTAAGTTTCTAAGACTACAACATGACTGAAAAAAGTGCAAATGTCCTTACACAGAGACAGTTCAGAGTCCCAACAGGCTGGTACATTACGCTCTGGTTTTCCAGACTCCAGCCACTCGAAGAAATCCTATGAACAAAATAGGAATAACCTTAAAATCGAGCAAGCAGTTTTAAATTTTTATATTAAGGGAACTCGGAGTTTGAGGTTCAAATACTCGAAAATACCTCATGTGGAAAGCATATAGAAACGGTCAAACTAACTCAAATGTTTTTTGCTATCTTACCTTGCGGTTCATTTGAATGTAAGCCTGAAGTTCTTTGAAAGCAGGTAACTTGGACAGACGGACCACAGCAGTTGCCTGGTAAAGAAATATGAAATATTGTTTCACACTTAGGAAGAGCACATAGACAGATCAGACCAAAAGAAACAAAGAAAAAGACTGGTAGCCCAACAGAGAGACAGACGGAGAGCGTGGTCATAATATTCAAGCACAGTTACCTGTTCCGGTGAGAGTCCATCGATCTTTGGCGGTTTTCCTGACAGGACAGTTTCTCCTCCTCGCAAAAACAGCTCAAACTCGTCCTCATACTCAGATTCACTATAAAGGTATCAGAGAATCAGAGGGTTTAATTTAATATTTTGAAGAGATCAATGGAGGTACGCACAGAGATGATGACTGCATTAAAATTTCATCTGAAATTACCAACAGTAAAAGTTGAAAGGACAATTATCGAGTCAAATGATTCTGAAAGACGGTGAATTTTCATTTAGCGAAGATGGTGAATTTTCGTGATAAAAAGTATAAAGGAAAAAAATAAAAAATGTGTAATAATGAATTATGGTACGCAAGTCGTCTGCTCTAAAAGGGAACCGGACCTCAGACTTTAGCAACCTAAGAGTTTGATGATTTAACCTTGAGTATGAACATTAAAATAGGAGTTTTAACGCAGCACTGATTTTTTTCACATACAACGCTTTTGGATTCAGTGTTGTCAATCACAACCAAGGTAGTCACAACAGCCGATCAGAACAAAGGAAACAGCGCAAGGTACCAATCATAACTCAGAATAACAACAACAAGCAAAATGCCGGGCGTGCGGGAAAACACAAGTCAACAAGATGAGATTGGGTTGGTTAAGCGTCCGATTACTCAAGAGGGTAGCGTGAATTTCCAAGAGAAGGGCAAACTAAAGTGAACTTAATGCAGCAACCTCATTGAAAATTGTTCAATCAATCATTCGTAATCGCGACAACTTACCCAGGCAGTCCACGGAGGAAGATTCGGCACAGAAGCATGGCAAACGTGATTCTGTCGTCATGCATCATACCACGGGCAACTCTGTTGTACACGACCTACGGAAACCAAAAATAAAACTTGTACTCCATTGTGCGTTTAACATGTAACTTCTCTTGACTTTGCCTGAAAGTATCCAGCAAATAGGTGACGAGAATATGCAAGTTCATCAGCTAGAGAATGTTACCTTGATACAATAACAAATTCTTTCAAGTAACTTACAAAAGAAAGCATAGCAGATAGAAGGGAGAACTACTAATCAGATCTATTACTCACCTGAAACAAGTCACTTGACAGAACTTTCAACCTTTGCTGAGGATCTTTCATTCCTTGAAGTTTTGGATTCTCGTACAACACACATTGGAAAATATCCAAGAAAAACTGGAGAGAGAACTGGTAAAGGAAATGGACCTGGAAAGGCAAAACGATGGAAAAATATTGTCAGATAACAACAGATGAAAGGCAACAGATCCGTGAAGATATAGGTGTTACAGGTACACTTTGGCGAGTGTGTGCGCATTTAAACTGTTTCAATTTTTATTCCCTTCGCGCAAGTTATCCTCGAAAGCAGTCTACGTAATCTCTTCTTATCTTTAGACCAATCACATACAGAACTACAACAAATCTGGTCTTTGTCACTCGCGTTTTTCGGAGCTCTAGGCAGTTCTTTTGACTTCTCTTTGGTTTTTGGGATATTCTCAATTGTCCATGTTCACCGTTGTGATGAACTGGGTTTAGCGCCAGGCTCTATCGCGTTTCTCACCAAGTTCAGTCCTTCCATAGTGAAGTAGATACTGCTACAGTAATGCGACAGCGCTCCATACTGGTCAGACACTGCTTCAACCTCAGCCATCACAACGTCTGTCTCTTCCACTTTACGAGTGATCTCAGCTGCTTCTTCCTTCAGCTTCTCAAGAGTTGCTATGATTCTGAGAAGACAAAGCAAAGCTGAATAAGCATATTTTGCAACCACAAAAAAATCACCACAATTTAGGAGTGGGTTCTATTCTCTTGAAGTGCCCCAGTGAGTTTGAATAAGTGAACTGTAGTTTTCTTCTTCGTAAGCCTTGTATTGTCAGCTTCCTAGTTGTTGGTAAATCTTGAAAGAATCGCCTAAATTTTTCAAGGTTTTTATCGTCTTCAATTTTCAACTAAGGTTTTCAGATCATCTTCCAAATCCATATAAAAGGAACTTCTTCAGTCTTTTTCAAAAGCTTACTAGTTCAAAAAAAGCTTTCAGATCATATTCCACTTTACATTCAATCCCTTAGGGGCAGCAATGCAAAAAGTTATTGAAACCCCTGAACATCGAGTTTCTTGTTGCATTTTTCAAAATTTCTTTCTTACCGATCATCATCGAGGATCCTTCCTTTAGCATCATTCAAAGCTTGCAACAGAGATTTCTCCAGATGCCGCAAACGAAGATGAAACTCGCCTGGGAACGAGACAGAAATAGAGTAAGAGTTACAGCTCTTTTTTTTTTTTTTTTTAACCAAAGAACATACTGCTTTAGGTTAAACCTTACCAAAAGAAAAATATTGAAAAAAAAAAAAAAAAAAATAGAGTTACCTTGCAGCTTTAGTAGATCGGACCTCTTTTGATCAACATCAGGTCTTTCAGCTTTCAACACTTGATTCAAACACTGACTCTGCAGACTGCTGCGAGTCACGGTGAAGTTCACGAATGTCACACGACTGCACAGGTCAGGAGCAAACTCCACCTGTAGTTACACAAAGGGTCATTTAAAAGTTAAAAAGAAAAAAAACCTCGACGTTCGATTCTTCATGGGGACTGCGAATTTATTCCTATGTCCCACACTCTTGACAAAACGAAAAAAACATCTTTCTTTAACATAAACAAAGTTTCAAATTACGTTATCCAATAAAAATAAACCCAAATGAGGCCAGGTTGCTCAGTGAGAAAAACGTATGGATCAGTACCTTTGGGGGTTAAATTACTTCTCAAAAGGGACAAAGAAACGTTGCAGCTTTTTTCCCTTTTTTTATTAATTTTTTCAGTTTGAGATGCCAAGTATAGTATGGTTCTCAGCTTACTGCAGTATTTTTTTCCTTACCGTAGGATCCCTCGTGGATAGGAAAATAGTGAACGATGGTGACAAATCGATATCTTGGTCTCCAATGGTGATAAGAACACGACCTCCTGTGCGACGAAGCTCACGGTTCAACACAGGGTTCAAGATTGGATCATAGCTTTCAACATCCTGATATGAAAGTAAAACACAAGAAATACAAGAGAGTTAATAAAAAAACACCAAAAGAACTGCTTCAGACTGACATAGTGAACGTATGGCGTTTTACGGTGGTGATAAAATAATGATTAAGGAAACATAGAACCTTGCAGCCACAGAGAAGACAAATCGAAGCCCTTTACCAACTTCGTTGATCCACTTTTCGTTATTCCTAAACAAATGCACTTACCTGAACAAGGAGTGGATTACCAAACCTCAGAGCACTTTCCAGATTCTTGCGGAAGGCATCATCCAGGAAACTACAAGATGAAAAGCATAAAAAGTAAAACTCAAACTGGCCAATTCAGACTAACCGCAACAACGACACCTTTATTGCAAAGTCAAGAGAACCATACAAACGGTACAATTTGAATCTTTCAACTTGGGGCGAAGAGGGGGGAGGAGAAAACACAACAAAATGGCGGACACAACAAAAAAAAATCACTGTCGCCCAAGAGCCAAATGACCCACTCCCAGGCCCTTGGGGCGTGCGGGGAAAAAATTGAGATTACAACCTATGTCATTCCACTCAGCCATTCAAAAAATAATGTAAAAATTGTCTTAATTACCTCGTCTTGCTGATCTTTTTTCCCTTATATTCATTCAGCAAAAATTCAGTGGCTTGTCCAGACGGGTCAATGATCAGAGGGTAACGGTTAAACCTCTTCAGCATAATGGCGTTTTCTGTGCACAGGTCATCAGCTGGTAATGAGTTTGCCTGCCACTGGAGCCGTTCATCAGCAGAGGACAAATACTGCGAATATCAAGCAAATATGAAATAAGTAATTAACTTACTGAAATTACTTTGAAACGTGTTTCATTTCTCGAGCATGTCATTTCATTTCCAGCACCTTACCTCTACTCTTGCAATATCAGGTCTAAACTGTATGTTTGCTTGTTGCAAATGAGAAGCCCAAGAGGTGAACAGATTCTGACGAAGTTGTTGATCAAAATAACCTGAAAACAAACAAACAGGTTACTGAAAAATCACTTAATCACACGAAACTTTACCACTCAAAGGCTATGGACTAACTAAAATGCAAGCATCGTTCAACTCTAGTATATCACACAATGTCAAACACATTGCGTGACAAGCCAAATAAATCCGCGTAGACGTAAAGGTGATTTCTTACCAGCATAGGCAAGGAACGCAGAGGAAAGAAGCACATCTCCAACAATAGTGCCCATCTGAGTCTGGAACGCATTGCTTCCAGTCTCCCATCTCTGTCTCTCCACAGACAGACTTCGAAGCAAAGCAGTGCTACGGCTCACCTGTGTGACAAAAACATCAGTAGCAGTGTAATTACATCACCATCAGTGTAACTATTACTGTAACAATACCGCTATCTTTGTCACACTTTTCCGACCTAAATAAGGGCAAGAAATAGTTACTCTTCGTGTATTTGGCCAATGTGTACCCATGTGCAGTGCTGACCGGACGATGGTTGTATGGCATCCAAGAGGGGGAAAGGGCGTCAAAAATCTATTGTGAAGGTTTTAGGACATAGATTGATGTTTTAACCCATTTCCCACCAAAACTTGTCCAGGTTTACAACACGACGAACATGTCACCCTTTATTGTCTTCTTTTCAGGGTTAGGGTTAGGGTTAGGGTTAGGGTTAGGGTCACGTTAACAAGAACGCTGTCTCACGTGCATGCGTATTGTAACGTTTATCGCTCCAGAAGTCACTTAGAGTGTGAGAATCTGACTTCCTGTTGAATTATACGAGTATTAACGCTTCAGTCAATGTTTATGTTCCTTAAAAATGTCACGGATTTAACGTCAGTACGACCCTTTGTTTTCAGTAAGACTTTCATCTAAGCTTAATAGAGTTAATTGAAACACTCAGTCGGTAGTATAGGTTTCAGTTTCCAAGTATCACCTTTGCTTCAACTGCTGCAAGGTCGGCTTTGATGGCCTGAGCCTGACTAATCAGTGCCGCATATTCCTCCTTGTAGCGAGCAATGCTCTTCTCAAGTTCCGCAATCACGTGGCTAATCTCGTCCGCCTTGAAAAGGATATCAAACAAACAGAGGTGAAACTTTCCATTTATTCCACAGTGTTGATATTTTTTCCCAACTAGATAACAAGTTAACACTGAGTATATTACCGTAGGGTGGTTGAAATCGTCTCACACGGATTTCTCCTTGACAAACCTCAAAAGGATATCAGAGATTTCTGGCCAACTGAACTTATTTGTCCACTGGTAATTAGTAATCTCACCTTAATTCTGCTCGCCTGTGCTTCAATCTCCAAACTCTTCAGTTCATTTCTCAGAGGGTCGACTTTCGTCAGCATATCCGCATAACTTATCTGAAACATCACAAATTTATCTGTGAGTCTCTTGGTGCTGGTTTCTATCTAGATTTGAGTACAATCACGGCTCCAACTTTTTAATCTGAAACTTTCGCTCTCAAGAGAGACCAATACGTAAGTTTTCCATACCAAATAAAAGGGAAATAGGTGATGACTATACAGGAAACTATAAAGTAGCGAATACTGCTCGATTTAACTCTAAATTCTCCGAAGTAACATCATGGGAATTAAATGACTGATTGTAAGGAGAATCAAATTGAGATTAAGCATACCTGAGCAATAGCCCATTTAACGAGTGGACCACAGGCTAAACTGGCGCGGTTCACTTTTTCGAAGTTGTAGTCCGGGTTGCTAAGATACTTGTTTACCATAATCTTACGAATGTCATCTCTTGAAATTAAAAACATGGATTTATTATTTTACATAAAAAACAGACTCCTTAAAGATCAATTACAATGACAGGCGACCCTCCAAACCAAGACTCAACGGAAAGAGATTTCTGTCACTGTAAGTTAGCTTGAGATCGATCCATATACAGGGCTCGAAGATCGATTTTTTCCATATTATTATAAATTAAAAAATGTCAATGACCATATCTGATATAAAGATTAGAATTGATATTTCGACCAAAAGTTTTTTAAAAAGAAATGTTTGGTCTCTTTGTCCGTCCTGACAACCACCACCTCTCTACTGAGCTGATTCTAACTAAAAAAAAAATTTTTCTAAGGTGAATTTGCGGCTTCGACCCTGATATGACTTAAAAGTGTGACCATAAGACTCTACCGTGAGCTACAAAAAAAAACTAAGGTGAATTAGGCTAGACGTGTAAACGTGAACCTTGTGATGGCCTGGCTCTCGCCAACGAGTTTTCTGTTGCTCAGTGGAAGAACATCAGAGCGCGGAATCCGAATGTCTGAAGTTCGATGCCACGCAGAAGATAAGATTTTTCTTCTTTCTCTCAAGTTTGAGACAAGATGAAAACATCTTTTTCCACTCCATTCCAATTGTCAAATTTTACCATTCGCCTTTTAACATATAAATCATGAAACTGTTACATACGATATGTCCTCTGTGGAAAAGTTCACAATGGTTGAGATAAAGTTGTCCTTGATGATAACACCACGGATGGTCCTCCAATCGGCTGCTTGCTCTCCAAGCAACAGACAAATGGATTCCAGTGCAAGTTTGACTGCTGGAGGTGGATTACCCATGGAACGAACCTCGACAAGATGCTGTTTCTTGATCGACTTTACGGCTGCAAAGGGAAAAAACTTTCATTAAACTTACGAATTTTCCCGTACTGTGTTTCAATTTTTCTCCCATAATTGAATCATTTCCTTACAAACCTCGTTATGGAGTTTGTATTTAAAGCTAGCGAGAATGGGGTGGAAGAAAAACACGGGCACAACAAAAAAAAAACTGCAAATTGCTGGAAAGGTATATTTGATACTCTACGAAACCGAAAAGTTAGCAAGTTAAATCACGATCTCAGCGAAAAACAAAATCTAAGAACAAACATCAGCCCAGAATTCGTCCACCGTTTCAACTCATCTCAATCTTTTCCATCATGGGTTGTTCGTCAAACTCACCCATCTTGGCGTCTTGTACAGCTGGTTCCACCTTGGACAGTTCATCCATCACACTGGATTGCTTCTCTTTAATCTCTGCAGTTTGTTTCTGTCACAGAACAAATGTTACGAGTTAAAACTCACTCACTACACTACAAAGTTCTTATAGCGATCACTAAAGTATTACCAGAACTAATGAACACTTATACGACTTGTACGCCTATTTTGTTAAGAAGCACAGACGAGAAAATCTAGACTTACAAGAAAACTATAATGGTTTTTCAACTTTTTAGGTTATATCCAGCCTGTTTAGCCTTTAAACCCCTTAGAGTGGTTGGCATCTAATTTCTCCATACAATATCATCCCAGAATCACACATTAAGGTAATGAGAATAGAGGAAATGATCGCAAACTCAAGAAGCTCGTGATCGTTAGACGAATTCTCCTTGTCAGTACCATAGGAAATGCACAGTGAACAGTAGGGAGAATATGCATGTTGATAAGCAGCTCTATATTTACCTCGATTGTTGCTTGTATATCCATGGAAGTAACCTTCTTCTTCTCTGCCTCTTGTTGGTCTTTCACCTTGAAAAAAGGAATAAAATGAGACGTCCATAACAACGATCCCACCTGTTCTCGGCACCGTAGGACTATAAGGAAACAATACTGATAATTCATTTACAAATGCATGTCATCTTGGCTGGTTGGAGTACATCATTTTATTAACCAAAAACTGTTTATGATATCTTGACATTCCCCATATGAGCTTTTTAAAACTACTTTGATCTGTAAGAGTTGCGTTTGGAAAAAATACTTCACAAAACAAAAGCCAAACTTGTGCGTGAAACAATTTTTTTATCACGTCCTTCCCGAATAAAGGAAGCGTCTTTTTTTTTTTAAAGGATTTCGCACAACATAGTAAACAAGAAATCAAATGTATCACTTTACGCGCTGTAAGGAAACTGACATGAAAACAAGTTTAAATTTTTACTTACCATCTGTTTCAGCTTCTGATTGGCTAAAGCATTCTTTGCCTCCAATTCCTGGCTCTTGAGTGACAAACTCTTTTGCAGCTCTTCCACCTAACGTGACATAAGGTAACGCAACGTAAGGTAACGGGAAAAGCACATTTCTAACATGAACACCAACCCAGAAGAGTTATTCACAAGTTGTACTTTCAATAAGTCTTCGAAAAGTTCTTCAAAGTACGGAAGTTGTTTCAATATCGCACTCGATGTTTTATAAAGAGCACTAGTTGCCGAAAAGCATCGTCACGAAGAGAGAGAGTTTACCTGGTCCACAGTTTCACGGATCTTCTGCAAACCCACATTAAGGTGAAGTTGTTGTTCTTCAAGGTCAGATCTCTTCTCATTGAACAATTTCACCTAAAACAAAAAGAGACAAAATAATCACGTGACTGTAAGAAAATATGACCATTAGGGGCTCAGACGAAGCTAAGTGAAATTCAACCAAGGTTACGATCAAGAAAAGGCTTTCAGGCCAGCGGCTGTTCCCTAAACAGACATGCATTGTCGAGATGGCCGCTGAGACTTTTGGGACAGATACTCGTGATAGTATAATCTAACTTCGCCTTCTATGCGAATACTTACGTAATGGTTAATAAAGTCTAGATAGTGCCGAGGAGTAATAGCCATAACACGCCCTCCTCTCTTGGCTAAGCGTTCATTGGCTTGGTGCAAGGTTTGATGAACATAAACAAAAGCATTGATGACAACTTCTCTGTGGCTGGGTGTCATGGGCAGTTCTTCATACACCTTAGGGAGGTAGTCTGGTGGATTGTACTGGAGAGAGAATGACAGGATCACGTTAAAACTCAATCTACCAAGACATAAAAGCTACCTCTCCCAGCTGATGGCCTTCAGAGTTGACAACTCCCAAATTCTCATTATCCGTCTTTTTGACAAGGCATTAAAACTGCATCGAGAATTTACACAATGATTATTGGGACTCAAAGGGTATAGGCATGGTTTGGTCAGGAAACTGCTAAGGCTTTGTGCAAACTAGCGTAAATCACACTCACTTGAGATATATCTAACAGAAATTCAATCTTGCACTCCGGTGGTCTTTCGAGAGTAGAGTGCAATCAACTTAGATTTAAATACTCTGCCGGCAAACAACTTGGAGGAATTTATGATAATCTGGTCAGAAATGAAAGCTTCAACACAACGTTTTAAATGAAGTGGACTAGTGGAACTAGATGCGAGGCTAGTCCTGAAGATTTTTACGAAAGATAGAAAAAGAGGATCGATGTCAGTATCTGAGTAACTGCACAATTACCCTTCCCCTAACCTAACAACAGTCCACTGATGACAAGTTAGGGTTAATACTGGGTTAGGGGAGGGGTAGGTGCGCACTTGCTCAGATAGAACCATTGATCCGAGATACACAACAATGCATCTAATAAACCTTTGCTCGTTTGTTTTGTTTTGTTTTGTTTTGATTTTTGCCCCGCAAACCTAAAAAAATAGCGTATGCGGAATCAGCAGAACAGGCAGGACTCAACCAGAAGTCTTCCATGCAAATGTGATCAAGGCTTATGAAGAATTACACTTACATTGGACTTCTCCAAGTCAATCTTGCTGGTGAACTCTTTGCCAACTTGATAGAGCGCACCAGTGGACCAATCACCGAACCAGTTGAGAACACACCTGAAATGAAACAAACAGGGATTGTAAGCCACTGGAAAAAAAGTCAAATGAAAAAACAAATGTGTACAGACGTGACAGCCTCATGGATCTAAATATGTTTGACAGACGGTAATTATCTCTTCACCTTACGACTTGTGATTCTGGAAGACAAAAGCAATTCGCGCTAACCCTTTCACTCTCCCTCTCCTTACTATCTGCCGTATAATTCTTACGATGTTAGTTCTGAGAATTTGGTATTGGATCAACTAATGATTTCCTAATTCATAATTTTCTTAATTCTCATCACTTGTCTAGGATAGAAATTCTGTCTTGGATAGAAATTCTGTCTTGGATATCCATAGGAGTTGAAGGATTAAAAGCAATATTCTGTCCACTAGTGGAAAGTTTGACTGTTTGGCTTTCACGGCCTTTGCTATCGGTAAACACCATTCCAGAGTATAGAAGCATTGTGTAGTGAACTGTGATGTATGTAAAAGGATAGAACCGCATTATGAAATCGGTTTATTAGCGAAATCTCACCTGTTGAACAAGGCAGGAGATGTGGCTGCTCGGCTTTTCAGACCTTCCGAGGAAGGATTCATAGTAAAAACAACGTGCAAGTTGTTCATAACCTGTTGGATATGAAAAGGAATTATAAGTAAAGAGATCGAGCAAAGCAATGCATGCACCAGCCTCCGAACCAAGCGGAGTGGTTTCAAAATTGACCAATCGCAGTTAATGAAACCAACTAACGGTCTTTCAGCCAATAAGCCCTGACAGATTAGTTTTCACGGACCAGTCTGATAATACTCTACTGATAATCGACTTTCACTTGAACCTAATAATGACTTCAGCTAAGATTAAGGAAACGTCAGTCACATTCAACGACAAAATTCCTTCTCAGGACTACTCGCATCCAGGTGATGGCACAAAATGATCGATATCAGCTTTTTCAGGAATTGAGGTAAATTTTAGGAAGAAGGACGATAAAAGAAACCAATCCCTTAGGCTACATAACTTAGTTTTAACAAATGAGTCGATAATGTACGTTGGCCACCGTGAAGAGTTTCAAAAGCTGACGTTACGAGTGTTAGCTCTTAATCAGAGTGAATATTCGAAGGTCGGCTTCTCTCTGACGAAGGGCAACCGCTCGAAACGTCAGCTCTAGAAACTCTTTAAGTCGGCTAATTTACACTCTCAATCCAGTAGATAAACCGAATTATTGTGTAATAACCCCATCGACGCAGCACCGTAGTTTCTTGACAAACTTACCCCTTTTATTCAATCCTTTCTGCAACTGGCAAGAATGGTGGACAATATGAAGGACACACCTACCTGTTGTGTGAACCATTTGTAAAGCTCCTCGCTGCTGTCTAACATAAGACCATCTCTTTGTGACCCTTCCTTACACTGCGTCATCAGAGTGGTGTACTCGTCTCCTTCAAACAATCCTGGAACCTGACAACAACAAACACTATATGAGAACACCATCACATAAAGTGCTGATAGAAAAGTTTTAATAAGAGCACTGCAAGTCCTAAACCAAAGTAATCATGTTGGCTAATCAGGAAAAAAGAAAATATTGAAAAAGGGCCAATAGGAAATCAAAGTATAAAACGCGGGAAAAGACCAGGAAACAAGTCGCAATTGGCTTCTATTTTCATCTAATTGGTTATTAGAGGATGACGTGAGGATTTAAAAACGTACTACGTTGAAGAAAAAAAAAAAAAAAAAAGAAAGAAAGAAATAAAGAGAGAAAGAAACCAAAATCCTGGTGTACCTCTCCATTTGCCAGAAGTGTGTTCATCCTTTCCAGGAAGCTTGATTCCAGTATGTTGGATTCATCCAAAATGAAGACACTTTTCTCATTCTTGCAGCCTGCACGTCTGAGAACTGCTCGCAAGTCTTCATCAAAGTCTGCCGCCAAGTACTTTCGGTGAATCTAGTAACAAATTAGAAAAAGGACATACCTCAACCATCACATTTATCGCTAGGCAACCATTGCACAAGCAGGTTACACAACATTAACGTGAGCTCACTTTCAGCGGGGCCCTGAGTGAGCTTGTAGTTTGAGACCAAAAACAAAAGGATAGGTAATCGCAACGGCCAATCAAAACAAACGAAAATGTCACAAGGGACCAATGAGAACTCGTGATAAAAAACAAACCACCTCAAGCGCGGAAAAACGCGAGCGACCAAGCCCCAATTAGTTTCAGTATTGCCCCTGATTGGTTGAAAGGGTGGCATGAGTTTTCTAGACCAATCACAAGGAGAATTAAAGCAAAACCAAGAGTCAACTAGAAAAAACTCTAAACGAAGTAAACAAACCTTGACTTGGAAGACTTTCAGACCATTCATCCATGCCACAAATCTTGACAGCGTAGTTTTACCAGCTCCACTAACACCAATTAACAACAAGTGCCCCTGTGGAGGGAAAAAGTAGCAAAGATGACTATGAAACGTTGCATATCCGGTGCTGGGTAAGATCGCGAGTTACACACATGCGAGAGATCCAACACTCTCCCACGCACCTTCGCGCGCGAAAGGTCTCAACAGCGGATGCCGGTCAAATTCACGGAGAAGAAAGGTGAAGGAAATTCTGATACATGGGGGTGAAGATAAATACAAGGCAAGGTAAGGTTATGCACTTACTTGTGGCTGTCTAAAGATTCTGTCAATTCGTAGAACATGGTCAAGCACTTCATTAAATAACACCAAAGGAACATCCAACTCTTCTTCATAAAACACCTGTTCCAAACAGATAAATAAAAATCACCAAAATCATCAAAATGTGATACAAACATTAGAGGGCAAACAGCTGTTTGTCTGCTGTTCTTAGTAACCACTATCTAATTACTCAACCTGATAAATCTTTCCTTTCAATTCATCAAACATCTCAGTACATTTTAAAGAAACAACTGTGAAATACCGCACGGTAAGTGTTACTGCATTGCCAACAATTTACCGAAAATTTCCCGACTCGTGATCGATTGATGTTCGTCTGTCGACCGACTTATTGGTTGTAAACTGGCCTACCCTTTATTGACACCCAGTTCGCTGACAGCTCCACAGAGGAAGCATTTTCTTCCCTTGTATCCAACTTTCGACAAACTCAGGTGATTTTTACCTTTAGCCTTGCTTTGACAAAGTCTCTGAGTTCTTCCTGCTCCACAGGCATGTAGTCCTTCGACAGCCAGTTACTGTACAAGATTGGTCGAGCAAGGGCAGTATTACGATCTATGTTCGGAAAGTGTTTCAAGGCTATATTGTTGATATTCTCTTCTGTCCACTTACGCTCATCATCTTCGACCAGCCTGGAAGACAATCAAGCAATAAATATATCTACACCTAATTTCCACACGATAGCAAGTTCTCATTTTAATAATAATGAAATAATGACCCGAGTCACTCGGTTTCTTCGTCTGCGGGAAGATTAGAGACGAGTCGGGAAGAGGTTTGCCGGAAGATTGGCACTAATAATAACCTCGTTATCAGTACCAGACCCCTTGCAGACCTCTCTCCGATTTGCTAGGCTCGACGCCTCATACTTTCCTGAGGGCAAAGAAAAGCTCGTGCCCAGTGCCCAGGCTCCAATAGTGAGGGTCTACCCCAGGCTATCCTCAATTTACATCAGAACTTCGTTACACAGACAAAGATGGTAAACATGAGAAAAATCATAGAATAACTACTTTTTACTTTGTGTTATGTTTTACTTGACAACTCAAAATTAGAGTATAATCGAGTGAAAGTCTCGAAACTGTTGTAATTCTACTCTCCTACAAAACACCCAGCCCCTCAATTCTCACCTGTCTTGGAAGAGACGCAGTGCTTCGTGAGCCCACAGGCGAACAAGTCCTTCGACTGGCAAAGTCTCCAATGGCTTCAATGCTTCACAGATTCCTCTCACCCATCGAGTCATTTCTCGAGGGCTGTAAATGTAATGCGGCTGCATGTCTTGAGTGAAGCGTTCCTACAAGGAAAAAGGTTACTCCGCTAAAAATCATGGTAAATCTCAGTCCTGATAAATCAAATCTTTTCCAGGCTAAGCGAGTTGCTTTTTGCAATTTCATCTTTACAATTGTCGAAAAACACAAGTGCAGGATTTATTCTTTTGACATTAGTTGGTATCCAATTTCTCCATTCATTATCACCTCTGAGTCATACATAGCACTCATGAGAATAAGCCAATTGATCGCCAACCAAAGAAGCGCTGGCTTGTTTAACAAATTCTTCTTGTCAGTACTGTAGGAAATGTTTGAGACAACAGTACGGAGAATATGCATTCTTATGATAGGGTGTAACCCACTAAGCTCACAAGGAAACTATCATTTGTTTCATTGCCTACCAAAGCTTGGAGCAGAGGGATAGACGGGGAAGTACATTTTGTATCAATTTATTTGCTCACAATAGAATAAAGTTTTGTTGTTGTTGCCATTTGTGACAGAAAAAGAACTATCCTCTTTTGCTTCTCACACTCACTCAATTCTACTATCAGCGCAAGCTTATTTTTTGCCGTAAACTAACTAGCATCAAAGCTTAATCCTTCTGTACTACACATATTTCACCCACTTGAGACATGGAGTAGAACTCCACCATAGCATCAGTCAGGGGCTGAGCATAGCTTCTCAGCGGAGGAACAATTCTCAGCATTGCACGATTGAATGTTCCATAGATCTGGGTCAGTGAGGTAGGACCTGGATAGTCCACATATATGACTGGAACGTGACGCAAGAATCTGAAAATAGATATCGTTATATTTAGAGCTTGGAGCTTTCAACTGTCTGTTTAGCTTAAGAGCAGGCTCTCCTGCTTGGGTTTCGCCTCATAGCACAGCCGCCTATAACACCGTTAGCAGCCGCTTATAGAAAAATCTGTTGAAACCCCTCCTTAAACAATGAGGTTATTTCTTTGATCTAGCAGCGATTCTCCGTTAAAGTAAAGACAACAGAAGCAGAATGTTAACACCTATAAAAGTTCAGCGTCCTCGGCGTCCATGTTGGTTGTATTGCCGCTGAGTGGTAAATCGCGGACTCGGTTGTCACTGATCGCTGCGATCGGCTGCGATTATATGTGAACATGCGATTCGCGATCTTCGGTTGAGTGGTTTCAGCGATCGTGCGATCACCTGCGATCGTCTGCGATTATATGTGAACCAGGCCTAAGTTCTGTGCGTGATATTTGATGTGGGCCTCGCCCACATCAAATATCACACGGTCAAAATCTCGCGCTGATAATCTTAATCTTGTTGCTCATCAAATACTTTTAGAATGTTTATAACCTGTGTGACAGAGGCTTCCTGCCTGGATCGGTGGGTGGATTACAAGCTCCGACGAACTGGATCCTCTCTATTGTTACCCAGGCCTGGTCACTGGTGCGGTAGAATCCGCCATGCTCTACAATTTGTCTCAGGAACGAGATGACACGCTGTGTTCCTGAGGTATAATTACAACAAATATATTTGTGAACATGATGTTTTTCATCAGTTGAAAAGGTTTGCACGAAGACAAAAAATTACAGTGTTTTCAACACGAGTTGTCCGAATGGTTTTTAGTCTATATATATTCTCTCGAGTACAAGTCATAAATATTTAATCATGTAGTATGATCGTCCGGATGAGGGTAGTGAATATGACGTTCGTTTTCACTAGGGTTGTCGAAAAGTTAGTCACATCTTCCGACAACAGTGCCTCTCTGGACTACCCTCACCCAGACGATCAGACTCCACGATCAAACGTTACCCCCGGATTCAAAATATTAGCTGAATAACTATGTTGGCGAATGTTCGCATACATATTAGCAACTAACTTCTACAAGCACAAGATCTTAAGCTACCCATGAATTCATCTTGTTTACTACATTAAAAAAATACACTCATCCGAAGTAAATGTCACTTTTTCTCTTGATACAGATCTATATATCCACTACGACTGGATGGAACGTAATCTGGTAACAGTTGACAATTTAAACGAGGGGAATCGTTGTTGAAAGCAACAGCCATTCTTTTTAAACTAAAGAGCGATTAAAGACACGGTTCAGCTTTGCGAAAACTAAATTTCCAATTGCTTGAGATGAAGAATATGTTTTCATTTCAGGGAGGGGGTGGGATAGTTTATAGGGTTTGTCTGTGTACCATAACTGTCCATGTCTGGAAGATTGATCTCATCACAGAACAGCACCATCCACTTTCCAAGTTGTACAGGAGCAAGGACGATTCCATTCGGAGTTCTTCTGTACTCACAATAGTGATCGAAAGTTTTCAGGAGCAGCTCAGGGGAGGTAGCACTGGAGAAATTCAAACCAACAACCTAAAAGCAACAAAATATTATATTTGGGGATAATTAGTTGATCCAATTCTTAATTCTCTCAACTGACATTAGAGGAATTGTATGGTCGACAGTGAGGAGAATGACAAATTTGATCTGGGAGTTAAAGGGTTAAATATACAGTCATGCGGTACGATTCAAAGTCGACAGTAAATCTGCAAGAAGCTAACATTTCCAAGCGTCTAATTCAATATCTCCCACTTGCACTTAAATCACGTTGTACCCACCTCCATATCAGGAAGAGCTCTCAAGGCACTGAACAGTGTCATAGTCTTGCCGCTGCCAGGGGGTCCACAGAGCACCATGGGTTTATGCTCCGCCAGCCAGGTGTACAGAAGAGCTTCATGTCGCACAGTATCGACCGTTGGTACCACAATATCTGGGGCTGCCACCTTGTGCGTTTCTACCTCAATCTGAGGAACCTTAGACTGCCATAGTGCCCATTCACCTTGGATTGTAACCTGAAAAGAAAAAGGGCAAAATATTGATAAACATTTTAATTCTTACCACAGGTTAAGTGCATTCGAATGCAGAAAGAGGATGAGAAAAAGAAAAACATTCCACGTAACGATTCCTACAGGGAATGAATTTTGAAATTTTTCTGAAAGGCATAACACAACGGCAGTGGCCAAAGATCGACCAAAGGCATAGAGCAACAAAAATGGTGCGAAAAACATTTAAAACTTTAAAGGTCAGGAATGCAAATAAAACCACTTCAGGAAGGGTTCTACATGTACAAATCCACGTTAAGATAGGTCTTCATTGTTTAACACGTTGAATGCAGTCAGTCACTCATTCACAGTAAAGGTAAGCATCCTTATTGCTCGAGCTCTGTCATGTGATAAATTGCTACTTTTTATGTTTACAAACTTCTTGTACCTCATAATCAACAATGGACTGTGATGAGCTGGCAGGCAAAGGAATTGTAGTGATGCTCTTGATGAAGTTTCCCAAGTCTTCTCTTGTCTTCAGCTTACAGTCACCGGAGAAAGCCCAAAGAATACAGAAGATCAAGTAGCGTGGGACGTAACGTTCAATCTGATCTCTCTGTCATTAAAACAAAAACAAAAACAAAAAATGCTATTAAGCCCTTTTCGATGTAGTGGCGTAAAGCCAAAACCAAAAGAGTCACACCTGCCAATCACAGCAAAAGAAAACATTACAAGGAGCCTACCAGAACTCACAGTAATAACAAGCAAACTGCGTGAAACGCGGGAAATCGCGAGTGGCCATGACGCGGTTGGTTTACGTTTTGCATCTGATTGGTTGAAAAGGTGACGCGAGACTTTTAGGCCAATTAAGGAGGAAAGTGAAGCAAAACCAAATCGATCTCGAATTAGTTTTGACATTCCATTTCTAAAAGTACGTCTACACTTCTGCATAAAGTTCAATTACAAAGAAACTCCTTTCGATCCTAAATTATGATAGTCACGGAATAGTAGTCCAGTGGACAAACTGAGCTGAAGTCATCGTTGGAGTCAGGCAAGAAAGCGAGAAGCACAGACAAACATATCAGCTTCAAGGTTCTATCTTGATACAATTCCAAATTCCCCTTACTAAGTTTCAAGAAAATACAAGTAAACATAATAGCGAACAAAAAGGAGAATTACTAATTATATCTTGGGAGTTCAAGGATTAAAAAGATGTCCGCACTAACCTCCATTGGAAAATCAGGATGTTGTTGATTGTACTGAAGAACATTCCTGATTCCTTGATGGATCATGGAGAAGAGCGATTCCAGTGCCCTCATGCGAGTAAAGTCCATGATATGTTCCTGCTTGAATGCAAACTCCAAGCTCTTTACTACAAGACCGTTAGATGAGAAGTGCTCATGAATAATGTCTACAAAATCACACTGGACCTGTGGATTTACAAAACATTGGTTAAGATTTGGAAACCACATCTAGATAAATAACGGAGAGCTTGAGAGTTGGTGAATCGTCGATCCAACAAAGTCAATCACCAAGGGTTTTGCGAGCTCTTATGGCCAGCAGGCACTGTCACAAGAGCGGGCTCAAGGGGAATGTTGCAACTTTGTTCCGACTGTTATATTTGAATTCTCGATTGTTTGGTGGCAGCTGTTCCTCAGCAGTTCAGTTTACACACACAACCATGTTTTGGTATTTGTTTGTGCCATACCTGCATTGTTGGTGACAAGGCGTCTTCAGCCTTTCCTTGGGGTTTGATTCGTCTGATCTCTTCTTCAACCTCTTCCACTGGTACTTTCTTCATCTGAAACAGGTGATTGTCAAAAATCATTTCCGTCGACAAAACGTCCTCACTGAACCAAACCATTCCACAACGGCTGACTGTAGCAAGAGTGGCGAAACGTAGATCTTGTACTTCAAACATGATTCGCACCTGCAAAAGAGATGTTTAACATAACAAATTGGGTGAATCAAATTCAACACTCCTCTAACTTGTCTTAAACCATAGAAGAGTTCCGGAGGGCCCGTTTCTGAAAGGTCCCTATAACTTAGCGGGCTCGTTAAGCTGTTCTGTTTTCATTCAAGATGGGGGTTTAAATTTTTTTTTATATGATGACGCAAAGCTATCAGCTAAGGAAACAAAATAGACTGGTTAGGGCGCCACAACTTGCTTCTCAATTCTTTAATTTAGATTCTTAAATATGGCTTCGTGGCCGTTCGGGACTTTCGAGAAACGGGATCCAAGCGACTTACATTAGAAGGAATTCCAAGACGTTCCCCATTTGGCAGAGTGAGCAACTTATTGTCATCCAGGACACTGTTTAAATTCTCCACCCACTCCGGATCAACATCGCCATCAAAAATGATCCACTGTCTTTTGTTAATCTCACCACGGACATTGTCAATGATCCTTGGATGCAGAGAAACAAAACATCAGACACTTCAAAGAGAACTAGAACTAGAAACATTTGACACTACCTTGTTCAGTCAATCATCAAAATAGCAAACTTACTTTCTGAGAATGTGAGTGAACAACCCATCTGTCCACTCTCTTGTATTGGGATCAAGAGTTCCATACAAAGCTTCCTTGGAAATGGCCTGGAATGAAAAAAATAATTTACGCCAGTCACTTACCGTTTACACCCTAACAAAAGAATGCATATTCTCTATACAATTCCTAAAGCGCTGACAAGCAAAATTTGTTTCAGAGTCAAGAGTTTGTGTGGTAGGTGACCACGTCATTTATTCTCGTGACTTTGTGTTTGATTCAGGGGTGATACTGCAAGCAGGTAAATTAGATGCTAGTCACTCTTAGGGGGCTAAAGTTAAGTATTTCAAATAATTGAAACCAGTTATCGAAGGCTTCTGCAGCCCACATAAATCCTCGATGCGTTTCAAAAGAACTAAAAATTTATTTCAAGTGATTACAACAGTTAACAACATGTAAAAAGAATGATTTAGTAGCGCTCTAAAGTAACTGTACCTTGGGGTCAACAACATGTGCCACACCCTCTACGCCCTCTAAATTTTCCAAAGCCTTTAACAGAGTGCGCCAAGCTGTAGATTTGCCGCTTCCACTCGGTCCAACCATCATCAATCCATGATGAATCTGGGATATCTGATACAACTGAAGGATCTAAAACAACAGTAACACGAAAAACAACATCATAAGAATTCTATTTCCTAAAATTATCTGATTAATTCTGTATCAGAGCAAAACCAGTACGGACATCACCCAAGTTTCACTGCATTTATACGATCGTATTGAAAAGATGTAACGATGAACTCTTACAGAGATAAAAACCGAGGGAGTCACTAGCTGTGAATTACAGTCCTTAACCTCTTTCTTTCCATGATCTCAATACCAATTCTCCTTACTGTCTGCCCTACATTTCTTAAAAAATGTTAGCTCGAGAATTTAACGTTAAATCACACCGCCTTTCTACTAATGCGCAACTGCCTTCATACGAAAATGAATGTTAGTTATCTACTGTTCTAAAATCTCATACATGAAGTTTTTAACCAAAAACCTTTCCTTTAGAAATCAATTTCAATCAACCGTTCCATGCCAAGATGCTGCACTATTCATGCGATTGGTTACGATAGACAAACAACTCCCCACCTTCTCCACCCATGCACCACCTTGTTCTTCTCCATCTCCATACACAAGGTGCGTCTCAGCACAAACTTTCTTTATCTCGGCCTTAAGGCTTGTCATCTCGGCGCCAACATAACGAACTCCTGGGAACACATCTGACAACAGACTCTGAAGAAGAGGAATATCTTCTGCCACAAGCTTTGGTACAACTGTCTCGTAAACACTCTGGATCAAAATCTAGAAGGATAAAAAAATGGCAGCATTCTGAATGTTAAATTTATTTTAACCAACACCTACGCTGAAGGGGAAGCGTTATAATTTCATTTTAAACTTTCTAAAACATTTAAAGGATTGCATTCAACCAATAGAGGGCGTGAGCTTGATTTGATAAGACCAAGGTTTGAAATTTACTTTGCTCAGAGTTGCATCACTAAAAATTGCCGAAATCTTCTCGACGTAAACCTTGAACATTGTAGAAAAAGATGACAGTCTGTTTATAGGAGAGTATCACGCAAAATTAAGAATACGCAAGTATTTTATGATCAAATTCCATACTTCAACTTCGTTCAAATTTTCCAGCCTCTGTTTTAAAGTACCATGATGCATTGTGATGCGTGACGATGAGTTTGACATTAGGGGAATAAAGTTTCAACAGAAAAAAACTGAACCACAACATATAAAGTTAAACATCACAAAAATGATGAAAGGCCTCTTTCAGTGCAAAGGACTATGGATTACTGTGAAATTTTATATCAAATTTCTAAACAAACCTCCTGTTCATTCAGCCGCTCAGAGATTGCTGCTTCATCAGCTTCCTGGCCTTCTTCAGTCAAACTTTCTTTTATTCTCTGGATCTTCTCACGTTTGACATTACCAGCACTGACCAGTACACTCTTCAATGCGCGGAGGCCAAAGTCATAATGAGACTGGTTAGACAACTGCTCTCCACATAATCTGTAAAATAAATGACAAAATGATTTATCTTAACCCTTAAATCACCCCCCCCCCCACAAGTGATTAACATGTAACTTCTCTTTACAATATCCGCACAATATCTAACAAACAGGTAATGAGAATGATCAATGAGAACACTCAAACTAGTTGAAGTTGTTATCTTGATCTAACACCAACTTTTGTAACTAATTTACAAGGAATTGTGAAGTAGCTAGAAGAGAGAATTTACAATCAGATCTTGAGAGTAGAACGGTTAAGACTGGGAATCCTGTGCACGTTGCTTAATACGTTTAGGATAAGTGAGGCATTGAGGCTTAAGAAAACTGACAAATTCTCCTTGTCCGCACCTTAAGAAATGTACAGAGAACAGTACGGAGAATATGCAAACTGATGTTAGGGGGTGTAAAGGGTTAGCATTTCCAACCAAAAACTAATGAACATCTACCCTAGACTGCCACAACCGTTAATAGAAAATTTATCGGCTACAAAGATCATTTTCGTTTATCTTCAATGTCAGTTTGTAACAACTAGAAGTTGATTATTAAATATCGCAATTATTGCTTACTTGAAGAATGGAACAATCTTTGTGGCTAGTTTCTCTGCAGTTCTGAAACCCTGTGAGTACAGCATGACCTGAGCAATAAGCTGTCGGTCAGGAGTAGTCATGGCCAAGCTGCGGAACAACTTTTTCAAGTTGTCTGGGAGGTTGGAACGTCCAGCATAACCTGGGTTCATTGTAATGAAGATTGCCATGTCGCGGCTTACTCTCACTTGCTTGCCCACCAGTTCAATAGTGATTGGTGCAGCTGGAAAATATTAAATCAACATCATCCATTGTCATTAATACTGCCTGATAGTGTTCTTTGAGAAAATCAATACTAGAGAAATTTTCAGTTGAATGGCAAAAGTTATCCAGGGCTGTATTGCTTTTTCTTTCCTTTGCTCCTATGTCTTAAGTCTAAATACTTGTGTTCTCCTCTCAACATCCTCCAAAACCAAACAAAATATTTGCATTCTCCTGCACTTCCGGTAAAAAGCTTTTTTCTTCTTTGATTTCTTATTGGCTCTAAGGTATTTTCGTTCACACTGGTCACCTGCTGTGTTTATTTTGTCTACGTTTTTTTTTTTTTTAACGATACTCATCATACAAAATCCACGTCCTTAACGCCCAAGTAAAATTCATCCAAACATTTTCTTCATAATAACTTTGTGAAATGTCAATAGCTTGATTACACCTTAAAAAATGTTTAATCCTCTCACAGATTAGATTCAAAGGAATAAATAAACTTTAATAAGAACTACTTGTTTATTTCCTTCCTTACATAGATCAGTGCTGCCTTCTCTGAGAGAGAGCTGAATGGTCTGAATCTGTTGCGAAACAGCTGACAACATTCTTTCTTCCAGACGGTTGAACTCGTCAAAGCAGCCCCATGCACCCACTTGGCACAAACCGACAAAGATACGACCCATGGCCTGGAAAAAAACGATGACAGTTGTAATAGACTGAGCTTAGATCCAAGAGGGCAAGATTAGGAGAGAGTATCTCAAACTTAAACACAAAGTCACTTACCTGGAAGTCAAATGTTTCATCACAGTTGAAGACCAACACAAATCTTCCCAGTTGATGACCAAGAGCTTTAACCGATTCTGTCTTTCCTGTCCCAGCAGGGCCTAAACACAATAAATAAAAAAGCAATCAGTAAAAGGAAAAATTAGCAGGAAAAGGATGAAAAAAAGATGAGAACTCTACAGACTCATTTCCGATATTATGCCAGAATACAAAGTCCAATTTCTCCCTTCCATTTGTTCCACATTTCCTTGTGTAAGAATAAGGAGAATTCGGTGTTATATCAAGATTACACCCTTCAGCAGACAAGTGTTTCTATTCTCATCAGCAGCTCGCTGGATAACGTATCGGTATGGTAAGGAGAAAATAAATATGCTTTGCAGCTGGAAGTAAGAAGATTTAGTACTGAAGAAAAACTAATTTGCTTGGAATGGGGGAAGGGTCCTTGACCGTGATCTATGTAGACAAGTAAAAATTTATGCATGAGGAGCTATTTGAGATTCCGATACAACAACCCCAATCATACCGCAAACGTCTTTACTAAAAGAAAAAACAGTACAATAACCATTAACTAACCAAAGGGTGACCCCCCTAATCTTCCCTCTAAGGCCTGTGTCATGGTAAGATAACAGCGATCTGTCAGGGGTGTCTGGACAAGCTTGTCTTGGACTCCAAGGTACTCAAATCCATAATTAAACTTGGCATTGGCCATGTGGATTGAAAGCTGTTGTAGGACGTCTTTCTGTTTTGGGTCAAAGTAGAATCTCATCTGACAGAGCCACTCAAAAGCTTTTGTGTTGGAGACTTGAGTATTGATTAGCTGGCGTGTGACGTCACGTTGATGTACATGTTCAATGATCTGAAACAGAAAATGAAGAGAATGTTTTCAAAAATTAAATCATCGTTGATTATTACCTACAGCTGAGTAAAGGGGGTGAGTATCTGAAGAAACTGTAGTGCTGCGTCGGTGAGAAAGTATAACAGGATAAATAAGTACTATCAACTGAGTTGATAACGTAAATTGGCTAGCGTAAAGAGTTTCAAAGCAGCCGAAGGGCTAACGCTGGAAATATCAGCTTTAAAACTCTTTACGATGGCCAATCTACGCTATCAACTCTGTTAATAATGCTTAATTACCCTATTACCTACAGCACCGAGTTCCGCAGTCTGAAAACTAATCTCTATGAACTGCACAATTACAGATCTCTACCACTATGATTCATTTAGAATTATAGTTGAACCCACGGCAACCTCAGGTAAAACAAATTTTAAACTTAAATCGACTTAACTACTTTTTACAAGATGAAACCATTTGCTCACCAAGTGCTCCAGCTTGCGTCGCCTTACTGGAGGCTGTTCTTGTAACACAGAGTCCGCCAGAATGTTCAGCGTTGCTTCAACCACTCTAAGAACCTTCATCATGGGCCCCAGGTCTTTTTGGTTTGATGACGAGGAGATGGCTTGCAGTGCTTCCTCACAGCTTTCTGACCAAGCAATCTGGGAGGCTAGTACCACAAGTTGAGCCTGCAAGACGGAAACGATCAAATTTAGTATCAAGAAGACAACATTTAATTAATCTGATCCTAACACAAAGAAATCTTCTTCTTTACCTGGTAGCCATCGACCCAGTGCATGTACTTTTGCCCGTCAATGGATTCAGAGTTGAACTGCTGTATTTCACTCACTGCTGTGGCCAATAATGTAGCCAGGGTGGTGCGCATTTCAGTCTCAACACATGTCAGCCATTCATTGACCTTGGGGTGTTCTTTCAAAGACACAGCTTTCTTGAAAACCACCTGATGACAGAGAGAGTGTTATAAGTAATCCTGCACTGAGCACAATGTATTGGAACACACTTCACAATCTACTTTTGAACTTCCCAAAGTTGATAAGTCTGTCGCTTTAATCAAACTACAACAAAAATCTCGGTCGTGATTGGTTATCACCAGCCCGATTTATAATGGTAATAGGACCGAGTGGAGTCCAATTCTGTCCACCCACACAGGCATGGCGTGTGAACTGACGCATGACGTATACACTTTCCTATTAGTGCTCAAATCAGGCTGGTGATAGCCAATCACATTCAAGAATTATGTTATAGTTTTGATTAGAGCACTAATAGGACAGTATACGCGTCATGCTTGTAGTTGGACGGTGCAATAGGACAGCTAAAGGGACAGTTAACACGTTATGGCTGTGGAAGTGGACAGAACGCGTTATGCGCGCGCTTTTGTCTCGCATTTCGCCGAGTTAGCTTTTTTTTTTTTTTTTTTAATTAAAACGTATAACCGATGTCTAGTTTCTTTCTCAAATTTTGTCAAAGTTTTGATTAATTGGTAACAGGACTTCGTGTCATCCAATTTTGTCTGTAATCATACTCGTGATTAAGAAATCGGACTCCCGCTTCGCGGTCGTCTGATTTTGAAAGTCAATCGTATGATTACAGACCGAATTAGACTCCACTCAGTCCTACAACGACTATAAATTGGCTAGCACTCTAATTTTCAAATATATTTACACTGCCACTATCGTTACCAAACTTGCTTTAAAAAAATTGAGAAATCAGTGAAAACCAATAATGATTAAAAAAAATTTGATTGTGCCAATCGGTGTCCGCGACCAAAGCAAGCAAAGATGTCTGGGAGTTAAGATATAATTGTTTGTTAAATCTATGTTGATGGATTGATCTGTTGTTTATGAGTAACCCTGCTGAAAGTGTTGACTATTGAATTGATCAATCAATCAATCAGTCACTGTGGCAGAGCATCTAAGGCTGATGGTAAATCTATTGATTACAGAGAGGTAAAAACTACCACAATTGCACTATCTGAAAGTATATACATAGGTAAGCAAGGAAACAACTAAGGATCATTGCTGTTAAATTGAAGCCAGATTCTACTCCAGTAAGTGATGAAGATAAAGGGCAATTAAAAGAGATGATACTGTCGAGATTTGTCCATTACATATACAATTGCTAAAATGTGGAACAGTAAGTTGTGCAAAAATAATGCAAATGAAAGACGTTTTTTGTTCTAGCGATCTCTCGTCGAAAGTCCGAGCGAAAATTCGATCAAAAGTTCGCAGCCTTTTAAGCGACATTTCGTCTGAACAAGGGACGCTTTTTCATTGAATTTTCGACATGAAGCGAACATTCGCGGGGGGAAAGCGTCAATTCGATCAACAGTGTTCGAAATTTTGCTTCGACCTGACAATAGACTTCCCCGAGTGATCAAATAGTACTATTTGCCATTTTAGAACAAACAAATGATATGTTTTACCTCTTCTCCTTCCTTGGAACTCAAACCAGTTATCAAAGTCTCATCTTCATTAAGAACAATGGCTGCCACACCAGCGAACATCTTCTTGAAGTGCTTTTGTAGTTTTGGAATGCTCTTGCTGTTTCCAATAATCTCAAGTAAGTCTTCATCTCCCACAAAGTAGAATCTTGGAAATGATGCTCTCTCCCTCTCCAGGTATTCACCCAGAGCTTTTTGGATTTTACCAAGCAGATCAGCAAGACGTTCCAACTGTCTCTGAACACCTTGGATGTTCAGCACATCTACAATCAAGGGAGTCTTTGCCACTTTCTTCATCAGTGTCAGGAATTCTGTGCTGATGCTGGGATAAAATAAAAGAACAACAAAAAATGTTGATAATAATTATTAAAAAAAAAAGAAAGACTACTGCCTTTTCTTCTTCAAATAAAAAGTAGACATTGTCCTAACTACATTGATATTTATATAAAACATGTTTAATATTATATATTTCCCATTAAAAAAAATGTCTTAAGGCTTTTTTTACAAATTCATGACCTGTGATTGTGATCACTCACATTTTAGCCAGAATGCCGACAAAAGTTTGAAATATCTTTCACAGGTCAAAAGGGCAAGTCTCTAAAAGAGGGGTATATGAGACCCTCTGCAAAACTTCAGTTATAAATGCACATCTGATTTTGAGCAAAATTTCATCAGTTCCCTAACTTAAAAAATAAGAGCCCCTTTAACTGGGGGAAATTACGCTCATTCCTGTTAATTACAAAAAATAAAAATACCTACCTCTGGAATCGCTGAGTCTCCACTGGAAGAAGAGCCTTGATATCAGCACTGCCACTGAAGATACCATCCAGGTACACCCATCGGCGCTGGACATCAATCCACACGTCAAACACATCATGAATGCGATTCAACTTCTCCTCCCATTGAAGAGCATCTTCCTCAAAGACCTGAGGAAAAATGGCAGTTTTATAGATAACATATCACAACTTTCTAATCTGCCTCCTGTTTCGTGAAAATCCCAGGCATTTCCGATTCTGAAAAGCTGTCGTTTGTTTGCTGTGTTCATATTCAAGATTGAGATATTCACAGTTTTGAAATTAAGCAAAAAATACATTATATTAAGAAAAGAAATATAATGCATTCACTGATTTTTTAGCAAAAACCCTAGATGGGTTAAATTTAGATTCATTGCTTCTGGTCCGTGATAAAGTTATATGTACCACGATTTTCAAGAAATGGCCCTTAAGAGAAGGAAGAGTAATGTTCTAAAAAAGATTTTGAAACGAAGAGTAGCAATAAAAAGAAAAAGGCTTTTTTCATGGTCATGTTATGGGGTTCGCAAACAGAAAAGAAGGTGATTCTGGTATCTATGTGTACACATGTAGCCCCAGTATGTGAAGCTTCTAATGATATTGAAACCTGATTAAAATTGGGAATGTCTTGTTTAGAATTAGTCTATGTTGAACATGAACGTCCTAACCAAATTTAAATATGTACAGGAAACTTACTTGTCTGTCTACTCAAAATGAAAAAAAAAAAAACTAAAAACAATTGAGCAGCATTTCACAACCTTTCAATTGCATCAAGAGTAAATTATACTCAAGCCACACAAGTGTACATCATACCTTGTAGTACGGAGAGAGTTTCATGGCAGAGACGCTGTTAATGTGCTCCTTGACTTTAGTGAATAAGTCATCCCAACCGCGGATAATACGGCATTTGTTCTGGTAGTTCACCAGCTCCAGTTCATAGCTCTGCCATACATCTCGCACCTGTAGCCATGAGGAAAGTAGAAAAACCAAGATTGAAAGTGCACATGTACTTAAAAAATGAGTTACTTGTCATAACAAAAGGGGAAATGCCAGCTTAGAGAAAGATTTTAGGCAATGACATAGCCCCTGCAATCAACTCTGACAAAACTAAGAGGGAGGGGGGGGTAATCTTAGAGGACCATTGTGGATACAACTGACTGGAATTTTGCCAACCTGCAAAGAAGTCCTCATCAGAGTCAAATGAAATTAAAAAAGAATCACCTGCTTCAAGAATTCCTCCAAAGCCATTTCTCCTTGAGCAACAAGGATGACATCTTTAACAATTCCCTCATTCTTCTGAAGATCTACATCCCACACTTGTCCTAAGCTCAAGTCACTCAGCACCCAGTTCACATGAAGCTTTCTCATCAGTGTCTTCCAATGTCGTTCTTTCAGGGCTTCTGATTTGAGTTCCACAATCAGCATGTTAACCTAACAAGGCAAGTGTGAAATTAAAATATATTGCAAATCCTTCCATGACCAGAATGGAACTTCTCCTTACAACATAAAATTAATACATTTTTGAGCACAAAGGTAAAAAGAAGACAGAAAAATACCAACTGAGGGATATTCTGTGATGGGACGTTAAATTCTCCAGGCTAAATTTGTAAGAACTGTGTGGCAGACAGAAAGGAGAATTGATGTATATACAAAATATATCTTGAGAGTAAAAGGGTGCAGCAGCATGACTAGTGTGTATTTGGCACAAAACCTTCAAAAGTAAGATACCATAGTGAGGAGATAAAAATCACCTTCAAGTAAGTCTTGATTGTCTTCTGGACATACTCAAATGAAGAATACTGCTTGAGCCGAGCAGGAAGGTTCTTCATGTCATTCAACAAGGCATCAAGAGACTGACGAAGCTACAGTAATAAACAGACAAAAATGAATTTGTTTAAATCAAACACATAGTACAGTGTACATGTAAATGTACCAATAGATTAAAAGCAAATACAGTGACAAGGGAGAAAGTCCTACAGTTTGCCTTTCTGTGCAGCATAGATAGAAACTGACACTGTACCCAGTATTGACCACACCCTATATTAAGCAGACACTAGCACAAGTCCCAGTTTTTTCCCACCATATTTTCTGTATAAATCAGCAAGTAATTCACAGACACCTCTTCAAAGAAGAATGCAGACACAAAAATTATGCCTGACCTGCATTAAGTATATTGCTGAATAAGACATCTAAGTTGCTCTTTAAAGCAATTACAGTTTAAAATTCCTCTCTTTACTATTGAAACATTCATTCTACTAATCCCAAATGGCTTAAGTTGAAAGGTTGCTCATATCTTACTCTGTTCCATTTGAAAGTCCATTGCTGACAAATATTCTGCATTCTACTAATTCTGTATTAAGCACAGGCAAAAGAAATTCCTCTGGGTATCTAGTCGTTAAACCTTTCACGGTAGCAAGTTGCTATGTCTAGCACCCCAGTATACACTAGAAAACTAACCTTCCTGGGCTGAATTGAAAGCCAAGGTTTTTCTTTCAACTCATCCACTTTCTCCCAGATCTTTGCAAGTTCTGACCACACACCCTTCAAGTCTTGCAGTTCTTCCAACCCAACCTGGACTCGCTCATCACTGGCCACCAATGTTCCTGAAGGGAGATTTCAAGAAGACAGATCATATCAGCAGACTAAACCAATGTTACCAAAGTACCACCATAGAAATTGCTTTAGATCTTTCAATGACATTTCATTAGCTTGAATGGAAGTCATGAACATAGTTGAATGTCTGTCACATGTCTTCCATTTAGGTTTTTTCAAACATCATCCCCACTCACTAAGAACAATCTTCCAAGGACAAAATTCACCTAGACAGCCATGCCACAGCACTTTCTATCCCAGGTATGCAGTGTTCAAGAAAAAAAAAATTAAGAAAAATAATTTAACAGCACAAATCATACCTGGCTCCATAAGCTCTAAAGCTTCCTTAGCCCTGGCAACATTGTCTCTATCTTCCTTCAGTCTGGAGAACTTTCCCTCATAGATAGCCAAGTTGTTAAGTGCAACATCAGGTCTTGTGTTACCCTGGACTGGTTTCCCTTTCTCCCACTCAAACAGCAGTTCTGAGGTGCGGGTTTCCACAGCTTGGTCCTCAGAGATGATCTTCATCTGTAGTGTTGCAACCTTCAGAAAAGCAAAACAGAATATGAATCCAGCAAACATTCAATTCCAAAACAAAGAATTGAAAAAGAAGTCTAATAAACAGTGGTGAACACCACTCTAAAATTACATTTGTAAATTAAGACTTAGGTCTGTGTCCAAGAATCTCTCAGTTCAACTTGATCATATCTCAGTAGCTTCCTTTTGTTAACAACTAATTCAAGATTCTCAATGATTGGTTTGATCTCTACTTCTTGTTACCTGTGTCTGAATACTGGAGTCCTTCCTTTTCAGAATGTCATTAAATGCACCCCACTCTCCCTCAATGTTGTCTACATACAGCCACGATGGAGGGAAGGTAAACCTCTGTCGTTCCAAGATTCTCTGGCCTTCCTTGTACATCTACCATTTTGTAAATAAAATGTGATAATTATGTAAATTATTCTAAACCATAAAATGCCTTGCAAGAGGAAAGATCCTTCTCATTTAGAAAAATCAATTTGAAATAGAAAGGTATGATCAGAACATCCAAAAAGTCACACCTCAACATTTTTTTCCCAGTTCTTGAGTTTTCTTTTCAGAGACTGCACCACAGTTATGAAACCAACGGCATCTGATGTGGATGCTCCCTCGATTGTCTGCTGCTCCATGTCAGTGCGAGCCTAAAACATTGACAAAATAAAAAAATGCCTCTTAATATAGTGGAATACCTGACCGCTATTCATGGATACCCCACACACCCACTTTCAGCTTGCAACAGGAAGAAAAAAGAAAATGCAAAATTACCTTTGAGACTGAGCCATAGAAGTCTTGCATGTTATCTCCAAGGCGTGAAGCAAACTTGCTGAGGATTTCTTTGTGCCAGGTGTCATACTTCATGTTAACTTTAGATTGAACCTTGAATCCAGAGAAAAGATATTTGTTACCTCATGATAGACAACCAACTTCAAAAATGTAAGGCATAGCTTCACAAGGGTTAGTATCATAAATACAACCTGTTCTAGACCTAAACGAGTTTTCAGTTTCTAATCCAAACAAAAGGTGCTAGGAGATAGTACATACCTGGTGGTAGTCAATGACAATGGGACCAAAAACTTTCTGTGTCTCTGAAGTGTCAAATGTGACACGTGCTCGCCTGAGGGGCAAAAAAGATATATGCAAAGCAATGTAAACATCTACAACCCAAAACAATAGAAAAAAACAACTGAATGCATTCTTACAAGCTGTATTCACTAAAACACAAGCCATGTTAATTGGCTTACCATGTAAAGTTACAAGACAGGACTTTATTACAAGTAGTTCACCAGTTCACAGATTTAACTAAATAAACAATTTTTCCTTATATAGAAGACTGTTCACCTTTAAACCCCCCCCCAAAAAAAACCTATTACCATCTAATTTTTCTTCACAGTATAACTTCTGATTCAAACTCTAAGGTTATAGGGATAAAGGAAATTATTTCCAACTAAAGGAGTTATTGACTGATTACCCTTTACACCCTAACATCAGTAGGCATATTCTCCATACTGCTCTTTATACATTTTTTAAGGTTCTGACAAAGAGAATTTGTTTAACAATCAAGAGCTTCTTTAGTTAATGATGATATCTTTGATTCTCTTGACTTTATTGTTTGATTCAGGGATGATATTGTAAGGAGAAATTAGATGCCAGTCACCCTAAGGGGTCAGAGCATTAAGCAAATTCTCCTCAACTACATGATGGGTAATGTAAATAAAACAGTGTGAAGAATACGCATACTAAACGTTAGGAGTTAAGTGTAGATTCTGACATGACATCTTCCTTACTTGATATCTTTGAGCAGCACCATCCATTTCTCCATGTTTTCTCCCAGTCTGTTGTAGATCATACTCATGTCCATGTCCCAGAGAGACTGGTACTGCAACCAAACCTGTACATACTCTTCCATCTTTGCAACCTTCTCTTCAATTGCCGCATAAGCAGCTTGCAGGTAAACTGGACCTTCAGGAAGTTTTGCCAAGAGGTTGCGATAGGTGGTGTCAGTCTCAAACTCATCACGCTCTAAACCAACCTACAATATTAAAAAATTAATTGGGGCTAAATTAGTTAATAACAATAATAATAATACAAAAATTTCTATAGTGCCTATTCTAGAGCCTAAGGCACTTTACAATAAAATGTTTAAAGCAGTAACTCAGTAGATAATAAATTCAAAAAATGATAAAGCAAACCTACAAATTAAAATAGCACTTAAAAAGATAAGTTTTAAGGTTGCTCTTAAAAGATTTAAGATTTCAACTACAATTATATGCTCTAAAGATTACTCCAAAGTTGAAGAATAAATCAAATGCAGTAGTGTCCCCTTTACACTTGAAAAGAGAGGTTTTGGGATTCAATAGCAGATATGACCAATAGGGGTGGGATAAGACTTAATGTAATTAAATTGGCAGGCATACTATCAAATGCTCCCAATAAGCACTAATCTCTTCATGTACTAACCTGATATCGGGAACTCTGGATGCGAGGCAGCAATGTAATAATTGCAACCCACAAGTGCAGCTCGGCTATCAGGTGATCTCGCACTTTTTCCACTGGAGGCTGTATGAAAAGCACTTGGTTCTGAATAAGGATCTCATGCTTCAGGATCTGTTTAGAAAAAAAAGCCAAAAAATAAGTGCAAAATATATATAAATCTTGCAACTACAAAGACTACTTCAAGTCTTTGTGCACAAGCTCAGTGAAAACCGCTTGTTTTTAGCCGTCGGCAGAAAGATCAAACAGCAGCAATCAAGCAAGGTATTTGTATACACTATCAACAAATATGATGCAAAATGTTTTGTTTTGATTCCTTCAATGAATCACTGAGCAAGTAAATTAGATCCTTTCTTTTAATTATAGCTTTAGCCCTTAAGAAACATCAAGCATCCATCATTTATGAAGAACTGACTCAGAACAGTTTCCTTGTATTCCACACACCTGAATATCAGGGTCCCCCCCTGGCTTGTGAGCCATCATGGAAGAGTCTGTATCATCAATGTGTCTGGTTGTCCTGCTTCCTTTCAAACAATCAGTCCAGCTCTTCAAGCCTGCCTCCAAACGACCTGACAAGAATTTCTCGACCTAAAATATAATGTCATGAATAATTAATGATATCAACAAAAATCAAAAACTTACATTCATATTTTTGGACCTCACTAATTGTTGAAATTTGTCATTCTCCTTACTGTCAATCATACAATTCTTATAATGTTAGTTCAGAGAATTTAGTATTGGATCAACTAATTATCCCCAAATTGATATTTTTCTTTATTCTCATTACTTGCCTGCTTGATGTTGTATTGATATCGTAAGGAGAAATTCTGTTTTGGTAACGCATGGAAGTTAACCCTTACCTGTTGATCAAGTGTTCCAACCCACTGGGCAAGATTGGAGTAAGAATGAAGGTTCAACTCATCCACAGCTCTCTGAACTTTACCCAGAACATCTCTGAACGTCTGACTGTTGTAAGCGCAAGTCTCAAGGGAACGCACCTCTATATCAATCTTCTCAACACTGCTCAGTAGGTCATCAACCTATGAATTATTAAGTTCAATGTTTAATGAATACATTAAGCCTCTCCAAAAAACAGGTAGGAGTTTTCCCTTGATAAGAAGTAAGTACAGCTACAAAAACATTGTATTCGTAATGATCAAACTATACTGTGAAAGCCTCAACTTTGTACCTTTTCTTGGTAGTTGAAGACAGCTTCAGCTAATTTCTGCACATAGGGATCAAGCTTGTAAGACTCCCAAACAAGCACCATACCCTGAAAAATGAAGAAAGAGGAGAATTGTAATCCACATTATTACATGTATAAGAAGTGAAAAAATAAACTTGAACTTTTTTTTCCTGAGTCAATTTTTATTTAAATTTTCTAAGTAAAAAAGCCTTTATATGGGCCCAAGTGGCCCATGGGGCCAATGCTGGTTTTCTCTGGTTTTCTTAGCATGAAGCGGCTAGGAGTATCCTCCCTGGATGGGATGCAAGTCCATCACAGGGTTACCCCCAGCAAATTTGCTGATACCCATTTGTACACCTGGGTGAAGAGAAGCACTGTGAGAGTAAAGTGTCTTGCCTAAGAACAACACAATTACCCCTGCCAGGGCTCGAACCTGGACCACCCAATTCGGAGTTGAGTGCACTAACCATGAGGCCACCGCACCTCCACTTCAGTATATAGGTATAGTTGAATTTTTAATGATGTAATACACAGATGAAAATTTTACATTGATAATTATGCAATATAAGTCAATAAATTATTAAGTTTTTATAAACTCAAAATATGTTGTACTCACTTCAGTAATTAGGGCTTGTACTTCTTTGCGTAAGCCAGCCACAAGAATTGATATGGAGTTCCTCTCCTCAACCTGAGAGGAATAAAATTACATAAAACTGTATCAAAAAGGAAGGGAGGTTCTGGGGTACAGATGACTCCTAGGCACCTTTGAGAGGAGCCCCGTAAGGAGAAGATGATCTTAACTTGTTCAGTTTATTTTTTAAGTAGCACGCTGTTCACTAGTGTGCCAGAAAACTTCATTAGTTAAAAATTTAATAATAGGAACAACTATATCAAACACCACCTTCTTTTGAATTACTCCAAGGAATGACCAAGAATGAGTTTACCTTTAAAATATCCAAATAGTTTCAAGTAGAAAGGTGATGAGAGGTAAAAAAATATACTGTACTACCTACAGAGATACAATCTGATTTCACACGAAATTCCTAGATTTAAATTTAAAAGGAAAGTATGGCAGACAGTGTGGAGAATTGATATTCAGATCTTGGAGTGGAAGAGTGTAAAGTATCATGTCTTACCTTTTCACAAGTCCTTTCATATGTGCGCACACTTTCAATCAATGAGATGGCAAATGGATAAAGCTGGTTTGCTTGATGTGCTTTGTTTACAATTGCTAGTGGAACTCGGAAACCCAGCCATTTTAAGTTACGAACCTGGAATTCAAACAAAAGTCACAGGCTTGTCATTTTTTTAAAAATACATTTAAGTGGATTTCAAACATAGCCTTGGTTTAAACGTGGGGCCAATGGCAGCATTTTCATAATTCATACAAGGAATAATTGTGTTATGTAGAATGTATCATTGATGGTAAAACTACATTTGCATCCACTGCAGAAAATTGGGCAACCACACAGAAACAATTCATGAGAACAATGTACTTTCAAATACCTCCTTGGAAAGTGTGATGATTTCTGGCAAAAAGTTGACTTTCAGTTTCAGCACATTTCCTCTGCCACCTCCTCTAGCTCTGGTACTTTCAATGGTGAAGATTCGACCAGAAACTCCAAGATTTCGCTGCTGCACCTGTTTGCACAAGGAAAATATACATGTTCAACCAAATATGAGCTAGGAAAAAATTTCACCTCCACTAGTGAAAATAGAAAGCCCTGAAATTTTTACTTTCCTTCTTTGTCTCTTGTTATTCACAGTCATTCATTTATTAACTTCCTCAATCACTTACTCATCAATTTAGTCAGTCACATTGTAATCAGTCAGTCATCATTCATCCATTGCACCACTTAACACTTCCACTTCCAGTTATAAATTACCAACTTTTTTTTTTTTTAATTTTAATGTGAAAGACAATATGTAGCACACTGTGTGATACCAACCTTTCTTGACCAATCATCAAACAGTTCTTGAGTGTTAAGTTTCTGCCTGAAGCTGTCACCATCTGCCTTCAGCTTCTGTCCCTCAACATGATTTTCCCAGCCTTTGCCAAGCACATCTTCAACACGCCTCATATAGGCAGAGAGCTGCCGATCGATCTGGAAGAGAAGAAAACTCTATTAATGAACAGAACATCATCACCTTTAATGGGGTGGTCTGATCATCCAGGTTGACTGTAGTCCTGAGAAGGATTGTTCTTGGTATTGATGACTGAAGTTTCTACAACCTCAGCACGAGTCATAATCAGAGTCCAGCAAAGAGTTGTTGTCAGTCAAGTGTTTATTACCATGAGATCAAACAAGTGTATAGTTTTAAACTCCTCCAAAAATACACTAGCGCCTAGAAGATAACTAAAAACTTACCTGTCTTGCCCAGATGATGGAGCCAGACACAGGAGGCAAGTCTCTTACTTTGCTCATCTTGCAAGCTTTACTGTATGGATACTGAATCTGTAAATGAGACAAAATTAATATTAATTGCTATCAATGATATATATATATATATATATATTCTTATTTAACATCAAATTTGATTTTTTTAAATTTTGAATCTAGTTGGTTGATCAATCATATGGCAGGGTACAGCAGAACCAGTGTAATCCTGGATTACACTCCACACTAAAAATTACACAGGTGTAAGCAGAATAAATGCTATTGTAGGCATCAAGGAGAAGCACACATCGTAGGAATATCAAACCTTGAACTTGTCGTGAAGAGCCTCAATATCGTCCTTCACCCTCTGGATCAGTTGAGTCTGATATTCCCGGATTGCACCTCTGATGTGTGGACGCACAAACAAAGCATTGAATCTTGAGAAGATCCTGAACATCTCATTGGCATTCTTTGCAGTTCCAAGCTGATCTCTTAGCCGAGCTGTGATGCGAGTCTCCACTCTGTCTATGCGCTCATCATACCTGACAAGGAAACATAAAGAGAGCACTTTGTTAGACAATTTTCTTTTATTTGATAGGCATAGATTTCTGAAGATATTAAAATGTTTTACTCCAGGAGTAACCAAGGGCCTTGAGGGTTCCAGCAACTTAATGGTCCATAAAGTTCTTCTGTCCTCAATCAAGATGGGTGTTTCAAATATTTTTAAAATCACACAATGAAACTATCAGCTTCAGAAACAAATGGATTGTTAAGGGTGCTAGCACCTGCTTCCTTATTCTTTAAATTTTGATTTCGAAATTGGCTAGACCTGTTCAGTTACAGGGACTTTCAAGAAACAGGCCCCAGATCACCTATCAAATTTTCATTACTGTTTTGATAATATAGTGTCAAACAGAAAGGCAATGAAAGCAAGAAAATTATTACTTAAAAGGTCTTGGAACTTTCGACCAAATTTTTAATCAAACTCTCAATAAAAGATTGCTAGAACAAAAACCGAAAATTGCAATATCTTTTTGCACCACTTTTGCACAATACTGTAAGAGAGAGTTATCCTGCAAGTCAATTGGGAACTAACTAACCTCTTGATGGCTGCCTCCCAAGCTTCTGAGCCATCTTTTGACACATCAAGTCCATCAACTTCCTTGACATTTTCATATGCCAGGTTTACTTCCTGTATAGCATTAGCATCAGCTGGGTCAAGCAGCACTTCTGGTTTTGTCTCCTCATCCTCTGTCTGAGGGGGACCACCAGGGCTGGGAGGAGATGCTTGGCCAACAGTAGGAGGCTGGAGAACACGGACAATGACAGCTCGGAGTTGTTCATGCTGACGGCGAAATCTGAAATTTGTTATCAATATTGTTGAGTTCTGGGATAGCAAATTTAAATGAAAAACAATATTAGACTAGTACCTTATTTGGGAAAAATAAATTTACAGCTGCACCCAACATGAAAAATGGGGACTTCTACATGTTAGAAAAGAAAAGTGGTCACATAATTTATCAGTGGGTTCACTCTTCTTACTTTCTCATCTGGTCAAGCCTGGCCTGAAGTCTTTTGTGAGCTGGATTCACTCTCCACACCATCTTCAAACTTTCTTCTCTCTTCTTCTTTACAATGTCTCGCAACAAGGTTTGAAGCTTTTCATATTCATCATCCCATGTTGTGAACACTTCAAAGCAAGCTACCATAATCTACAAGAAATTATTAAGACCACAATTATATAAACTGGAAGTTTTGTATTTGACATAAAACAATTATATTATTAAAGTTGTCTGCTTTGTATCCTTACTTTTTCAAATTCTTCATGAGTGATGTGCATCAATCTTCTGGTTCCCAATACCTGGAAAATAAAATCAACCAAAAATTGTTGATTCATTATTCTGGTCATGGGAAGTTGCAGTTTAAAAAAATTTATCTTCATGAATAAATTGTCAAGATACAGCCTTGTCCATCTCATTATCTTAGGATCCAAAGATGCATTTAGTTTTTACCACACATTTAATACCGATATTTCATGGCAATATCATTTATATCATCAGACTAAATTTGAATTTTAAAAGTTGCCAATGAAAATAAATCTATCATTGTTATTTTAACTGTTGCATGTGCAACTATCTTTACACTCCGGCAGAACTGTTGCTCAAAGTTCCTGCCACCATAATTTTGCTGTGTAATAGACCCTCGCAGCAAGAAATATGAAGGTAAGCAATAACTCCCTACAGAGGACTCGGAGTTCCTTTGACATCCAATGCTCATCACAAAAACAAATAAATTCCTTCTACATAAGCAAACAAGTTCTTTACTCCTTACTGAAGACATAAAAGGGAGAATCTATGCAGCTGTACTGTACCTTTAAAAGCTGTGAACTGAGGTCTCTGGAGATTGCTTCTACGAGACGCAGTGCTCTTTGGATTGGATACTTTGTGCTACGGATCTTTTTCAAATGAGAGAAAATTGCACTCAACGCAGCTCGGATCTTGTCCAGTTCTGTTGCTGCCAGAAGGTCATCCAGAGGAAAATCCTTCATGAGTGGGTTGTAGTCATTCACTGTTGCCAAGGCCTGCTTCAAACCTTTAATGAAGAGAAAAAATTAAATCAATGTACCCTAAAGCTTACATATCAAAGTAAATAGTGATGTTTCTTCAACATTTACATGTAAACGGATAATCCTGCAGAAAACATCAATTAAATAATGAGCCATGCATGCCTTTAGGTTGTAAAATCTAAAATGTAAGTTTGACTTTACAACATTACCCCTTATACTCCCAAGATCAGATTGTTAATTCTCCCTCTGGCTGCCTTACATTTCCTTGCAAATGATTATGAGAATTTAGTGTTGGATCAAGATAACAACCTCTAACTGATAAGTTTGAGTATTCTCATCACCTGTTTGATGAATAATGTATGGATATTTTAAGGAGAACTTATATATTAATCAATTTTGGGAGATGAAGGGTTCAGCTGTTCCTATTGGAAAAGAAGGGTTCAAATAAACTTTAACTGTACCTGTATCAGTGTCAAAGCTGACAGTAGCATGAAACCTTTTGCCGTGTTTTAAGATATCCAAGGTAAGTGCAATATCTGGACTCTCTCTGATGTCCTGGATTCTTAGCAAGGCTCTCTCAAGATTTAACCAGAAGCTTATCTCTTGCAAAGCTGTACCAGATGCTGGATCACGGTCTAATTTTGTGACCTACACAAAAGAAATGCAAAGAAAAGAAAAAAAATATTCTTGAAATTAACCCACTGAACATATTCCTGGGGCTTGAACAACAACAACATTGTAATTATAAAATGTAATAGATATACGATCTGAACTGAGCTAGTCACTAAATTGAATTGTGCTTGCTATTTTGTAACACACCCTTTTAAGGGGGTCTGAGGGCATGTTCCCCCAGAATATCTTAAAAATTTGAAACTTTCTAATAAGTGATTTGCAGCATTATGAGACAATTAGTTGGGGAACTTTTTTAGCCATAAACTAACATAAGAATCAGTTCAAAAATAAATATTTTCTGCTTTTGGGTCACAATTCACAAAGTAGCCAGTGCAAAAGAGTCTGACAGCTAGCCGGTTGTGCCACCTACCAGCTTCCAATAACAAGAATGGGTTCTATGCCATCAAAAAGTATTGCCAAAATTTTCTTAGACTGTCATGACAACCTTTCATGATTCTGGACAGCAAAAGGCACCATAAGGGTTTAATGTCTTGCTCATGAAACTGCATGCATGCATTACCCGGCTTTGGCCTGAGCTTGTCAATAAAATTATACCAGTTACTGTCTCTGCCATTTAAAAAATCAGTGTTCAATTAGATCAACTCACAAACATGATCAAAGCATCACAACATTAAGACATAAAAGCAATGCTTGTGTTTCCAAACCTTTTGAATTTCTCTAATCCATCTGTTGACACCATTCTGAAGTTGATTCAAGAAAGTTGAATCCTCAACTTTGTCACCAAAATCTTGTACTTTAGGCCTTCGTCCTTCTTCTGCACACTTCTTCACCATTGCTGTCACCACAGGGTGAATTGCTAAAGAGATCTCTGGGATATCAATATTCTGCTGCAAATGAAGCAGCCCCATTTCCAACTCAGCAATTTTCTTTTCCACAGAAGGGACCATTTTATCACCATCTCTGCAAAAAAAGCAATGAAGTAGATATTTCATGATGCTTAGAATAAAGGACATTTATAGTTAATTCCTATCAATGAAAGCTGCTTGATTCAGAGGGACTGTCTGTTAAATCATTACACAGCTCATACAAGTAGCTTCTGGAAATTTTCCATCATTATCAAGCACTTTTGGTTAACCCCTGAACTCCCAAGAACTGATTGAAAATTCTTCCTTCGAGCTACTACACGAGATGAGAATTTGGTGTTAGATTAAGATAACAACTTCTACCAGATAAGTTTGAATATTCTCATCACCTGTTTGCTGGATAATGTATGGAAATCATAGAGAGAAGTAACATCGTGATGTTAATCACTTCTGAGAGTTAAAGGGTTCAGTCTCATTATGAAAAATTAATGCGTCTGTCTAAATCAAAGCTATGTACCCACAATCTGCATACAGATATTAATACTGGTTTAATAGAAAAAAACAGGATTTTCTGGGGAAGCTAAAGAGGGTGCTTTACATAATTAACTTAATGATTTAACAACAAAGATCTGCATATCAATTCTCCACACAGCATGACATACATTGCTAATAATTTTAGCTCTGAGCGTTGTCAAATGTAAACAATCGCCTAGATTACAATTTTTTCCCATCAGTTTTCTAATTTTCTGGTATATTGAGAAGGTAAAATGAAATACTCTTTGTTTACATCTGGGAGCGAAAGTAAAAACTGTTTAGGATGCGATAGAACAGATGTACCACAGGAGAGCAATATTAATCAACATTGAACATTGCATGTACTTTGATTCCTATATTTGGGTCTTGCAATTTTCACAAGTTATGTTCACACAGATAGGAGACAGCAAGTCAACAAATTTAAAAGCGTGTATTTGAGACTGTAAAAAGCGTCAAAAAGCTTAAACTGATTTTCTTTGCCATTTCCAGACATTTCAGTGAAAATATAGACATTCCAAATAAATTTGCATATTAACTAATAAACACTTTTCTTCAACACACCCAAATTCACAATTAGCGTGATCCTACAAAAAAGTGTATTTTTCGGAAACTTCCTTTAACGTTATTGCACATGACACCAATTGAAATAAAGAAAAAAGTACATCTGATCAAAATAATGGTCACAAAAGCTAAAATGTAAGCGTTGCGATACCTGTCCGCCTTTCCAGATTTCCTGACAAATGACTTGAAATATGGCGCCACAGCATTGCTAATATAGGAATGAAGAGTTTCATAAGGCGAGCCCTCGTTTAAATTTATCACACGGATCTGTGTTGTGATCTTCTTGTCGGCATCGACAATGGCCCCTCGCTTGATGAAGGCTACACTCGTAAGCTTTGGAGCTGTGTAATGGACATCCAAGTCTAGCGAATAAATTGCTCTTTCACGCTCGTTTTCTGCGCCACTCTCGGTGGACGAGGTCTCATCGTTTTCTTCTTCATCTTTCAGTGGTGTTCGCTGAACAAGTAGACTTCTCGTTTGAGCATCAGAGACAAATTTCCTGATGTAATCGACGTGTAGGGCATCTTTGAGAGCTGTGTCGAGCTCGAGAGGTATTTCGGGGTCACCTTCGAGAAGGAGCGGTACAATTCGACGAAGATAATTTGTGAAACTCTTCACATCAACCACAGCAGCTTCTGGAGTGGTCGGGGAGCTAGGTGCTCCATCCGAAGCCGCCTCCATGACGGGCAAACTAACACTATAACTCTTTCAGCAATCGAAGATATTCGCAGTGTATTTATCACCGGTAAACTGACTTCTTTTATCTTCCACGTTGATAGAGATCACGTGATCTACGAAAATTGTACTCAGGGGTGGGGTAGGAGACAACTAACTTTTGTAGCGCAAGCCAAAGGAAAACCCAATTTGATTGGACAAAAAAAATGCAATTTCCAAGGTAAAGGAAGGAAGTAGGGGATGAAATATGTTGTGCACAAATATTACTGTTAATAAGACAAATTAACACTTGATGTATGCTACAGATCTGGTGTTGCATATCTAACCCTTTCACACACCCGAGATTTAAACATTAATCCTCTGAACCATTCCCCATTTGTTGCTTATGATTCACGACCTACTATTTTGATATTTAATCAAGCAATATGCTCTTGTTGATATTTTTCTTTCTTCTCATTACTTTTCTGCTCAGGATTGTATGGATATTGTTAGGAGAGACTGCTTGTTAATCACTCTTAGGAGGGAAAGGATTAACTGAGAGGTCTAAATCTGCTTCTACTGAGTAAGGCTGTTAGTCAGTAAAGACAACTGAAAAGGCTGGCAAGTTAAAAACTAACAAGGTAGAAGAGGGAACAATTTCTACCCCTTGCACTCTTTCCCAACAATCCTTTTCAATCATCCACTTTAACAATCCCCTTTATTAAAAGAGAGCTTGGAGGAGGCCTGGTATGAATTAGAAGTCCTTAGAATTTTTTTAACTAGACTAAACAAACCAAAAACGTAAAATTACTACTGGATTCATAAAACCATTTGAAGCAAAATTAATACATTTTATTCTCCATAAGAAGAGGCTCAGACTTAATTGTAAAATTTATGTGATTGTGAATGGTATCACTTTTTTTACTCTAATTAACCAAAATAGTGAAGTGAGTTTTTTAGACTGGTTAAAGAGAGTAGTAAAACGAAAACAGAATAACTGCAGATTGCTATTAACAACAAATTGAATATTACCGTATTATCAGTTATAGAGAAATTTTCATATAAAGAGGACTTACAAGAATTTGGGAACTTTGTACAATATTTACAGAAATGTCTGATTTGATGGAGTTGTTTCAATTGAAGTATAATACACATCTTCAGACAACTTTCTCCTTATGGCTTGACACGTCTCCTTTTTCCACTTCAGTTAAGATCCATTAATTTCCACTTTCTTCCTGTATTCCAATCAACTTTTCACTTCACAAACCACAGAATGACATGTAAGAAGTTCAATTTGATTGCACAAATGGTTATGATACATGTCTACTGGTTGGCACTTTCACAGGCATCGATCCAGTCACTGTATACATCCACTGGCTCTGAAAGATCTTCCGAACTATTAAGGAAAATCACTCTTCATGATTTATAAATCATTGGAAGTCACACTTCAAACTGGAAAAACAAATAATTTCAAAATGTAAAAACTAATCTAGTTGGTTTAGGGGAAGATGACTAGGAAAAGATACAGAGACAAGTGCCTTCAATGAGAGGTCTCCCTTCAGAAGAGGTTGATGATCTTTTCTAGTCCCAGGACCTCAAAAACAATTCTCATGACTGTCTGCCATACTTTTCTTGTGATTAGTTAAGCTCAAAAGAAGTTGGTGTTGAATTAAACAATAACCCCTTGTTTGATATTTTCTTCTTGTTGTTACCTCTATGCATGGCAATGTTTTATGGAGAAATTAGTTTTTAGTAGCTCTTTAATTGGAAAGTCTGAAACAAGGTTATTAGTACTTTTTCAGCCAAGGCCAAACTTGTGACCCTGAAATTAAAGTTTCAGAGAGGACAGATGCCACTGTACGCAGCATTACAAAAGAGTCACAAAATGATTTTGCACATGTTTAAGGTGGGTCTCCATCCAAAGTAACATGTACATAGTATCTTTACTGATCAAATTGGAAAATCCCACATGCTGCTTTCTAGAGAGCTCTGACAATAGGCTAATGCTCAAAACATCAGCTTTCAAACTCTTTACAGTAGCCAATTTATGTTATCAACCCAGTTGATAATATTAAACTACCCAGTTAAAAGTCTAGTTCTGAAGTTTGGCCAAAAGGTTGAACTTGAAACAACTAAGAATAAGTCTAAAGAGTGGCAAGGTTGTATATTGTAACTACCAGATTCACACTCCACTACTCCTGTAAAATACTTGGCTACACTGGTTTTGTTTTACAGCTGTTAAAATAATTGTGTATAGCAAGGATACAAGTAATAGATGTCTGAAAATCTTCTAAACAAACCCGACAGGATATATGTCCAGTATTACGAACCCGATCCCTGATGGAAGACAGAAAAATAACTTCTTTCACACGTACACAATTGTAACATAATCAACTTTAGTCACTGGTTGGGAACAAGAGAAGGAAATCTTTCAGAATTAATGGGAAGATTAGGGTATCTCTGTTAAAAAGCCAGAGATTTTCATCTGAATTTTACAACCAGAAGTTCCAAATCCCAAAATCTACACACGAAATCTTATGGTGAAGACCTCTCTCAACACCACGGGTTGAAACAGTAAAAACTTGTTAGCACACTTCACTGTCAACACGTAGAAATAATACTACAAATACTAGTAGGAGCTACTAAAAAAAAAATTAACGTAAAGCTACAAAGAGACTCGCAATCAAATGCGAACGTTCCTTCAAAAGAACCCAAATTTGAGCGCAGCAATCAATGGTGATTGTCCTGTTTTGTCTGGGCACCAAACTTACATTCTTACTTCGCAAGACTTCTCGTGATTACAAAAGGGACAGTTAAATTGCTTGTCCAGTGGATCCTGTCTTCTTTTAGGAGCTGGCTTTCGCTTGGATCTTCTACGACCCATTTCAACTCTCCACTCTCACAATCTAACGATCTAACTGCTTCTCCTTCTCTCTAACACGTTGTGACAACTTCGTAACCAATCCCCTCTCCAAAGGAACGCGTTTATTTCATATAAAACAATTTTTGTGTCCCAAAACTTTTGTGAAGAGCTGCTTTCGTAAGAATGGAATGGTCCTCTTACAGAAATCTTTTCCTTGATGGAAAAGGTGCGTTTCCTTGATGCATTTCAAAATTACATTGTCTCCCTGTTTCAGAAATAACTTCCCATAAAAACACTATGACAGAATGAGTTCTTCCTCGTTTGTCACCAACGAAAATGTGTGTATGAAGACCCATGCTAGAATCTCAGGTTACATCTTTTTTTCTAACTCGACAGAAAGATGAGATACTCCAATTTCATCGTATTTATATCAAACAAATGTCTTTTACATCCTGAGCCAAAAGTATGCTACCTACATGCAATGTCGCTACAGGAATACATTTGACAACCGCTTAGGTATTAGTGAAACTTAAAGGTTCATGATTTGACATATTTTACATTCTCTAATCGCGTCTGTCTGAATTAATTTTTGGTAGACGCCTTAGGCATGATGATTATAAGACAGCTTAGGTCAGAGGCGACTCGCTGCTTACGCTGTAAGTGCAAGCGCTAGGGTATCATATCGCAAAATATTAGCGTGACTGCAACAATCTAGGTGGGTTTAAGAAACAAGGTAAGTCTGAATTTAGATGTCTGCATGATATAGCCAATATTCTTTAAGAAACATCGACGATAACACATGAATGTCTAAATTAATCTTGCCGCTGATTTAAAACGATTTCTTTTTTGAACCTTATTACATAATAATTGACATCTTAGAACAATCGTAATGAGAGCTAAAAAGCTTGAATGTCTTCGGAAAGGCTAGGAAGGGACAACATTATTAATTGAACACAAGAGTGGACTCCATTTCTGCGAATATTTAAGGGGAAAAAAGCCTAGCGGCATATCTCCAAAAGTACAAAAACTTCCTTAAAACCCCTTGCGGCCTGTCACGCGACCAAACTTTTCTTTGCCATAGTCTCTGCATGTGTTTAAAAAAACCGGCGCATAACCCTCCAATAAGCTCATATAAAATGTTTGACCAAAATATTCCTTTCTATGCAAATTATAACACGGTAGCGATCATCTTTGATGGATGCTCTGGCGACTGTTTGATCCATTAAGTCAGATTTATTTACTTTGGCTTTCAAAAGAAAGTTCAAGTTGAAACAAGCTTGGATCTTTTATTTTCGCATCACAAATCGGACCTTAAACTCTTCAACATGTGTGCTATATTTGAGTGATCATGGAAAAGGTCGACGGACTTTCTTCAGGGCAAAGAAATGTTTGCAAGAGAACAGTAAGTGAAGCGACGCGCTTTCGCTGTATTCCGTTGAATCTTAGGGCTTCTTAACACGGATAACTTCATCAACTTCTGTGATAAGCCAAATTCGGATAGAAATACACATGCAAACAAATCGAAGAAAGTACATTTTTGAACGGATCAGTGCATGAACTTCAACGAGGGACCAATTTGCTCGGTTCAGTGAGTTGTCTGTCTACGGTCTTCCAAGCGTGAAGCGTTCGTAAAATTAACTAAAATCGTCGAAACTGATTTAGTTGAACACCTCAGTATTACGAACAACTGAGCTACAGAGTATCTCTTATCAAAACATAAGCTCTTGGGTTACTGTACTCTTTGTTTTAAGTTTTGCCTCTTCGTTGCGTTCATTGAGTTCATTGTTTTATCATTAAGTCCATGATGATTGCATTCGCCCACGCGATAGTCTCACCCTTCATGACTTAAGCAGAGCTGTCGATTCTTTTTTTTTTTTTTTTATTTGATGTCTGAAGATCGTGATAAAGCTGCTTAAACGACTAGAAATGATATGTCTTCATTGCGTTTATCAAGTTCCTTTCATGTTTTATCATGATCTCTATGGTAACTGTAATCGCATCCGCGGTAGTCTCAAACTTCAGAGCATATTAAATGCGTAAGCAGAGCTCTCTATTTTCTTTTTTTTTCCCCTCGATATTTGATGATTGTGATAAAGCTGCTTAACAGACGGGAAATGATATGTGCGCACCATTATGAACGATTTAATGGCGAAAATAAATGTGACTGAAAACATAAGATCTCAAAAGTTCAGAACGAGGAAGTATAAGTTTCAAACTAAAGGTAGGATCGAGTACTCGCGCACGAACTCTGGAAAACAAACTGTCATCTTGATGTCAGCATGAGCTTCTTAGATTAAACAGCTATGTGCATTCCACGCAACATGAGGAAGCATATTTTCTATATTTACCGTTTATTGAAACCAAGTTGTCAGCCGGATTTTTCTTTACATTCGAAACTGTAAACGCCACATCTGGTTTATCGGTTTCTTTCTGGAATTCCATTCCACATCAGTAACGTAATTGCTTATTTTACAAACAAAAGTTTTGAAAATTGATTGAAAACAAAGATGCTTGTATGCTAGACACAATTATAGACACTCGACAAGTTTTTAGTTCTAAGTCGTGCATGGATAATTTTCACTGGCAGACTGTTCGTGCCACGACCGGTGAGAATTTTCTTGTCAGACCGTTCCAAAATATGGTTGGACGTTTTCACATCAATTTCTCTTTATCGTCCCTCAATATAACTGTTTTGACAAATCATCCAACTTGGTAACAGGATGCCACTTATAAACGAAAGTTTCTTTTTGGTTTCGTTTCTCGAGTGAGGAGCAGCAGGTCAAAAGACCATTTCCATAAATTATTTGGTTTCCAATAATCCTCCCTCTCGTAAAAGCGGGACAGTCGATCGCGCAACAAAAAGAAATACATAAAGTAAGAAATAATGAACAAATGAATGAAAGCGAAAAATAAATGAAAGAAACCACCCAATTGATTGAGTTCAGGGTAGCCTGGCTGCAAAGGGAAAAGACCTGGATACAGGTGAGCGTACAAAGGAAATTCCTTTAAAGATTCCTATCGAAAACGAAGTCTTGATTACATGCTTCCACATCAATTAAAGAATCTGAACTAACGTTAGCAAAAAAATTTGCTCACGAGATGGCATTTCTGGATATTTCGTTATTTAATTTTATTTTAAACTGAGGATGGCCAAACGTATGGAAAAGGACCTTGGCTTTTGGGTTAACGCACTCCCAGATCCCATTAGTAATTCTCCCTACTGTCTGTCATGCAATTGGGAGAATTTGATATTGGATCAATTTATAAGACCCAAATTGAAAATTTTCTTTATTCTCATCACTTGTCTTCTTGATATTGTATTAATATTGAAGGGAGAAATTCTTTCTCGGTCGCTAATGGGAGTTTTGGAAGGGTTAAGTCTATGCTATCGCCCTGCTCGTTTTTCTAAAAAAATCAATTCGCAAGATTGAAAGAGACAAGAGGAACATATTGTGATATGCTCAAATTTAACACTTGCGATCCACGAAAATAAACCCTCGACCTAAAGGTTCACCCGCGACTCACACCAATTTATCCTATCTATTTTGTAACATAAATTCAGTGATGGAAACAGACACGGTTTCGGTGGAGCCACGTTGGAAACGTGACTTGGAGTTACTTTGTAAAGCCCCGAGAGTGGCGAGCAACTTTATCACCTCATCTCTAGAAAAATGTTTTTATAGGTGAGTGACTTCAATTTTACTTTCAATCACAGGAACTGGGATCACCAGGCATGGGTGGGATATAATAGTACTCAGAGTGAAATAGAACAATAGAGTTTAAATATGTTTTGGGCCCGACTCAGACTCACTTTAGCCTGAGCCGCAAGGCGAGGGTTAAAATGAGTCTGAGTTGGGCCCAAACCGCACTGAGTCATATTTAAACTTTGACCCACGGTATGGGCGTAATCTTTTTTCCCTGGTAATCTGGCATTATGACATAAGCGTATCATCAAAACTATTTATACGGGCTGGCTGAAAAGTCGTGATTCTAACCGATCATTGCAGATGATTAGATCGTTTAAGTTCAAGATGTCCATTTGTGCGGAGCACTTTACATAATCCGACTTCCCTAGCCAGGGGTGCTGGTTGTGCAATTTAACGTCTTACCAGACTTGACATGTTCAAATGAACTCGATAGTCGTACTTGTTGATGTGTTATGCGCGATATATGATATGTGATATGTGCTTGCATATTCAGATTGGGGAAAGTAGTCGGCGGCAGTCCATGGATCACCATTTTTATTTCATTAGCTACTTGCGGAGTGTGCCTCTTAGGGGTTCTCAAATTTACAAAGGAGAATAGAGTAGATAAGCTTTGGACGCCACAAGATTCGACCGTCCAAAGACACAAATTATGGATACAAAAGAACTTCCCGGCACAGATGAGAGTTTCTAGTGTGCTTCTTGTGGCCGATGATGTCCTTACCCCCGAGGTTATGAAAGAGGTAAGTGATCAGTCATTGTCGACCACCGCAAATTAGGCGGAGAATTCCTCGACAGAAGATGTCTGCACTGCCGCAGTCATGGTGAAGTCAAATGGCGTGGATAAATTTGAATGTATGAGAGGATACAGTAATCCTTTGAATCTCCTCGAAGAAAGCTTTGTCGTACCTATCATAGATATAACCTGCGTAGCTGGCAATTTTGTCTGCGCTATGACGATTAAGCGGTGAAACCACGAGAGGCTTGGGACGGAAGATAGTTATGTTCCCCTTCCGGCTTCACTACTCATCTACCGTAAAGCCTACAAAAAACCTTCAGCCGCATAAGACATCATAAATATTTTTAAAGTGCCACAATTTTTTTTTTAAATTTTATTGCTTTTTTTTTTTACAGGCTTTAATGGTCTATGAGAGGGGAACAAAAATTAATCAAAAGACCAAATATTCCTGGGAGAATATATGTTTCAGGTAGGTAGAAGATACAAGATGCAAGATGTACGGTAAAAATGCCGAACTTTTACCTTCTTGGAGGATGGGGGGAGGGGGTGAGGGGGAGGCATAAGGCATCGTAGGGTTACCCCTTGGTATTTCGTCGGGTTCTCCCCAGACACTGTGTGCCTGCCGCCAGTCTGAGGTCTTCCACCTCAGATCAAAAACGTAAAGAAAAGACAAATTTAACGGGGCACTGACATTGTTTGAAATGTTTCAGAATTGGCCCGATTTGTTTAAAAAGTGGTTTGTTGGAGCTCTGGTCTTTTGATGAAGCTGTAATAAACCGTCTCACAAGAGAAGACATTTTGGAAAAGATAAACCAAGAAGTTATAATAAGGTGAATATCAAACATATACAAGTATTCATCTCATGCACATCTTTATTTCTAAAACGATTGAGAAAGTTTTCATTTGCCTTAAAGGTGACTGGGCCTGACTTTACCAAACTTGATTTTAGACAAAGAATTACGCCTTCTGCTGACCAATACGTGAAATGAGCAGAGTTCAAATATTTTTTACCATAACTGTTATTATTGTTGTTATTGTTTGGCTTAGCTTTTTCAGTTCATGACACAATTGCCTTTGGTTTTGCGTCATTACGTGTAAAAATTTGCTTAAATGTTGTCCATTTTAAGACAATTACCCACGGATGCTAATTCTTATCATGGCTACGTTTATTGATTTACTCCCAAAAATTCAACATTAAAAACATCGATGGAATTCACAAGTTCGTCGCTTAAGTAAGTTTCCGAACCTGTTTATGAGTAAAGTTACGTACATGTTTACCTTTCCAGCTTACTACAGGTACTATAAATAGCTACTGCCTAAAAAAAAAGGGTAGTATAAACGCGTTACTAAGACACTCATGATCATCTTCCATCACTAATCTCCTCGAGCTACGCTATTTCATCATAGCATTGCAGCACTAAATATTGTGCGATCCAGATAACAGAAAGTTGCACAACTTCGTTCATGCTAAATTATTTTAAACAATAAGCTTTGCAGCTACACATATCCTTGTAAATTAATTATGAGAATTTGGTGTTAGATCAAGATAACTTCTATCTGATATGTTAGAATATTTTCATTAGCTGTTTGCTGGATAATGTGAGGATATTATAGGGAGAAGTTTCATGTTGATCACTTCTGAGAGTTAAAGGGTTAAGGAAAAAATGTTCGATATAACTGACAAGGATTAATGCCAGTATCTGAGTAACTACGCACTTACCCCTCCCCTATCCCTATAACAGTCAACTGATTAAAAAGTTAGGGTTAATGTTGGGTTAGGGGAGGGGTAGGTGCGCAGTTCACTTGTATGACAAAATCTAGTAACACTAATCACACAAACTTCTCACTTGAACGAACAGATAGCAGCCGAAATTTTTAAAACTATCCTCCCAACCCTCAAAAAATTGAAAGTCAGTCCTTCCTCACACAGAGATATTATATCAATCCAGTAGGACTGTGAACTATTTTATATCCATGCAGACTGTAACTGTGTCACTCTCACATAGCAAAGCAAAACTTCCCAATTATGCAACTTCAGGGCCAAAGTCTTCATACGGAGGGTCATGCATGGAGATGTCGTTGTAGTATGTAGTGCGCTGGCGCGAACGGTGGTGATACTTCTCTCAGTAAAAAACGTTTGAGGCGCCGAGGAAACACGACACAGGCCACCACAAAACATAGTATATTGACCTCCTACGAAAAGAATAATGAAATATCTTATGAATGGAAAAAGCATACGCAGATGCCTATCACCAACTTAGTAACCACGTAATAAAAATTTGCATTGCCAAACAACTATGAAGTGACAGATTTTCCAGATTGACCGAAATTAGAAATAAAATTTGTTCGATTAAAAAAAGTTGAAGTAGTTTAAAAATACAAGCAAGACTTAAAAGTATCCAAGAGAGTATAATTTTTTTTCATTAAGTAAATATGGGCTTGAACTGTCGTAAACCCAGGTGTGTAGTACGCATCACTGAAGAAATACCGTCAAAATAAGAGCAACATGAATTTATCATGATTGTACTTTAAATATTTCATGATACGTTCAGTAGAGGAAAACTTTGATTTTGGAACGAAATTCGGGAGGTACCCGGGGAAAAAAATGAAGAGACTGTCGCTATCGATTAAAGAAGAAATACGCCACAGTACGACGTCAAGCGAGAAAATACTACAAAGATCCAAATTTACAAGAGAATATCTTCATATTTGATAAAATCATCTTACAAGTTAACGTTTTAGCATTGTACATTAATTCCACTGCACGTGGTTTCAATGCTATCAATTTCAAAACTCACCCGGGTGAACTGTAGTCAATTTATAAACTAAACAGAATGCCACATAGGCAACTCCGGTATGCACACTCATCCTTACGAAAACGACTTCAAAGCGTTTTATACTTCTTCGTAAATGTTCGTTTCACTAAACAATAGAAAATAGCTTCGTACTTTGGTAACTTTTGACCAAAAGAGTCTCCAGTCACGCTAGACTGAGACGCCGGTGTACTAATGAACGAATGGGCGCGATCTCAACGTTTTGATGATCCAGACATGCTCACGCGCATCAATTGCGCGGGAAAAAGGATGATGCAATATGCCACTCACACCTTATTCAAATGTTGTGAGGGGGGTCGAACCGACCTCCTTTGCAAAAATGGATGCATATAATTCCCTTTCCTCGATGTTAAGTTTAAAATTGGCGACTTTATTTCCGATCTTAGGGTTATTTCTTTCTCCCTTTACTCTTACCTACTTTTTCCTTTTTTTTCTGCTACGCCTTGTGCAGCTGGAACATTGGGAGAAAAGGAAGCAGATTCCACTAGTCATTTCAGATTCGATCCAATACGCGTATTTTATGAAAATTTCGGTTTTTAGCTAATGTTTCTGTCACTCGTGAGGATCTTTAGAATCATATCGCATAAGGTTGATAGTCACTTCGTATCACAGTGCATTAATTACGGCTCAGAATCTCGCTGAGTCCTTAATTAGTATTGGTCGATGAATGGTCGGACTGAAATAGAATTCCACCTTACATGCACGTCATTTTACAAGCAAACTTCGTTAAATTTCAACTATTTACGTATAACTACCTCCAGGCATTTTCCCTTAGTCTATGGCCGGCTGGTTCACAGCTGGAATAAAACACAAGTTAGTCTCTGTTCTGCACAGAGCTTTTCATTATTTACCCCGGCCCTTTAGTGAACTATGTAGCATATCGAAAGAACATAAAGACAGATTAACATGTCACGATAACTTGATGATTCAAATAGAACAGAACTAATTGAGGACAAAACAGTACCTCGATAAAATTCATAAATTCAGTCAAACTCGGAAGTGCAGTTTATGGAAATAAGTGAAGTTACGATCCTGCTATCAATGTTTGTTATGTTTGGAATGATTACTATGCAAATCATCTCTCTGTGAAACTTTCGCAACCACAACATTACCAAAAAAGGAAAAAGAGAATGTTGAGAAGCTAGGACATGGCACATTTATGTAACAGTCGACTATTTGAGAATCTTCAAATCAAGAAAATATTTCCGATCTTAAGGTTATTTCTTTTTTCCTTTATTCTTTCCTTCTTTTTCCTTTTTTTTCTGCGACGCCTTGTGCAGCTGGAACATTGGGAGAAAAGGAAGCAGTTAATATTCCACAAGTCATTTTAGATTCGATCCAATACCGTCACGTATGTTATGAAAATTTCGGTTTTTAGCTAGTGTTTCTGTCACTCGTGAGGATCTTTAGAATCATATCTCATAAGGTTGATAGTCACTTCGTATCACAGCGCATTAATTACGGCTCAGAATCTCGCTGAATCCGGACTGAAATAGAATTCCATCGTATATTTACGTATAACTACCTCCAAGCATTTTCCCTTAGTTTATGGCTGGCTGGTTCACAGCTGGAATAAAACACAGATTTTTAATTTTAATCTGTTAAAACAGATTAACATGCTGGAGAGCGTGAAGTAGCGAATGAAAAGATCATGGAAAAATCAATCTGAAAAATCGATATCAGTGTCGCTTTGAAATGGTGGAATCAACTCTCTATTGACATGGGAAAAATAGAGCAATCTAAATAAAATGTGTAATGTTTAATCATTCTCCGAAAGTTCCTACGTCATATTTCGGTCATTAACGACGTGTGCTTGTCTAGAGCAGCCATGAGAATATTGTTATAAGCTGAAACAAGTTCCTGTAAATCATCAGGTGAAGTCAGGCACAACTTAGAAGTAGCCAAGTCCCTATTCAAAGAGACCACACCGACTGATTGTAATTTTCGGTGGAAAACTTTCCGCTCTAAAATTGGTGGCTTATCATAACGGATAGAACAAAGAACTGCTGCATGGTCGGAAATATACTAGCTAATACGCGGTTTATTCCCAAGTAACTGATCAGATTGACGTGTGATGATCAAGTCATGGGTGTGGTCGCGTTTACGAGTGGGACTTGTAACATGCTGTTGAAGTCCATATGACTCCAGTAAATCCATCAGTTTTATGGCGTCAGTGTCCACTGCATTATCCAAATGAATGTTAAAATCCCCAGATATTAAGAGTTGTTCCTGGCAGATTACTATAGACTCTAAATAATCAGCGAGCTCCGAAAAGAGTGTGCTGATGCGAACCCTGTGCACATTGAATAAGGTGGTTGATAGAGTATGATGACGCGGAGAACAGTCAACTCAGAAAACTCAAAAGATTCTTTCTCGTCAGCAGTTATCTTTTTCACATGAAGTGAGTCTCGGTGAAGAAGAGCTGTTCCGCCAGCAATGCGATCAGTGTGTGGATGGTCGCAAAACTTGTAACTTGTAGGACACAACTCATTTCTTACTGCATCATCATTTGCATTTAGCCAAGTCTGTGATTGCAAGCATGTTCACAAATTATCAACCTCATACTGTTGAGTGATGAGCCAATAATAAATGTCGATATTTAAGGGCAATTTGCGATTTAATAGCTATCAACAGTTTGTTAAACATCGCAGTCACTGAAAAGAATAATTCGCTACCAAGGAAAATTTGGAAAAAAGTGAGCTTTTTCATACGGAAACGTAGATCTCAGTCGATATTGCGATTTTAGAACTACTTTGTTCATGCTTGTATATTTTTCAAGTATCAAGTTTTCTTTCAAAGAGTTTTTCTCTCTTTCTCTTATTTTTTCTTCGTAATTTTGTAGTCCAATGACCAGAAAAAAGTTTGATTTATCAAAGTGCATTGGGGGAATCAAGAGGAACTCGACAGGACACGTGGTTGCTGCAGAAGCTACATCTCTTTTGTTTGGAATCAAATTCAATCCAAAACTAAATGCAAAGGAAGGACGTTTGGTGGGTTATTTTACACTTTTTTGTTATGAGTGGTGAGAAATACAGACGTACTTAAGTCATTACAAAACGCACAACCATTATTTTACGTTAGACTCGTACCCCTGTTGATTTAACTTTTATCCCCTTAAATTACAAATTAATAATTAAAGATTAAACCTTTTGCTGTTCATCAGCAGAAAATATACCTTCATTTGTGCAAATAGTTTAATCAACAGCGCGGCACTATTCTCATTACACCAAAGATCATTCATTTAGACAAAAGTAGAATCATTAACGATTTTAGTATGCACAGTAACATTCGATAGCATTAACTTCAACAGACAAGCGTCTACAGAATTTGACATGGATCAGCTCCTGGGTACTCTCATTTGCACAAGACTCAATTAAACTCCATGAGAATAACTTAGAAACATTTGGGCCAATTGCCGAACATTATAGAGTTCTGCATAAACATCCACGTTCCACTAATAAATGAAGCATTTTCACAAACATTACGTTCTGTAAGTGGTGTAGATGAACTGGTGTAGGTCCACCCTATCAGTCAAACTACTCACACTGGTGTATCTATACTTTCCTTAAATGAACAACAAAAGGTGTGATAAAGTCGAAATATTTCTTTACAGGAGGATAAGGTGGTCGAGAAATGGGAAAAAGAGTTCAATAAACTGATGGACACGACTAAAACAACTAATGCGAAGCTTTACTACATGACAGAAGTTAGGTATGATTTTTTCAAACTTGTTGCCAAAAGTTGCAAGTTTTCCCTGTTGTCTGGTACATCATAAGTTATCAATTAAATTCCTCCTTTCAATATACCAAAACGTGGTCGGATTTAACTCGTGAAGCGCGATTATAATGTCTTTTCGGTCGCTCAAAGGTGATTACCGCTGGCTGATCACTTTGGAGCCAACCAATCAGCACGCGTGAAAAGCTCTATTCACCTGTGTGGTATTTTCTATCAGACCGTATATGAGGCTTTAATAACACTCTATAGGACTCTTCTCTTCTCGTACCTTGTAGATATAGAGAAGATGCAGACAAAAGTATACAAGACGACATTGTTCTGCTTTCTTGTGGATACATCCTTGTTATTTTTTATGTTTCTGTAATGCTGGGAAATTTTAGTCGCATGAATACCAAGGTAAGTGTTTCATCCTCTAATTTCTGTCTCTCATCTTAGGCACACTTTAAATATGGTACAAATCCGGTTAGATCCTCTGGACGGGGTACCCAAATTGATGATAAGGATAATTAACCCTTTCAACCCTAACATCAGTATGCATATTCTCCATACTGTTCTCTATACATTTCCTAAGGTGCTGACAAGGAGAATTTGTTAAACAATCAAGAGCTTCTTGAGTTGGTAATCATTTCCTTAAGTCTCACGATGTCAAAGTGTGATTCAAGGATGATATTGTTAGGAGAAATTAGATGCCAGATTCGGAGGAAAACTTTTTAGGCCCCTTAGCCAATTTTGCACAGTTCAAAAGAAAGCTAACATCCTCTTAATAGGGTCTCCAATACGATGGAATCTCTGAAACAATCTTCAATTCATTTTCTTATAACCTACATAAAGGTTTGGCTGGCGATATTTGGGGTTCTTTGCGTTGGTTTATCCATCGGTGTGTCATTTGGAATAGCAAGTGCATGTGGAATTTTCTACGGTCCAATTCATTCTACATTACCTTTCCTTTTACTTGGTAAGTGTAGCTAGATGTGAATGGTGTCATGTGGATATCTAATGATCAATTTTGATGGCGGGCTCAACACTGATGGTTAGTTTAAAAAAGATATGGGTGAAGAGCAAAAAAATCTCAAGCTGCATGAATTTCTCTTCGTTTCTCAATGGTTTAATTCATATAAAATTATATTGGTGAAGTATTTCTTCAGGCCTTTTCACTCCCAAGAGTGAAAAAAAAAGGAATTTACCCTAACGATATCTTTACATTTTCAAGCAAAAAAGTGATTCGAGAAACGAAAAGTATCAACTCAATGGGTGAGCTTAAATGATAGGAAGTGGATGGGAGACATTGAATACAATTGATATTGAGATATTAGGTGTGAAAAGGTTAGAATGTTTGTTCGCAGGTATTGGAGTGGATGACATGTTTGTGATCGTTCAAGCTTGGAGCAACTTGGCACCAGAAATATGTCAGACTCAACCGATACAAGAACGAATTGGACTTGCTCTGAAACATGCTGTAAGTTGTAAGAGGTTGAAATCCTGCAACAAATTTTTTGAATAGTAATGTACACTTTCTATTGGTTTACGGTATAATGGCCTGAGTGGAATGATGAGAGGAAAGTTTGTAAATTACGAGTCGCGGACGAGTGATCAACAGACTTGGCGCACTCTTCTTTCAAACAATCAGGGCACGCGAATAAAAAAAAAAGGTATCGAAAAATGAGATAAAAACTGTGCGTTACGTTGAGTCAGGAAGCAGTTCCTAATTCAATCAGTGCCGAGTTGCGCATGATTGCATCCATTCAGCCATATTATGTCGCTGTCTTGTTTCAGGGATGCTCAATCACCATCACAACTTTGACGGATTTTCTTGCCTTTCTGATAGGATCAACTACGGTTTGTACGAAAATGTATTCAAGATATTTGTAGTTTTAATTGGTCTGGTTTTTCCTGGTCTCCTTTCCAGCTATTTTAAGGGATGTAATTCAACGCTCCTCCAGGAGGGGGATGGGTTGGGAGGGACGTAAATGTCAAGGGAAAATGACACGATACTCTTCTCCTTATCAGTCGACTTTTTTAAAAGCCTCTCATATGTTCTAAATCACAATTTAATAAGCTAATGAATGTGCGGAATGAAATTTCTCCACGTTCTACTTTAAAAAGAGATTGAGCGAACTTCTACCGTTGGTTTTCGTAATCCATTGTATTTTTTACTTTTGCAATGTCCGCACCTTTTCTTCTAGTCTTTTAAACCTCCATGTTTCAAAGTCTCACATGACCGTGGTTTTGTTACATTTTACTGCAGATTTTACCAGCACTGAGATCATTCTGTATTTATGCGGCAATAGGTAAGTTATTTTACCCATACTCAGGGGATTGGATAAGGAATCGACCAGTTAAATAAGTAAGATCCTACATCAGCACCTTATATAACTTAGTGAACATGTACGTCAAGTGATCATCACACTCTTTTTAACTTTCCATACCTGAAAGCAGGTCAAATGGCTACCTGGAACTACTAACGTTTCCACCTTTCAATTTTTAAGAACCTTTAGCTCTTCATAAAAAGAGCAAGATGACGTATACCTCAACATCCTAGAGATATTTTGCTCAATGGGGCACGAAAAGATTGACCCATACCGTTTGTAACTTTTGTATGTATTACAATAGGTGTTTTGGCAGATTTCATCCTTCAAGCTACTTTGTTCACAGCGTTATTGGCGATCGACGCGCGCAGGTAACATTCTGGTCGTAATTGTTATCTCTCACGTTAAGTTAGTGAAATCAGATTTGCTAACGTTGAAACAAGCCCCGTAAATAAATTAGTTTAACTTCACCTTTCAAAGATCTGGGCCAAGTTATCCTGATAAAGGAGCGGACAACGCTATCCAACGGATAAATCGCTATCCGGTGGATTAGTGATAGCAAAATCACCGGATAGCAAGTTATTCGTTGGATAAGTGATAGCAGAACGCACTACGTTGTCCACCGGGTAGAGATTTATCCAGTGGGTAGCGATATCCAATCTTCGAACAACCGGAACCTGTACATTTGCCTTCCGAACATTTGGATGAGCTTCTTCACTTTTTTCAAATTGCAAATTATTACTGTATCACTTACAAGGTGCTTTTCCCAAGATAATGTCTTTTGAGCTGATCATCCTTACGTGATCGTTAAGGAACAACCAACATTCATGTCATATGTGAGGGGCAATAATGCTTGTTATTTGGTCAAGAGAAAATATGCAATCATTTTAATCAATCATACGCAAAACGTAAAATCAATCATGCTTTCATCTTTACCTTATCCGCTTTTCGGCAATTTGCAATTTTTTTTTCGGTCTGAATTATCTTTATAATATTCTTGTAGTAATACATATCTTATGTTACAAAACTTCCAATTTAGAACTAAGTTACATTGTACGTACTAACTACAAAGATCATTATTTTTAAATATTAACAAAATACCAGTTACAAAGCTAGGTCATATTTAAAAATTAGGCGATTAAAATAGGAGTTCTTCTCTCGATCCGTGTTTAATTTTGGCCGGTGACTAGATTTGTGTCTTGGATTGTACTCTGTGACCTTCAGTTTACGTATCAGGTTTCTCAGAGGATATCTCTCTTGACGTTTTACCTTGTCGAATATTTTCCTATCCTGATTTCTAATAAATAATAGAAGTTAACCGCCCTAGATATGTATCTCCGCTTGTGACACCGGTCCAGAAAACATTGTACATTCGTAAGCTCTGCATTAACAGCACTGTAGACCGATGGACTATCGGTCAAATTAGGGACACCTAGACTTTGGTTTCTTGTGCCATCGTCCTCTTCTCTCTCTTTTATTTTGTTGAAATACATTCTTAGTACCTCCTTTGGGCTCAAACATTTCATCCAGAACTGACTAAAAACTATTCTTGTTTTCTTGTTGATAAAGGCAAAAGAAAAAAAGGGATGGCTTTTGCTGCTGTTGCATAACGCTACCAGATAACTATCAAGAGAGCTCCCTTGCAAAAAAAGATTTTCTCAAAACGAGCATGGACAAGATTGGAGCAGCTATGCTGTCTCTTCCTGGGAAGGTTATTGTGATCGTCATAACAGGAGCCCTGTTTGGTTTTAACCTCTATGGAGCAATTATGCTAAAGCTGTCCTTCGATCAGAACCGCTTTTTGCCTCCTGACTCTATGTCCTACAAGTATACGTTTACCAACAGAAAGGTAAACTCGCAATCTTGGATAAAACTGTCTCTACATTTTCTGTCATTACTTTTCTCCCCTCTGCATCACATTATTTGGGAAACCTCAGCTCCTCTGCCTTAAAATCAGCGTTGATTAGCTTACAGAGCCTACGTGTAGCTGTACCCAGCCCCGAAAGGTGAAACAGAATCGCATCTGTTCATCTTAGGAGGGGAGAGGGTACGGCTACACGGGCTAAGCTTATAATGTGTGTTCTCCCATTTCAACATTTGATGAGGGGATTAGGAGAGGTGCGGGAGGAGGTAGGCATGTTTAAGATAATTAGGAGATGTGAGCTACGTTTAGCTCAAAGTTAAATGTTGTCTCAACATGATTTTTTTTTTCCTTCCTTTCTTCACTTCCTACCTATTTCCTTCCTTTAGTTAACTTTGTAATTGAAAATTGGTCTCGAGGTTTGTCTTTTGAGAGTAGTGGAATGTTTTCAAGCAATTCTTTCCGATCATTGTTTTCAATTGGAATAATCGCAAAATTTTTTGTTCTCACATTGCAGTATTTTCCAGTAAACGGGGCCCCAGTGAAGATATATACAGGTACGCTTAGCAAGGGGTTTTTAAAAATTTACTTCTATTTTCTCTTAAAAAAATTCCAAGAGAACATTACAGTAAAGTGTTTCTTATTATGATCTGCTACATTTGCCTTGATGTTAGATTAAGTTTTTCTTAGCTTAAACATGGTCGCAAGTAAGAAAAAAACTTTGTGAGTTGAGGATCACTTTATCCCATTTTGCGTTTATTTTATTTGAAAAAGCCGTTCCCGCCAGAAGAGGTTTTTAGTTCATTTCATGATTTTCCTATGGATTTGACTGCTAACTTTAATTTCATGAACTGGACTAGTACAGAAGCGCATTATGTGGATCTGTTAACTATTTCTTTCCTCAGGAAAGTTCGATTACTTTAAAGAACAAGATAAACTTCACAGGGTCTACGAAATTGCAGTCAGTGACAAAAAATATATAGTTTCTAGTTCTATAAACAGCTGGTATGAAGACTTTGTTAGCTGGGCTATTGACAAGAAACCAGGAAAGTTTATCCAGAAAAGTAAGCATATGACATATTGAAAGCTAAACAATGATCTAAGTAATCAGAGGACAAGAAACTTTCCCAAACAGATAACAGTAATTTACTATGAGCCACGCATGGAAAAAATTGATTATAAGAGAAATTAAAATTGTAGAAAAATTTTCGAACGTGATTTGTTATTTCAAGAGATTGTTAACAGTTTATATTCTCTTGGTTATCACCAATCCCATCTGAACACAAATAGGGAAGTGTACACGTCATGCCTATGTTATTGGACAATACGCATCTTGTGCGCACTTGTTGCGCATTTCACGTCCAAGTTAACTGTTGTTTTTCTCGGAAAACGCATAACTGACGGCCAGTTTTTTTCTTGAATTATGTCATAGTTTTGATTAATTTGTAACAGGACTTTGAGCAGATACTGTCGGTTTACATTCTTGTTGACAGATGTGCTTTGTCACAGTGTAAAAGAAGTCTTATGTGAAATCTCTGTTTTTATCTTTCAAGGGAGGATCACCAATGAGACATATTTTTATCCATGGCTGGGCGAGTTTCTTCGTACTTCTGGTCTCAGTTATCAGAGTGATATCAGGACAAAAAATGGGACTGGTCAGCTTCCACTACAGATTCTGGTAATACTTAACCAATGTTGCTATACGTTTGTTCACTTATAGCTCACAGATGATAACAAAATGTGGTGAGAACAAAAATGTGGCACACGAAGCACAGCCGAGTGTTACTAATGGTCTTACCTCATTTTTAACATCTTCTGTGACTTATTTCTCAATGGACCCACAGCGACATGGAATCGGTTTGCTTTTTTATAAGAAAGAAGCAGGATACAAGCAGTGATGACGTCATCTATGCATCCGTTCTCCAATAGATCATAAGTAAGAACCAATCAAAACGCGAGCGTAATTCAGCTCATCATATACGGTGAATAAGTTGTGGTATCATCTCCTTTGTAAATTGTTCTCGCAGATTGTCGCACTTATCAAGTGCGATTGCTTTGTCAAAAATTTGCATATGAGGGGAAAGAATATGTTTTATCATGGATTATATATCGCGTTTCTCAATTCTCAAATGCTTAGTTTTAAAAGTCATTTAAAAACGTATCTTTTTAAACAAGCTTATAACTATTTTAAATTTTTTTTATGATAGATGTGTTTAATTATCTTAGAATTTTTTACTTAGTTTGTTGCGCTATATTTTTTCGCTATCCATTTTTTTTAGCTTTTTAATAATCTTTAATGTAAGGCGCCGTGGAAAATTAGTGGATTTGACGTTATATAAATATTTCCATTTATTTTTATTTTATCACGTTGCTCTCAGCTACAGTTGATTTTACATCCTCTCAGCCAGGAGGATGTTATCCATTATTCACATAAATGCTCTCACAATAGGCATCTCAGATACGCTTGAGGCATAAAAACTTGGACTCAACGCGAGAAGAAGTGAAAGCAATGGAGAATTTACGAGACAAGATTAAAACCGTGTTTCCAAATGACAGCCTTGGATTTCCGTTTTCACCATATTACTTTACAAGTGAAACAAATAAGGTACACCTTTTTGGCTGAGTGTTTTGCACATACAGTGACACCTTCATCAAGCAGACCGTACATAAAAAGAAACTTTGAATACCAGCCTCAGCAACTCCCAATTTTTCCCCTTTTTTTTCTGTTGAATGAACCACAATCTCTTCTCTAGTTCAGCGAACATACAATAGCAGGGGTTCGGGTACTTTCTGCTCCAACATTTATCCATATATTTAATTATGATAAGATTCAGTTAAGACTCACGACAGTTTGAGTTTAACATTTTCTCAAAACGTGACTTCTTCAATTCTTTTGCCTAGGTTCGTGAACACAAGTAGGCGGTCAAACTGACTTATCACTTCCATATCATGAATAGCCCTTTGTATATCAGGAAAGCCATGGTTGACATTGTTATTAAATTATACGGCAAATGCTCCATTAATTTTCATAGCAACACCGAATGTTGATTGGAAATTCATTTTTAAATCATCTTGTACTCCTGAAAAATTGCAGGGGTACATCGCTGTGTAAACTTGCATGTCAGTAGTTGAGTGTATAAGCAGAGTGATTTGTTTTCATTTACTTAGATTATTTCAACGGAGCTTTACCGAAACATGGGCCTGGCACTTTTAACAGTATTGGTGGCTACTCCTGTTGTGTTATCAAGCTTGAGGACATGCTTTTTAGTCTTTTCCTGTGTTGGATTTACATTGGTGAGTTGTAAAATTGTCTTGTTAATGATGTTGCAACATTGTCATTATATTTAGCTGTGGATATACAACAAGCAGTAGTGGTTGTAGTAGCAGAAGTTGATGTTGTTATTGACAATGATAATGATGATGATGACTTTGATAGTGAGGGTAACAAAGGTACTTAAAATGGTATTAATAAAATGACGAAAATTCTTAATTGCTATTGAAACAAGTGGTTACTAAGAGGAATTCGAGAACTTTTATTTTGTTTGTCGAACAAGTTTCTGAGAGGTCAACCAATCGCTCTGACTAATGCTCGAAATGTCAGCCTTTAAACTCTTTTGGTAAATTTACGTTTCCAACTCAGTTTTTACACTAAATTACCTGTTAGAGGTTAACTATGACTATTTTCTGTTACCATAATGGACTTAAAACACTTTGGCCATTTAACATTACTTTTCAAAAACAGGTTGGAATAATGGGAACAATCCATTTCTGGGGTCTGACAATTGATATTGTGACTACCATGTTCCTTGTGTTGGCCGTTGGATTGTCTGTGGATTACTCATCCCACATTGGACACACTTTCATGATAACATCTGGTACACGAAAAGGTAAGATGAGAAAAACAGATCCAAAAGGTAAAGGTAAAGACATTACATTTAAATGTGGAAAAGCAAGGTTAAGTACTGCTTTAGATAAATAACGCCCAAACAAAGTCACCGACACACCAATGACACACCACCGACGCATCTTGTACGTTTTAAGGCCAACGTGTCGACCAACGCGTCGGTCGACAGTCGACCGATATTGGTCGACGCTTTGGTCTGTGCGTTGGTAGGATCGGATTCTTTATCCTTACCGTTTAACTCTCGAAAGTGGTTAACATGTTTCTTCTTCCTGTATTATCCAGGAAACAGATGATGAGAATACTCAAACTTACCAACTAACACCAATTTCTCTGCACTAAATTACAAGGAAATGTGTCGCAGCTAAAGCGGAGAATTAAGAATCAGATCTTAGGAGTTAAACGGTTAAACCACAGCATCAGTGAAATTTTTTTTGTTAAAAAAATTGGGTCAGTATCTTGGTCGGTTAGTTCACTTTCGTTAATTGTGAGCGTAACTTTAAACTGATAGAGGAACAGTGTTAATTTTGTTTCGTTTTGCCACTCAAACCATGACAGCCAAAGAGGGAGGCAGAAGTGTCTTAGGTCACATGTGAGCCACAATCTTGTCGAAAAAAGTGATAACTTCTCACTATAATAAAAATATTACATGTCTCAAACTCTAGACACTACGAGAAAATCCTGCAAGAACCTTGATTAACGACTTTTCCTATAGGTTTAGTCAATATTGTGCTACCTGAAGTCTAATGCCTATAAAATAATGTTGGCTCTGACTTAGTCCATCGAACAGTAATTTTTGAGAACTTTTTTGCTAATATTATTTTCTTTAAGAACGAGCGCTGACCACCCTACGTGACATGGGGCCTGCAGTTTGGAATGGTGGCTTTAGTACATACATAGCTGTTGGCCTTCTGGTGTATTCCAAATCTTATGCGACATTGACTTTCTTTAAGGTAAGAAATCAAAGTAATAACTTTCAATTAGAGCGCTTTTCGACTGAATCTCGTCATCAGAGCTTAAAAAAGATCAAAAGTAGCCAATGATGGCTTGGAGCAAAAAAGAACAAACTTTCTTACGCAACAAAATGAATGCTAGCGACCAAGTCACAGTTGGTTTCCGTTTGCATCTGATGGCTGAAAAGGTTGTGTAAGTTTCATAGGCCACAGTAGTCAAACTTGAATTCACCAATTTGCCATTTTACAATTGTATACTTACTTGCCAAGCCTTTGATTTGAAGTGAGGCTGAAGTTGACTATGTTGTGAGGGAGACCAGTATCTAGTTAGCATGATAACAAAGTCATTTACATTTGAAAAGCAGCAATGTTTGTATCATAACAAAGTCACCCTTAGCCTCCTGTTCAAAGGCTTGGCAACCAAGCACGCAACTGTAAAATGGACTATTCTTATTGATCATCAGGTGTTTTTTTGTGTTGTATTTTATGGATTATTCCATGGCCTGTGCTATCTACCCGTATTGCTCTCCCTGATTGGACCTTCCCCATATGATTCTTCTGAGGTCAACACAGAGGAGAGTCCATCATCCTCAAAGCCTGATGACAACACTGATTGTAAGGGAGCCTATTTCAATCCTTCACTGGAAACAAGCACAGGAGATCTGTTAAATGTTGGTGCTCATCAGCAAAAGTCCTCCCTTGTGTTAATTGAAGGTAAATGTATAAGAAGTGTTCACCATTGCAAGTTTTCAAAATCATTGGTGACCCTATATAATACAAGGCAGTTTTAGCTACTGACCACCTGATAATAGTATTTTGGATTATTTTCATTACCTATGAGGAAATAAGCATCTGTATAGGTACTTAAATCTTTATTGAACCAAGAATCAAAGACTTCTGGCAACAAACCTTTGGTAATTGACAGCTTAACGGACGATTGACAGGTTCGGTATGGAGCACAGATAATTTTGAGATGCGTATAGTGATTGTAAATAAAATATGCTTATACTGCTGCTATGTATTACATCAACCAATCAACCTTTTAACCTTCTTACTCTGTGGAACTTAATATCAGCTTTTTACACTCTGTGCCAGTTAAACTCTTAAATTTCTAGTCTTTAACATTTGGAGTAAAATATAAAAAATGCTCGATGTAACTGATGTTTTCTATCTTCTCATTCTTCAATTTCAAGCAACCACTCATGTCTCAAAAATGTCTGTGCTTCAATGTCCTAATCAATTGTTTAGCCAGTATGCAAGGTTCTGATAGTTGCACTGGGAAGTCTTCCCATTATTCCCCATTGCACTCTTAAAGCATAACATTTAAAAACCTGGTGACTCTCAGTGTGCTAACATTTCTTTCTTCTTCTGCTAGATTTGGAATTGCCACAACATTAGTTCCTGAGAGTGGATTAATAGAAGGAAAAGTAAATGAGGAATTTTTTTCAGACAACAACTATTGATGAATATGGAGTCTTGAAAGGAAAGACATACATTATTTAATTACTGCAACTATTCAAATTTGTCAGCAGATCAAAAAGAATTGTTCTAGAATGAAAAAGGAATTAAGAACCTTGAAATTCTGTTCATCAGTCTATGACAACTAATATAATAAGAGCATTTAAAACATAATCATCTACTTGATGATAATTTTTGTTGTAATTTATTACATCAATTTGTATTATACAGCTAGAACATACTGCCATTGGGTTAATTTCTTTAAGCTAACTGTAGAAGGAAGATTAGATTAAAAAACTGAACTAACAACTGAGGGGATGAGTATTTTGCAACTGCTATATTCGCTTTATCTCACCTCCGGCTAATTTTAAACTTGTACAGTTTTCTAATGTTTTGGAACTTTTCTTTCCTTTTTCCCCCATTATTTGCAAATTATATGATTGTCTTCAAATAATATAAATTATTACATTTGCATAATCCATGCATTTGAGAATGGAATTTTATTGATCGTGTATATTGTTAATATGTAATCACATGATTTTTCTTGTGCAATTTGGAATAAATAAGTACTTGTAAATTTTTTCAAAGACCACAAACTGCACACGCCCTACGAGTTTATGCAATTTTGTTAGTCTTTGAAAAAATTTACTCGTGCTTATTTATTCCGAATTGCACTCAAAATCATGTGATTACCTATACTAATTATAACGTCAACGTGTATTGTAACAGTACATATTGCATGCTGTGTGGGTAGTGCAAGCACTTAAATTACCGATCAAATTGGAAAATCAACCATGCTGCTTTCTAAAGAGCTCTGACAAAGGTCTAACATTCGAAACATCAGCTTTCAAACTCTTTAAAGCGGCTAATTTATGTCATCGACTCGGTTGATCATACTAATTTACCCAGTTAAAAGTCTAGTTCCGAAGTTTGGCCAAAAGGTTGAACTTGCAACAACTAACAATAAGTTTATAAAGTGGCAAGGTTGTGTATTGTAAATTGAAACTACCAGATTCATACTCCACTACTCTTTCAAAACAATTGGCTATATGTACACTGGTTTTGTTTTACAGCTGTTAAAATAATTATGTATAAAAAATAAATGACACTTTTTAATAACATGCTGATTGGACAAAACAAATAATAATGACAGAACAATGTATGCAATTACAAGGAGAGTTTAGCTATGGGCTTCCCTCTCGTTCCTGTTCTTATTAATCTCTTCATGGGACATCATGAAAAGTTATGGTTGGAAAATTGGCAGGGCTCAGAGGTATTGTTTTATCGCCGTTATGTTGAAGATACATTTTGTTTATTCCATTCAGAAAATGATGCTCTATTATTTTTCAATTATATAAACTCCAGGCACCCTAACATTAGGTTCACTAAGGAAAAGGAAATAGATCATAAAATACCATCCCTAGATGTTTTAATTAACAATGACACCATTTTCCTGTCACAAGTGTTTACCGTAAGAAAACCTTCACGAGCCTTTTGACCAATCATTTTAGCTTTATGCCTCATCCTTATAAATTGGGTCTCATTCGCACTCTTGTTGATAGAACCTACAAGATCAACAGTACATGGTTGGGTTTCCACTAAGGTATCAAGAAACTTACTGAAATCCTTAAAAAGAATCTTTTTACAGTCCATCTAGTTGAAAGGGTTGTCAATAAGTACCTCACGCTAACCTGTAATGAGTGCAATCCTCCGGTTTCCGTTTCAGACACTACACCAACTTTTTATTTCGAATCACCTTACATTGGCCCTTTTTCTGTTGTCACACAAAAAAGGGTTCGCCACTTTGCCAGGCGTTATTGTAACAGCATAGGTATTAAGTTGGTTTTTTTCATCTTTTAAAATAGGTCATATGTTTGCTATGTACGTGTATGGTTCACAAGTTTTAATGTGCAAGCTGTAATGCCTGCTATGTCAGTAAAACCTCTCGGCATTTATCCACATGTGTGCATGAGCACTCGGTCAGTGATAGGACCTCTCACATTTTCAAACATCTGCATAATCCTCCACAATGTCGCACTCTTTGTTCTGATGAGTGTTTTAGCATCTTAGATCACGCTTCCACAACTTTCCAACTTAAAATCTAAGAAGCTATCCACATTAAACGGGAGCAACCTACATTAAATCATCAACTTTATTATGTTAATTTAAAACTTTCATTGTAATTACATACACTGTTCTGTCATTATTGTTTGTTTTGACCAATCAACATTTTCTTATACACTTTAAATTCAACTCTGTACCTTGAATAAATCGTTACATATCTGCTCCTATCCAAACCTTCTGGCAATTATGTATAACAAAGATACTATCAATGTATGACTGAAAATCTACTAAACAAACCCGACGGGATATATGTCCAGTATTACGAACCCGATCCCTGATGGAAGACAGAAAAAAAATTCCTTTCACACTTACACACTTGTAACATAATCAACTTTACTCACTGGCCGACGTCAAGAGAAGGAGAACTTTAAGAATCAAAAGGAAGATTAGAGTATATCTGTTCAAATTCCAGAGATTTTCATCAGAATTTTATAACCAGAAGTTCCAAATCCCAAAATCTACACACGAAATTTTGTAGTAAAGACCTCTATAAACACCACCGGTTGAAACACTACACGCGAAATCCCTACAAAAGCACATTCACGGTTCATGATTTGACACATTTTGCATTCTCTAATCGCGCCTGTCGAATTAATTATAGGTAGAAGCCTTCAGGCACGATGATTTAGACAGCTTAGGTCAGACTCACTGCCTTCGCTGACAATGCAAGCGCTCGGATGTTATGTCGCAAAATATCAGCTTGACTGCAACTATCTTGGTGGCTTTAGAAACAATATGGTAAGTCTGAATTTAGATATCTGCATGACATAACCAGTATTCTTTAAGGAATATCGATGATAACATATAAATGTATAAAGCAATTTTGCAGCTGATTTCGGACGATTTCCTTTTTTGAGTCACATTACGAAATTTGTCAATTTGACATCTTAGAAAAATCGTAATGAAAGCTAGAAAGCTTGAATGCCCTTGGAAAGGACAGCACTATTGATTGAACACAAGAGCGGACTCCGTTTCTGCGAACAGTTAGGGAAAAAAGCGAAGTGGCAAACCTCCCAAGTACTAAAAATTATTTAGACCCCTCGCGACCAAACTTTTCTTTATAATAAATACATTCTTTATACAGGAAGTCGCCTCATCAAAAGGTGGTTTTCAGGCGAGTCCTGTTTTAAAATTAAAATCGAAAAACTAAAAACTATAATAATAATTACACTAAACTTAATAAAATGGAGTTAAAAACTGCAGTCTCTCAAATTGCACTAAACGTGATGAAAGAGCTTAAAAACTCGGCAAAGTCTCTCAAATTACAATAAGAATTGTGAGATGGCGTTTTTTAAACTGTTAACAGTTTCACTGTTTCTTCCTTCTACTAGAATTTCATGCTATTCCAAACAAACAGGAAGAGTGTAACTGACCTTTACTTCTACGAGATCTTTCAATTCTCAGGTCGCTGGCATGACGAGTTTGATAATTATGAATTGAGGAGCCGATGTTAAAATGATAATTTTGATCTAAAAATCACAATAGTCGGTATATGACTTTATCACTTTAGCCATGTAGTTCCTCCGTTGAGACGAGTGAAACACGAGTTGTGAAACCGAGTATTTGTTATCTTAAGAATGCTAGATTTCCAACAAGCTCATAACACGGAGGCAATGATCTTTGTTCCATGCTCTGGCGACTGTTTGATCAATTAGATAAGAGTTATTTACTTTGGCTTTCAAAAGAAAGTTCGAGTTGAAATGAGCTCGTATTTTTTTCTTTTCTTCACACCGCAAATCGAACCCTGAACTCTTCATCACGTGTGCAATGTATGAGCATTCATGAAAAAAGTAAATGGACTTTCTGCAAAGCAAAGGAATTTTTGCAAGAGGACAAAAAGTGAAGTGACGCTATCTTTAAATTCTGTTGAATTGTAGGGCTTCTAAACACAGATAGCTTTTCAACTTCTGTGATAAGCTAAATTCGGAGACAAATACACAAGCTAACAAATCGAAAAGGGCACTTTTTTGAACGGATCAGTGCATAAACTTCAACGAGGGACCAATTTGCTTGGTTCGGTGTGTTGTCTGTCTACGGTCTTCCAAGTATTACGAACAACTGAACTACAGAGTATCTCTGATCAACACATGAGCTCTTGGGTTACTGTACTCTTGTTTTTAAATTGTTCCTATTCATTACGTTTATTGAGTTCCTCGTTTTATCACTATCTCCATGGTAACGTTCATGACATCTAAATGCGTGAATAGCTCGAGCTGTTACTTTATTTTTTATAAACATCTGACGATCGTGATTTAAGCTGCTTAACAGACTGTAAAATGATATGTATGCACCATTATCAACGATTTTATGGTGAAAATAAATGTGACTGAAAACATAAGATCTCAAAAGTCCTGAACGACGAAGTAAGTTTTGAACTAAATGTAAGATCGAGTGCTCGCGCACGAACTCCGGAAAACAAACTGTCATCTTGATTTCAGCATGAACTCCTTAGATTAAACAACTATGTATATTCCATGTAACGTAAGGAAGCATATTTTCCATATTTATTGTTCGTCTAAACCAAGACGTTTGCCGGATTTTTCTTTTCAAAATCAGCTGTTTTGAATCAGGTCGAAACTGTAAACGCCACATCTGGTTCATCGGCTTCAGTTTCGGGGAACGTGTGAAAATTGAATTCCATTCCACGTCAGTACCGTAATTGCTTATCTCACAAAAAATAGTTTTGCAAATTGATTGAAAACAAAGACACTTATATGCAAGACACAAGTATAAACACTCTTCATGTTACTAATTCTAACTAAGGCATGGATAATTTTCAACGGCAGACTATTCGTGCCACGACCGGAGAGAATGTTCTCTGTCTGACCATTTCAAAGTCTGGTTGGACACTTTCACAATAATTTCTTTGTATCGTCTTTTAACTTAACAGTATGGACATATCATCCAACTTTTTTTTTCGTCTCTCGAGTAAGGAGTCGCAGGTCAAAATACCATTTCCATAAATTATTTGGTTTCCCATCGTCCTCCCTCTCGGGAAAGTGGGACAGTCAGTCGTGCAGCAGAAAGAGAGAAATAATAGACATGTTAATAAAAACGACAAATAAATAAAAGAATCCACCCAACAGTCCGAGCTCAGGGGAGGCCTGGCTGCGAAGGAAAAAGGCTTGGTTACACGTGAGTGTACTGTAGAAATTTCTAACCTTAACGTGAATTTTGGAAATTTCTCTTAAGATCTCTTTTGAAAACGAAGTCTTGATTGCATGCTTCTAAATAGAGAAAAAGAATCTGAAATTATGTCAACAAGAACTTTACTCGCGTGATGGCGTTTCTGGATATTTCTTTAGTTAATTTTATTTTAAATTGAGAATAGCTAAACGTATGGAAAAGACCTTCGCTTCTGAATTAACGCCCTCCCAGATCTCATTAGTAGTTCTCCCTACTGTCTGTCATACAATTGTCATGATTTTAGTTGGGAGAATTTGGTATTGGATCAACTTATAATACCCTTATTGAAATTTTTCTTTATTCTCATCACTTTTCTGCTTGACATTGTATTGTAAGGAGAAATTCTTTCTTGGTCGCTCATGGGAATTAAAGAGTTAAGCCTATGCTATCGCCATGCTCGTTTTTCTAAACAAATCAACACACGAGATTGAAAGAGACGAGAAGAGCATATCGTGATATGCTCAAATTTAACACTTGTGATCCGCGATAATATACCCTCGACCTAACGACAGTTCACCCGCGACTCACACCAATTTACTCTATCTATTTTGTAACATGACTTTCAGTGATGGAAACAGACACGGTTTCGGTGGAGCCACATTGGAAAAGGTACCTGGGGCTACTTTGTGAAGCCCAGAAAACGGCGAGCAATTTTATCACCTCATCTCTAGAAAAATGTTTTTACAGGTGAGTGAGTTCAGTTTTATCTTCAATCGCGGGAAATGGGATTGCTACACATGGGTGGTATAGAATAGTTCTCATGGTGAAATAAAACCATAGAATTTAAATATGTTTCGGGTCCGACTTAGCCTTGTTTTAGTCCGAGCCGCCAGACGAAGGTTAAAACGAGTCTGAAGAGGGCCCACAACATATTCAGCGTGCAAAGAAAGTCGTGTCTGATAGCACGGGGCTAGTGAATTTTGCGATCGGGCTAGTGAATTCTGTGCTTAACTTAACCGAAGGCAAACGAACATTTTTCGGAAAATCAAAATTACAGAAGTACTGTAAGACAAATATTTTAAATTCCTATTAAATTCATGCGGACCGAAAGTCGTTCCGACGAAGAGAAATCTGCATAAACAAGACGAAGTATCGCATTACATGACAGACGAGACATATTGAGATCCCATATATAGAATAAAAGCAGATATTGAAAAAAAACTTTGGAGGTAAATGTTGCCCGTGACTAATTCTTACGAACTCAGAGAAAACTATTTGTCTAAATTTTGCTTCATAATCATTTCTGAGGAACGTAAACAGGAGGTTTTGATCCTGAACTCCAGTAAGAAAGCTATTATGGTTTTAGCAAATATTGGTCACGTGTGTTTCAATATGGTAAATTCTAAACACCGATACCGAAGGTGTTTGTTGATTAAAATATATAGACCACATTGTATTGTTTTCACTTTACAAGAAAGTCTTTCAGATGAGAAGTTGCCAGAGATGAAACGAACATTTTTGTTCTCTTGAAACGTAAAACCTTTAGTTACTTGTAACAAGATGAATCACAAACTTTCATAATTTTTGTTTACAGAATTTGTTCACTGATGCGTGACTCGGTACTTGCAGTGAAACGACTCTCAAACAAACCTTCTTCAGAAAATTATCTCCTGAATGCACTACTTTTGAATGAGAAGCAAACTGATGAAAGCTATCAGATTTTTATCCCCGTTAATAACATAAATATCTCTCCTGTCAGCTGCTAAGAAATTTTTTTTGGCGGCAAATTGGAGGATGAGGCGCTTTCACTGGCAACTTTTCGCGTTGTCGACGTTATCGTTAAGTGTGTCCATTGAGAACTTTGGTTTTACGGTTCCAACGCCCTTTTTTTTTCTCAAAAAATGTGTTTCTAAATTCTAAAATGTCTAAAATGCATGATAATCATTCACGTGTTGCGGTGGACTTAGAAAAAATTCTGCAGTGTGGCAGCGCCGAGAGCAAAACAGCTCTTTTTTTTCTGCTTGCGAAAAAAATTTTTCGGGCAAGTAAGAATGACTTTCGGGCTAGTAGATGTTAGGTACAGCTTGCCCTTCAGGCAAGCTGTAAAACTGACTTTCTTTGCACCCTGGTATTTAAAATTTGACTCACAGAATGGGCACAATCTTTTTTTTCCCCTGATAATCTGGGGTTGTGTGAAACGATAAAATTAAAACATATCTTATTTAGTAGTATTACAAGAGCTTCATTACCTTTGGTGTGGGAATATGAATGGAAATAACATATTAGTATAAGCCATTCAGTTAAAAAAAATATTGTAAACAGTTGATAATTACCAATTTCGATGGCGGTCTTACTTTGTAAGTGAGTAATTGTTATCTTTTCTTTCTAAGAGAAAATAGTTCATTCAACTCCACTGATAATTGCAAATGATTATACCGTTCGATTCCAATTGTTTGGAGCACTTCACATAATCCGACTTCCCTAGCCAGGGGTGCTGGTTGTGTAATTTAACGTCTTACCAGACTTGACATGTTCAAATGACCTCGGTAGTCGTACTTATTGATTTGCTATGTGTAATATGTGATATGCGATACGTGATTTGTGCTTACATATTCAGATTGGGGAAAGTAGTCAGCGGCAGTCCATGGATCACCATTTTTATTTCATTAGCTACTTGCGGAGTGTGCCTCTTAGGTGTTCTCAAATTTACAAAGGAGAATAGAGTAGATAAGCTTTGGACGCCACAAGATTCGACCGTCCAAAGACACAAATTGTGGATACAAAAGAACTTCCCGGCACAGATGAGAGTGTCTAGTGTGCTTCTTGTGGCCGTTAATGTCCTCACTCCCGAAGTAATGAAAGAGGTAAGAAATCAATCAAAGTCGACCACTGCAAATTATGCGGAGAATTCCTCGACAGAAGATGTCTGCACTGCCCCAGTCATGGTGAAGTTAATTGAACTGGATAAATTTGAGTGAATGAGAACATACAGTACTCCTTTGAATTTCCTCGAAAAATACTTTGTCGTACCCATTATAGATATAACTTGTGTAACTGGTGATTCAATTTGACTGCGCTATGGTAATTAAGTGGTGAAGTCGCGAGAGGCTTGGGACGGAAGATAGTTATGTTCCCCTTCCGGCTTCACCACTCATCTCTTATCGCAAGCAAACCGTAATGCCTACAAAAAACCGCCAGCCACGTAAGACACCATTAATATTTTAAAAGTATCACAAATTTGCCTTTTTCTTTCACTGCTTTTTTGTTTTTTTTTACAGGCTTTAATGGTCTATGAGAAGGGAACAAAAATCGATGAAAAGACCAAATATTCCTGGGAGAATATATGTTTCAGGTAGGGATACCTGAATAACCAGTTTGGGCGTTTTTGTGCGTGCGTGTGGGGGGGGGGGGGAGGTAAAATGTATCGTTGGGTCATCCCTTCGTATTCCGTCGGGTTGTCCTCGGACACTGTTTGCCTGCCGCTAGTCTGAGGTCTCCCAGCTCAGATTAAAACGTAAAGAAAAGAAAAATTTAATGGGGCACTGACATTGTTTGAAATGTTTCAGAATTGGCCCGATTTGTTTAAAAAGTGGTTTGTTGGAGCTCTGGTCTTTTGACGAAGCTGTAATAAACCGTCTCACAAGAGAAGACATTTTGGAAAAGATAAACCAAGAAGTTATAATAAGGTGAACATCAAACATATACAAGTCTTCATCTCATGCACATCTTTATTTCTAAAGCGATTAAGACAAATTTTCATTTGCGTCAAAGGTGACTGGGCCTGACTTTACCAATTTTGGTTATAGACACAGAACTACGCCTTCTGCCTACAAATATGTTAAATCAGCAGAGTTCATATAATTTTTACCATGACTGTTATTGTTTTTGTTATTATTGTTATAATTATGGAGGCAATTTTTAAATTGAATGTCGAAAGTAATCGGGATTGCTTTGATTTTGCTCTACTTTACTCTGCGATTCGTCCAGAAAACTCGATCCACTCTCTCAACCAATCAGATGCAAAGCTAAAACCAATCACGACTTGGTCACCCGTGTGACCAATCACGACTTGCTAATCCGCGTTTTCCTTCGCTTTAGGCATCTTAGTTTCACTCAGAGTTCTCATTGGCTCTTAAAGTATTTCCCTTTCTCCTGTTTGGCAATTGTGGTTACCTCATTTTGGTTTCACGACACATCTATCATCATTAATCGTTCATTACTATTATTATTATCATTATCATCGTTATTATCAATTTCATACCGTTGAGTTATGAGCTAATAATATATGTCGATATTTGAGGGCAATTTGCGATATAGGAAATAACAGTTTGTGGAACATTGCAGCCACTGAAAAGAAGTCATTTGCGATTGAGGAAAATTTGGAAAAAATTGAGATCTTTCATACCGAAACGTAGATTACAGTTGATATTGCGATTTTAGAACAGCTTTGTTCATGTATGTATATTTTTCAAGTATGAATTTTTCTTTTGAAGAGTTTTTATCTCTTTCTTTCTTTTTTCTTTGTAATTTCGTAGTCCAATGACCAGAAAAAAGTTTGATTTATCAAAGTACATCGGAGGAATCAAGAGGAACTCGACAGGACACGTGGTTGCTGCCGAAGCTACTACTCTTTTGTTTGGAATCAAATTCAATCCAAAACTGAATGCAAAGGAAGGACGTTTGGTGGGTAACGTTACACTTCTTTGTTATGAGTGGTCAGAGATAAAGACTTATACTTAAGTCATTACAAAATGCACAACCATTATTTTACGTTAGACTCTTATCTCTGTCGATTTAACTTTTATCCCCTAAAATTACATGAAGAACACTCGGTAATTTCAGATTACGGTAGCCTCATCTGTGCAAGACTCAAAAAAAAAAAAATTAGAAAATTTTGGGCAAATTGACAAACATTGTAGTTAATCTGAATCTTATCAACGAGTTTTGCATAAATAATAACTTGCACTAATTGATAAACCATTTTCACAAACATGACATCGGTGTAACTGGTGTAAATGAAAGTAGGTTCACGCTATCAGTCAAACTACTCGCACCAATGTAACTATATTTTCTATTAAGGAACAGAAAAAGCTGTGATAAAATGGAAATATTTCTTAACAGGAGGATAAGGTGGTCGAGAAATGGGAAACAGAATTCAATAAACTGATGGACACTACTAAAACAACTAATGCGAAGCTTTACTACATGACAAAAGTTAGGTATGAGTTTTTCAAATTTGTTGCCACAAATCCATGTTATATTTTTAAGAGGTTTTTAACGTGACCAGGGGAAGAGTATTGGGAAATCCCCGTCACTGTCTGGCTTGATAACACTGACGTTGTTACCAACATTCTTGACAACAGCAAGCGAGTTATCTGTTACATTAGCGAAAACGTTATCGATTATTCACCTTAGTAGAGGTAAATATTCACCACTTTCACTGGCACCGATGTCAATATTGTTTTGGATTATATTACTCAATAACCTCACAATTACATTCTTCGTTTCAATACACCAAAATATAGTTAAATTTTCACTCGTGACGGGCGATTATAATGTCTTCTCGGTCGCTCGAAAGTGATTACCGCTGGCTGATCACTTTCGAGCTAACCAATCAGCACGCGTGAAAAGCTCTATTCACCTGTGTGGTATTTTCTATTAGAACGGATATGAAGCTTTTATAAGACTCAGTAGGATTCTTCTCTTCTCGTGCCTTGTAGATATGAAGGAGATTTAGACGAAAGTATTCAAGACGACATCATTCTGCTTTCTTGTGGATACATCCTTGTTACTTTCTATGCTTCTGTAATGCTGGGAAATTTCAGTCGCATGAATACCAAGGCAAGTGTTTCATCCTCTGATTTCTGTCACTCATTTTAGGCACACTTTAGGCATGTAACCTATCCGTTTAGATCCTCTGATTGGAGTAACCGAGATGAAGATAAGGATACTTTAACATCAGTATGCATATTCTCCATGCTGACAAAAATAATTCCACAATCAAGAGCTTTTTAAGTTAGTAATCATTTCCTCAAGTCTCACGATGTTAATGCGTGATTCAAGAGTGATGTTGTAAGGAGAAATTAGATGCTGGACACTCTCAAGTGTCAAAGGGTTCAAGGTTTCTATATAACGGAGCAGTGTAAAAGACAGTAAATTGGATCAGAAAAATTATTTGCCGCTGTGTGAAAAGGAGGAAACATTAGGAGCAAAGCTTTTTAGGGCCCTTAGCTAGGTTTTTAGTTCCAATGAAAGTTAACATCCTCTTAATTAGGATTCTAATACGATGACATCTCTAAACAATCTTTAATTCATCTCCTTATTACCTGCATACAGGTTTGGCTAGCGTTATTTGGGGTTCTTTGCGTTGGCTTATCTATCGGTGTGTCATTTGGAATAGCAAGTGCATTTGGGGTTTTTTACGGTCCGATTCATTCTGCATTACCTTTCCTTTTACTTGGTAAGTGTACCTAAATGTGAATGAAGGCATGTGGATCTGACAACTATCAATTTTTGAAGCGAGTTCAACACCGGTGGTTGGTTTTGGAAAAGATATGGGTGAAAAACCACAAAAATCAAAATGTGCATGAATTTCTTTTCGTTTCTCAATTGTTAAATTAATATAAATTATGTTGGCGAAATATTATAAAGGAATTTGTCATAACGATATCTGTACATTTTCAAGCAGAAAATCGAGGAACAAAAAATATTAACTTAATGTGTGAGCTGAAATGATGGGAAATGAACGGGAGACATTAAATGCAATTGATATTCAAATATTGGGAGTGAAAAGTTTAGAATGTTTGTTCGTAGGTATTGGAGTGGACGACATGTTTGTGATCGTTCAAGCTTGGAGCAATTTGGCACCAGAAATATGTCAGACCCAACCAATACAAGAACGACTTGGACTTACTCTGAAACATGCTGTAAGTTGTAAGAGGTGTTCATCCTACAACAATTTTTTTTAAATAATAGTGTGCACCTGCTATTAAGTAGAGTTAGAAAGCAGTTCCTAATTCAATCAGTGTCGAGTTGCGCATGATCGCATCAATTCAGCCATATTATGTCGCTGTCTTGTTTCAGGGATGCTCAATCACCATCACAACTTTGACGGATTTTCTTGTCTTTCTCATAGGATCAACTACGGTTTGTACGAATATTTATTCAATGTAATTGTAGTTTTAATTAGTCCGGTTTTCCTTGGTCTTCCTTACAGCCGCTTTATGGGATATCATTTAACGCTCCTTCAGGAGGGGCTGGGAAAGGGGGATGGGTTGGGGGAGGGGTTGGGGGAGGGGTTGGGGGAGGGAATGGGTTTGGGGGGGAGAGCGTTGCATGACATTCCAAAAACGGCTGCAAAAGAAATAAGTTTTTACATGAACTGAATAAAAAAATCTTATCATGTAAAGTTAGAATACACAAACAAAACTAAGACACCTCAGTTGAAGCAGTTTTGGATTCATTTGAGTTCACGGGTACAACAAACTACAAACAAACGAAAATGCAGGGGTAAAAAGACTCATTATTGACTTAATTAAGAGTCCTTCAGATGCTCTAAATTACAATTCCACTAGCTAATGAATAAGCAGAATAAAATTTCTACTTTAAAAAGAGATTGAACGAACTTGTACTGCTGCTTTTCGTGATCCATTGCATTTTTCACTTCTGCAATGTTCACACTTTTTTCTTCTAATCTTTTCAACCTTCTAGTTTGAAAGTTGCACATGAGCGTGGTTTTTTTGATATTTTATTGCAGCTATTACCAGCACTGAGAGCATTCTGTATTTATGCGGCAATAGGTAAGTGATTTTACCCATACACAGGGAAGTGGGAATGGAATCGTTCAGGTAAGCGAGTCAGATGCTACATTAACGCCTTACATACCTTAGAGAACATGCACGTCTAGGTGATTATCACACTCTTATCAACTTTCCATACCTGAAAGCAGGTCAAATGGCTACCTGGAACTATTAACGTTTTCACCTTTCAATTTTTAAAGAACCTTTAGCCCCTCATAAAAAGAGCAAGGTGAGGTGAACCCCAACATTCTAGAGATATTGTGCGCAGTATAGCATGAAAGTATTAACCCATAGCGTTTTTACTTTGGTTTGTATTACATTAGGTGTTTTGGCAGACTTCATCCTTCAAGTTACTTTATTCACAGCGTTATTGGCGATCGACGCGCGAAGGTAACAGTCTAGTCGTGATTGTTACCACTCGCGTTAAGTTGCTGAAATCAGATTTGCTGAAGTTAAAACAAGCCCTGTAAATTTAGTATTTTACTTTTACCTTTCAAAGATCTGCACATTCGCCCTCCGAACAGCTGAATGAGCCTCTTCACTTTTTTCGAATTGCAAATTATTACTGTATCACTTACAAGGTGCTTTTCCCAGGATAGTATCTTTTGAGCTGATCATCCTTACGTGATCCTTTAAGGAACAAACAACATTCATGTCATATAAAAGGGGCAATGATGCATGTTATTTGGTCAAGAAAAATTATGCAATCACTTTAATTAATCATACGAAAAACGTAAAATTAATCATGCTTTCATCTTTACCTTTTCCGCTTTTCGAAGATTTGCTACTCTTTTTTTTCGGTGTGAATCATCTTTGGCCTCTTGGGCCATCGTCCTCTTCTCTTCTTTGATTTTGTCGAAATACAATCTTAATACCTCCCTTTGGCTCATTCATGTTCTCCAGAACTGACTGAAAACCATTCTTGTTTTCTTGTTGATGCAGGCAAAAGAAAAAAAGGGATGGCCTTTGCTGCTGTTGCATAACGCTACCAGATAACTATCGAGAGAGCTCCCTTGCAAAAAAAGACTTTCTCAAAACGAGTATGGACAAGATTGGATTAGCCATGCTGTCTCTTCCCGGGAAGGTTTTTGTCATCGTCATAACAGGAGCCCTGTTTGGTTTTAACCTCTATGGAGCAATTATGCTAAAGCTTTCCTTCGATCAAAACCGGTTTTTGCCTCCTGACTCGATGTCCTACAAGTATAAGTTTACCAACAGCAAGGTAACCTCGCAATCTTGGATAAAACTGTCCACACATTTTCTGTCTTTACATTTCTCTCCTGTGTCACATTATTTGGGAAACTTCAGCTCTCCCGTCTATTCCTACCTATTTCCTTCCTTCCATAAACTATAGGATATAGAAGTTGGTATCAAAGTTGGTCTTTACTCGTACTGGAATGTTATCAAGCAATACTTTCCGAAGGATAATCGTTTCCAGTTGGAGTAATCGCAAAATTATTTGTTCTTACATTGCAGTATTTTCCAGTAAACGGGGCCTCAGTGAACATATATACAGGTACGCTTAGCAAGGGGTTTTTAAAAATTCACTTCTATCTTCACTGAGAAAATTCTAAGAATTTCAAGTGTTTCCTATGATAATCTACTACATTTGTATTAATCTTAGTTCAAGTATTTCATAATGGCCCACTTAGCTTAAACTTTGTCTCAAGCGTGAAAAAACTGGATCAACTTGGTGACTCAAAAACATCAATTTGAGGATTACTTTGTCCTACTTTGCGTTCAACTTCTTTCCAAAAGCTGTTCCCGCCAGTAGAGGTTTAAAAGTTGCACAATTCGACTTCAAAAACAGCTGTTAAAAACATGGGTTTCTCATTTCATAATTTTTCCCATGGATTTGACTGCCAACTTAAATTCCATGAACAGGACTAGTACAGGAGCGTGTTATGCGGATCTGTTAATTTTTCTTTCCTCAGGAAAGTTCGATTACTTTAAAGAACAAGATAAACTTCACAGGGTCTACAACATTGCAGTCAGTGACAAAAAATATATAGTTTCTAGTTCCATAAACAGTTGGTATGAAGACTTTGTTAGCTGGGCTATTGACAAGAAACCAGGAAAGTGTATCCAGAAAAGTAAGCATATGACATATTGAAAGCTAGACAATGATTCAAGTAATCAGAGGACATGAAACTTTCCAAACAATACGCATCATGTGCGTTCTTGTGACGCATTTCGCCGAGTTAACTGTTGTTTTTTAAGAAAAACGCATAACTGATGGCTTGTTTGTTTATCAAATTATGCTATAGTTTTGATTAATTTGTGACAGTAATGTGTTTTAAAAACAGAACAAATACTATTCGTCAACATTCTTGTTGACTTATGGGTTTCGTAAAAGCGTAAAAGAAGTCTTGTGTGAAATCTAAGCGCTAGTTATAACTGAGCATTTCATTTAAGGATACACCAAGCAAAATAGGGAAATGACTTTAAATAAGTATTAGCTTCTAATGGTCGCATCCTATCTCAGCTTCAAAATGTTTTTATCTTTTAAGGGAGGATCACCAATGAGACATGTTTTTATCCATGGCTGGGCGAGTTCCTTCGTACTTCTGGTCTCAGTTATCAGAGTGATATCAGGACTGAAAATGGAACTGGTCAGCTTCCACTACAGATTCTGGTAATACTTAACCAATGTTGCTATACGTCTGCTCACTTATAGCTCACAGTTGACAATAAAATGTGGTGAGGACAAAAATGCGATACACGAGGCACAGCCAAGTGTCACTAATGGTCTTACCACATTTTGACATCTACTGTGACCTATTTCTCAATGGACCCACAGCAACATGGAATCGATTTGCTTTTTTATAAAAAAGAAGCAAAAAAACTAGCAGTGATGACCTCATCTATGAGTCCGTTCTCGAATAGATCATAAGTTTGGACCAACAAAAATCGAGCGTAATTCAGCTCATCATATACAGTCAATTAGCTGTGGTCTCATCTCCTTTGTAAATTATTTTGGCAGATTGTCGCACATATTAAGGGCAATTGCTTTGTCAAAAATTTGCATATAAGAGAAAAGGATATTCTTACCATGCATTACACATCGCTTATCTCAATTCTCAAATGTCAGTTTTAAAAGACACTTAAAAAGTATTTTTTCAACAAGCTTATAACTCTTTTAATTTTTTTTGATGATAGATGTGTTTAATTATCTTAGAATTTTGAACTTAGTTTATTCTTATACATTTTTTTCTTTTTTCTTTTTTTTTTTTTTTAGCTTTTTAATAATCTTTAATGTAAAGCGCCAGGGTGAAATTAATGGATTTGGCGCTACATTAATACTTTTATTTATTTTTATTTTCTCGCGTTGCCCTCAGCTACAGTTGATTTAACATCCTCTCAACCTGGAGGATGTTATCCATTATTCACATAAATGCTCTCACAATAGGCATCTCAGATACGCTTGAGGCACAGAAACTTGGACTCAACGCGAGAAGAAGTGAAAGCAATGGAGAATTTACGAGACAAAATCAAAACCGTGTTTCCTAATGACAGCCTCGGATTTCCGTTTTCACCATATTACTTTACAAGTGAAACAAATAAGGTACACCTTTTTGGCTGAGTGTTTAGCACACACAGTGACACCTTCATCAAGCAGACCGTACATAAAAAGAAACTTTGAATAAGTTATTACCAGCCACAGCAACTCCCCTTTTTTTCTGTAAAATAAGACATTTTTTCACTTACATAACTATGATATGATTCAGTGAAGACTCACGACAGTTTGGGTTTAACATTTCTCAAACTGTGACTTCTTCAATTCTTTTGCCTAGGTTCATGAACACAAGTAGGCAGTCAAATTGACTTATCACTTTTATATCATGAATAGCCCTTTATCAGGAAAGCCTTGATTGACATTGTTGTTAAATTCTATGGGAAATGCTTCATTAACTGTCATGGCAACATCGATCGCTGGTTTGAAATTCATTCTTCAATCATCTTGTACTCCTGAACAATTGCAGGGGTACATGCCTGTATAAACTTGCTTGCCAGTAGTTAAGAGTATAAGCAGAGTAATTTGATTTAATTTATTTAGATTATTTCAACGGAGCTTTACCGAAACACGGGCCTGGCACTTTTAACAGTATTGGTGGCTACTGCTGTTGTGCTACCAAGCTTGAGGATATGCTTTTTAGTATTTTCCTGTGTTGGATTTACGTTGGTGGGTGTAACACTGTCTCAATTGACTTGAGTTGTAAAATTGTTATGTTAATGATGTAGCAACATTGTCATACTAATGATGTAGCAACATTGTCATGGTAGTGATGTAGCAACATTGTCATGGTAATGATGTAGCAACAGTGTCATGGTAATAATGTAGCAACATTGTCATGATAATGATGTAGCAACATTATCATGTTCATGATGTAGCTACATTGTCATGCTAATAATGTAGAGAGATTGTCATGTTAATGATGTAGCAACATTGTCATGTTAATGATGTAGCTACACTGTCATGCTAATAATGTAGAGAGATTGTCATGTTAATGATGTAGCAACATTGTCACTGTATTTAGGTGTAGATATAACATGCAGTAGTGGTTGTAGTAGCAGAAGTTGATGTTGATGTTGATATTAACAATGATGATGACAATGACTATTTTCTGTTACCATAATGGACTTAAAACATGTTGACCATTTAACATTTCTTTTCAAAAAACAGGTTGGAATAATGGGAACAATCCATTTTTGGGGTCTGACAATTGATATTGTGACTACCATTTGTGTTGTGTTGGCCATTGGATTGTCTGTGGATTACTCATCCCACATTGGACACACTTTCATGATAAGATCTGGTACACGAAAGGGTAAGTTGGGAAAAAGAGATCCATGCAGCATAACCCTTTAACTCTTGAAAGTGGTTAACATGTTCCTTCTTACTGTATTATCCAGGAAACAAGTGATGAGAATACTCAAACTTACCAACTAACACCAATTTCTCTTCACTAAATTACAAGGAAATGTGTAACAGCCAAAGGGGAGAATTAAGAAACAGATCTTAGGAGTTACACAGTTAAACAATTGATAATTAATGTAATTCATATTACTTTGTTATTGTGACCACAGCATCAGTGAATTTTTGCTACTGAAAAATTTTGTCAATATCTTGGTAGTTTAGTTTGGTTAATTATGAGTGTAACTTGAAACTGACAGAGGACAATATTCATTTTGTCTCATTTTGCCAATCAAATCATGACAGCCAAAGAGGGAGGCAGAAGTGTCTTAGGTCACATGTGAGCCACTATCTTGTCAACAAAAGTTATAACTTCTCATAATAAAAACCTTTCATGTCTCAAACTCTAGACTCTACAAGAAAATCCTGATAGAACCTTGATTAACAGCTTTTCCGTGTCCCATATCCTCCAATAGGATTTAGTCAATATTGTGCTACCTGAAGTCTAATGCCTATAAAATAATGTAGACTCTGGCTTAGTCCATCGAACAGTAATTTTTAAGAATTTTTATGCTTAAATTATTTTCTTTGAGAACGAGCTCTGACCACCCTACGTGACATGGGACCTGCAGTTTGGAATGGTGGTTTTAGTACATACATAGCTGTTGGCCCTCTGGTGCTTTCCAATTCTTATCCAACAATGACTTTCTTTAAGGTAAGATATCATAGCAATAACTTTCAAGTAGAGCACTTTTCAACTGAGTCTAGCAATCAAAATTTAAAAAAGATCAAAAGTAGCTGATGATAGCTTGGAGCGAAAACAAGCAAACTTTCTTACACAACAAAATAAAAGCTAGCAACCAAGTCACAATTGGTTTCAGTTTGTGTCCAATTGGTTGAAAAAGTGGCACAAGTTTTATAGGCATAGAGCAAAGTAAAGCAAAACCAACACAGGGTAAGAATTCTTCTATAACCTTCAGTCATACTGCTGTGGGTAACAAAAGACCATTTTTGGAGTTAAACACAGAATTGAACAGCAGTGATCATTAAAGATACACTATAGCACTTTTGCCATCCAACCTTAGCCTAAACTTGTACTTACCAATTCTTATTAATCATCAGGTGTTTTTATGTGTTGTATTTTATGGATTATTCCATGGCCTTTGCTATCTTCCTGTATTGCTCTCCCTGATTGGACCTTCCCCATACAATTCTTCTGAGGCCAACACAAAGCCGAGTCCATCATCTTCCAAGCCTGATGACAGCACTGATTGTAAAGGAGCCTATACTAATCCTACACTGGCAACAAGCACTGGAGATCTGTTAAATGTTGGTGCTAACCAGCAAAAATTCTCCCCTCTGTCAATTGAAGGTAAATGGATAAGTTATGTGGTAAGTTTTTGCCATTGCAAGTTTTCAAAATCATTGGTGACCCTAATACAACACAGTTTTAGCTACTGCCTGATAATAGTATTTTAGACTTATTTGTATTACCTATAAGGAAATAAGCATCTGTATACTTACATTTTTATTGAACCAAGGATCAAAGATTTCTGGTGATAAACCCTTGGTAATTGACAACTTAACCAATGATTGACAGCAGGTTGGGTATTGAGCACAAACAATTTTGAGATGTGTACTCTGATTGCAAACAAAATATGATTACTTCTGCCATGCTTTGAGATCAATCAGTCAACTGGAGACCTTGCTGTTGGTTTAACCTTTTAACCCTCTTACTCTACAGAACTCAGCTTTTCACACTCTGCCACATAACTCTTAAAGTTTTAGTCTTCAACATGTGGAGTAAAATATTAAAAATTGTCTGCTAGCTGATGTCTTCTTTAATTCTTTAATTTCCAGCCACTGCTCATGTCTCAAAAGCCTCTGTATTTCAATGTCCTAATCACTTGTTTAGCCAGTATGCAAGGTTCTTAGTTGCACTGGGAAGTCTTCACATTATCCCAAATTTCACTCTTAAACTAGAAAATTTCTACCTGGTGACCCTCAGTATGCTGACATTTCTTTCTTCTTGTACTAGATTTGGATGCCACAACATTAGTTCTTGAGAGTGAAAGAAAGAAAAGTGAATGAGGAATTTTTTTCAGGCTACAAATCTAGATGAATATGGACTCTTAATGGAAACACACATATATCATTAACTGCAGCTTTTCAAATTTGTCAGTAAGCTAAAAAGAATTGTTGTAGAATGAAAAAGGAATTTAGAACCTTGAAATTCTGTTCATCAGTCTATGACAACTAATATAAAAACAGCATTTAAAACATAATAATCTACTAGGCAATAATTTTTGAGATAATTATTACATCACTTTGTATTGTACAGCTTGAGCATACTGCTCTTGGGTTGATTTCTTAGCTAACTATAGAGGGAGGATTAGATTAAAAAATCAAATGAACAATTGAGGGGATGGGTAATTTGCAATTGCTATATTCTCTTCATCTTACCTCTGGCTAATTTTAAACTTGTACAGTTTTCTAATGTTTTGGAACTTTTCTTTCCTTTTACCCCTTTGATTATGCTTGAAATTCTAAAGAAAAAACCAGCTTATTATTGCAAATTGTATGATTTTCTTCAAATAATTATTACCTTTGCATTATTCATACATTTGAGAATGGCATTTTATTGACAGCAACACATACAAATAAACATACAGATAGTTTGTTTCATACTGCTATGGGTAACAAAAGGATATAGGAAAGTTCAGGAGTTAAACACAAATTAACCCTTTACACCCTGACATCAGTATGCATATTCTCCAGTCTGTTCTCTATGTATCCTAAGGTTCTCACAAGGAGAATTTGGTTTTCAATGTAGAGCTTCTTCAGTTGGTGATCATTTAATTCATTCTCATGACCTTAATGTTTGATTCAGGGGTGATATTGTAAGGAGAAATTAGATGCTAGTCACTCTTAGGGTTTACAGGGTTAGGACAGGAAAGATTATTGGGGTTAAGAAATGACAGAGCAATTTGACCAAATAAAATTTGCTTTGAACTTGCATTAACCTGAATTCTCATCAGGTGTTTTTTTGTGTGTGTGTTGTGTTTTAAGGATTATTCCAAGGCCTGTGCTATCTTCCCATATTGCTCTCCTACTATTGGAAGACCAGATTAACTTTTGCAGGATGACATATTAATTGACTTTGTTAATATTTTCATGAATCTATGATCATTAATATAATAACAGCATTTGGAACATAATCATGAATGTATTTACCAAACCATGATTTTTGTAATAATTATAAAGTCAGCTGTAATCATGCATATAGTAATCATTATGTTGTAATCATGCATATTGCATGCTGTGTGGGAAGTTGGATTGGATTTATTTACAAACATAACTTAATATCAAGGGAAGATCATGAGATAAAAATATTAAATGGAGGATGGAAGGAATGACTAATTTGTGCTTGCTACAAATATATATTCGCTTCAATTCTCCTCTCTAACCAATGTTAAAATGTGGTAAGAACAAGGTGTTACCATATTTTGATGTCATCTGTGATCTATTTCTGAAGTCAAACCCATGGCAACATGGAATCTATTTGTAAAATGTTGTTAATGGTGATGTTATCTATCTGTATGTTATACAACAGATCATAAGGATGAAGAAATGTTAAATGGTTTCCGTGTTTACATAGCCTGATGTAAACACGCGAGAGGTTGGGAGAACACGAGATAAGTGTAGGAAACCACAACGTGAAGCAGAGTGGTTTCCAACTTATTGAGTGTTCTCCCAACCTCCCAAGTGTTTACATCAGGCTATGTAAACACGGAAACCATTTTACATTTCTTTTATAAAATAACTAATGAAAGAGGAACGAAAACCGTGTTTACATACGCTCATGCAAAATGGTTTTATGGCCAATCAGAGCGCGTGTACTATTTGAATTATTTTATAAATCTATTTGTTAACATGGTGAAAAAATTAACTTTCAATTGGAAGAAACCTGTAATTCAATCATACTGAGGAGAGGACAAGGTTTCCGTATTAACTGACATACTTTGTTATGCATACAGTTCTTTCATATAAGAAAACAATGGCGAAACAATATTCGGAAATCTTTTCGTGTAAAAGTCACCTGAAGGAGCTTTAATTTAGTAGGGCAGGTTATTAGCAGAATTGAATAGACCTTGTTGTCATTGTTGAGACACAAAACTTACATTCTTACTTCTTGTGGTTACGAAAATGGCAGCTAAACTGCACTTCCACAGGATCCTATTTTCTTGTAGAAGCTGGCTTTCGATTAGATTTTATCCCGCTCGCTTCAATCCATAGGTACGCCTTTGCATTTTCCACACATTATAGTTCAGTTCACTCCAAGGCTCCAACCTTGTAAGAACTTGGTAACTATGGTGTCTTTTGGAGTGGTGTGAATACTTAATGTAAGGGCATTTTTTGTGTCTACTCCAAAAGTTAACCAAACATCCTCAATTTTAGGAAATGGCAGCTTCATCGTATTTTTTTTCCTTTTAGAATGGAAAGTCAGGTAGTTTGATAAAATAGGGTAATTTAGTGTTATCAACGGAGTTGAAAACGTAAATTGACCACCGTGAAGAGTTTAAAAGCTGACGTTTCGAGCGTTAGCCCTTCGTCAGAGCGAATGACGCAGCACCACGGTTTCTTTAGAAACTTAGCCCCTTTATCAGTTTAATAAAATATCTACCGACTGTCTCTGAGAGTCTGCTTTCAAAGGAAAAACGATGAAAAAGTAGGAGGATTTAAAAAAAGCGGAAAAAAAATGAGGAATTGATATCTTAAAACTTCCTTTTACGAGATCATGACTTTTAAGATAAGAATCAAGCCTGATTCTCTCTCAGTGTTTTTTTATGGAACAAGGACACCTTTATCCGCGTTGTTTTGATCGGAAAATTTGATTCCATCCTTTCAGTCTCACACACTAACTAATATGATCTTCTGCAATCTAATTTGGATTTAACTTGAACGCATCGTGCTGAAATAAATGTTTTTTTAAGTGCTTTAAGTCGAGATTGTAAGCCGGATTTATACAAGTTCTTGATTGCTTTCCGTGCAAAAAATAATTACGAAGCACAATTTTCGAAAATGAAAGGAGCGGCGAGCATACAAACTTTACGTGCAGCTAAATATATTCAGAACCGTTCGATACCTCTTAACAGAAATAAATCATATTCGTTTGAATAGTTTGCTGAAGTGGGGAGTTAGAACCGGAACCGCGAGTGCTCCATTTATTTCAATAAGTCATCATTTATCACTGTCACATGGCAGTAAAGAATGCTACAGAGCGTTATGGGGTATAAGGTCAACTTTATTGTGACTCAACCAAAATACTCCGACCCTTCCCCGCAGGTGATTGATAATGACTGCTCCTTGAAATATTCCTGTATAGATTTGATAAAAATAGAGAATCTATTAAAAAAGTTCGAAAGATTGCATTGAAACATACTGCTTAGTATCACATAAGAGACAAATAACTTGAAAAGCGAGCGCAAATTTTACAAGCCATCGTTCATGAACGGCAATGGATTTTTCTTGTTGATGTTTATTTGTTTCGCGAACACATCTTATGAGAACCAACGAATCACTTACGGGGATGGGGTAGGGTGACTTACTTATATTGGTGGGGGAGGAGAGAGTCTCAAACGTACACAGTGAACACATTCCGACAGTTTGACTTGAACTGACCCCGGTATGAAGAAAGATAAAAATATTATTAGTATTCTTAAAACCCAGACGACTAAAACAGTATGACAGCGTTTTCTTTTCTGTTTTTTTTTAAGGTGTGCAATCCTTCCACACCTAATTAAGACGTCATTGCTTGTTTCGCATCTATATCCCTTGTCTCTACTATTCGTAGGAGTCTCGCTTTCCGTACACAACTCGGGTAAGCAATTCGCAAGACTTTCGATACTCATATTTGCATGTGATGATAAACAGCCAATACAGATCTTACATTTATACCTCTTTATACCGTAAATATGTTATATTCAACGCTAAATGTTCATCTTCATCTTCCTTAGATTTTTGCATGATTTTTTTCTGTTTATAATCCGTGTCATTCTTCTCCATTCTGAACTATTCTCTTCCCTGTTGTTGTTGTATTTTTTTACAACTTTGATGTGTTTCGACCCTGGCAACTGATTATTTCAGGGTTTTTTTCCTGTGTGAGGGAACTTCGCTATAACTTGAAAAACAAGGGCACAAGTAAGCTTTTTCAAAAGGGGGGGGGGGGTTGCACCGTGTCACATTCAGGGTACCTACCCGACTGTCATGTCGACATTCACGTTCTGTTACTCTTATAGAGATATTTTGCTTAATGAGTAACGAGTGAGATATGCCGAGTGGAGTCTCCGCATTTGCACATTTTCATCACCTGAGTTATTAGGTTTGACGTTGTCGACTTAAAAAGGAATCATTTCAAAAGGGGGTATCATGGTCATTCTAGGACTCCCCTACCCCCTACCACCCTAGCCGACCCCCCTAGCCCCCTAACCCACCCCCCTTCCCTTACATGAAATATGCCTAAAATTGTCAAGTCATGGAATGACTTTATGGAGGTCAATGTTAGTTTCATTATGACCTGAGGCATGTCTGAAACAAAAACGCGGAACTGATCGGCCAAATTTATACCGGAACATTTACACCTGACATCCGCTTCAGCCCATACCGTATGCTCTTAGTATGCTAATAATCTCTTCCGCGTATTTCGCATTCAAATGAACTTTCTGGCTTATTTAAGGGAAAAAAAAGCTTAAACGCCCCAGTTCAAACAGCTGTCCAAATGGCGAAGTTCACGTAAGAAACCCTTTTTGGAGCCGACAGTGTAAGTGCAGGGAAAACAGAGAAAGCAGAAAACCCTCCCAGCTTACCATCATTAAAAACTATCGCGAGCCTCAGGAAGAGCGGTAAGGCTAATAATGAACATTTCAACAAGAAATTTTGACATGAGGAAATAACGTTATTCTCGCATCAAGCTTAATAACTTAAAGTAATGTTGAAGAGATCTTCAAGGAAGATTACATCAAAAAGATTTCTTGATAACGCGACACGACAAAATGCGATACTTAGGAGATCCATTTAACTCATTATTTTTCGACACAAGATGATCTTTCACAACCAGTTAAAGAGATTTTAATGTGGTGACAGAAGTTTAGGATTTGAACGATCATCTGAATGAAAACCACGGGATCTGGGGGGAAAACAAGGAACACTCATCAGTGTTGCAATAATTTGAGTAGGTAACAATTGTGACCCAGCGGCTAAAACCAGGTGTTGCAGAAGTATCGCGGCTTTAACGAATTCGTCGAATCTATTCCGGTTCCCTATGCCCCAGATTCGCTGAAGCGAACACTGATTGTAGAGGTCTGAATATTCTTACACTGAAATGGAAATTAGAGTCGCTCTCTGTTTGTGTAACCGTAATAAGATGGTTCTGCTCTTGTCTACAACAAATAGAATTAGATGGAAAAAAAATCGTAAAACAGATCAATTTAAGACTGTATCATCATAACTCAGGAAGTCATTCCGTTGTCTTGCTAAGATGAGGTCAAATAATTAACCGTTGAACGCATTTGGCGTAAAATCTATTTTTGTGGCTATTTGCGCGACCATGCGAACCGCGGTCACGAAGTAAGAAAGGCAAGAGGCTAATCCGCATTCTTAGTCACGGAATATCGTGATGTATCGTGGCTTCCTTTAACCAAACAAGGAACCTTTTAGTTTCATATCCGCGTTTTGAGCATTTTTATGACGTGATGGGAGCCTCTGGTGACGTGGTTTTTTATAAATGCAGGAAATGGATTTTACTTCAATAAATTTGGTTTTTCATCTTCCATTTTGCAGAGCCTGTGGTGTAATACAGCCTGTTAACTTGGAGATGATGATCAAGGGCTCACTGCTTTTACGAATCCTATTTTTGGTAGTATTTGCCGGATATGCCACAAGTTTAAGGGCTGGAGGGTGAGTCATGATCGATAGATAAGTCACATACGAGTTATAAAGTAGAAATTTGATAACATTAGGATTTCTCCAATCTTCGCGTGTGACTCAACTGTTGTCGAAAACGCAAATAAAGAGGAGCTGAAACAGGATCTCCCGGGTAGAGCTGTTTGTCGCCGAAAGGTCGCGAGGCAGTTCACGCCCCACGGAGTTTATCATAGCATTACCGGTGGTCGATTATCGAACTACGGTGAATGACTCCAATTTCCAGATATTTACTGTCGGTAAAAATGTAATCGTTAGCTGTTGTTTCAGACATCTTATCATGTGAATTCAAGATAGTTTGGTTTTATCATCTGAGTTAAAAATGTAAATTGGCCCACCGCAGAGAGTTTCTAAAGCTAAAGTTTCGAGCGTTAACCCTCTGTCATTCAATCTGCCGAGGGGCTGACACTCGAAACGTCAGCTTTAGAAACTATTTACGGTGGTCAATTTACGTCATCAACTCAATTGATAAAACCAAATTATCTTGTTATTCTTCCCCTCCGACGCAGCACCACAGTTTTCACAAAAAATTACGCCTTTCGTTCATTTTTTTTTCATTTTCGTTGTCTTTTATTCTCTAATTGTTTCATCAAACCTTTTCTTGTATCGTAGCATCTCTGTAAACTATTTGATGCAGTTTGTGTAGAATCACAGTTGAAAATGTATTTTCAACATTAAATAACGCATCTACCATCTATCTTTTCTGCGTTTGTTTGATTTTGTTTTGCTTTGTGTTGGGTTTTTTTTAACCTGATAGTCGTAACGTGCTGACCAGATGGGTAACAACCTACGTAAGTGTTGGATATTCTAAGGCTGTCAGAACAACAAATGGCCGAACGTGTACAAAGGAGTACTCCTGGGGCTGCTGGAACTGCAGGAGATGTCGGTGAGATTATTTTAACTGTTTGCCTTGTGTAACAGAAGTTTGAAAATATTCCAAACTCTCTTTGACATGCAACATCTGAATAAGAAGAGAATCGAAGACACTTTTTCGTTTAAAATTGTCAGAGGAAATTGATGCTGCTCGTATACTCGTATACAGTAGCTGTATTTCTGTCTGTGGGAGTGTTTTGTTATCTGTGTTTGAGAAAAACACATACTCTCTCTCTCTCTTTCTCTCTCTCTGCCTTGATGTCCGTTCTGTGTCTACCTGCCAGCTTTGTGCCTACGTTTCCCTGGGTCTAGTTTCTAGAAGACGAATCTCCTGATGAGCTGGCTCTATTGCAAAATAAAAAAGAACAAATTTTGCTTGTTTCTCTCACAGAACCCTATACAAAACTGTCATTCGAAGTTTTACCAGGAGCGAGGCAAGACAAAAACCAATCTACTACTGTGCGGTAGGATGGAAAGCAAATGGCGACGAATGCACCATACGTATGTTTTGTATCATTTAATTTCAAAAAGCGATCAATATAGCTTACTGATGGGAATAAGGAATCAATCGTGCCCTACTTAGGTGTAAATGACTACGACTTTTTTTAAAGCAGGAAAAAACTAAAGGTATACGTGTTTAGCAATGAAGGACAGCAGTGTTTAATTATCCTTCTAACTCCCAGAAGTGATTAACATGTAATTTCTCCTTATATCATCTAAAAAATTATCCAGCAGACAGGTCATGAGAATACTCAAACTTATCAAGTAGGAGTTAATATCTTGATCTAACTCCAAATTCTCGAAACTGATTAACAAGGGAGTGTCTGGTAGCTAGTAGGGAGAATTGACAATCAGATCTTGAGGGTCAAAAGGTTATGAATACCCTTTTGAAATAAGAATACCCGATAAAGCAATAACATAACCAATACACTGACTTTGGTAATTTGTTGTGAAAATAGAAATATGACGATTCCTACTTCTCATTTTTATCACACACAGCAAAGCATCCATGCAATTAATCTAAACTTGTTTCTTTTTTTCTCGTTGTAGCAATATGCACTGGTGGATGTCAGAACGGGGGAAGATGTGTCAGTCCAGAACTATGTCAGTGCACCTCTGGATGGCAGGGGTCTAAATGTAGATCTGGTGAGAGACTTAGCTTTTTCGGTATTTGATAGTTTGTCAGACAGTTACTTGAAACCCAAGCACGAGTGAATCGGAAAAAAGGCGTGGGGCGCATGCGCACGTCCGCTTTAGTTTTTGCACTCTTGCTTGGCCATGCAAATAGCTTTGCTGTTCCATTCTTTACTGCGAATGCTACAGTAAGTGTCGGACCCAAAGTTGACAATTTATTCTTTATCATGTGGTTTCATTTGGTATTGAAGCGAATTTGGGTATACGCCTTTTTCCTTGTATCAACAGATGTAAACGAATGCGTTACGAACAACGGCGGCTGTCAGCATCACTGTGACAATACCGCAGGAAGCTATGGCTGTTTTTGTGATCCGGGATACAATACTTCTGGACGTCAATGTCCTGGTAGGTAACCTCTCCTTTTGGTAGTGCCCAGTCTTAATGTCACTCGGCATGTAGCTCCTTTCTGTAGAAGCTATATTTTGATCATACATTGCCGTTTCCACATCGAAAATTTACAATAATGAAGATTCTTTTTTTGTGAACGATCTTCTTCAGTGCAATGATTGTAATAGGTGTGGAAAAGAACCTCCAAATAACCTACCCAGGATAATAACAAACCTTCGACAAAACACGCCACGCGCATAGCAAGGTCCTCGACACAAGGAGCCTTCCCAACAGATCGAAACCCAAACAGAACAAACCTCTACTGACAATCAATCCCTGTTATTACGAGGACAATTTTTCTTCAATTTCACTCGGTGATTTGTAAATTCGGAGATTTATCTAATTTTTCTTCGATTTCCCTCAGCTTTTAAACTGTTGTCGAAGGCTGAGATGCTTCGTAATGTGATAAGTTTATTTGTAACGATAAACTCCATACCTGTGTTTTACCAATGTTAAAGTGATTCCATATTTAAGATCCTCAAAAATCACCCCTGCTTTTCTCCTGAAGACATTGATGAATGCAGTGGACCAAACAGATGTCAGCAAAAGTGTGTCAATAAGCCTGGGAACTACTCGTGTGACTGTCACGTGGGATATCGACTTAACAATGACTCAATAACTTGCTCAGGTGCGTTAACTATACCATATCACTCTTGTGTCATAGATGCAGTGGATCCAGTAGTTGTGCAGAACTGAACTTAATCGCGGTTAGCCTGGTGGCAATGATATCATTTGTAGGTTTACTAACTTCTCTGTTCAACCTCTTATCCATTCACGCCAAATTCCTTTAGTCAGTAAATCACGTTTCCCCTACAAATAAAAAGACATCATTTAAAATTCAAATATTGGTCCACATTATAGACATAGATGAATGTCCACAGTCTTTATGCCAGTACAATTGTAATAACACTGAAGGGAGTTTCGTATGCACCTGCCCTAGAGGATATCTGCTGACGACTAACAAGAGGGACTGTGCAGGTAAGATGGCAAATGTTGTTTGAAAGTTAAAGCTTCAGTATTCTAATCACCTCGCACATCTCGTATAATCTGTACCAGGCGTTAATAAACATGCCATGATTGGAACACAAAGTGAAATAAAGAAGAAGCTTAGGTCGTTCCAGACCTCCCTCTTTGTTTCGCTCTGTCGTGTCCTGTTTACAAACTGGAAGCCTAGAACAGGCTTCCTCGCTCAAATCTCTTTGGGCTGTAGCAAAGAAAAGTTGTAGAACAATCTTCAGAGGATTACATGAAGAATTTTAGTTTAAATATTTTCTCTGCAATGATTATTCCTCGCCGTGACAAGCCGGATAAATGTAAACTGGTTTGAATTTGTGTGACGATCGCAGCGATAAAATTTAAGGCAGCGCCTTTTGAATTTTTTCCTTTTTCGATTTCTCTAAGATCATGATGAATGCATCACTGGACATCACACCTGTCATCAGCGTTGTGTCAATCATCCTGGAGGTTACAGCTGCGCATGCAAAATGGGCTTTACTCTCAGTAAAGATAACCACTCATGTTCAGGTGAGAGGAATATCTTTTAAAGGTATAACGTTGTGGAGATAGAGTGAGAGAGTTGGTAAACTTTTAGGTCTGGTCGCTTGATGAAAAACTAAAAAAACTCATCTATTTTTCAGATATCGACGAATGCAAGTTAAGGTTTGCTGGTTGTGCATACCAGTGTAACAACACCATAGGCAGCTTCCAGTGTATTTGTCCAAGTGGATATGTTTTGAACGCTGATAACCGAAGTTGTTCAGGTACGTTGGGATCTTATGTTCAGACACTCACAATGGATTTAGGGCGAGTAGCTGGATATGGAAATGGGTAATCAGATTTTTCCTTTATCCCACGCACATGACAAAACCTCTACTACCTCCCTTCAGAAAAAGGACGGTTACACATAACTGAATTTGTCACCAAGAATTATCACCGAGATTTTCTGATCTCAACTTATGCTCCCACAGGAGTTCTACGTGTTAATTGTTATGATGATTGATCATTCACTTGCAGATCGCAATGAGTGTGAAGGTCAGCACAATTGCGGTCAGATTTGTGGGAACACGCCAGGAAGCTATTACTGTACCTGCAGACCAGGGTATTATCTAAGTAGCGATTTACGGACATGCAAAGGTAACATGCCAGTTAGTATACATGCAGAGAAAAAATTCACTTCACTGTGTCGATACTTATTGACCTACAATACTTTTTCTGTCCAGTCAAACGCTCTATATATTTTTCCGAAAGGCTTTACAGCCTCAGAACAATTGATAAGTTGAAGACGTATATATTAGGGAAGATAGTGAAGAATTAAATAACAGCAAAGAACGTAACATTTGTGGCTAAGGTTACTTCATTCCTTCTCTATTTTAAAAATGAATTAAGAGAAGCCGATAAGCTTTGATATTTTTTAATAATCGATAGGAAACGTCCTTACAGTCCGTCAACACATTAAGATGCCCTAAAACCTGTTGACAGCCTAGCCTTTTCTAATCCTCTAACTAATTTCCTTGTAACGAAAAAGCACGTGATACTCAAACAGCTTATTACGGCAACTTTGTCATCAGGGTACCCATGTGCATCAATATCAAGGCCAGCCAAAGGATTCATGAATTGCTCTGGGAAAACTGTGGATAGCGTTTGTCAGTTTACATGTCAGCCTGGGTACGAACTTACAGGATCTCCAGTGCGCATGTGCTTGGCCAATGGCAAATGGAGTGGTACTCGCGCTGCTTGTAAAGGTGAGCATGTTGAAGATAGAGCAGCGATACAAATAAAAAGACATTCTATAAGAATCTATTCAAGCGTCTTGTTAACAGTAACAACAACTTCAACAACAAACCGATGATGGAAGCATACGGAAATTCCAAAAGTATCTGAATTTCAAAAACAAGTTCCTATTTCTCAGAATTATGGACAAGCCGTCTCAAAAAAAAAAATTAGACAAAACACAGAAATTTGATAGCATAGAAATAAACGAAGAGATGGGTAACGATCAAAAAAATGTATCGCGGCCAGAAAAAGTTCAAATGGAACCCTAAACAATCAGTATAAGGAACGTTTCATTTTGATAGTTACAAGAGTTCTTATGAATAGGGAAAGAAATGTTTTTCTTTTCGATAACAACGTGTCTGTGGTGACTTTCATTCTTCTTGACTCACTCGAGGGAAAGTCATGAGAAACAGTGGTAGCCTATTGTGCAAATCACCTCAGGACGTGGTCAGTTTATAAATGCTTCTTCCATTTTCACACATTGAACTTTATTTTTCTTTTGGCAGTTAAAATGTGCGATAAACCAGCCCCACCAGCCAATGGCTTTGTTCAAATTCCTTGTTCAACCACTTACAAGGGAAAATGCTCTTTTGGGTGCCGTTCCGGATTTTTCCTCAATGGAAGCAAAACAGTCTCTTGCTCTGAGGATTCCACATGGTTTCCGATCATTGGGAAATGTGAAGGTAAGGAGAGAAACAGGAGTGAAGAAAGATTGTCATGAAGTCAAAACAAGGTTAAATTGAACTTTTCCTAATGTAGGAGTTAAAGTCCTCAGAGTAACCGTTGATATGAAATGTCTATAGTTTAAAAACGATTGATTTTAGAAATATATCCTTTTCTTTTTCATCTCATACTATTTCTATCTTAGTATTTATCATCATCATCATTATTTTTTTCTCCGTGTATAAGTTGAACCAATGGTCTTTTCTTGGTTTGCAGCAATAACTGTCTGTCATCCTAATCCTTGTGTCCATGGAGGGAAATGCAATCCTATTAACAGTACACATTTTTGGTGTAACTGCACGAACACAGCATACACAGGCGACAGGTGCCATGAAGGTATTTTCCACCAACCGATATATCCTCGGCTTCAACGCGGAAGCAGTGTAAACGTCACTTTTAAACTTTCTCCGCCGGATAAACAGCTGACCGTTACACCGAGTGCATCGGGATTAGAATTCGTACCTCGTAGTTTGGTGATCCACCCAGAGCAGTTGGCGGAGGGAAAATTGTATCACGCAAACATGGCTATAAAAGCTCTTCTGCCAGGCATGCATCTTACCACGTACACTTTGTCTGGTGTTGGAGCCCTTTCTTACCAGGCGTTGCCACCTGATATTGTAGTTGTCGTTGAGAATGAAACATCTTGTAATGATGGTTTACTGAGCACCCTTCCTTTGGGATGCTATAAGGCCAGACTTCTCCGATGTCCAGATAGTGACAATTTTCTGTACGCTAGATCAACCGATCCATGGAAACAAGCCCAAGGAACAGTTAGTACTGAAGGAGTTACTACTCTCATTTCCGTTAATAATCTCACTTTACCGTTGGGGATTAGAGGAACAGCGCTTGAGAAATTAAATCTCTCACATTACTCAGTCTCATCAGACAACATGTTATGCAAAGCTCAACCACCAATGGACGTGCAGTGCCTCCCTTCAGAAATCGTAGCATCTGTATTCCTGCAATCCTTAACAACCAGCTTTCCTCGCTGGTTACGCTTGATTCCTACAAAAACACTATCGAGCCTTGAGCCAAACGAAGCAATCACTTACTTATGGAGCGGACTTCAACTTAGGGGGATATTGAAAGGACTGGGACTTTTCGTGAATGATCGCTCCTTTTACTCAGCCCTTCTGTATTCAGGGTCCTTATCAGTTGAGGTAAACAATATGAGTGTGGTACTTCCAAAGTACGATGGTAAAAACAAACACATGGTTGTTACAGATATTTGTTCAAATTCATGGCCTGCTGATGCACTAGTTATCCTCAACCCATTGTCTTATAAAGCTTTACAAGCCATGCCAGTTTATAAGCAACTTGAATCACGGGGCTGGCAAGTAACCGTGATGGCTTTACAGTTTTCAAAAGTGGGTGCCCTCAACTATTCTGTATTTACGAGAAAACGAGGAAACAAGCTTATCCCAGGAAGTCTGGGATTCTATGGAAGAGTTGCAAAGACCATAAATGGATCTCATCCGGTCGGTTCCTTGGGTGTGCGTTTGGTGGGAAATGTAGTCTTTGGAATATCGAATATCGACGAGGTAAGTGAAACACCTGTTCTCTAATACGCTTGCAATCAAGCCATGGCGGTACATCCAAAGCAAGTTCGTGAAATAAAAAACTTTTTCTCTCTTAGGTATGGAAAAACAATCTATTCTCTTGGAAGGCTGGGATTAACGGAGAAGTGACGGCAGAAATGATTTTATTCTTACTGGAGCAAAAGGTGTCAGTGGATCTGCGGCTACAGCAAAGTTCTGGAATTGTGGAGTTTAAAGGTTAGTTTGCGTTGCCTGTGGCCTTAAGTGTCGACTTTAAAAACGTTACTACATAAAGGTTAGTGAGATCTCTACCATTTATAGGGCGTCTCTTTAAGGCAAGAATATAAAAGGGGTTAGGGATCAGTTTGTAATCTTGCGCACGTTAGATAAATTTGATTGCATCCAAATTTCAATTTTTGTCTTTTGTCAACTGCTTACCATGCCTATTAATTGTATCGCAAGAAAGTCCCCGCTGAGGCCTATTGATGCCGTTCGAAGTGTCCAGTTCCAAGTGACATTAAGCCAATGAACGTTATCCACAGCATTCTAACAATGTACGTCACAACTAATTCCAACGGGCAGATCCTTCGTCTCTTTGAGCCACACGTAATCCACCAAATTTTGCGTTTTGAAAATAGAAGTAAGCTCGTTTTTTTTTAACTACCAGAATCTCCAAGCAACAAATCTTGCAAGGCTACAGACACATACGAATTGTCCCTGAATGGATTTTTGGAAAGAGATCCTTTCGAGTCTACCCTTCTTGGCGCCTTCATTGAAAGCAAAAACAGCAAAGTGTCATTGTACGCGAATTCTCAGCGTCTTATCAACTCCTCTACAAAAGAGCCCAGTGAATCCTCTGCCATCCAGTTGGAATTTTCACTAACTGGCATTGTAAAATTTGGACCTTTGAGATTTCCTAACATGTCTTTGAGTATTGAGACTTCCTCAGAAGAATTGAAAAAGTGTCATGATCCAGGCAATATTACGGATTCTGGGTTAATCATTTCCGCTTCTTTTAACCAAGGGGCGGTTCTGGGGAGGTTCTTTTCTTCTCTTGATTCGGATTCTCTGCACATTTTCCTACCATCAAATAGCCAGAACAGTTCTGAAAGTGTCCTTGAAACCAGCTTGGCTTTCCTGGGTGATTCGTTTCAAACTCGGGTAAAGATATCAAAGCAATCCTTAAATTTCGAGAAGGAGATCACTTTGTTCGACAATTATCGACTGTCCATCAATGGCTCGAGTCAACTGCAGTCATGGGATTTCCTGAGTTTGAGGGTCAGCGGAACTTTCGGTAAACCTGACGTTAACAGTGATCAAAAAGCACTCGAGGATGCAATCAAAGAAATGATAAGTGATTACATTAAGATTATTGCTGAAACTACCATCAAACGGCTAAAAGTTTTGCAAGGTATGAGGGACAAAATGAATACAAGGGTAAGCAGAAGCTCATTAAGACTTACCCAGGCTGAGAATAATACTCATTCAGCCGTTGAGCAATATCTAATAGCCTTGAAAGCCAAAAATGCCGCCACGAAGGAGGTACGAAGGGTAGAAAAGGTTCTGACCAACAGCACTGATGAACTTAACGAACTCAAAGAATCTCTTGAGCGTTTGTGTACAATTATAGAATGTCACTATAGTTGTGTTAACGGTACAGCTTGTAGTACCTGTTATGAAGATCTTATCAGCAGGGAGCAAGGAGTCTGTCCTGCAATTTGTCACAAACTCCGGCAGGACCGACTTACTCCATTTTGGAAGACATCAACCTGTGTAAAAGAGGATTGTGACTTCTCCGGTGGTGACCTTTTGTCTCCTATAGCTTGTAGCTTTGAAAAAATTGGAAAACGAGTCCTTAAACCAGCGATAACAATGGGAGGTACAGCTCTTTTAACATCCATGGGCGTCCCACCAGTAGCTGCATATGCTATTTCAAGTGGTGTAACAAATGCTGCATTTGAATACGAAGAATCGAAAGATCCAGAGAAAGCGGCAGAAACTGGTGTCAAATCAGGAGTAGGAGGAGCGGTGGGGGCGGAAGTAGGTAATACCTTAGGCCTGACCAACTCGGACCCAGATGGAAGTAGTGCCTTGTGGATAGGTTTAGCAACCGGGATACATGAGGCTTCGCAACAATGCAATAGTGGGGGTTCGTGGGACTGCGAATTGGAACCTTATTCCTGTCCCGAGGAATTATTTAATTATAGGTACATCAACATACCGTTCCAATGCGAGACTTCGTGTGAGGTGAACGTCGTAAGAGAAACGATCGCCACTCCGTGCTGCCGAGAGGTGAACTGTGCATCACGAATAAAAGATTTAGAATGCCAGAAAAGGAATGCGTTTTGTCGTATGACAAGGCAAAAGGCCATGTTGAAGTTGAATTCCGCAAAAAAGAATATTTTGAAGCCTCTTATGGAGTTACAGCAAGCAAAGGAAGTATTCAACATTGCTCATATTGAGCTTGTAAAACGTAAACTTGAGTTGGAAGCTGCATCTGGTGAGCGTGACACTCTTCGAAGAGCACACAGTGCTATTTTAAAAGGGGCTGACATTTTGTTCTTATCGAATGAAAAGAGTCGTGCTTTCATTCAAGACGCAATTGCGTTAACTCAGCTCTGGAACAGCACTAATGAAACTTGCCCTTTAGACATAAACGAAATTTCGTTCGATGTGACCTTGTCGTCTCCCTCTGAAACTCAAATACCAGTGCTGTTTAAAATAGCCTCCGCGAGCAAAGAGAAGAACATCTATTCCATGATTGACTTTGTAGCCCTGAATGATTCTCTCCAGCGAACGGCTAAGCAAATCGTTAATGAACTTTTTGGCAATGTGAATGTCATTCTGCGGTCTGGACATCCATTAAATCAGCTAAAGAATCCGAAGGGCAATGGAAGAAGAAGGCGCGCCATTGACGAACCGGGCTCTGACGTGACGAAATTAGTGGAATACAAGAGAAAATGCGCTTTGGTAACCAATTACAACCGTGCCCTGAGTGACATCATAGGAACTCTATATAATATTTCCAGAAAATCTTTACGTTCCCTTAATAATGTAAAAAACCTCAATTCTGAAAAATATACGGCAGAATTCCGAAATCCCTCCCTGAATTTGACTCAAGCTGCTGAGTTTGGGCTCTCTGAAAAGGATATTGATGACTCCATTAATGCGGTGGAATCTGACAAAGAGGTGAAGAACGCAGCAAGCTTAATTGAGATTAGAAATGCGACTAACCACAGGAAAGTGCAAACAGCAGTAGATATGGTGTTTAGAGACTGGGAAGCAAGTATGGAGACTGTGTTCAACCGCACATCACTAGAATGTAGCGGTTTCATAGACTGTATGGAGGACTTTGTTGAAAACTTTCTCTTCCTCTACCAAGGGATCGATCTTCCTGAAGCAATTCTTCTGCGGCAAAAAATTGCAATCCTCGGCCAAGAAGTTAAAAGTCTTCTTTCCTACGAAGATCTGTCAGTGTCTGAAGCGGCGAATAAAGCCTCAAATATTCTGAAAAGGCTGAAAGATACTCGAGATGCGAACGTCTTCTGTGCTGTCGCTCCTAATATAACTCAACATCCAGTGCCAATAAAGAATTTAAAAATAGGGCAAACGCTCGAGCTGTCTTGCAAAGCGACTGGAGACCCTGCGCCAACTTATCGCTGGAGAAAAAATGGCGAGATCATTCCAGGAAGAAAAACAAATACGTTTCGCATCGAGAAAGTGGCAAAAACTGACGATGGTAACTACACTTGTGAGGCTTATAATCACTTATGTGTGGAACCATCGACTCCTTCTCACATAGTTATTCACCCACCTCCTGCTCTGGTGTACCAGCCTCCAAGGAACAAGAACGTACCACTGAACACTGGCTTCTTTATGAAGTGTACAGCAACTAGCGTATCAAAGCCTCTTCGATATCAATGGATTTACAAGCCTTTTGCTGGAGAAAATTATACTTTGGTTCCCAATGCCACTTTCTCTGTATTGAACTTTCGCTCCGTGGAGAAAAACAAAGAAGGCTTTTACCAGTGTAACGTGTCCAATCCATTTGATTACACGATATCTCACGACATCCGACTTCGAATTCTCGGCTTTTCTTTGGTTGTGCCTTCGCTTGGATTGTCTTTCCAAATTTCCGGTGAGAAAAAACACCTTGAAGAGGCCTATAATGAAAGTATCAGCGTAATCGGTGATAACGTCAAATTTCGACAGGATGTGGAATCGGGCTTTCATCAAATCGTAAGCAACCTGGTTGACCTTCCTTCTGATGCAGTTCAGGATCTTTCAGTAGAAGACTGCCAAATGATCTCGCAAAGAAGCGGCAATATCTCCTGTAAGGTTGCCTTTAGATTGCGTAGCTTCAACATGACGGAACCCAAGACCATGAACAAAACCGCGTCAGAAAACGCCGTTAGTGTTATGGATTCCGCGCAGCAGTTAGAAAGAGCTTTGGCCAAGCTGGTGAACGAGTCTGTTATAAGTGGAATTACTTCAGACGCCAACAGTGTTACGTTAAAGCTAGACCCGACTTCATGGGGTGTTGGAAAATACATCTCTCTCTGCCCCATTGGTACAGTACTCTATGGAAACAATTTCATTTGCGGTGAGTAACCTTGTTTTTAGTGTATAGGATTCTATCGGAGAACGCGACATCCTTTATGCTGGTAACCATTTGCAATGAATACACCATAATGAATACATTTTAACAGTTCCTATGCATCAACGTGACCAGCAGACGCACTGAGATCCGAATAAATAGGTTCAAGATAGGGCCTGAGATATTATGGCGTGGGTCTGTTATCAAATGCGTGACAGTCGTGTGCTGAAGTGATCTTCTAAAAGTTGAAATCTTAATTTAAAATTTCAGATTTTGACACGATTTCTTACTATTTTCGCTTGTATTCCATTTAGTCAACTGTCCACCTGGAGCATATGGGGACATAAACGGGACGTTACCCGCTTGTTTCCCGTGTCCCGTGGGAACATATCAGCCCGATGAAGGACAAACGTCATGCGTGCCTTGTCCCCCTGGTTTTACTTCCGGTAGTATAGGATTGGAGGATATTTCTTCGTGCCAAGGTGAGAGGCTGCATTCTTAAATTAAGGGAATCATCGGGTATTGGCTTAGGATAATGACATCTAGACTTGATTTCTTCGGGGTAAGAAACATCTAGTTTTTCTGTTGAATTAATCACAGTGAGCAAAGACAAAGGAAGGTAGAACACGAATTAGCACTATAAATGTGAAAGCTACTTCTACAACGAATATTATGAGAAACGACATAGGAACTTTCAAAGTGGTTTGAAGTAATTCTCGCTCTTAGAACCCCTCATTTTTCTCAGTTTTCACGGCTCTCGCGCCAACATCCTGCCGGTAAAAGAAGAAGAGGTTCCCACAAGAAGAGGACGAAAATGAGGGGGAATGCTCTGTCGCTTTGACTTGCTCACTTTTTTCATTCGCCACCACTAATTCAGATCCTGGAACAGCCTTAGGAAAACAAATCCTAATTTCGTGTTTTTGGGGGGCTTTTCGTATCGCTGACGTTCGTTCGTATTCGTGAGTTTATTTGTTGGTACTGCTGTTAAGAACCTACGTTTTCTCTGTTAAACAGATCTGACACCAGAGACAACCACACCAGGAGCTAAGACATCCCAGTTGTTAAATGTCTCCACAACTTTATCAAGACCATCTCCCACTGCCTCTTTGACGACCAATGAAGATGACATTAGTAGTGAGGAGCCCAGGGCACTGAATGTTAGGAGTTATCACGATGTTTCCTTCAAATGGAAAATAGCCTTTGGAGTTTGTTTGGCTGTAACCATCACATTACTGGCAGGTAAGCTGAGTAACTTTTATTACTTATAAAGGAACGGTTTTGAGCATCTCGGAAATGGCCTTTTAAGACTAAATCACTTAACCTGTAAAAAGTAACATTCTAGAATCTTTCTTCGCTTGTTTGATTCCAAAGGAATGCTGCTCTATGGCGTGAACTACCGCGTCAAGAAAATCAGACGATTCGGATTATCAAACGATGATTCCACTAAGAAATCAAAGAGTGGACACACATTCCAGAATCCCGTCTACGACGATACTGAAGTACATGGACAAGCATACACCCAGAGTAACGTCACTTACGAGCTGACTGAGCCTCCGGCTAAGAAGAAAATGGTAGCAATAGCTGAAAATGACAAGCATACGCCCCAGAATCCTTTGTGCAGTGTACCAGAAGCTGATAATCAAGATCCACTGGAATGTGGCCATGTCAACCCAGCCTACCAGATGACCGGCGATACCGACAGGGAGATAGAAACTTGCAAGAACTCAATTGAAATATTACAATGACTGCTACTGCCAGATATTAAGATAACCTTTGTTACTTTTATCCCAGTTTTTTTTCTTTAAAAGGACTATTAAATATCAAGTATCAATTAAGTCTGTAATATAGCTGTTAACATTTTTCGATTATTTTAACTTTTTAAATACATTAATAAGGAGCAAATATAAGGAAAAAAAAATTTCAATTCACAGAGATTAATTCAAACGAAGCCGAGCTGTCTATGAGAGGTCTTCGAAAGAACGTTATACCCGTAGAAAATGTGATTTGCATTAGCCTCTTCGCCTCGAAACTTTGCAAAGATGTCGTTTTTCCTTGTCTGCGAAGAGATAATTCTTTTTATGTATTTCTGGCAAACGATGATAAATTTAAGGTGATAAATATGTTTTATACTTTGTTAATGCTGTCTCGTCGTAGAGTGGTTTCATACATTGCTAAGGAAGTAGAAAAATTATGTGCCCAAAATACACATGAGGGCTGATACTCTCTACAATGGAAAGCTTACAGCCATAAACCAAGAATTATAGCGCATTAATGCAATTTCATTGAAATTTTTCTTCTGGCATCAACCGCCCCCTTCCAAAGAAAAAACAATTTTGAATTCTCCCCTTGAAATGAAAAGGCACACGGGTTGTTGACATTGAAAATCAATGAAACTTTATTCCATTTGCTAAACTAAAAACGTAGGCGTTGATTTAAACAGGAGACCTTCATTAAAGGAATATCTGAATCAATTTTCAGAGAGAAAACAAAGTAAACGATCTTGAATTAAGACACCTTTGCCTCATATAAACTGACAGGCAACACTCGGTCAGTTATGCAATGTTGCGTTACGCAAAGCTTTGTGTAACGCAACGATTGCTACCAAAAACACCTCAGTGATTGTACAGTTGCAACTTAAATAAGGAAGGTTTTGATATTTTTATAGAGTGCCATCGTATCTACTGCGTTTAGCTTGACTTATCTACAAGGTTTTTAAAAATTCCGTTCCGTTTCGTTGTCCACTGTTGTCTTCAATCCTGGTCCCATTTATGTATTGTTCTCTGTTGTTTTCCATCCAGGTCCCATTTACGTAAGGTTCTTCGTTGCCTTCCATCCCGTTTCCATTAATGTATCGTTCTCCTTCTACATCAGTGCTGTTTCGGCCAGCTTCATAGTTGAGCCGCTTCTGTAGATCTTGGTATCGTTCGCGTTCAGGACGCTATTAGTAGAAAACAGATTGCAACGATATTTACTTTTAGGACAAAGAAAACAGAGAAAAGGACACTATTCTGGGTTGTCTTTCTTGGGATGACCCGATTTAGATAATTTTGGCTCGTTAAGATTACATGTTATTATGAAAGCGCGACCTTTCTTCGATGTGTAAGGTTAAACTGAAGAACACGTAAAAGAAGTGAAGTGCTCATGTATGGACAGCACGCTCGAGCTACGATACTGTTCAGGAATCTATCTCTGACTCCATGCTGTCGTGCATATTTCCCTAGTTTACGAGTATAATCCCCCTCCCCCCCTCATTAAAATAGACAGATAATGGTGAGACAACCTCAGGAAAAAGGTGGCATTGAAAGATGAGGAGGAGGAGGAGGAGGGAAGATTAATCAGACTGGCACCTTTTCCCATTTACCCAACAAAGTATTCGATAATCGATGTAGCTACTTTTGAATTAGTTTGGGGCGACAAGAACATTGTTGAAAAGTGAATTTGAAATTGAACCAAAATAATTCTTTTCTTCCAGTTCTTTCAAGCACAGCACAGGTTATTAGACAACCACTATGAACCAATGAGATAAGAACTTGCAGACTTTTACATTTAAGCCTTCAATGTCTTCAACATCTAACTTCTCCATACAGTATCACCCATGTATCAAACACTGAGCTCACGCGGATAAAATAAATAATTGCTTATTAAAAAAGCTTTTAATTGTCAAACAAGTTTTCCTTGTCAGTAACAAAGGAAAAATTCAGAGACAGAGTTAGGAGAACATGCATAATGATTTTAGGATACAAAGGGAATAACATACCATTTCCAGGTGTATAGCCTTAGCGATGGTACCCGCTCTAGCGACCAGACTGCTGTACGAGCGAACCATATACACGTGCCTGTTCCCGTAGGTAAAGGGTCGCAGGTATCGCTGATCAACATAACCAACTCCAATGATAAACACCTTGACGCCATAACGCCTGAACTGCGACGGAAGCCTACTGATGAGGTAGGACGATCTTGCAGTCTGCTTGCCGCTGACTACCACCACCAAGACCTTTCGGATGAAAGAGAACATCTGCCTCCTTGCGAAAAAATATCGGAGAGAGGCTTGTAATCCGAGATCGACTCGCCGACCGACTTGGTTTGGAAAGCGGATGTAGTTCAAGGCTCTGAGTACCAGACCTAACGAGTTGTACTGGTTCAAACGCATGCGCAGATGTGGCCGGCTTCCGTAAGTTGCCACACCAACGTGTGATTGGTACTTACTGATTGTGAAACGACGGGCGATCGACTTGATGAAAGCCTTCTCAAGGTGGAAATTTCTGCGACCGACATAGCGGGAGCCATCGATCAAGAACGCAATATCAGCAGTAACACCGACGTGAGACACACCTGTTATATATGAAACATGAAATAAGCATCCCTTCATATTGACTCCTTGCTTTATCTCATTTCTTTCAAACATATCACATCAAAGAGAAGACAGAAAAAATACACGAGTGAATACTCACTTCCACCGGGTAATTTTGGCCGCACTGGTTTCGGACGCACTGGCCTGATTCGCCCTGAAAGCGAAAAAACACCAAACGATTGTAAAGAACCTACCTTAAAAGATACTCTTTCTCTATTCTTGTGTTCCCAAAAGCTACTCGAGTTGATACAAAACAGAACGCACTTACGCCAGTGTCGCCCTCTCGTCCGGAATATTGTGTACAAGTCGTAATAATATAAGAATTTCGGAGTAAATCCATTAGCGTCCTTTAGAAAATTTTGCAATCTTATTGGCTGCACTACTCGCTATCTATTCTGCATTGGATAGTAAGCATAGTGAGTAGCCTAAAAGTGTGCGATTGTAGAAAAACCAAAATAAGAACGTGATACTGTATCGTTGTTACGTTTTGAACGATTATAAGATGAAACCAATACATTATTCGTTCTTAATTCGTGCCTGATAGTTGATCATCATTATGAGTGAATTACCATTCATACAATTGATACATGTGTCTACTTAAAACTAACAGTTTTGCTATTATCGTAACGAAAGTCTACCTTCGAATTTTCAACCTCTAGTTCCTGATCAATTCAAAATAACAAGTATGACAAGCGTACTGGTTCAAATCAGCACACAGCTTTAGTTACTTACTGACGCAGTTGCCCCATTTCTTATCCCGATCATAGTTGGGTGTGATAGCGCACCATCTACGGCTGTGGCGAGTTCTTGTGCAGCTGTTGTAACGACGGCCTTTGTAAATGAACGGAAACACACAGCAATGTCGGCTTGTGGTTCGTTTCTTGCAATATCCTGTTTTAAAGAAAGAGAAAAACCCCAGCTGTATGTCAGTTCTGAATAATATTAAACCTTTTCGCTCTAACATCAGTATTCATATTCTCCATACTGTTCTCTATACATTTCCGAAGGTGTTGACAAGGAGAATTTGTTGAAAAAAATCCATAGCTTCTCTAGTCAGTGATCATTTCATCCATTCTTGTTACGTCAATGTTTGATTCAGAGGTGATACAGTATGGAGAAACTACATTCTAATCACTCTTAGGGATCAAAGGGTTAAAGGGAAAAAAGAAGCAGTTATGATATCCGCTTAATTGTAATGGGAAGCCCGAAGGAGGATAGACTAGAGCAAATAAACACACAAACAAACAAAAGAATAACAACAACAAATTCCTCGTTAAAGCTGTATCACATCATTTGCGACCGTGCTTGAAGCAGCTTCTACACGATATTGTGCAGAGTAGTTACCTTTCAGATCAGACAGTAAGGGGGAAATGACTACCAACAAGAGACAAAGAGGGCAAATTTGAACAAGGACTGCTGGTACACACTCCAACAACATTGGCAAAAAAAAAAATTCAGATGGACAGACCCTTACGTTATTTTTTTTCCAAATCTACCATTTTCTTATCTTTACCGCATTGGATCGGTATGCGAGAGATCGTAGGATGAACTCTTGTTAAGGCCGCACCAAAACCTTTTACACCCTAACATCAGTATGCATATTCTCCATACTGTTCTCTATACGTTTCCTAAGGTGCTGACAAGGAGAATTTGTTTAACAATCAAGAGCTTCTTTAGTTGGTAATCGTTTCTTTTATTCTCATGACCTTAACGTGTGATTCAGTGGTGATATTGTGAGGAGAAATTTCATGTTAGTCACTCTTAGGGTTCAAAGGGTTAATTGTAATTTACTGTCTGTGAACAAGTTTTCAACACGTTAAAACTTACCTCTTACGGAGTAAACATCATTAGCCCAAGGTCCTCCCTTTCCATTCCTACACCTGTTGGATCGTCCATACCTCCTGTATGTCAACTGAGCTCTTCGACCCGTGGCGCACCATCCCTGATGTTGTACAGCGAACACACTGTATCCCATTCTCATGGCCACCAAAGCGCATTTCGTAATGGCGTCTGCTCTTCTGCGGTAATAACCGTCGAGAATGGAATCTCGACCTTCCGCTTGTGGAACGGCACGTCGACTAGTATCACGGAAACATCCAATTGCCTTGGCTGAAGAAGAGAGCATATACATTTAAAATAAATTTTCTTACACAGAGAGGGAAGCAAAAGAGCGAACTGTCCCACAAAGAAACTCGCTTACCGCTGACTCCGGTAGTGATTCGTATGGGTGGAGCTGTTGACGACAAAACAAAATGCAAAATCTTTAACTTTGTGACGCCTACTTAACACTTTATGAAAGGCTTAAGCGCCAACAAGAAAGAAAGACCATGGATACACTTAGACTGTACATTTAAAAAGTGAATCATAGCTGAGTTTTGAATGACTGGCGTCTTTCACCAAGAGCCTCTGCAGGCCGTCAAAGACATGTAAAGCGTAAGTGTGACTGAGAAAAATACGAAAGGTTAGAGATAACTTTTGGGTCGGAGAGTTTGGATCAGCTGTACTCGAAAAGAGCTGGTGTCAAAAGAAATTAAATAAAGGCAAACGATGACCGCTTTAGAGAACTTATATAACGTGTTGTCTGAAATTAATAATTCCCAAACACGAGAAAGAGACAACACTGGACCTCCCAAGATAAACAAAATTATTTGAAGTGCAATAATGAGCATTAAAAACGTCATTTTATGTGGCAAACAGAGGAGGGAAAGACTCAGAATTTATGTTTAAGCCCCTGAAGGGCGATGTGTTAATAAAATTCAAACCAATAAATGAGCAAGTGAGTTTTCTCACATCTTTTTCCTCTGCAGTATCCCCAGGCTGTTCCCCTTCGATATCCTCCAAAGGTGATTGGGCACCAGGGCCTTGTCTTTCCACGTCTGGTACACGAATAGTGTCTGCGCCCGCGATATACAAACGGAAAAACGCAGCAGTGACCTCGAGTAGTTCTGTGACGACATGTTCCTAGAATAGAATAAAGAAGTATAGAAAATACAGAAAACCATAGCGAGATTCCAGGCTTTTTTTCAAATGGTTTGAACTTCAAGTTTCTAAGTCGTTATAGGATTATAAAGCAGCGTATCAGACTACTAAAGTGGTGTAACCCTTTCTAGCATGTCTTGTGAATTTCCAAACCAACCTAATTCAACAAACTATCTAAGAATAAAACACAATAAATGAAAATTAAGGCGTGTATCTGTTGGTTGTTCTAGATTTTCAAGTGCAGTAAAACAAAATGGTGCATCACGTTTCATGCTTAACCAGTCAACCTTTATTGCCTGAGGGAGACTGGCACTACGCGGTCAAAACAGCAAGTGACACATTGAAGGACATTTGTTTAATTTTTGTTGCATTTGAACTGCACTTTATGTACTTCAAAGACAAAACAAACCTGTGAATCTATTGACCACTTGTGCAAATCAATTACCTGATACTCTGTAAACATCATTGGCCCAAGGCCCCCCCTTGCCATTCCTACACCTGTTGGATTTTCCATATCGAGCGAAAGTTCTATGAGCCTGCGGTCCTGACGCACACCATCCACCGTCCTGAACACCAAACACAGCGTACCTCTGACTAGCAGCAGTCAAGGCGCATAATTTGATGGCATTTCTTCGTAGTTTGTAGTTTCCTCTTAAAAGGCGACTTCTCCCGTCCATTTGTGGTATGGCCCGCCGAGCTGTGTCTCTATAGCAACCAATTCTTTGAACTGAAAAGAAAAAAAAAACAAAACAAAAGAAAAAAACACGAGGTTTACCTTAAATAATTAAAAAAAAGGAGATGGCAAATTTTTAGTCTGTTGATTCAAGCGAAGAAAGATGTTATTCAGTGAATGGCAAAGGCATCACGAATGAAAAGAGAACAAAAAGGTTTCTCTGTCATTCACTGAATAATATCTTCCTTACAAAAATAAATCTCTACCATAAAATTAAAAAACTAGAGTAAGCCTTTACCAAGAAATACGAAGATTTTGTCGTGAGGTTTTGTAAAATTTCTGTATCTTTATCTGCTAAAATCATTTTGATTAAAATCAGAAATTCATTTCGACAAAGGTAAAATCATGGTTATATATATATTTCCATGGGAGCACAAAGCTTTTCCTTATAAAATACTTAAACAGCAGGATATAGCTCGTAATCTTTAACAAGTGTTAAATAAAGAAAATAAAACAACTTACTCCTTACTGAAGGTGTGACCTTTATAGGGCGTACTGCAATCAAAAAGACAGATCAACGTCAAATATTTGTCGCTTTCTAATGCATAGCAAGTACAGACTTCCTATGCAGAAAAAGACCAAAAAAAAAGTCTATTTTCTCCAAGAGCGACACAAAGACATCCCTAACCTCCTCGTCCTCCGCAAAATCCCCACAGTTTATCCACGTCATAGTTTGGAGTGAGGGCGCACCATGGACGGCCTCTGGAGCGCACCTGGGAGCAGCGGTTGTAACGCCTGCCGCGGTAAATGAACGGGAACACGCAGCAGTTCTGGCTGGTCGTTCTTGTTCTGCAGGAGCCTGAGACGAATTGAACCGCATAGATTCAGTAGTGTACGCTAATCATATCCCGCTTTCTCTAAAATACTTCATGGGCTTATTCTTTATGGCGGCATTTGTCAAGAACAAAACAAAAATGCGTCGAAATGGCCAGCATGTATAAAGCTATTGTTACAGATGGGGCGTCTAGATTCTTCAACTTTTTTGTTGATGTGCATGAAAGATAAAAAGGTGAACGTTTCGGAGATTGAATGGTACAAACAGAACAATGTCACGAAATAGTTCCTGCTTCCAAATGGACACGTCTATTTAGAACCACGAGAATTCTCTTAAAAAGCCGTAAATAATGTTTTGTCTGACCTCTCAAGACGTAGACATCATTAGCCCAAGGTCCTCCCTTTCCATTCCTACATCTGTTAGATCTTCCGTATCTCTTGTATGTTAAGTGTCCTGTCCTGGAAGCAGCACACCATCCCCCATGCTGCACTGCGAACACTCTAAAGCCTCGTTTTTGTGCGGCCAGAGCGCATTTTCTTATGGCGTACTTCCGTCGACGATAACTTCCTTTAAGAAGACGACTTCTCCCTTCCAGTGGAGATATGGCTCGTCGGCCTGTGTCTCTGAAGCAACCGATGTTCTTTGCTGTAAAAAAAGACATGGAAAAATGAAGGATAAGATGAAAAATTAAGTCTTTTATACTTTTATACTCCTGCAACTAACTGTCAAAGTGGAATCTCAAAGGCGGATTCAGAGAATTCATAAAAGGGAGGCCGGAAAATCGCGACTGGAGAATAAACTCTCTCCACAACAGTAATGTCATAAACATCCATACAAGGTGCTTACAAAATAATTAAAAGTAGAGTGGCGAGTGCGCCCCCTACTTCCGTCTCTCCTACTAAATACAAGCTCATAAACCATAGGAAGCACGGACCTCGGTTCCTCAAAATATGGTACTTTCTTTAAATTTCTTTGAACTCGACATGCTCTGTCAGCTTTGCATGTAGCAAACATACAGGCGTGCTTCACACTAAACGGAACAATTTCCATTGTTCAAAAGAATAAGTAACCTAATTACTACAAATATTTTCAGAGGGATACAAACCTCCTAATCCAACGGTGATTCTTACAACTGTTCCTGTAGACACAAATTAAAATAAGACGAATGAATTGCAAGATATTTGCACGAAATAAAGATAGTGAGGTGCACAGAGATGTTCCGAGTACAATTCTTACCTGGCCTTATTGGTCTAACCGGTTTTACAGGTCTAACTGGGCGACGTCCTGAGAAAAGATAAATCAAAATAATTATGTTCTCGTTTCTTAACACAACTGTTATTGTCAATAATCTTCACATTGATTTTTAGAAAATTGGACAAAAGCTGTAGCAGAAATCACCCCCATCAATAATGGAGGAAAAGATCGTTAAAAGCATTAAAGTAAACTCTAAAGATATGTTGTGGAGCAAAAATATACTTTAAGTGTGAAAATGATTAAAACTTCTTGAGGAGCTCTAATTTTTCGAGACCAATAATTTATCTCCTTTAAAAGTCAATTTAATATCCAGGAAAAAGGTGGTATAGCAGAATGTCAGCAAAGAAATATTTTTTGATTCAAAATCAAATTCTCAGTACTTAAAATATAAGAAACGAATAGCAGATAATAAGGAGAATTGAACTTAAGTTCTTAGGTGCTAAAAGGATCTTGAACTTACCAGCACAGTTACCCCATTTCTTGTCTCTGTCATAGTTACCGGTCAGCGAGCACCATGGACGATTGTGATTCTTTTTCGTGCAACTGTTATAACGGCGGCCTTTATAGATGAACGGGAAGCTGCAGCAGTAGCGAGAGGTCGTTCTCTTTCGGCACCTCCCTACGAAAACAAAGCGAGAGCTGTATGAAACAGACCCATAATAGGTGGAAGCACTGTTTTGTCTCATTTTACTTTCCATCGAATCGTCCGATCGTCCGGGCGAGAGTAGCCCCGAGAAGGACTGTGAATATTACGAAGTGACAGTCTCTTTGGCCTCACCTTGAATGAAATACACGTCATTGGCCCAAGGGCCTCCTTTCCCGTTTCTACACCGATTGGATCGTCCATACCTCCTGTAAGTCAAGTGAGCTCTTCGACTTGTGGCGCACCATCCCTGATGTTGTACAGCAAAGGCTACATGACCAAGCCTCAAGGCAACCAGAGCGCATTTGTCAATGGCGTCGGCTCTTCTTCGGTAATAATCCCGGAGAAGAATATCTTTGCCGTCTATACCGGGAATAGCTCGACGAGCAGTGTCGCGCCAGCAGCCTCTTGACTTGACTGAAAATACATGTCAACATATTTTTTAGGTCAAAACTTCGCCATTTGTATTTGTTTACTTAAAAATAAAAACCTGATGAATTTTATAACGATGTCGCAATTATAAGAATGAATCAAGATGAGTGAATGAAATGTTTCGTTCTAATTTTGTTAGCCCTAACAAGTCTAAACTTTTTATACTTATTACAAATTAACTGACTGATCACTGTCGCCGAACACAATGAAAGCATTACGCGGGAGTATCAGATTTCTCTATTTGTTCTCGGTTTTCACAAAAAGTGGTATTTTAAGAGATAATCTATGATTAGGTTTAAATTATGCTCCAATAACATTTCATAATAGCGAAGATAGCTACAACGATGACTGTGTTGATTATCTCATAACGGAATTGTTTATGGTCATTAAAATATTCCTTTAGAAATAAGTAAAAAAAATCACATACCTCTCACTCCAGTTGTCACCTTTATTGGTTTGGCTGAAAAGATCAATCGTAAGACAATATATTTACCTTTTGTTAAAACTTATACAAATGCAATATATAGAAAAAGGTCAAGATCCAGCTTATGACAATAAGACGCCAAGCTGACAAGGCCATATGTACAGAAATCAGGCAGGCAAGGATAGAAGTCAACTATGAAGACAAACTGTGAGTAACTGAGGACGTAGTGTGTGTCTTCCTTCCAGAAGGGCAGACAAACATGAAGCGATTGAAACGAGGACGGATACAGCAAGACACACAGGCAGAGAAATACAAAGCAAAACAACATACAAACTGAAAAAACAGAGAAACAAAAGAACGAAGAAAGAAGGAACAACTACGAGGCAAATTGATCTGACTTACGTCTTGCTCCACCCCTGCAGTACCCCCACAGTTTGTTCGTCCTAAAGTCAGGAGTGATCGCGCACCACTTTTGGCCACGACTGTTTGTAGCACAACCTCTGTATCGACGCCGGCGATACGTGAATGGTACACAGCAGTAGCCAGTTGTAGTGCGAAGACGACATTTTCCTAGTAAGGCAAAATCATATCATAACCGAATTATGAGAAACAAGAAAGGGTTATGAGAGAATTTATCAGTTATGACGAGGTCAACAGAAGGTTTTGATAAGTGAGGAACCACCAGGTCCAAAGGCGAGTAAGAAGAAAACTCTACGTAGAATATACTGTAGGAAAATAAACTGAGCCATAACACTAGACAAGACAAGTAATGTGCACCTCGTTAGAGTTTCACAAACCAAAATTAATGTGACTAAAACGACAACTCAGAATAAAGAATCAATTGATGATCTGTTAATTACTTATTCCTTACAAACTTTCTATTGCTTTGCTTTTACTCGCTTTGCGCGAATGGCGCGGAAAAAATTCCGGACCGTGATCCGTATTGTAAAGGGTGGATTGGTTACGAGCACACGATCAACCAATCACATTCGAGGATTTAAGGTTCCGCTCCGTTGAGATGCTTCATACAAAAAATTATGATTCTGGTATGAACTAATCATTAAAACCAGACTGTTACACAGGTTTTTGATAGCTATGCCGTTCAGATGATAAACTTACTAAATGGTAAGAGAAACATAACAAACCTGAGATTCTGTAAACATCATTCGCCCAGGGGCCTCCCTTTCCATTCCTGCACCTGTTTGATCGGCCGTACTTGGCGTAGGTTCTGTAAGCCCGCGGATCGGATGCACACCAGCCGCCATGTTGGACTCCAAACACCCTAAAACCAAATCGAGAGGCAGCCAGGGCACACTTAGCAATGGCTTTCTTTCTTCTCTGGTAATTTCCTCTGACAAGCAGAAGTTTACCGTCCAATGGTTTGATAGCTCGGTGAGATGTATCACGGAAGCAGCCGATTCTTTGGACTGCAAGTGTAAAGATGATATGTCATTAGCCATGACCCATCTGACGCATTTTGTAAAGTACTCTTGCAATTGCAGAAGAACCGTAAAAAATATCATTAGAAAAAACTGATCATGGAGACCGGGGAATTACCAAGGAGGCTAGTTACGAAAGAAAATTTCGACATTTGTTGGTACAAACTATTTCATAAGTTCTCTTATTTAGCTCATCACACCGAAGAAAGAAAACTAGCGATTCAAAAGGAGACGTTCAAGAAGGGTCAGACTAACTATAGCACCCATCAATGACATATTTTACAAAAATGTCCGAAAGTCACCCAAACATTTGAGATGAGCAGTAAAAAAAAACAAAAAAACAAAAAGGTAAACAAAAAAACACCAAACAAGGAATACTTACTGCTAATAAATGGAACGATCTTTATCTCAGGAACTAAAAGAAATAAAACCGGAAAACAAAGTTCATTTTGAGTAGTTTTTTTTCCTTTCAATTTGAAGAAATTAATAAAGTAAAAGAAAAACGTTCTCGGAGAAGGTAGAAAAACTTTGTAATACCAAGGAGAAACGAAATTTAAGATAACTTGCGCATCGATAAGCGAGTACTGTGGCGTGTTCAATAACTTTAGCAAAAGCTGTACAGTGGGCCTTTTGGTATTTAAGATAATCTTCACCTCCGCGTCCACGACAGTATCCCCACAATTTGTCCACGTCATAGTTAGGAGTAATAGCGCACCAGGGCCGTTTTGAGTTGACCCTTGAACAGCTGGTGTACCTTCTACCTTTGTAGACAAACGGGAACACGCATGCGTTGTTGCGTGTTGTTCGCGCACGAGCAGAGCCTAGAGGAATAATATAATTAAATCAGTCATTGGTATTTTGCCGGTTGGCTTGGAAGACAGGAGTAAACTAATGAATGTGTTGTTCGGCGGTGGGTTGTTCGAAAGGCGATTGACCAGCGGTTTCAATAATTTTTCGCATGAGCTGCTACTGATGATGTAATAGGCAGCTGTGCTGAAACCCAACACGAGAACCAGCTCGCAGTTTAACCCTTTACACCCTAACATCAGTATGCATATTCTCCATACTGTTCTCTATACATTTCCTAAGGTGCTGACAAGGAGAATTTGTTAAAAAATCAAGAGCTTCTTTAGTTGGTGATCATTTATTTTATTCTCATGACCTTAACGTTTCATTGAGGGGTGATTTTCTATGGAGAAATTAGATGTTAATCACTCTCAAGGGTTAAAGGGTTAAACAAGACAGCAGTGAGAGGTCTTCTAGGAAGCGGTAGACCAACGGTAACTGGCTTTTAATGAAACGTCTGGGTTAACACTATACTAAGTTAACTCATATCAAATATTTCTCTACTCCCTTGTAAGTATTTTTAGCAACGTAAGGAACTTTACAAATAAGTTCAGCTCTCTACCACGCCCTACATCAGCGTAGTTGATTTTAGAGCAAAGCTGATTTCCTTGTTAATGCAGTTGTGTCATGAGTATTACACGCGGTTGTAGCCGTTTTTAGTTACTCTTGAGGGATTCATTTGGAATTAAGATGAAAACATCCCGACGAGGACAAGAAACTGGAAATCAAATACGAACCCTAAAGCTCACGGCAAAGCAGTAGAAAAATTAATCAGAAACTATTTGGTTAACTCAAACTGGCAGAAAAGTTCCTGTTACCTTTCAGAATGTAAACAGTGTTTGCCCATGGTCCTCCCTTTCCATTCCTACACCTCTTAGATCTTCCGTATCTTCCATACGTTCGATAGGCGAATTTAGATGAAGCACACCATCCCTGGTGCTGTATTGCAAACACTCTATATCCTCGTCTTTCTGCAGCGACACCGCATTTTTGAATCGAATATCTTCTTCGTCGGTAAGGTCCTTTGAGGAGACGGCTCCTCCCTTCCATAGTTGGAATCGCTCGGCGACCAGTGTCCCTGAAGCAACCGATAGGTATGGCTAGAGGTGGATAAGAATATTTTTTAAGAGTTGGTCGTTCCCAATCCCTTTAATTTTAGTCTCCATCCGTAACTTAACTTTTTTTTTTTGGTTCATACTTGTCCCTTAGGTTTTCGTCTGGTCCAACAAACCTCTTACTCTGAAATAATATCTATGTAATAAATTATATTTGACTTGAAGAGGATAAGCGAAGAATTGATCCACACAGTTTAAATAAAATAGAGGCTAAGACGTCTATCAAACCCACGGGGAGGGGGGGAGGAGGGCAAATTTGTCCCACTCTGGCTATATTTAGTGTTAAATGGAACTTTAAGTCGAGGGACTCCTTCAGGACTGTAAAAAGTGTCCGATAGAGAAAGGTAATGGTAAAAATGTTATATTAACATTTTTTTTAGACGGAATCAAAGTGAGTTTCGATTAAAAAAAAAGTGTCCCAGAAGAAAAAGTCTGTATTTTTCAGTAAAAATGGTCTTAACTATTCAGAAAACCGAATTACGACATTAAAGAGATACCTTTCAATCCAGTAGTGATTTGAACGACACGGGCTGCAATGAAAAGAAAACAGGTTGAGGGACGAAACAATGGAAGAAAAACTAATCACAACGTGTCTCGACTGTTTTAAACATCGCGATATGCTACTCTTAAGACTGCGTGAAAACACACAAGTACTCGATCAACTAACCTCTCACGGGCGGAATGATTGGTTTCACTGGTCGAACAGGTTTACGTGCTACAAAAAAAATAAGAAAACATTAAAATAAAATCATAGAAATATTATATAGTCAGAACTACGATTCACTTTTTCCGGAAGTGAAAACAAAATTCTTACTGGCACAGTTGGCCCATTTCCTGTCGCGATCATAGTTAGAAGTTAAAGCACACCATGGACGATTATGGTTTTTTCTTGTACAACTGTTATAGCGACGACCTTTGTAGATAAACGGCAGCGAGCAACAATAACGTTTAGTTGTCTTTGCTCCACAGGATCCTGAAAGATAAAATTATACAATGGTTAATTCATGTCCAATGATACATTACAAGGTTGCACAAGGAGATCAGAAAATCTCTAAGAGAAGTAAATCTTTTCGATGGAATGCCTAAACGTAAATGTTACCGCTCTAATCATTTTTTTTCTTAATTTGAAAATAAAAAAAACAATTACGAATACCCGTAGACCAAACACACCATCAGATGAATGAAAGAAGACGAGAGAATGTGGAACACAAAGTATACCAAGCAAAAGACCATTATCTGTTTCTAATAACTTGCGCAAATTACTTTGAAGGGTACACCATTGAGGTCAGAAAAAAGACGACTCAATTTGTAGTAATTATTGTATCCAACAGTAGCCAGGACTCACCATACACTCTGTACACATCATTAGCCCAAGGTCCTCCCTTTCCATTCCTACACCGATTGGATCGTCCGTACCTCCCATACTTCACATGAGCTCTTCGACCCGTAGCGCACCATCCCTGATGTTGGACGGCAAACACCTTGGCTCGGAGCATCAAAGCAACAAGAGCGCATTTCTCTATGGCGGCTTTTCGTGATCGGTAGTAGCCTTTCACTAACGAGTAACGACCGTCCACTCCTGGGATAGCTCGCCGAGCAGTGTCTTTGAAGCATCCAAGTGGTTTGACTGAAAGGTGTTGTCAAGGAATAAAAAGAAAACAAAAGGTTAATGAACTAATCTGAGACTCACCAGGACAAGGCATGACCGAGGGGGGGAAGAGAAAGGGAGGAGGGACATGACCGACGGGGGGGGGAAGGGAGTTAGCGGGATACTGACATACCCAATTTTTCCCCCGTGAAATCTTTAATTCAATATATTAGGAATTTCCTTCACTTGACTAAACTACACGAATAAAAAACAACTTTTTGTTGTGTTTGGGAGATACCGTACACCTGATTAACAAAGACCCTGAAAATCTTAATATACTTAACCCCTGAAAAAGCCTGCATGAATCAAGACACTCGTTTATTAATCCGAAACTAAGATCAGAGAATAGAAGGGAAGACTGAATGCATAAAAACACTCAACTCGACACTTTTGTTTGTGTAACTCTATTTGAAAGCAGCGGACGGCGAGAGGAAGTTGATTTAGTCAATATTTGAATAATAATCAGTCATAACTTACTGACAACTCCACTTGTGATTCGTGTTGGTGGAACTGTTGGCAAAATGGATATGTTTATTTAGTTACTTTCCATGTAAAAACCTCTTATCAACTGAGTTCGAGTTCCATACTTAAAGTTGCGGACCGAGGTTTTTCGCTTGGATTTCTGGCCCGTGCGATGCGTGCTAAAGTGACCGTGGAAGTCACCTAAACACGATCTATTGGATAACTCAACAAACAAACAAACAATCAAACGAACCTCACAAGATGAAATCTTACCTCGATATCCTCTACAGTAACCCCAAGGTTGTCCTTTGCGGTAGCCTGGGAGGGTTGGACACCAGGCTCTTCTCAGTCGACTTCCACGAGTTGTACATGACCTGTATATGCGCCCGCCATACCGGAACGGGAATACACAGCAGTTGCCGGTAACAGTACGCTGCTTACACCTTCCTGTGAAAAGAAAAACAGCATGGCTTGTGAAACGATTGCCTCTACTTCCAGAGGAGGTGATAAGAAGCTGCCTGAGTTTCCTACCACCAGCGTAATCGATAACAGCGTGGCTGAAAAGTTTAAGCACCTGAAATCCTGTAAACATCATTAGCCCAAGCTCCTCCTTTTCCATTCCTACATCTGTTTGACCGGCCATACTTAGCATATGTTTTATAGGCATAACGCCCGGATGCACACTGTCCGCCATGTTGGACTCCCATGTAGGAGTAGCCACGTTTTATGGCGACTAACGCACATTTTCGAATGGCGTATTTTCTTCGTTGGTAGTTTCCTCTTAAGAACGGGCTTCGGCCTTCAATTATAGGGATGGCTCTGCGCCAGGTGTCTTTGTAACATCCTATCCTCTGGACTGAAGGACAAACATGCGCAAAAAAAAAGGTTATTGGACCTTAGTTTCGATAATAAACGTAAATTTCAAGCCTACAAGGGTATCGTTTGAGGGTAAAAATTGATGCGAGACAATCCTTTCTCTATATTGTATTAGTTAACATGTCAACAAGGTCAACATTTTGACCAAATAGATATAGGTATACTCCTAAAAGATCCATGGATCGTGATGTTAAATTTTTTGTTTCGAAGTGAACTCAGAGATGTGTATTTCTTCGTTTTGTCGTCACCAAAGAACTTGCTCTGAAAAAAGCGAGCTAACAAAGAACATCAGAAACAGACTGGGCAGCCATGCTATGCACGAAAGTTCCTATTCTTTTCTTAGAAGAAATTTCGGTACTGTTTTTAATAACTCTGTCACAAATTCCATTAAGCATTTGACGCGGCGTCATCAGTAGTCAACTTCAAGGCTGCCCTCTTCAATGCAAAAAGCAAGATTTCCTAAAACAACTTTAACGCAAGCAATTTTTTTTCAGGAATGCATAAATACAATGTAGATTGACGGTAGGACCGAAGCGGATATTACAGTGTGTTATCCTGACCGCTAATATTGAGTTATTTTACTTACGTGTTATCGAGGTAGTAATCCTGATTGGACGCACAGCTGTTTTAGGGGGAAATTGCGCAAGCTTTAGTTAATAGTCTTTTTTTTTTACCGTCAAACGAGCACATAAATAAGTGAGAAAGATTCCTACGTAATTTCTTCTACGGAACAACACACAGCGTTTAAGGTAAATGTAACAACAGCAAAATTGAGAGGCGACTACATCTTCTTAGCGGAATAATAACGTGGCGGGGGGGGGGGGGGGGGGGAAAGGGAACTTCTTCGTAAAGGCTAGTAGTAATGTGCCTTCGGATGAGGTCCAATTTTCAAAACTGGATTGACTATAATTGGTTGTATTTTCAATTGATGAGCTAGAATGAGGTCGCTCATTTTCGGGATTTTTTGGGGTAAGAAAATTCTGTTAACTAAGGATTTAAAAATTTGGAAGACTTGCGATTAAAAAGTTGTTACCCTATTATCAAAAATGATCAATGTGGGTCTACAATTGGCCATCGAATAGACTATAATGAGTTAAGGGGTCCTGGGAGGCTATCGGAATAGCAGTCAAAACTTCGTGGTTTACAATTGATAGTGACTCTGTATCGTAAGACAAACCGTTCAATGTCCATTTATATCATATCTAAGGTAAAAAAAGATATCCTTTACTAATTCCTTACGTTTTCTTCCTCCGCAGTATCCAAACAGCTTATCGTGATCGTAATTTGGTGTACTGGCGCACCATGCTCGTTTGGAGTTGACTCTGGTACAGCGGTTGTACCGTCTGCCCTTGTAAATGAATGGGAACACACAGCAGTTTCCAGTAGATGAGCGTACACGGCATGAACCTATCAGAAGAAAGAAAAAAAATTAAATTACAAAGCTATAAGGAGCTACAAAAAGGCCATTTCCAAAATACCCAAAGCCTTGAAGTTAAGGGCGAAACGATTTATAGGAATATCATTTACATTTTCACACTAATAAAACTCGTGTATTCAGGAAAGGTTTCGCAATTAGTCTCATTAAAGAAGCGAGGTTCTCTGAAACTCGGAAATAGCTTATTGATCAGACAGCCATAAGAAATGGAAAAACCAGAAAAATCTTCAGGAGCGACATAAGTAAAACGGATACCTCTGAGTACATAGACATCATTAGCCCAAGGTCCTCCTTTTCCATTCCTACATCTGTTAGATCTTCCGTATCTCCCATAGGTGAGATGAGCTCTCCTTCCTGACGCGCACCATCCTCCATGTTGCACAGCGAATACTCTGTGTCCCTTTGCATAAGCCGCGAGAGCACATTTCTTGATAGCGTATCGTCTTCTGCGGTAATTTCCTCTGAGAAGGCGACTTCTGCGCTCCAAGGTTGGTATGGCCCGTCGGCCAGTGTCTCTGTAACAGCCGATACCCTTAGCTAAGTGGGAAAAAGTTGCATCAGGTAGAGAACAACAAAAACGAACTTTTCAAAGTAAACATTTATAAAAAAAATATGTTCCTGCCGTCTCATAGAAGGACTAACAACTCCTAACGCAGCAAAAAAAAACTTACTTCTAACAAGATTTCTGTAAAAGATTAAGGCGAGAAATACTAAATTAAATAATTCAAAAACGTTCGAACGCTACTCACCAACTAAGTTAACTGTTACTCTTACAGTTTTTCCTGAAATACAAAGATATTAAAGAAATAAATATTTAAAAACGATTACAGAATTAAATTATGGAATGAATTTCGAGTTCAGCAACTTATTTTCAAAATAAATAAAGTTCTCACCCGTTGGACGAACTGGGCGAACAGGTTTGACTGGTCGGCGACCTAAAAATGAAAAAACCACATAATTATATTTATTTACTATGAAACCGTCTGAACTTATCTTTTAAATACCAAACATTTACCAGAAGAAATTTTATTTTCTTAAGCTAAAAATATCGCAAATTTTAAACCAGCTTAAAAAACGACAGAGAGAAGGATGTTTGAACGGAGCTAAAGTGGTTTTATCGCGCAAGATTCAGTTCAAGAGTAAAAAGTATTCCGTACTTAGTAACAATGAAACTCACCAGCACAGTTGCCCCATTTTCTATCCCGATCGTAATGGCCTGTAATAGCACACCATGGTCGATTGTGGTTCTTTCTTGTACATCTGTGGTAACGACGGCCTTTGTAGATGAACGGGAACACACAACAGTAGCGAGATGTCGTTCGCTTCCGGCAATGGCCTGCGATTTTAAAAAAAAAAGCAGAATCACTATACTCAGTAAATTGTTGGCTGAAAAAACAATCATCATTACAAACATGAGACTCTTTTCCCCTTCCCCTTTCCCCCTTTTTACTCACGATGAGCGTTTGCATTTAGGGAGCGAAATACTGCCCACTTGACTTTTATAAAGACTTCCGCTTTGAGATACAGGTAAATTTCATCGATAAGAGTTGGTTGTCTTTTTTCAGGACTGCCCTTACTCGAGCGAGCAACTTACACTAACAACTTACCGTACACCCGGTACACGTCATTAGCCCAAGGTCCTCCCTTGCCATTCCTACACCGATTGGATCGTCCATACTTTCCGTAAGTCACATGAGCTCTTGGACCTGTAGCGCACCATCCCTGATGTTGAACAGCAAAAGCTCTGTAACCAAACCTCATAGCAACTGCAGCACATTTCTTCAAGGCGTCCGCTCTTCTACGGTAATATCCCCTCACTATTGGGTAACGACCGTCTACTCCTGGGATAGCTCGCCGACCTGTGTCCTTGAAGCATCCAAGTGACTTGACTATAAAGAAAAGCAACTATTAAACTCGCATAAATCTTAACCGTTTACACTTTAACCTCATTACGCGTATTCTCCATACTGTTCTCCGTACTTTTCCTAGTAAGTTCAAAGGAGAATTTGTTTGAGAATCAAGAGCTTCTTTGGTTGGTGATCATTTCCTTTATTCTCATGACATTAATGTGTGATTGCAGGGTGATATTGTAAGGAGAAATTAGATGCTAGTCACTCTTAGTGGTCAAAGGATTAAAGACGTCTGGATGTACTCTTAAAATTTCGTCTTCTTTACAAATTCCACGAGAATTAACAGACCAACACATAATCACTAAAACTATCCCCAGATGTAGAAGACATAAATTTAATAACTTAAAAATTAACAACAATTTGTTAATAGATTCAAACTTACCAAAAACTCCAGGAGTGATTCTGATGGGTGGAGCTGTAGAGGAAAGGACACATAAGAGACGATCAGTAGTATAATCGCATCTTGAGAGTTAAAGTGTTCAAATAACAGTAGAAAGTAAGCGCCTTACATTTTCTTCCTCCCCTGCAGTACCCCCACAGTTTGTTTGTTCTGTAGTCTGGAGTGATTGCGCACCATCTCCTGCCATTTCGAGCCCTGGCAGGACGTTTGTATCGACGCCCTCGATACACGAACGGAAATGAACAGCAGTTTCCTTTTGTAGTGCGATACTTGCAAGTTCCTGAGGTGAAAAAAAAAACCATAATCTTGATCAGAAAACAAGAAAAATTAAATACCTGGACGCTGTTTAAAATTTATGCTTTGGTAGAGGGCCTAGTACCCGAAATAAGAGTCTTACGATATGGTGGAGAAATTAAACAGGGGACGCTTCGATATTCAATGTATGACGCACTTGTTGGTTGCTTTCAAAGTGTATCACCCACCTGCTATTCTATAGACATCATTAGCCCAAGGTCCACCTTTGCCATTTCTACATCTGTTTGATCGGCCATACTTGGCATACGTCCTCCCAGCATGCGGTCCTGTAGCACACCAGCCGCCATGTTGGATTCCAAACCATTTGTATCCACGTGCTGCAGCAACAAGCGCGCATTTGCGAATGGCTAATGGACGGCGTTGGTAGTTGCCTCTTAACAGCACACTTCGGCCATCCATTTGAGGAATTGCTCGGCGCGATGTGTCTCTGAAGCAGCCGACTCTTCGGACTGAAAGAAAAATCCAAGGGAACATGATTCAAAACTCGTTAACGAAGGAGGATGGTATATTTTTGAGACGGCTCGGCGGTCAAATGAAGAGAGATTAATTTGTCACGAGCGTTAACAACGAAAACAAAAACCTAATTCCCACGCAAGAAATCAAACCCGAAACACTCGGATTTCGTGGACCGATGCTTTTACGCTGAGCTTGGATATCTAGGCTGTAGTATACGTTCTAATATGACCTATGTCCTGCACATTAACTGTAAGTAGTTACCACTGAATTGTTTGCAAACTTATAGAAATCCTGGATAATATGAATTCCTGACTGGAATTTAAATACTTACTATTAATTGAAGGTGTTATTTTGATGAAAGAGACTGTAAAGAAATAAAACCAAATTAATAACAAATTCAGATGTAGGATAGATACGGAAAACAAGCAAGTGAACCTCACTATGATAAGAAACAATACAAACCCTGGAGGATGCAATCAAGAACTAAATCCAGGCCCCGGTTGTTCGAAGGTTGGATAACACTATCCACTGGATAAAACTCTGTCTGGTGGATAACGCTAAACATTTAGTTATCACTTATCCGCCGGATAGCAATTTATCTGTTGAATAGCGTTATCCACCCTTTATACAACTGGGCCCAGGGTAATAATGATGCCAAACAAGGTAATTTGAGTCGTAAATTGGCCACCGTGGAGAGTTTCAAAGTTGACGAAGGGCTAACGCTCGAAAAATCAGCTTTGAAACTCTTTACGGTGGCCAATTTACCTTATCAACTCAATCGATAATTCCAAATTACTTTGTTATACTCTCCCACCGATGCAGTACCACAGCGTCTTTAGAAACTTACCCTCTTTAATAATGGGGGCTGTTTAACATAATTCATTCCGCAATTCCCTTCCATTCTCTAAGGTGACGCTTTTTAGTACCATTATCTATTTTGATTCAGATCCCCTCTTCGCCCTCAAAGAAATCCTACATCAGTTCTATCATAAACTCATCGAAAATTTTTACTCACCTCCATGTCCTTCACAATAGCCCCACATTTTATCAGCATCATAACTTGAAGTAGTTGCACACCATGGGCGAGCAGCATTCACCCTGGTGCAGCGCGAGTATCGTCTACCTTTGTACACGAACGGGAATACACAGCAGTTTTTGCGGGTTGTTCTTGTGCGACAGGAACCTAAGAGAAAGCGAGGCAATTAAACAACAGTGTTAATAGTACAATAATGCTTATTTACCATTGCAAAGTATAGACCTCCTATTCAGCTCTCCCGCGCGTTTAATTTTAGAAGAATTGTAGTTATTTCGCACTATCAAATACAATGTTATGCACTCTCAACTCCTGCATATTTCGTGATTTCTGCATTTGGCAAAGCGCACACTTCATGACCCGCCCTTTTCTGGTCCGAGCACGAGTGTGAAAAATATCCAGCCTCACTCAAAGCAGAGACTTAGTCCCGACAGAACTAGTTCGGTCAGTTCTAAGAATTGCCCCCGACAAGACGGTCCCACCGGCCGATACAAGATATGGCAAAGAACGTCAGTATAACACTTGCTTACCCCATCCTTGCGCATACTTGACAAGCAATCACTTGCTCGAAAAAACATTTTTTTTCCCACCTTCACTGACATAAGTAAAATTTTCAATAACTTACCCCTCACAACGTAAACATCGTTAGCCCAGGGTCCTCCCTTTCCATTCCTGCATCTGTTAGATTTTCCGTATTTACGGTATGTTATGTGAGCCATCCTTGAAGATGCGCACCATCCTTGATGCTGTAAGGCGAACACTTTGTAGCCTCGTCTATAAGCTGCCTGGAAACATTTGCGAATAGCGTCTCGTCTTTTGCGGTAATTTCCTTTTAGGAAGCGGCTTCGACCTTCCAAGGGGCGTATGGCTCGTCGGCGGGTGTCTTTGTAGCAACCGATGCTGTATGCTAAATTTAAAATCGTAAAATTGTTATCTTTCGCTGTGCACGGTCGAATATAACCACAAAGAGCCGAGACAAAAAATGAGACTAGAAGAATCAAAATTCCATTTAGTTGATATTGAAACAACGCAACATATTAAGGAGGCTCGGAATTAAAAAAATTGATAATACAATAACCTTTTGCCAAGTGCTCATACTTTTAATAATAAAAAAAGAGTACTAAAAACCGATTTATTTTTGGTCATCTTTCGAAACACGATTGGCTAATATTGTCTAATAAAGCTCTATTTAAGGTTCTCTTGTCTAGACTACTAAATTCGAACACACTGGGCCAGTTTTTTAAACAAAGGTTGGGCGATCATCAACAAAACTGCGTTCTAAGCCATCTTCAATTTAGCCGAACCTTTTACATAAAATAATTTTTTTTGTGAACAGTGTCAAGAGACAGAAACGTTATAGTGGAGGAATATTTATTTAATAAAATTAACCCTCTTATGGAGAATCACTGAGGCCCACCGCTTGTATAAAGCGCGGTTTGGGTTACACCTGATAAAAATCTAATAAAGAAAGATTACTTGGGAAAAAATCTTACCAGTGATTCCTGGTGTAAGTTTAATTACTCGGGCTGCAAAAGGAAACAACAATATAAAAGATCTATCGAACAAAAATGTAACATATAAAATTATCCACCTAAGTTATAAAAGACAGAATAAAAGCAAAAAGACGTAGGTAACCACCTCTCCCAAGAAACTGGTACTCCTAAACAACCATTTTTTCCATGCTGACAGTTTCTACTCAAATTATGAACTTAAAGAGGCGACATGAAATTTATTCACGAAGATTCACCAAAGTCAGCGAACCAGTTTCACTGCTGGAGGAGCCCATGAAAATGGAGTTCTTTCTCAAGCGAAACACTTCCAAGAGAGAGCTTAAGAACAGATCTCATCCCTCTTCTAACGAGGTAATAGTGTACAACCGTGGGAGAGTCCCACGCATATTCTCGGATGGTGAGAAGACACAAGAAATTAACACCTTAAAGATCACGAAAGAATACTGTGAAAACGTTATTGCAATGAAACTATACAACTGACCTCTAGGAGGACGGACAATAGGTTTGACAGGTTTAACAGGTTTACGGCGACCTGCAATAAGACAAATCATCAGGTTTAATACACTGGTTTAGCAGAAGAATAAAAATTTCAAAATCTCACGATTATTCCCTAATCTCTTACCACCGCAATTGCCCCACTGTCTGTCTCGATCATAATTGGGTGTCGTAGCGCACCATGGTCGATTGTGGTTTCTTCTTGTACAACTGTTATAACGACGTCCTTTGTAGATAAACGGGAAGGCACAGCAGTAGCGTGAGGTAGTTCTTCTTCGGCATGAACCTGACAAGAAAAGAATCTGTGTCAATTTAATCAAAAAATATCCTCCATCGTGGCACTGTCTTGACACCCTAACATCAATATGCACATTCTCCATACTGTTCTCCATACATTTTCTAAGATGCTGACAAGGAGAATTTGTTTAACAGTCAATAGCTATTTAAGTTACTGATCATTTCCTTTATTCTCGTTACCTTAATTTTTGATTCAGAGTTGATATTGTAAGGAGAAATTAGATGCTAGTCACTCTAGGGGGTCAAAGGGTGAACATGTTTTCCTGCGTATCCACAGTGGAGAAAGACAACGCACAGGCAGGATGTTTACGATCTAAACTGCAGTTACGTTATTTGCACCGTTAATTTGTATCGGCTTTCCTTACTTGTCTCCCTTACGAACTATGTTCAAGTATATGCAAGCAAAGAGAAGATGTGATAACCCACGACTCACCGTATACTCTGTACACATCATTAGCCCACGGTCCTCCCTTGCCATTCCTACACCGATTGGATCGTCCATACTTTCCGTAAGTTACATGAGCTCTTGGACCTGTAGCACACCATCCCTGATGTTGAACAGCAAAAGCTCTGTAACCAAACCTTAGAGCAACGAGGGCACAACGCTTAATGGCTTCCTTTCTCTTTCGATAATATCCTTTCACTATTGGGTAACGACCGTCCACTCCTGGGATAGCACGGCGACCAGTGTCTTTGAAGCATCCGATTGGCTTGACTGTTAAAATAAGGTATGAATCAGCATATTATCATCAAGCAAACTGGACTTTTAAAAAACCCTTGATACCATAGCAATCCCCGGGAGAGAAGTCTGTTCATTTCAAGAAAATTTGTTAGGTCAATGGATGAAGCTCCTGTCTATTGTTCTATGATGAATATCGTATGGTGCATATAAAGAAATGATCCTTACATGTGACTGAGGCTTTCAGAAATTATTTAGACGCTACTGCCCACTGAGCTACGAAGCCACATGTTGGAAGCGGGAAGCGAGACTCGAGACTCTTCCACGTAAAGGCATCTGACATTAAATGCATTTCAAAGTGTCGTTCCATTTTAAAATTTAGCATTCTTGAAGTAAAATTAAGTGGAATACGTACCTCGCACCCCTACAGTCACTCGTATTGGCTGACCTGAGAAAGAGAAGTGGACCGTTATTCGACAGAAAACAATCGTAAGAAGACGCACCTTAAAAAAGCGAAAGGGAAAAAAGAAAGAGAAAATGAAAAAAAAAAAGCAAAACGAGATGAAGAAAAAGAGGGAAAGAGGAAGAGAGGTAGGCTACTTCGGTAGACAACTGATACTTACGTTTTCCACCGCGGCAGTAGCCCCATGGTTGGTTTCGTTTGTATACACTAGATGCCGTTGGACACCAAGGCCTTCCACGTTTTGACCTGGCGCAGTTGTTGTAGCGGCGTCCACGATAAACGAAGGGAAGTACACAGCATTTTCCTGACGTGGTGCGACGTTGACATCTACCTAAACTCAGGAAAAAGATAGGCTATGTTAACAAATTACAAGTATGGGGTTATTTTGCGTCGAATACACTGCACTAAACCTACGAGATAAGATTGATTTTTCCTTATATATAACAGCTACCTCATTCCTAGTTTGTTTAGCCACCAGACAAGAAAACATTACTTTTTCCTTAATACAACATTATGTAGCTTATCTCAGGATCATTATCTACGGTTATGGTATGTTGTTCACGCTTGTCGGACTCAACTTTAAGTAACATTTCCTTTGGCTAGCGCTACTTTTCCTTGAAAGTTTAGCATCGACAGTAAACCATAACTGCATTAAATTTGATTAACTGCGCTTACTGAGTGTTCCTGAGAATTCGTATCACTCACTGAAGCAGTCAGACGGAGAGCTGAACCCGCATTGGCTTCTTGCGTTGTGTACCTAAGTTCTACTTGGCCTAAGTGATTACTTTGGATTTAGGTTGATGACACTCAAAAGCGCTTTGTGTTAGGTTGTGTTTCATTGGAGAAAAATTAAATGGAAAATAAGGTTGTGTAGTGAGCAGCTTCTCATGTAATCCTAACTAGAGAAGCAACACTACATTTGGTTGAGGTTATTTGGGGTTCATACCCTTTTTCTGAAATAAATTTCAAGGACTTTAGCAGAATTTTTCCAGGATTTCAAATTTCACTTTAAACCCTTTCATCCCTAAAATTAATTCTCTTTACGGTCTAATACATTTCTTATGACATAAATTTTGAAATCTTTCTAGGACCAGTAGTCTTTTTTCAAGACTTCCCAATCCTGGAAAATTGCAAAATAAAATTCCAAGACTTTCCAGGTTTTCCTGGACCCATTCGAACCCTGTTTTAACAGAAGAACAGACAAAAACGAACAAAAATGAACAAAGTGGGCTCAGCACCTGTCAGCCTGTAGACATCATTGGCCCAAGGTCCTCCTTTTCCACCCCTACATCTGTTCGATCGCCCATACTTGGCAAAAGTGTACTGAGCCCGCGGTCCTGAGAAACACTGACCACCGTCTTGCACAGAGAAAGTGTTGTAACCGCGATTTACGGCGACCATGGCGCATTTACGAATGGCGATCTTCCTTCGTTTGTAGTTGCCTTGTAGAAGTTTACTTTTGCCTTCTAGTATTGGAATGGCTCTGCGAGGGGAATCTTTGAAGCAGCCTATTCTTTGGACTGAGAAGTAACAGGAAAAAGAAGTTGATCTATAGACAACGGTAGACCAAACTAAATCACTCCCAAATGGACGCCAACTCATGATGCTTTACTTGTACTCCATAACGAGGCAAGGGCTTACAGACTTACAGGCTTACACGTACATAAAAGGGCGAAACCAAAACTTAAAGATTGAATTTTTAAATGATTCTGTAGAACGAAACAATAGCATAAACAATAACTTGCAATGCCTTTGTTTTTTAACTCCAACCGACAAGTCAATGAGCTTGATCAATATTCTCCGTTGAAGAGAACGCCAAAAATTTCATTTTGCCCCATAAAACCAACCGGTGCATTCATCACCGCTAACACTACAGATCTATTACAGTTAAGGCGTTCTGCCCGATGGAAGGCGAAACTAAAACTCCATGTCTGAATCTTCAAATGACTCCGCGTTTAGAGAATTTAGACAAATGAATGATACTCTTTAGGCCTAGAAGTATCATTTGCATCAAGGTAGGAAAAAAAAAGTTAGCATGGTATACAAAAGGGGAAAAATGAAACAATACAAAACGTCCACGGAATTTCTCTTTACGAATTTAAGTCGACTAATTTAGTATTTTTTCGTGGGTCTTTTTTTCTTTAATTATTTCAGCCGCCATACTCACTTGATATCGATGATGTTATCTTGACAGGACGTGCTGGCCAAAAATTAAAGAAACATCCAATCAATCACGGGACATGGCATGTAAAATTAGTTTAGTTTACTTTTTTAGCTTACTTTGGCAAACTTTACACACAAAGGTGAAAGAAATATATGCAAAAGATAACCATCCATGGAAAATGTATAAAATTAACTTTCTTCCTCGTTTCCAGTCTCACCTCCTCGGGTGGGACACCATCCATATTGCTTATCTTTGTCGTAGTTTCCAGTGAGGGAGCACCAAGGTCGCCTAGAGTTCGTTCTTGTACATCCAGTGTATCGTCTGCCTCGATACACGAACGGGAACGAGCAGCAGTATCCATTTGTTGATTTTACACGACAAGAACCTAGCAATAAAAAAAAGAATACAACTTGAGTTTAAAGTATACAAAGGCACACAAATTTAAATCGAAAAGTTTCTTCATTTTATTACCAAGTCAAAAAATTCAACACCTCTCTTATGGTGCAGAATCCAAAGATCTGAGGTTTAATTCCACATGGATACAGGAAAACGTATTGCTTTTAAAGCAGCCCTTTCTTTTTTTTTTAACAAAACGCCGTCTTACATGATAAACTTAAGACAGACCGTATGAACGCATTAAACTTTATGTTAAATTAAAACTAGAATGTTCAATCTTGATCGGGCCCCTACGTAGTAGCTTCGGATGATTATACACTTGAACATTCTGGCTTCACCTTCAGTACGAAACGACAAACATGGTAATGGCCTCTATCAGACAGACAAACAGCTTTTTTCCTCACCTCTAAGGACATAAACGTCATTCGCCCAAGGTCCTCCCTTGCCATTTCTGCATCGATTAGATTTTCCATATTTCCTGTACGTTCGATAGGCGTATCTTGCTGACGCACACCACCCTCCATGTTGAATAGCAAAAACTTTATAACCTCTTCGAGCCGCAGCCAAAGCGCAATTTCTTATAGCGCCTGCTCTTCTCCGGTAATTACCCTTCAGTAGTCGACTTCGGCGTTCCAAGGTTGGTATGGCTCGTCGGCCTGTGTCTCTATAGCAACCGATGCCATAGGCTGCAAGGGGAAAATGTATTACATGCAGGACATTTATAATTGGCCGAAGATTGACAAATGAATTAACAACTTAAAATTCCTTTGCGGGGGTGCGCGTCAGAAGCATGATGGTTAGCAACTTTCGCTTGAAACAGCCCGGTTTGATTTGTCTTTTGACCAGTTCAATGTCTGACACCTATTTCCCAGGCTCTTGCAGCACGCTACCATAAGTTAGCATTCCCGTAGCGTGGTAATAGGTACACAGTGAAGATTTCTTACTAATTCTGCCATTGTTAACACTGTTAGCCACTTTCGAACGATAAAATAATGAGTGAACTTTACTTTAAACGCTTCAAACATGGTTTTTTCGAAGGTTGCGGAGTGATAACAGAGGGTTCATAACTTGTAAACAATTATCTTAACGCGTATTGCTCTTTGTTGAAACCCTTCTAGTTGTATCATTAGATAAGGGGGGACTAGTTTTATACTGATGTTAAATTACGAGTTAGCGATAAACTTCCTTACCCTTCAAACCTACAGTGACTTGGATGACCTTAGCTGCAAAAAGATGAAAAACAATTTGATACACACAATTTGAGAAAATGAACTTTAAATAAATCTGAGAAAAATGAGCAAAAAATACAAAACAAATTGGCAAGTTAAATCACAAAAAATAAGCTACGAAAAAACCTTCTCAGCTCGAAAAAAGGCTGTCAAGGTAAGAAAGTAGAACAGTTGTATCTCCCTAGTTTGCTCTTACCTTTGGGAGGACGGATAACAGGTTTTACTGGTTTGACTGGGCGGCGTCCTAATAAAGAATGAAAACAAAAACGAGGTGAAACGATTGACAAAAATAGAAAGCTAACACACACTGGGCAGGTGGACACTATCGGAAAAAAATCAAAATATCGACAAATTGCCAACCAAATTGTCATTGAGTCACACAAGTTAACAAACCTGCACAGTTGCCCCATTTCTTATCACGATCATAGTTGGGTGTTGTAGCACACCATGGTCGTTTATGGTTTCTCCTCGTACATCTGTGGTAGCGACGTCCTTTGTAGATGAAGGGGAATGAGCAGCAATAACGAGAAGTTGTGCGTCTTGCGCAGGTACCTTTCAGATCACAACAAAAGACAGTCAATATGAGGTAGACTCACGTATCAAAGCATTTCACAACCGAGTTTCAAATTTATTATCACAAGGTATTCGCTGTACAAGCTACAATGGTATGCGTCATCACTCATCCACGACAGAAGATCTCCCTCCCCCCCCCATGAAGGTGGGGGGGGAAGGTTTTAGACGCTCAACTTACAAGCAAGCAAACTAACAAACGAACTAAAAACATAAACATATGAAAAGAAAAGATGCAGAATGCAAAATGGCATGTTTTAGTTAGAAATAGGGTCAGTATAAGAGAATAACGCGTTCAGCGGCTTGTAAAATTTTTCGTTTTTAATTGATATCTAGACAGGGTCTATTGTAAGATTATACAATGACATATAAGCCAAAGAAACGTGAAGCAGCTTTTTGTAGTTTGAACCTGATACGTTTTTGACAATTCTACAAGTACACTTACCTTTTATGGCATACACATCATTAGCCCAGGGACCTCCTTTACCATTCCTACATCGATTAGTTGGTCCATATTTCCGGTAAGTGAGATGAGCTCTGGGACCCGTAGCGCACCATCCCTGATGCTGAACTGCAAAGACTCTGTAACCGAACCTCAAAGCAACAAGGGCACATCTCTTTATGGCGTCTGCTCTTCTCCTGTAGTAGCCTGTCACTAATGGGTTACGGCCGTCCATCTGGGGAACAGCGCGACGGCCTGTGTCTTTGTAGCATCCAAGCGATTTGACTGAAAGAACAAAATCAGAGCTTTCCTGAATAAAGTGTGGAAGGCAATTCAAGGTTTGAAAGGAAGAAACACCAGGTGACAAATTGTTACGATAAATTACTTTTTATGTACTGCTACCAAAACAAAGCACTCAAATCATCTCAAAAATTGAAACTAATTATGTAACACAGAGAGAGATTTACGCAAAAAAATGTCCCGTCGCACGAAGCGGATTGTCACTGTGACATGTTCCATGAAACGACAATTACTTCATTGCCATCACTAGTTCAATAGTCACTTCGAATATTTTCACGCTCAGTGCAAACACATCTTCTAAAATACTTATCCAATCGGACGTAAAGTCAAAACCGTCTGTCATCTGTTTCCATGCATTTTAATCTCCCGCGCTTGATGCGGTTCACGTGCTTTTTTTGTATTTTGCTTTTTTTGCGACCTGATTGGTTCACTTTTTAGTTACTACGGTTGCTGTCATTGGTAATTCTAACTGTTTTGATTTTTGGTCGTGTGACACGCAATTCAAATACGCTATCCTGGAAAGAGCTAGCAGGTGATGCAACTCCTCGCAAAGAATGTAAGATGGCTTTGGATTTGGTTGTCTTAATTCTTTTTTTTCACGCTAGATGAACGTCAACCTGACAAGGCAACAGAAAAATTACGAAAATATGCCTACCTATAACTCTAGTTGTCACTCTAATTGGTGCAGCTGTAAAACAAAAATGTATATTAAACAATGAGTACTGCAAAACATTCGTAACAAAAAATCACATAACTTTGGTAAAATCAACCACAACGTTCCACATTTCTTATTAAAATTTCCATCATATGCGGCCAAAGAAGAGTAGGAGATATTCTTGGCAAAAATCGACAAAAGGAAATTAAATGTGTATGTATTAAAGTAAAAAGTTGTGGTCTTACGTTTCTTTCCGCCTCTGCAGTACCCCCACAGTTTGTTCCGGTTATAATCAGGCGTGATTGCGCACCAGGTTCTGCCGTTTTTAGCGCGAGCACAGCCACGGTATCGTCGCCTGCGGTACGTAAATGGCACACAACAGAAACCGGTATTGGTTTTGTATCTACAGCGTCCTGAGGAGAGAAAACGAATTTGTTTGATGAGTAGAAACTTATGCTTATCGCTTCTTAAAGTTCCCCTGTTAATTAACTGATCCCCACATAAGGCTGTGTAATATTTCTACGACCCCCCCCCCCCCCCCCCATTGGCAGTTAATAAGCGTTCAATCTTACATAATTCCCTCTTTGTAACTCTGTTGGCGACGAATGATCACTCCTCCGCTACCCCCTGAAAACCATGTGATTCTCCCAATACCCTCTACCCTCTACCCTCTACCCCCTCTCCCCCATATATATCACCCCTTTGTACTCTGTTGGCAACGAATGATCCCCCTCCGTTCTCTCCTGAAAACTATGTAATTTCCCCAAAATCTTCCATCCCCCTCTATATTACCCCTTTATACTCTGTTGGCGACGAATGGTCACCCTTCCGTTCCCCCATAAAAGCCACGTGATTCCCGAAAAATCCCTCCACCCCTCCCCCCCAGGCGACAAATAATGACTGGTTACCCAGTAATTCGAAAATAAGAGTAACGCAAAAATTTTGACAAATACCTGACACTCTGTAGACATTGTTTGCCCAGCCACCTCCCTTTCCATTCCTACATCTGTTTGATCGTCCATATTTGGCGTAAGTGTACCTAGCCCGAGGTCCTGAAAAACACTGCCCACCATGTTGAACTCCAATGTAATTGTAGCCTCGCTTTGCAGCCTCCAAAGCACATTTCTTGATGGCAAATTTCCTAGCACGGTAGCTCCCTCGTAAGAGGAGACTTTTGCCTTCCAAAATTGGGATGGCTCTTCTCGAAGTGTCCTTGAAACATCCGACACTTTGCACTAAAAAAAATTTGTATGTAAAAATTAATTCATCTAAACCCGTTCAAACCTTTTCATTCCCAACAAGTACTTCCTCTGTACAATATCAAACAGTGCCAAGAAGATAAGTTTTAATCCTTTAACTCTCAAAGATGCTTTACATGTACCTTCTTCTTATACTATCCTCACATTATCCAGCAAACAGGTAATGAGAATACTCAAACCTATCAGGTAGAAGTTATTTTGATCTAACACCAAATTCTTGCAACTGATTTGCAAAAGAAATGTGAAAGAGGGGAGAATTAAGATTCAGATCTTAGGAATTAAACGGTTTAGAATAACAAGAAAATCACATAAAGGGTGTTATTCAATTTAACAAAGAAAAACCCCCATCCCTTTAAAAAAAAAAAGTAAAAAAAAAAGTCATGGCACACGGCATTGATGGCGAGATCTTTCTCATTAATTCTAATCCAAGGTATTTTCAACTCTTATCTAATATTCTCTGTCTGTCATCTAATCTAAAAATTCTGTAATTCATCAACAAAGGTTCTACGATGGTTACGAGCGAGTGCTTACGTGTTATCGATGGTGTAACTCTGATTGGAAGAGCTGTTGAGGTAAATATAAAAGTTTGGAATTAATAGCGGGTCAAACAATTTAACGTTCTGTTTCTTATGTGAAATCAAATGAATCGTCATGCACACAAATCCTAACTCGTACAAAAATAAATCATTTTAGTAGAAAAATTTCTGATAAAAGTTTCCGCTCAATTTTCTTGTAGCAAAAACAAATTTTAAGCAGTTCGCGATGATTTCCTTCGAACAATGTAGGGTGCCTTTCAAAATAACTGTTCAGCTTCATTCTTCCTTTATATATACTAGCTACCTGCTTCATCAATAACTATAGCTATATCTATATAAAATATTTTTTCAATTCTTGGCTTCACATTTACGATTACCGTAATAATGACATGTTATTCGTTGTGTTGATGTCCCTCAAACCCATTATAATAATTATGATAATAAATGCAGGTAATAATTATCATCAATACTCACCCTTCCCCCTCTGCACCAACCGTATATTTTATCCACATCGTAGTTAGGAGTAAGAGAACACCAGGGTCGTCTGGAGTTAACTCTAGTACAGCTGGAGTATCGTCTGCCACGGTAAGTAAATGGGAACACACAAATGTTGTTGCGCGTCGTTCGCACACGAGGAGAGCCTGGGAGTGAAAAACAGAAGAGTCAGATAATTGTACTTGCTTACCATTAATAAAGACTTGCCAGCCGGTTGGATTATTAGTTAAGACAATTCTGTTACATTATTTTAACTTTTCCCGGCAGATCCGTCAAATCAGTCCTAAGTTATTCTCCAGTATTAGGAAGGAATTTAATAAAATCACAAAACTCTTAAAAAGGGCTATTTATTTCTTAATTGACTGATCTGGTTGGAACTGAATTTCTGAGTAATGTGCTATGTGCCGATACTGACGTGATAATGAACATTTCCAACAACCTTTAACAGCAATTTCCTTTCCGTTTTTGAGGAAGAAGCTTTCCTCTCATTTAAACATCCTGACCTAAAACATTTTAATACTTTTTCTAATCTTCTAACTCCTAAGAGTGATAAGCATCTAATTTCTCCCAACAGCCCCACTACTAAATAAAACATTAGGTTCATGGTAATAAAGGCAACTATCACAAGGTCGAAAGACTCTCGATTATAAGACAAATTAAATACTCCTTGCGAGTACCATTAGAAATGTATAGAGAACTTGCATTCTGATGTTAGGCTGTAAAGGGTTAGAAACTAACCGAAGATCGAAAACGTCGTTAAAAATTTTATACACAAAAACACATCTCGGTCAAAAAGCCAAAATTTTAACATATGTACTCTTCAAATGAAGCTAACCTCGCAAAACGTAGACATCATTTGCCCAAGGTCCTCCCTTTCCATTCCTACATCTTTTACTTCTTCCGTATCTTCCATACGTTCGATAGGCGTACTTTGTTGACGCACACCATCCGCCATGTTGGATCGCAAACACTCTGTACCCTCGCCTCGCCGCGGCAGCAGCACATTTCTGAATAGCGTATCGTCTTCTGCGGTAATTTCCTTTCAGAAGGCGACTTCTGCCCTCTAATGGCGCTATAGCTCGTCGGCCTGTGTCTTTGAAACAGCCGATGCCGTATGCTATATTATAAAAAACAAATAGTGATCAACGGGTAACGTCCCCTTAACATAAAAATTAGGGAGTTTGAGAAACAACGGCGGCGACGCCGTGGACAACGACTGTTAAAAAAATGAACTTAAAATTTACCTACGAATCTCGCGATAATCTAAGGTCATTTAGTTTGTTTCTCACTGTCAAAACTATCTCGAAACTGAATATGGAACACAGCGTTAAATTAACTGTAAAAAAATTTAAAAATTCGCCTTCGTCGTTCACCTTCGCCAGGCAACGCAAAGTTTGGTCATTTCACGTTGTTGTTTTGCAGAGGACGCAAGAAATTTACAAAGATTTATAACGCACGTGAACAGCCATTGTTCTGCTCATTAAACTATTTGTTTAGTGACGTTCCCATTCCCGTTGCCGTCGGGGTTTTCTCAAGCTCCGGAATATTAAGAAAGAAGGGAGGAGGATAAGTAAAATAACTAATTGGGATGCTTGATGTAATACAGTAAAGAACAAATGAAATGATGACACAAGAGATACAAGGCTTACTCCTCTGTCTCTAAATCATTCGATGCTGTGTGCTTAATCGTGGATAATCATTCTCCACAACTTCTTACAAAGCCAACATATAAAACGCGAATGCAATTTAATCAAAATATAGGAAAATTTCGACTGACAGAGACACAACTGTCTGGTGATACACAAAATTCTCTTTACTTGCGGTAGAGAATTGTTTAGCTTCCATAAGGAGACATGAGAGTTTGATCGGATTCAAACTTACCTATCAGTCCAGTTGTGATTCTTATTCTTCGACCTATACATTAAGCGAGAAAAATCTAATTTAATTTAAGAACAATTACTAGGACCGTGAAACACATAAAGAAAATTCAACGAATTCTACACACTCTCATAGTATCATATTAATCTCTCACACTTTATCAAGAAGAATTGAGGGCGATAACAATTTATTACTTAATGGTATAACTTTAAAAAGATACCTTTAGGAACAATAGGACGAACAGGTCTGATGGGTCTTCTTCCTGATGAAAAAAAAAATTGAGAACTGATCATTGTCTGAAATCAAATTTCTTACGCATAATGGTAACATCATGGTGACTTAAATCTGTTATGTAATGTCACGACATATCAAGCTACTTCATGTCACGACATATCAAGTCACGTCAAAGTCACGTCGTGTCATGCTTGGCAGTTGTGTTCATGCTACTCAAGTCGATTTACTACGCCATATCACGATATACAGAGTCACTTCCAACGCGATTAGAGAAAGAGGGAGGGCGAAGACTGCAGAAATATTTTATTTTATTCTTCAACAGCCTCTCTTTATTCCTGTTAGGTGTAAAGCTGATCTCTGTTATAAGAACATACTTGCGCAGTTGCCCCATTTCTTGTCTCGATCATAGTTGGGTGTCAAAGCGCACCATGGTCGATTGTGCCTTCTTCTTGTACAACTGTTATAACGACGTCCTCTGTAGATAAACGGGAATGCACAGCAGTAGCGTGAAGTTGTGCGCCTTCGGCATGAACCTGTATGTACGAGGTGAGATAATTAATTTAGATTTGTGTAAAGTTAAGGATCGATGAAAATCAAAATTTAAAATTGGCTTCATAACTCTAGACATTTTTATATTACTTATACCGTGAGACGACAATACCCCTGACAGTGAAAAAGATGTCGATAATCTTTGGAAATATTTGCGCGCAACCTTGAAGGCTCGTTTACCGATACTCCACTGTTCACAAATTCAACCGGGAGGGGGGAGGAGGAAAAGGTTAAATTAAAGTAGAAAAATTAAGGAGGTGGATGGATTACTTGAAAAACGCGAACTTCAGAAGCTTAGAAACAGCTTGGGTCACCAGCTGATAAATCCGTAATATTTTGACTTCAGTTTCTATTCGGGAACGACACGTTGAAATCGTCTGAGGTAAAAAATTTAAAACTCTCCCCATTTTTGTGATAAACAGCCTGCAGAACTGGCGTTTGTTTCAACTTTATTCAAACAGAATCAAGTGCATATGGCGGGAAACACGCGCTGGGGGGGGGGACTGTTCACGCTATCCTTACTTTTGCCTCGCGCATGCCTCTCGACGCCTGGAAAACAAAAAAAAATTACGTCTGTTTAAGAAAAGAGAAAACCTCGACGTTAAAATTATCACCTACCCGTGATGGAGTAAACATCATTAGCCCAAGGTCCTCCCTTTCCATTCCTACATCGATTGGATCGTCCATACCTCCTGTATGTCACGTGAGCCCTCGGGCCCGTAGCGCACCATCCCTGATGTTGAACCGCAAAGTATCTATAAGAACGCTTCATGGCCTCTAGGGCGCATTTAAAGATGGCGTCCGCTCGTTTTCGGTAGTAACCCCGTACCAGGATACCTCGGCCATCCATTTGCGGGATGGCTCGACGACCGGTATCTTTGAAACAGCCAATGGATCGGACTGAAAATGAAATGTAAAATGAAGAGAAATGTATGTCAAACAAAATTGAGTATTTCAAAAGTCTTAAAGATATGTATCAAACAGAAAAATTAGCAAAAATTCCAACTCAAAGCTATTTCAATATTGTCCCTTTGGAAACAAAAAGAGTTTACGGAAAATTCGTCTGGCACAAACCTAATGCTTACACTCTTTATAATAAGAATTTCAATATTTTTACGAAATTAAAACAAGGTTTTACTATACTTGGAGAGAAATGTCCACTGTATAAACCTACCTATAACTCCAGAAATTCTGATTGGAGCAGCTGGAAAATAAACATTAAAAAAACATAACTTGATGATACAGTACACACGTTAAGAGGGGCTCTTATTTCTTTTTTGATTATTTCCGATTAAAAGAAAGGAGAATCTAACATCATGATGAATTGGCATCTGATCACAGAAACATGTCAAAATGTAGCACTGAACGAAGATAAAGACCTTTTGAGCCCGAGCTTCACACGCACAAGTTTGAAGTTTTTAGAGATGGTTGTTGGGGGGTATGGGGAGGTACGTATTGGGATGAGAAATAACGCTTTAAACGTTGTAAGACCCATGTTCCAATCACAAAGACTTAATTAAGGTCGAAAATCTGGTTTCAGTATTGTAACCTATTGAATCGAAAGCAACATGAAATGAAAAAGGAAAACAGAAACATTTTAGAGCAGTTTTCAATTCAGTGTTGATTCTAATCCTGGATTGCGCTGGCTTTCCTTCAATCGACACGCTCTATTATTGGTCTACAGAGCATGCGCCATTCTCTTAACCAATCAGTACCTAAAACAAAACCAATACCGGCTAGGGCACTCGCGTTTTCCCGCGCTTCATGCTGATTGCTGTTTGTATCTTGTTACTCTAAAGTTCTCATTGGTTCCTTGGGATATTTACATATACTCTGATTGGCTGTTGTGGTTGCTATGCCCTCCAAGAGACAACTTAAATTATCACTTACGTTTGCTTCCTCCTCTGCAGTATCCCCACAGCTTGTTCCTGGAATAATCAGGCGTAAGTGCACACCACCGCTGACCACGACGATTTCTAGCGCAGCTGTTGTAATAACGCCCGCGATACTTGAACGGGAACACGCAGCAGTTACCTTGCGTCGTACGTTTTCTGCATCTCCCTAAAGAATAATCAAATCGAGTCTGCATAACACGTAGTAAGAAGTAGTCAAATAATGCACATTGAAGCATGAGTGATGGTTATACAGGTCTTTACTTCTAAGAAAAAAAGGATTAAAAGTGGTCCACTAACTTAGCAATCAAGGACTGCCCTTCTGGCCTTTATAGACCTGGTCACCATAGATAATTAACAAGATATTTTGTGGGTCCTCCCACGGTAAAAACACCCTTTCTTTCATCATGTTATTTCAGTCACCTTCCAACAGTATACCAACTGAATTGTGGACCTTGAACAGGACAATCACAAAGAACACTCGCATACCATAAATCCTGTAGACATCGTTGGCCCACGGCCCTCCTTTTCCATTCCTACATCGGTTTGAGCGTCCATATTTAGCATAGGTATACTGAGCCCTGGGTCCTGAAAAACACTGCCCGCCATGTTGGACTCCAAATACTTTGTAACCTCTCTTGATTGCCTCCAAAAGACACTTCTTAATGGCATAGCGTCTCCTTTGGTAGTTGCCTCTGAGAAACCGGCTTTTACCTTCCAGTATAGGTATTGCCCTTCTTCCCGTATCTTTGAAGCAGCCAATTCTCTGAGCTGTAATTTAGTAAAAGTCCGCGTATAAGAACCTAACTCTGAAGGATCTGTTAAGCTAAAATTTCCCAGTTAAGCACCCATCTTATAAAAACCATTCTAGGCCAAAATCTCATTACAGTTTCTTATTTGTAGAATGTAGAGTTTGTTCAAATTTGATACGGTACATCGCATGCGATACCAAAAGGTAACAAAACTAGCCAGAATGCTGGCAGTGTTATAAGACCACAGCTATGTAACATATCCGACTGTGTGTACAAATTAATCATGTAAAGCAAGGCACTACGAGGCTGGTATACAGCACAGTATCATACGCACACCCACCTATACAAGTTGTTTTGTTTTGTTTTGTTTTTAAACAAAAACTAAGAACATGATTAAGAATCTAGGTAGCCTAATTTCACAGTAAACACCAGTTAAATAAGATGCTATGGAGGCTAGCTTGAAAAAGCCTAGGTTCTTATACGCGGGTTTTTTCTATATTAGTGTCAAATTCAGCATTAAAACAATCATGCTTTGGACTGTTAAAAACTAAGGTATGTGCTGAAAAAGGCAATAATGAATTCATTTTTACCTCTTAATGTTCTAGAGATTATTATAGGCCGTCCTACAAGGAAAAAAAGAAAAACAATAGACACAGGTTGGAGTAACGTAGCCTTGAGGACGCGTGCAAAATTAGACTGAACGTTTTTACTTTCTCTTACCCACTAAAGGCGACAAAAGAGCGATAATAAGGATAATAATGCTAATAAAAATAATAACATCAATGATAACACAAAACAATGATGAAAGGAAAACAAAGGGATTACTCATAACCTTATGGGATGCTAAAATCTTCAGATACAATACTCATAAACTTAACATGGGTTTTTTTGTTTTTGTTTTTTTTTTGTTTTTTGTTTTTAACAATCTGTTAGTGAAGAAATGATGGTGAGTTTCAAGTCATTAGGCTTCAGTAAGGTTCAACGAAATCGCAATATGACTGCTCTCTACGCAATGACGACCCTGGAGAAACGAACGACATTTTTCAGCTCAATTATAGTCAAATGCGTGGAAAAGAGATCAATAAAATGAAAAACAAATCTAGTCCCTTAGTGCTACAGCTTTATCTTTTAATATAAATCATTCGCCTACCTCGTCCTCTGCACCAGCCATACAGTTTATCTACATCGTAATTAGGGGTTAGTGCACACCAAGGCCGCCTTGAGTTGACTCGGGTACAGCGGCGGTATCGCCTTCCACGGTAGATGAACGGGAACACACAAATATTGCCTTTGGTTGTTCGTACACGAGGAGAGCCTGAAAAATAGGAGGTCAGCAGTTTCTCGGTGAAATCGCGTCATGAACAAAGTTAGAAGTGCAAAGTGAAGTGGTTAAGCAATGACTTTTTAAAAATAGAAAATCTTTCAATTCCAAAAATAAAATGGTTTACAAAAGCACCTCTGAGGACATAAACATCATTGGCCCAAGGTCCTCCCTTTCCATTTCTACATTTGTTAGATCTTCCGTATTTGCCATATGTTCGGTAGGCGTATTTCGTTGACGCACACCACCCCTGATGCTGCACACCAAACACTCTGAAGCCTCGCTTCGCTGCCGCCAGGGCGCATTTCTGAATGGCGTATCGCCTTCGACGATAATTTCCCTTAAGAAGACGGCTCCTGCCTTCCAGTGGTGCTATAGCTCGTCGGCCTGTGTCCCTGAAGCAGCCAAGTCCCTTTACTGAAAGAAAACGTTAAAGACCAGTAACTATCGAACTGCTACTAAAAGGCCTTTATACGCTGTAATGAAAAACTAAACCTGGAAAATCACCATTGGACAACTTTGACCTGTTTTGGACCGTTGCTCACCGAACTTCGCTTCCAATTTACTATTGTATTCGCAATTAGTGATGGCACCTTGACAGTTAAGTAAGCAATACAACTACAGTCTGGATATAATACCTCAGTTTTCAGAAGGACTCGTGTGTGCTTAATCTACTTTCGCTTAATTAAGTAGATTGACACTCTTTGGGTGTTACAACGAAGTTTTACCGAGTGGAAGTCACACCTTGCTAATGCACAGAATTACACGTAAGAAGGAAACTGCACCAACCTTTCAATCCAACGGTGATTCTGATCACTTTCCCTGTAAGGAATAAAAGTATTTTGAGTCACCGCGAGGGAACCATCAGTTCTACTCCTGCCTTCAATTTCACCATGGAAAGTGAAGAACACAAGACAGAAGTTAAGCATCCAAGAAGTTCACTTAATTGGTGCACTTTGAGCCTTTTTTCTTCATTTTTTGAAAAGAGCCTGGCACGAGAGGAGACTGAAACATGACAGGGAAAACACAGGGTGTGTCACGTATCTCGATCCAGTCCCTTCCCGTCCAGACCAAAGTTCTGCTTTCACTTCCCCTCCATGCTCGTTAAAAAAAAAAAAAAAAAAAAGGAGAAGAAAATACCGACTACTAACAGTCTACTTTACTGCTATTAATAAAAGCTGGAATAGCTGCTAGAGCTCACCTCTGTATGAAGGAACAACTGGACGAACAGGCCTGACAGGCCGACGTCCTGTGGAGTGTTTAAAACAAATATTAAATCAATATTAAGTCATGTCTAACTGATAGATGCTAATGTAGAGGAATGCAGACATTGGATATATAAATTAACACTTAATAATCAGGTCAAATAAAACACAAAAAAGAAAAACAACTCCACAAGTGAATTTGGATCGGAACGAGGAAACGATATTTCTTCTTGTAAAAGGTCTAGTTTTCATCTTAACATATTTATCCAAACAAACTAGCGGAGGATACTAAATAAAGGGTAAGGATAGTGAAAATTTGTGAACAAATCAACAACATTAGTTCCTCTCGTTCGTCACAATGGATACCTTCTTTAATAATTTTCATACCTTTATTCAATATCTGGTTGTTAGAACAACGTTTCTAATTCAGTCCTCCGTGTTCACAGCCTAAAACTTACTTGCACAATTTCCCCATTTCTTGTCTCGATCGTAGTTGGGCGTCAGAGCGCACCAAGGTCGTTTGTGGTTCTTCGATGTGCAGCGATTGTAACGACGTCCTTTGTAGATAAATGGGAATGCACAGCAGTAGCGCGAGGTGGTTCGTTTCCTGCATGATCCTACAGGTGAGAGTTCAAAAGTAACGGCACGAATGATATCTCAAGTCGAATAAAGTCACGCTCCATAAAAAGTTACTCATATTAACATTTAGTAGAGTAATATCAACCATATTAAGTCATGTCAAAGTTACACGTAGGGTCAGGAAACGAAGTTAATTTCATATCAGGTAAAGTTGTGTTAATCTGTCACACCATGTCACAACATGTCCAGTAATATCAAGGTCACGTTCTGTCACGTAACGCATTTTCACCGATAGAGTCGTGTTAATCTATGACGTCATGTCACTGTTGAGGTCACGTTGTGTCATGTTACGCATATCTGGTAAGTTAATTTAAATCTGTTAAGTCAATTCATGACATGTAAAATTATGTAGCGCAGTTTCACTCAAATCAGGTTAAGTCATATCCATTCATGTCAAGTCGAGTACTGATAAGTCGTGAGCCACAATTCCTGTGCTCTCACCTCGAATAAAATACACGTCATTAGCCCACGGGCCACCTTTGCCGTTCCTACATCGATTGGATCGTCCATACTTCCTGTAGGTCAAGTGAGCTCTTGGACCTGTAGCGCACCATCCCTGATGCTGAACGGAAAAAGCCCTGTAGCCACGTCTCGCTGCAGCTGCGAAGCACTTGAAAATGGCGTCGCTTCTTCTTCGGTAGTAGCCGCGGACAAGAAAATCTTTGCCATCCATTTGTGGAATGGCTCGACGGCCAGTGTCTCGCCAACATCCAGCAGGTTTAACTGAAAAGAGAACAGGAACCAATCCATGTAAAAGTTAGTGATTAGTCCTTAGTGATTTAACCCTTTCACTCCTGTGAGTGACCAAAGAGAATTTACTGCTAACAATATTCTTTTATTTTCCAGCAGAAAGGTTATGACGAGAAATTTTACCTGGATTTAATATCAAATTCTCGGAGCTAAAATAATTACAGATATATGGAGGAATCTCCAGAGAATTTGTATTTAGATCTTGGCAGGGAAAAGGTCAAGGGTCAAAAGAGGTGAGATCAGAATCATTTTTTCACAGTGTGTCTTACGAGTCTACAGTTTCTCGACTAAAAATTCAAAATTTATCCGAGAATTTCTTTTTAACATAAATATAAAAAAAGAAAGAGAAAGGTGGCCATACTTACGCAAGACATTAGGTGTTACCCGGATTGGTCGAGCTGTAAAAAAACAAACGCAAATAAAACGTAAATAACTTTCACAAACAATACACGTATCTTTTCAAATTTTTTAAATGGCTGTCGTAAAGCGCGCAATTGATCTACCTTGTCAGTTGTGTGGGGCGCCTTTTTACTTTGTTAGTTATTATAACTATGTCTATAATGTTTTTGAATTGTTTTCATCAATTTGTTGTAGTTCAATTGTAATAAATAGATGAAAATAGACACAAATAGATATGAATGTACGAACTTACGGCGTGCTCCACCCCTACAGTATCCCCAAAGTCTCCGTCTCTTATAGTCCGGAGTTATATAACACCAACTTTGTCCCCGTTTATTCTTGGCGCAACTGTTGTATCGACGCCCGCGGTACACGAAAGGAAACGAACAGCAGTAACCTGTGGTAGTGCGATATCTGCACTTTCCTAAAATTGAAACACATCACTGACAATAAGAATCTTTCACTAGAAAACTCTTATTATTCAACACAATCATTTAGTTCACTTTTCTCTCTTATTTTTGCTTTGCCCTATGCGTTATTTAGTTTTTCGGTTTTTCTTCACAGAACTTTTAGTTTAATCATGAGTGATTCCTAAATTAACTACATCTAGTTTCAAATCACCAGCGACCTTTACAATCGGATTGGCTATCAGTAGAGCAAATTTTTTTTATTACGAATCGCTCTATTTTTTTTGCTCCAAATCGTCTCCTTTTCTCAAGCCAATGAAATAACAACAATGAGGAGCTGAAGACAAAACAACCAATCACATTCCAAGGTTTGCTAATGGTAACCAATCAAATTGCAAGAAAACGAAAGACAATGAAGCCATTGTGTGGCAACTTTGCAACTTTTGTCCCCAAATCACGAGTATGATTTCCGACCAAACTGCATTCCACTCAGTTCAGTTACCATTGCGAAGAACCAGAGAAAACGAGAAGGAATGATGAAATAATAGAAAAAAAAAAACTCAAGTAGATATTCTGTAAAAAATCACTTCACCTGAGATCCTGTAGACATCATTTGCCCAGCCACCTCCCTTTCCATTCCTACATCTGTTTGAACGGCCATACCTGGCATAAGTGAACTGGACACGGGGTCCTGAAAAACACTGACCACCATGTTGGACCCCGATATACTTGTAGCCAAACCTGGCAGCATCTAAGGCGCATTTCTTTATGGCAAAGCGACGTTTTTGGTAGTTTCCTTTCAGAAGGATACTTCTGCCTTCACGGTAAGGGATGGCTCTGCGAGATGTGTCTTTAAAGCAGCCGACTCTTTGGACTATAGACGAAACGAGACACAAGGGAACACTTGCATTGGTTCTGATTTACCATGTTATAGTTTGTCGAGAGAACTCGCTAAAGCTGTCATCCAGTTAACTTTTTAACTAAAACAAGTTCCGCCTAAGTAGAATACTTTTTTTTTGGTTGCGTTCCTATAATTCCTCTCAATACCTATACGCTGCTTGTGACATTGAACTTTGATAAGGTTACCTATTGTGGTTACCAAGCTTCCGGAGTAGTTTTAACCCCCCGGTCAAAATGCGCTCTGATAGGCTCCAAATGAAAAAAAATATGTAGTAGCTAATACGACTGACAAGTGTAACACTAACACAACAACTCTGGCAAAACACTAAGCGAAAGAAGGACTAGCAAGATATTAATAGCGTTACTTACGTGTTACTAGCGGTGTGACCTTGATGATAGGAGCTGAAATTGAAAAAAAAGAAAACGCAGATTAAAACTAGTAATATTTCTCTCACAGAGTTTTAAGAACTAATTTACAATTCTCTCACATGCAAACAAACAAACCAATTGAGATACCTTAGTTGTTTGTTCGTACGATGTATCCTATTCTTTACCACTTAAATAAAACGAAACCGGATACATTAAAGATAACAATATATTTCTCACCTCCTCGTCCTCGGCAGTAACCCCACAATTTGTCCACGTCATAATTTGGAGTTGAGGCACACCATGGACGACGGTTTCTAGAATTGACCGTGGTACAGCTAGTATACTTTCGGCCCTTGTAAACGAACGGGAACACGCAGCATTCACCACGGGTTGATCGAACTCTACAAGACCCTGACGTCAAAGGCAAAAAAACCCAATATAGTGAGAGTGTGTCGCACTACGGCAATTGAGTGTCGGGATCACATTGACATTGTTTTTACGGCCCCGTCATTGGTTAACTTCTCAGCCAATCAGCTTCAAAAATTCAACCAAAAGCACAAGAATCAAAATTTGGTTCACTTAATTTTTTTTGCAAGAAACTGCTGATATGAACTATGCTTAAATAAAAATAGACAAAAGGAGTAAACAAATTTTTTCCAAATATGTTTTTACCAAAATTTCCACATGATATGCATATGCTATAAATCAACTTGAGGTTGACAGGTTTCTAGCAATAAAACATGAGGGTTACAAAAACCAAAGCCATCTTTACCTCTTAAGACGTACACGTCATTAGCCCAGGGTCCACCCTTTCCATTCCTACATCTGTTAGATTTCCCATATTTGGCATATGTACGATAAGCGTGTCTAGCAGAGGCACACCATCCGCCATGTTGGATTGCGAATACTGTGTAACCTCTCCTCTTTGCCGCCAGAGCGCATTTCTGAATGGAGTACTGCCTTCTGCGGTAATTTCCTTTAAGGAGACGACTTTTGCCTTCCAACGTTGATATGGCTCGTCTTCCTGTGTCCCTGAAGCAGCCGAGTCCTTTAGCTGATTGAAACAAAAACCACGAAAAAATCAATATTTTACGAAACAAAAAATCACGTATATATGTCGAGGGAAATTACGAAAAAGCCTTTAAGGAAAGAGAAGTCCATGTTTAACGTGGTTTTGGGTCTAAACAGTATAAGGTAAATCAACTACATAGGCATATTGTGCAAGTTCATGCGAGAGAATTTTAATAATTTTAGTTTACTCACCCACTAAAACCATTGTGATGCGGATTACACGTCCTGGAAAAAAAAGAAAAACAAAACAAAACAAACAAGAAATAAAGTTTAAGTTGAGAGATTTTAATCCACGATATGTATTAACTATTACAACAATTCACTTATTTGTAAAGCTGCTACGATGATTAGAGCAAGAGCCTAAACACAATATTGTAAGCTATCACAAACATATCATAAGCTATAACTGATTATTAGTGACAATATAAAAAAAATTATATGTACTATGCAAAAAGTACCTAACAACTGTACTCTTTACAGTTAATTTAGTCCATTCAGCTAGCACACATGATCCAAAAAAAAAAAAAAAAAAAGAAAAAAAAAAAAGAACAATGGGCAAAGTTGTAAACAGCTCATATTCTAGAAATGGAATGTATGAAAGACTTCAATTCAGATAGAAGTTTACTTTTTTATCAAATATGAAAAGGTACTGCGACACTTACCTCTAACTCGAGGTACAACAGGTCGGACTGGTTTGCGACGTCGGCCTAGTGTAATGGAAAAGGATTCAAAGTCTCATGAGGGATTTGATGGTTTAAAGGGGTCACTGCTAATATTAAGCTATACAGTAGGTTTATTATTTAGTGTTTCTCACGAGAAATATTTTCTGGGTCTCCTCTGATGTTAATCACTCAACTCTGATAATGACTTTGACTAAGGTTGTCAGAACATCAGTCACTACTATCCACAATAGTCCTTCTCAGGACAACTGTCAGCCAGACAATCAGACTGCACAACTGCACAATTAATTTAAAGTATTTCAACACATACACCATAAGTAGCTGGTTTATGATAAAACTTACATTTACAATTTCCCCATTTCTTGTCGCGATCATAGTTGGGTGTCAGAGCACACCATGGTCGATTGTGGTTTCTTCTTGTACAACTGTTATAACGACGTCCTTTGTAGATGAACGGGAATGCACAGCAGTAGTGATTTGTGGCCCTTCTTCGACATTTACCTATAAAAACAAATTTTTATGTTATCCTATGTAGATAATTATCCCATATATAAAAACAGTTTAAAACAGTGGTATTCATTTTTTTAAACCAACCAGAAACAAAGTAAACATCGTTTGCCCATGGACCACCTTTGCCATTCCTACATTGATTGGATCGTCCATACTTCCTGTATGTCAGGTGAGCTCTAGGGCCTGTAGCACACCATCCCTGATGTTGAACAGCAAAAGCTCTGTAGTGTCGCTTGGCAGCCTCCAGAGCACATTTTGCTATGGCATCACTTCTTCGTCTATAGAAACCACGCACAAGAAGGCCTTTTCCATCCATTTGTGGAATGGCTCGGCGACCTGTATCTCTGTAACAGCCTCGGGATCGAACTGTAATACAAGAAGTATCAAAATCAATTCACATTTGGAGAAAGAAAACAAGAAAACAGACAGATCTTAGTGATGTTAATTAGCAGAATAGTAATAATCATTTAAATCAAGTACCACTTATTTCATTTGGCATCACTTGGACAGTAATGACAGTACAGTAAATACTAAAAATGTGCAAGCATGATGTAACACAAAAACAAATAAGAAAGCTATCAAGTTACTTACTCACAACTCCACTGGTTACTTTAGTTGGAGGAGCTGGTGGAGCAAAAGAAGTTGACAAGCATTAGCAACGCTGCAAAAAAAGTAACTAACAATTACCTCACTTTGATCAAGTCTAATGTTATAATAGTAATAGTATATCTTCATTAATACCTCTGTAACCACGGCAATATCCCCATTGTTTGCTCCGAGGATAATCTGGTGTAATTGGACACCATGGCCGCCCACTCCTTGTTTTTGCACATCTATTGTAACGACGTCTACCATAGGTGAATGGGAACACACAGCAGTAACCAGACGTAGTTCGTTTTCTGCATTTTCCTAACAAAAAAGAAACACAAAACATTTTCTTTGGCTAACTGATCAAATCAGGGAAAAAGGGAAAAAATAAATTATACTACTGTCATTCCACATTCAAATACTAAGCAACAAACAATGACAGCATTGGAAAACAAAAAAATACATAGGAAAAGTGATGATTATCATTAAAAGCAACCATTGTCTTCAATGTTGGTTATGTAAATACATATTTTTTCAGATAATATATTTTTTAAGAGCAATGAAAAGTAAATGAATTGATCAACCTCTCAACACTTGTAACTACTTGCTACTTGAAAAGATTTCATCAAAGTTTCTTGTAAACTAATAAATAAATATATTATACTTTCCAACATTCAAGCCTTTAACTCCTATGAGTGATTAAGAAAGAATTTCTCCTTACAATAACAATACAAGATAGGTGATGAGAATCAAGAAAAATATAATTTAGGGGATTCTTGTATGATCCAATATAAAATTTTCCAACTAACATCATAAGAGTTGTAGACAGTAAGGAGAATTACTAATGAGATGTGAAAGTGAAAAGCTTAGGTAATATTATGCACATTTGATATTTCAATAGAACTGGAATTTATATAGGCAAGTTTGCCAATTTGGAAACTGGAAATTTCACCAAACACAGTCTCACCTATAATCCTGTAAACATCATTAGCCCAAGGTCCACCTTTGCCATTCCTACATCTGTTTGATCGGCCATACTTAGCAAAGGTTTTGTGAGCCCTTGGTCCGGATGCACACCATCCACCATCTTGGATTCCAATGAACTGATAGCCACGCTTTACAGCTTCATAAGCACATTTTTCAATAGCTTTTCTTCGGCGCTTATAGTTTCCTCTTAACATAGGACTTTTACCATCTAGTTGTGGGATGGCCCTACGCCATGTATCCTTAAAACAACCAATTCTCTGGACTGAAAAAAGAGGACAAAAGAAATGTGTTTTGTTATGTTGTATTATAATATTAGACCAAAAAATTAAACAAAATTTGGCATGGACAGACTGCAAGGAAGCTTTTGGTTTGACCTAGATTCAGTACAGTTTTTGATCACTTAATTACTAGCATATCATCAGTTTGTCATTAAAACTTTTTTCACTCTTCTTAACACTAATAGTACCCTTGACAAAAGTCTGAACTGCAATCTTATTACAAAAAGTATTATCAGCACCACCACTATTATCAGTTTAGAATTTGGTTTATAAACACTTACGTCTCAGGGGTGGTGTGAGTCTTACAGGACGTCCTGAAAGTAGAAATAAAATAATCATACTTTATTACATCTATTTGAAAATAACTGGTGACCCTTGTAATTTGATTGGCCCTTAATCAGAAAGATGTAATTTATTCACAAATCACACTTTTTTCTATGAAGAGCACCTTCTCCCCCAACCAGTAAGGATGGAAGAGTAAGACAAAACAAGCAATTGGATTGCAGATTTCAGCAATGTTATTTATTCACCAATTATACTCTTTTCCTAATTTTCATATTCACTTTCTTTTGCCACAGGATTAGTACAACAATTGTGACTACCAATATCCGATAACTTGGACCATCAAATGATGTGATTTCAAAACGGATGTACTGGTAATAAGGCTTTGTGTCTAGAACTATGGGACTGAAATCATAATTTTGATTTCACATCAAAAAAATGCTGTGCTTGGTCCATTTGTCTTTCTCATAATAGCTTTTTTACACTGATTACAGTCCACAAATTAACTAAATTTAAGTCTTAGTTAAGGGGGAAGCTCGCAGTCATCAGCCAAATGAGCTTCCTCACAAACAAAAATTTGCATATATAATTAAAAAATATATTTTCTTGCCAAAATATAATCTTAATCTGAAAATCTAAATCACTCATTTTACTTAGTATTACCAATGAAATAAATTTAACGGAATTAAAAGTTGAGTCATCAAACACATTTCTTCACCTGCACCACCACAATATCCAAACAATTTGTCTACATCATAGTTGGGAGTTATAGCACACCATGGCCGTCGAGATCTTATTCTGGTACAACTGTTGTATCGTTTGCCGCGGTAAATGAACGGAAACACGCAACAGAAGTTTTGAGTTGTGCGTTTTCGACATGACCCTGAAAAACGCCAAAAAAAAATTAGGCAACTGCTAAAGGACTTGTTCTTATACAATATATTTTCCCGTTTCCAACGCACTCACAGGAGATTTATGTTGTGAGATTATCTTAGTTTATGAAAACGTACTCTGAGAACTGCATTACTGAAGACACTGTACTGACTTTGTAACAAATTCCATGGCACGCGATTCGCAGATGCACTGCCTGGACAAACGTTATGATCACAACTTCTCGTCTTACAGGCACTGATATCGTGAAAGGGAGTTAACTTGAAATATAGAAAAGCTCAAATGTATTTCAATCATAGGCTGGAATGTCGTGAAATTTTGTCTCTTTAACAAAACAACTGATGGGCATAGTGGCTCAATGTCCGCCATTTTGGTTTAAAGAGTCCCAGCCTTCGCTCAGTGACACCGGTGATATTTTGGCGGGAAAACTTGGTGCTGTACACGTTGCCAGAAGCTTTTCGTAAACAAGGGCACAAAATAAAGCTTTTACCTTAAGGTAAGTTAAGTTTTCTTTGATTATTTAGAACGTGTTTGGATAAAAATTTAAATTAAGTGTGGAGTAAAATTTTTAAATGAAGTTTCAACATCAACTTGTGGTACCTCGGTAAAAATCCATTCTCAGATTTTGACTTGTTGTACATAGATATTGACAGACTCAGTCACTTTTTTAACAAACTTACCCTTAAGAAAGTAGACGTCATTTGCCCAAGGTCCTCCCTTTCCATGTCTACATCTGTTGGATCTTCCGTATTTACCATATGTTCGATACGCATATTTCGCGGAAGCACACCATCCGCCATGTTGCACAGCGAAAACACCCCAACCTCGCCTTTTCGCTGCCATAGCACACTTCTGAATTGCGTAACGCCTTCTGCGGTAACTTCCTTTCAAAAGACGACTTCTACCTTCCAGTGTTGCTACCGCTCGTCGACCAGTGTCCCTGAAGCATCCTTTACTTATTGCTGTGAAAGTAAACACTCAACATGTGATTATTCAACGGCTGTGCAAGGGCCTCGAATTAAAATGAGTAGCGTATATGTACTTACAAGTCTTTGAATTCAAGACAGGTCAATTAGTATTATTAACTTATTGAGTTATGAATTCACATCGACACTTTTTATTTAGCTCGCTTGAAAAATAGTTTTCCCTCTAATTCACGCCTTTCCACGACGTACTTCCTATGAAATTGGGGTAAAAACAACTAACGATTAAAGAAAACCCGAGTCCTTCCATTAAAACACATCAGTTCTCAGTAGATGCCTCAGGTACAAAAAAAAAATTCTTACCTATGACGTTTGCAGTAATTCTGATAACTCTCCCTAAAAAGGAAACAACAAAGAGCAATTGTAAGTTCTGCGTAAAAGACTTTTTACTTAACAAAACAAGCGTATGAGCAAAAACAAGTAATAAAAAATTGGAATTGCCACTGAAAGTATTTTTTTATATAACAGTATAGTAAAGGATATCTGATAGTCTTGACGGTGTAACGAATTTTCAATGTTTTTTCAGAAAAAATACTTCCAAAAGAGGGATGGCATTACTGTAACATCGCGATAGTTTCGGCAACAGTGGTTTCAATAATGTTTGGTGGTTTAGGGTTAAGGTTAGGCGAGTAAATTTGAAGGCCTGAGGAGCTTTCACTCCCTAGGTTCGTCCGGGCTTCTCTGGGAAATTTTGTAGGCCTGAAGGGCTTCCACTTGTTGGGGAATTCTTCGCTCCCCTGGTAAAATTTTGATGGTTTGAATATTACAATTGCATTTTTGGCATTTTGAGATCCATTAAAAAGCCGGTTGCTCTCTTTTTCTTAGCCGTCAACCAATTTGAAGGGAATTTAATGTATGTCAGATTTTAGCCAGCCCATAACATGAAACCAGATCTACCAGCTATCTGGATGTTATTTAAAAGCCCTAAGTAAACAGAAAATGTAGAAAATAATCACTCTCAGCATAACTGAAATACTCGGAATTTGGTAAGTGTATGACAGGTGAAAATACTGCTTTTTTACGGGACCTTGCTCATAGTCTAACGGCCATGTGAAACAGACGGTGCATGCTTCTAATTTCAGAATGATTTATTTCATACATCTTTGGTTCAACTTTTCAAGAGCTGGTCATATTATGTTAAAAAAATCATATTTTGACAACAGTTAATGACAAAATTTTTGTGACCTGCTAAGGATAGTAAATTTCAAATTGCTTAGGTTGGCGTTTTTTAAAATTTTTAATTTTTTTTTTTAGCTTAAACTTACTTCTTCTGAGGCATTTTCGTTCACATTCAGCTTTTGACCGAAAGTTATTAGCATTTCCTCGGCACCCGCCATAAATGAACATCTGGCACCTTCCTGTGGCCCTATTGTAGTACCATCTTCGCTTTGCAGCACGGCAAGGACCAGTTACTTTTGGAAGGTTACAGATTCCCCCTTTTAAAGAAAAAAGTCACCAATAAGCCTGTTGAAAACAGCGATTACGCCTTGTGTGTCCCATTGAAAATTAGCCTAACATTTTATGCCAGACTTCAATAAACGTCATTAATCATGAAATTAAAGTTAGGTCTAAGTAGCTCGGTATCCCTGATTCTTCTATGGTTACTCTATTATACCAGGCAATAAAAAGGGAAAAACTTTATATATCGTTCATATTTATTCATATCAATTTAACTGCAGCTCTTCCTTTGTAATACTGAGCTTTTCTTTCTTTAAAATGCTTCGTGGTTCAGGCACGATGCCAAAACTGTTACCATAAAAAAATAACAATAAACTTACTCCCTCCACGTGGAGGTCTCACAGGGCGCGTACCTGGAAGCAAAACACACCAGCTTTCATTCAAAATTAAAAATAATACATTTCTTTTGATAATAATCCATTATAATGACAAATTTTCTTGTTTATGAAGCTTTCATATCTCACACTAAAATCTACTAACACACCTCTGCATGCTCGTCGTTGTATAGTACCCACTATAGAGCCCAATTGTCTAAACCCGGCTGTTATCACGTGACTTCTACGTCCTGCCGCTATTTGTAAGAGCTGTTTACTGTTGTATTTCCGACCGATTCCAACCGCATAACATTTGATGTTTGCTCGTCGGAACAAATTTGCAGGAGACACCACGCTGTCATATGATCTTCCATCAGTCATTACTATAGCAACCTAAAATACAAAAGATCCAACTTCTGTTTAGGTAAGGGAAATGGAACATCTAGTTTTCCTACTAATACAAATGTAGTTGAGATGGCTTCACCAGTCAAATATCTTACAGTTATACCTTACGAACTCCTCTCCGTGCATATCGGAACACCCGGCTATAACAGTACCGCATAGCATATCCGGTCCTCGTACCACCCCTGGGGTATCGTATCCGACTAATGGCATTTAGAATTTGTCCTTTGGAACGATAACGTCGAAAGTCGAAGATCAGTCGAGGCCTTGACGAGTACAGTACGATCCCTACTCGGGTTTGCCCGCCTCTGAAGTTAAAGCGGCTGACAATCGCTCTGACGAAGTTGAGGCATCGTCGGAAGTTTCCTTTGCCATACTGCTCGATGCTTCCTGAACCATCGATGACGAAAGCCAAGTCGACCCGGGCACGGCACGCTGCAGTTAGATATGAACACAGGGGTGAACTTTCTTTTACAGTGTGTAGGGACAGTTGGGCGCGCTTTTCATTTTAGAACGAATGAAAGGAAGTAACTATATATGCTGCAAAAAACTAACGCCTAGTAAGAAATGAATATCGGAATGGTGTTAGTTTAGGTTATTTAAAAAAACGGCATCCTATTAGCGTGAACTCCACACCGAAAGCATTAAAAATTTCTCCTAGCTCTGAAGACACAAAATAGTCCTCCTTCCAATTTCTATCTAGCTAGACCGTTTTTTTCTTTTTTTTTCAGAAAATGAGCTTCAAAACCCTAGGATATCAGTATCGGACTGTTGCTAGTTTCGGTCATTTTTTTTTATGAGCGTGACCCCTGTACAAAAAGCATTAGACAAGTAGGGCTGGGATACGAAGGCTGAAGACTTTTCCGCCACAATATTCCGTTAGCCTTGTGGACAAAAAATTATTTCTAGCAATTTCTATCCAGCTAGACCGTTTTTCCTTTGTCCTGAAATGAGCTTCAAAACCCCATTACGCAGAACAAACCCCGGGCTTAGAGAAATACCTGCTGCTACCATCACTTTATGAGAATATTGATATCAGATGCGATGTGAAAATGAGTTTAATGTTATTTTGTACAAAGTGTGTGAACAACTTACCCCCTCTTGGTGGTCTTACTGGTGGTCTGACAGGGCGTGTACCTGCAGGAAAAACACATCAACTTTAACTTAAATTGAAAAATAAATAGAAAAAATAAACCAAAAAGACTCCACAGTATTTGTTTTTATTGTTTAAATCATCTGTTGCTCTATAATTATAGATCCCCTATTTTATGAAGCCATATAGTTCCAATATTGAAGTTCAAATTAAAAAGTAACACACCTCTGCATGCTCGTCGTTGTATAGTACCCACTATAGAGCCCAATTGTCTAAACCCGGCTGTTATCACGTGACTTCTACGTCCTGCCGCTATTTGTAAGAGCTGTCTACTGTTGTATTTCCGACCGATTCCAACTGCATAACATTTGATGTTTGCTCGTCGGAACAAATTTGCAGGAGACACCACGCTGTCATATGATCTTCCATCAGTCATTACTATAGCAACCTAAAATACAAAAGATCCAACTTCTGTTTAGGTAAGGGAAATGGAACATCTAGTTTTCCTACTAATACAAATGTAGTTGAGATGGCTTCACCAGTCAAATATCTTACAGTTATACCTTACGAACTCCTCTCCGTGCATATCGGAACACCCGGCTATAACAGTACCGCATAGCATATCCGGTCCTCGTACCACCCCTGGGGTATCGTATCCGACTAATGGCATTTAAAATTTGTCTTTTGGAACGAAAACGTTTAAAGTCGAAGATCAGACGAGGCCTTGACGAGTACAGTACGACTCCTACTCGGGTTTGCCCGCCTCTGAAGTTAAAGCGGCTGACAATCGCTCTGACGAAGTTGAGGCATCGTCGGAAGTTTCCTTTGCCATACTGCTCGATGCTTCCTGAACCATCGATGACGAAAGCCAAGTCGACCCGAGCACGGCACGCTGCAATTAGATATGAACACAGGGGTGAACTTTCTTTTACAGTGTGTAGGGACAGTTGGACGCGTTTTTCATTTTAGAACGACTCAAAGAAAGTAACACAACTCTGATTGGCCAATGGGTCAGTTCTTTAGGCATCATTTCCGTTCATCTGCAAACCTGTTTGTCTTAACTACGAATTGTTTCAACCTTTTATTTTAAATCTATAACGCCGCAAAAAACTAACGCCTAGTAGGGAATCAGTATCGGACTGTTGATAGTTTCGATCATTTTAATAAAATCGCATTTTATGAGCGTGACCCCTATGCAAAAAAGCATTAGAAAAGCAGGGCTGTGATAGAAAAGCTGAAGACTTTAACGCGACAATATTCCCTTGGCCTTGTTGACACAAAAAGTTCTTTCTTGCAACTTTTATTCAGCTGGACTGTTTTCTTTTGTTTAAAAAATGAACTTCAAAACCCCATTGCACAAAATAAACCCCGAGCTCAAACAAATGCCTGCTACTGCCATCACCTTATGAGAATATTGATATCAGATGCGATGTGAAAACGAGTTTAATGTTATTGTATACAAAGTGTGTGAATAACCTACCCCCTCTTGGTGGTCTTACTGGAGGTCTGACAGGACGTGTACCTGCAGCAAAAACACATCAGCTTTGAGTAAAATTGAAAAATAAATAGAAAAAATAAACCAAAAAGACTCCACAGTATTTGTTTATTGTTTAAATCATCTGTTGCTCTATAAATATAGATCTTCTATTTTATGAAGCCATATAGTTCTAATATTGAAGTTTAAATTAAAAAGTAACACACCTTTGCATGCTCGTCGTTGTATAGTACCCACTATAGAGCCCAATTGTCTAAACCCGGCTGTTATCACGTGACTTCTACGTCCTGCCGCTATTTGTAAGAGCTGTCTACTGTTGTATTTCCGACCGATTCCAACCGCATAACATTTGATGTTTGCTCGTCGGAACAAATTTGCAGGAGACACCACACTATCATATGATCTTCCATCAGTCATTACTATAGCAACCTGAAACACAAAAGATCCAGCTTCTGTTTAGGTATAGAAAATGGAGCATCTAGTTTTCCAGCTGATACAAATGTAGTTGAGATGGTTTATCAATATCTTACAATTATACCTTACGAACTCCTCTCCGTGCATATCGGAACACCCGGCTATAACAGTACCGCATAGCATATCCGGTCTTCGTACCACCCCTGGGGTATCGTATGCGACTAATGGCATTTAGAATTTGTCCTTTGGAACGATAACGTCGAAAGTCGAAGATCAGTCGAGGCCTTGACGAGTACAGTACGACTCCTACTCGGGTTTGCCCGCCTCTAAAGTTAAAGCGGCTGACAATCGCTCTGACGAAGTTGAGGCATCGTCGGAAGTTTCCTTTGCCATACTGCTCGATGCTTCCTGAACCATCGATGACGAAAGCCAAGTCGACCCGAGCACGGCACGCTGCAATTAGATATGAACACAGGGGTGAACTTTCTTTTACAGTGTGTAGGGACAGTTGGACGCGTTTTTCATTTTAGAACGACTCAAAGAAAGTAACACAACTCTGATTGGCCAATGGGTCAGTTCTTTAGGCATCATTTCCGTTCATCTGCAAACCTGTTTGTCTTAACTACGAATTGTTTCAACCTTTTATTTTAAATCTATAACGCCGCAAAAAACTAACGCCTAGTAGGGAATCAGTATCGGACTGTTGATAGTTTCGATCATTTTAATAAAATCGCATTTTATGAGCGTGACCCCTATGCAAAAAAGCATTAGAAAAGCAGGGCTGTGATAGAAAAGCTGAAGACTTTAACGCGACAATATTCCCTTGGCCTTGTTGACACAAAAAGTTCTTTCTTGCAACTTTTATTCAGCTGGACTGTTTTCTTTTGTTTAAAAAATGAACTTCAAAACCCCATTGCACAAAATAAACCCCGAGCTCAAACAAATGCCTGCTACTGCCATCACCTTATGAGAATATTGATATCAGATGCGATGTGAAAACGAGTTTACTATTGTTGTGTACAAAGTGTGTGAATAACCTACCCCCTCTTGGTGGTCTTACTGGAGGTCTGACAGGACGTGTACCTGCAGCAAAAACACATCAGCTTTAACTCAAATTGAAAAATAAATAGAAAAAATAAACCAAAAAGACTCCACAGTATTTGTTTATTGTTTAAATCATCTGTTGCTCTATAAATATAGATCTTCCATTTTATAAAGCCATATAGTTCTAATATTGAAGTTCAAATTAAAAAGTAACACACCTTTGCATGCTCGTCGTTGTATAGTACCCACTATAGAGCCCAATTGTCTAAACCCAGCTGTTATCACGTGACTTCTACGTCCTGCCGCTATTTGTAAGAGCTGTCTACTATTGTATTTCCGACCGATTCCAACTGCATAACATTTGATGTTTGCTCGCCGGAACAAATTTGCAGGAGACACCACACTATCATATGATCTTCCATCAGTCATTACTATAGCAACCTGAAACACGAAAGATCCAACTTCTGTTTAGGTATAGAAAATGGAGCATCTAGTTTTCCTGCTAATGCAAATGTAGTTGAGATGGTTTATCAATATCTTACAATTATACCTTACGAACTCCTCTCCGTGCATACCGGAACACCCGGCTATAACAGTACCGCATAGCATATCCGGTCTTCGTACCACCCCTGGGGTATCGTATCCGACCAATAGCATTTAGAATTTGTCCTTTGGAACGATAACGTCGAAAGTCGAAGATCAGTCGAGGCCTTGACGAGTACAGTACGACCCCTACTCGGGTTTGCCCGCCTCTGAAGTTAAAGCGGCTGACAATCGCTCTGACGAAATTGAGGCATCGTCGGAAGTTTCCTTTGCCATAATGCTCGATGCTTCCTGAACCATCGATGACGAAAGCCAAGTCGACCCGGGCACGGCACGCTGTAATTAGATATGAACACAGGGGTGAACTTTCTTTTACAGTGTGTAGGGACAGTTGGACGCGTTTTTCATTTTAGAACGACTCAAAGAATTTAACATAACTCTGATTGGCCAATGGGTCAGTTCTTTAGGCATTATTTCCGTTCATCTGCAAACCTGTTTGTCTTATATTAATGTTCACACGGCAACCAGGTGCTCGACTGGTTTTGCTGTTATCCCTTACATTCAAAGTGCTACCGAACCCATCAAGAGATTTTTGAATAACCACAACGTTAAAGTTGCTCAAAAACCTTTTCAGACTTTGGGGCATATTTTCGCCAAACCTAAGGATCCTGTCGCGAAAGAACAACGAACCGACGCCATTTATTTTATTCCATGCAATGACTGCGACCACAAATACATCGGACAGACCAAACGTCAGATTGGTACACGTTTAAAAGAGCATCAAAAAGCGGTTTTCTTTTGCAAAAAGGAAAATTCTGCTTTATCGGAGCACACATGCCTAACCAACCATACAATTGGGTGGGATAATTCTAAAAATTATCACCACTAATCGGCGTTGCAACCAGCGCCTTTCTTTGGAGGCTTGGCATATTAACTCCGCCCACGCTCCTTTAAATCGTGACGATAGCGGTTTGCTTCCTGACGCCTATTTACACCTCGTCAGAAAAAAGACCGCTAATTAGTGATCATATAAAAGGACCTCTTGTTGCAGCGTTTAGATCGCCCCTGATGAAGGCACCAGACAGGAGTGTCGAAACGTTGGGTCTATGAATTGTAACTTCTTCGGTTACATTCATTAAATCTGCAAACCAGGGTGCATCAAACCATGTCTGTTTGTCTTAACTACGTGTTGTTTCAACCTTTTATTTTAAATTTAAAATGCCGCAAAAAACTAACGCCTAGTAGGAAATCAGCATCGGACTGTTGATAGTTTCGATCATTTTAATAAAATCGCATTTTATGAGCGTGACCCCTGTGCAAAAAAGCATTAGAAAAGCAGGGCTGGGATAGAAAAGCTGAAGACTTTAACGCGACAATATTCCCCTGGCCTGGTTGACACAAAAAGTTCTTTCTTGCAACTTTTATCCTGCTCGACTGTTTTCTTTTGTTTAGAAATGAACTTCAAAACCCCATTGCGCAGAATAAACCCCGGGCTCAAAGAAATACCTGCTACTGCCATCACTTTATGAGCATATTGATATCAGATGCCGTGTGAAAACGAGTTTAATGTTATTGTGTACAAAGTGTGTGAATAACCTACCTCCTCTTGGTGGTCTTACTGGAGGTCTGACAGGACGTGTACCTGCAGCAAAAACACATCAGCTTTGAGTAAAATTGAAAAATTAATAGACAAAATAAACCAAAAAGACTCCACAGTATTTGTTTATTTTTTATGAAGCCATATAGTTCTAATATTGAAGTTTAAATTAAAAAGTAACACACCTTTGCATGCTCGTCGTTGTATAGTACCCACTATAGAGCCCAATTGTCTAAACCCGGCTGTTATCACGTGACTTCTACGTCCTGCCGCTATTTGTAAGAGCTGTCTTCTATTGTATTTCCGACCGATTCCAACCGCATAACATTTGATGTTTGCTCGTCGGAACAAATTTGCAGGAGACACCACACTGTCATATGATCTTCCATCAGTCATTACTATAGCAACCTGAAACACGAAAGATCCAGCTTCTGTTTAGGTATAGAAAATGGAGCATCTAGTTTTCCTGCTGATACAAATGTAGTTGAGATGGTTTATCAATATCTTACAATTATACCTTACGAACTCCTCTCCGTGCATATCGGAACACCCGGCTATAACAGTACCGCATAGCATATCCGGTCTTCGTACCACCCCTGGGGTATCGTATGCGACTAATGGCATTTAGAATTTGTCCTTTGGAACGATAACGTCGAAAGTCGAAGATCAGTCGAGGCCTTGACGAGTACAGTACGACCCCTACTCGGGTTTGCCCGCCTCTGAAGTTAAAGCGGCTGACAATCGCTCTGACGAAGTTGAGGCATCGTCGGAAGTTTCCTCTGCCATACTGCTCGATGCTTCCTGAACCATCGATGACGAAAGCCAAGTCGACCCGGGCACGGCACGCTGTAATTAGATATGAACACAGGGGTGAACTTTCTTTTACAGTGTATAGGGACAGTTGGACGCGTTTTTCATTTTAGAACGACTCAAAGAATTTAACGTAACTCTAATTGGCCAATGGGTCAGTTCTTAAGGCATCATTTCCGTTCATCTGTAAACCTGTTTGTCTTATATTAAAGTTCACACGGCAACCAGGTGCTCGACTGGTTTTGCTGTCATCCCTTACATTCAAAGTGCTACCGAACCCATCAAGAGAATTTTGAATAACCACAACGTTAAAGTTGCTCAAAAACCTTTTCAGACTTTGGGGCATATTTTGGCCAAACCTAAGGATCCTGTCACGAAAGAACAACGAACCGACGCCATCTATTTTATTCCATGCAATGACTGCGACCACAAATACATCGGACAGACCAAACGTCAGATTGGTACACGTTTAAAAGAGCATCAAAAAGCGGTTTTCTTTTACAAAAAGGAAAATTCTGCTTTATCGGAGCACACATGCCTAACCAACCATACAATTGGGTGGGATAATTCTAAAATTATCACCACTAATCGGCGTTGCCACCAGCGCCTTTCTTTGGAGGCTTGGCATATTAACTCCGCCCACGCTCCTTTAAATCGTGACGATAGCGGTTTGCTTCCTGACGCCTATTTACACCTCGTCAGAAAAAAGACCGCTAATTAGTGATCATATAAAAGGACCTCTTGTTGCAGCGTTTAGATCGCCCCTGATGAAGGCACCAGACAGGAGTGTCGAAACGTTGGGTCTATGAATTGTAACTTCTTCGGTTACATTCATTAAATCTGCAAACCAGGGTGCATCAAACCATGTCTGTTTGTCTTAACTACGTATTGTTTCAACCTTTTATTTTAAATTTATAATGCCGCAAAAAAACTAACGCCTAGTAGGAAATCAGCATCGGACTGTTGCTAGTTTCGATCATTTTAATAAAATCGCATTTTATGAGCGTGACCCCTGTGCAAAAAAGCATTAGAAAAGCAGGGCTGGGATAGAAAAGCTGAAGACTTTAACGCGACAATATTCCCCTGACCTTGTTGACACAAAAAGTTCTTTCTTGCAACTTTTATCCAGCTCGACCGTTTTCTTTTGTTTAGAAATGAACTTCAAAACCCCATTGCGCAAAATAAACCCCGGGCTCAAACAAATACCTGCTACTGCCATCACTTTATGAGAATATTGATATCAGATGCGGTGTGAAAACGAGTCTAATATTGTTGTGTACAAAGTGTGTGAATAACCTACCCCCTCTTGGTGGTCTCACTGGAGGTCTCACAGGGCGTGTACCTGCAGCAAAAACACATCAGCTTTAACTCAAATTGAAAAATAAATAGAAAAAAATAAACCAAAAAGACTCCGCAGTATTTGTTTTTATTGTTTAAATAATTTGTTCGTCTATAATTTATGGATCTTCTATATTATAAAGCCATATAGTTCTAATATTGAAGTTCAAATTAAAAAGTAACACACCTCTGCATGCTCGTCGTTGTATAGTACCCACTATAGAGCCCAATTGTCTAAACCCGGCTGTTATCACGTGACTTCTACGTCCTGCCGCTATTTGTAAGAGCTGTCTACTGTTGTATTTCCGACCGATTCCAACCGCATAACATTTGATGTTTGCTCGTCGGAACAAATTTGCAGGAGACACCACACTGTCATATGATCTTCCATCAGTCATTACTATAGCAACCTGAAACACAAAAGATCCAGTTTCTGTTTAGGTATAGAAAATGGAGCATCTAGTTTTCTTGCTGATACAAATGTAGTTGAGATGGTTTATCAATATCTTACAGTTATACCTTACGAACTCCTCTCCGTGCATATCGGAACACCCGGCTATAACAGTACCGCATAGCATATCCGGTCCTCGTACTACCCCTGGGGTATCGTATGCGACTAATGGCATTTAGAATTTGTCCTTTGGAACGATAACGTCGAAAGTCGAAGATCAGACGAGGCCTTGACGAGTACAGTACGACTCCTACTCGGGTTTGCCCGCCTCTGAAGTTAAAGCGGCTGACAATCGCTCTGACGAAGTTGAGGCATCGTCGGAAGTTTCCTTTGCCATACTGCTCGATGCTTCCTGAACCATCGATGACGAAAGCCAAGTCGACCCGGGCACGGCACGCTGCAATTAGATATGAACACAGGAGTGAACTTTCTTTTACAGTGTGTAGGGACAGTTGGGCGCGCTTTTCATTTTAGAACGACTGAAAGGAAGTAACACAACTCGGATTGGCCGATAGGTGAGTTCCTTAGGCATCATTTCCGTTTTTTTGTCTTAACGACCTATCCTTTCAACCTTAAATTTTGACTCTATAATGCTGCAAAAAGCTAACCGCTAGTAAGAAATGAATATCGGAATGGCGTTAGTTCAGGTTATTTTAAAAAAAACGGCATCCTATTAGCGTGAACTCCACACCGAAAGCATTAAAAATTTCTCCTAGCTCTGTAGACACAAAATAGTCCTCCTTCCAATTTCTATCTAGCTAGACCGTTTTTTTCTTTTTTTTTCAAGAAATGAGCTTCAAAACCCTAGGATATCAGTATCGGACTGTTGCTAGTTTCGGTCATTTAAAAAAAACGCATTTTATGAGCGTGACCCCTGTACAAAAAGCATTAGACAAGTAGGGCTGGGATACGAAGGCTGAAGACTTTTCCGCCACAATATTCCGTTAGCCTTGTAGACAAAAAATTATTTCTAGCAATTTCTATCCAGCTAGACCGTTTTTCCTTTGTCCTGAAATGAGCTTCAAAACCCCATTGCGCAAAATAAACCCCGGGCTCAAACAAATACCTGCTACTGCCATCACTTTATGAGAATATTGGTATCAGATGCGATGTGAAAACGAGTTTAATGTTATTGTATACAAAGTGTGTGAATAACCTACCCCCTCTTGGTGGTCGTACTGGGGGTCTGACAGGACGTGTACCTGCAGCAAAAACACATCAGCTTTGAGTAAAATTGAAAAATAAATAGAAAAAATAAACCAAAAAGACTCCACAGTATTTGTTTATTGTTTAAATCATCTGTTGCTCTATAATTTATGGATCTTCTATATTATAAAGCCATATAGTTCTAACATTTAAGTTCAAATTAAAAAGTAACACACCTCTGCATGCTCGTCGTTGTATAGTACCCACTATAGAGCCCAATTGCCTAAACCCAGCTGTTATCACGTGACTTCTACGTCCTGCCGCTATTTGTAAGAGCTGTCTACTATTGTATTTCCGACCGATTCCAACCGCATAACATTTGATGTTTGCTCGTCGGAACAAATTTGCAGGAGACACCACACTATCATATGATCTTCCATCAGTCATTACTATAGCAACCTGAAACACGAAAGATCCAGCTTCTGTTTAGGTATAGAAAATGGAGCATCTAGTTTTCCTGCTGATACAAATGTAGTTGATATGGTTTATCAATATCTTACAATTATACCTTACGAACTCCTCTCCGTGCATATCGGAACACCCGGCTATAACAGTACCGCATAGCATATCCGGTCTTCGTACCACCCCTGGGGTATCGTATGCGACTAATGGCATTTAGAATTTGTCCTTTGGAACGATAACGTCGAAAGTCGAAGATCAGTCGAGGCCTTGACGAGTACAGTACGACCCCTACTCGGGTTTGCCCGCCTCTGAAGTTAAAGCGGCTGACAATCGCTCTGACGAAGTTGAGGCATCGTCGGAAGTTTCCTCTGCCATACTGCTCGATGCTTCCTGAACCATCGATGACGAAAGCCAAGTCGACCCGGGCACGGCACGCTGTAATTAGATATGAACACAGGGGTGAACTTTCCTTTACAGTGTGTAGGGACAGTTGGGCACGTTTTTCATTTTAGAACGACTCAAAGAAAGTAACACAACTCTGATTGGCCAATGGGTCAGTTCTTTAGGCATCATTTCCGTTCATCTGCAAACCTGTTTGTCTTAACTACGTATTGTTTCAACCTTTTATTTGAAATCTATAACGCCGCAAAAAACTAACGCCTAGTAGGGAATCAGTATCGGACTGTTGCTAGTTTCGACATTTTAATAAAATCGCATTTTATGAGCGTGACCCCTATGCAAAAAAGCATTAGAAAATCAGGGCTGGGATAGAAGAGCTGAAGACTTTAACGCGACAATATTCCCCTGGTCTTGTTGACACAAAAAGTTCTTTCTTGCAACTTTTATCCAGCTCGACTGTTTTCTTTTGTTTAAAAAATGAACTTCAAAACCCCATTGCACAAAATAAACCCCGGGCTCAAACAAATGCCTGCTTCTGCCATCACTTTATGAGAATATTGATCTCAGATGCGGTGTGAAAACGAGTTTAATATTGTTGTGTACAAAGTGTGTGAATAACCTACCTCCTCTTGGTGGTCTTACTGGAGGTCTGACAGGACGTGTACCTGCAGCAAAAACACATCAGCTTTGAGTCAAATTGAAAAATAAATAGAAAAAATAAACCAAAAAGACTCCACAGTATTTGTTTATTGTTTAAATCATCTGTTTCTCTATAATTATAGATCTTCCATTTTATGAAGCCATATAGTTCTAACATTTAAGTTCAAATTAAAAAGTAACACACCTCTGCATGCTCGTCGTTGTATAGTACCCACTATAGAGCCCAATTGTCTAAACCCGGCTGTTATCACGTGACTTCTACGTCCTGCCGCTATTTGTAAGAGCTGTCTACTATTGTATTTCCGACCGATTCCAACCGCATAACATTTGATGTTTGCTCGTCGGAACAAATTTGCAGGAGACATCACACTATCATATGATCTTCCATCAGTCATTACTATAGCAACCTGAAACACATAAGATCCAGCTTCTGTTTAGGTAAGGGAAATGGAACATCTAGTTTTCGTACTAATACAAATGTAGTTGAGATGGCTTCACCAGTCAAATATCTTACAGTTATACCTTACGAACTCCTCTCCGTGCATATCGGAACACCCGGCTATAACAGTACCGCATAGCATATCCGGTCTTCGTACCACCCCTGGGGTATCGTATGCGACTAATGGCATTTAGAATTTGTCCTTTGGAACGATAACGTCGAAAGTCGAAGATCAGTCGAGGCCTTGACGAGTACAATACAACTCCTACTCGGGTTTGCCTGCCTCTAAAGTTAAAGCGGCTGACAATCGCTCTGACAAAGTTGAGGCATCGTCGGAAGTTTCCTTTGCCATAATGCTCGATGCTTCCTGAGCCATCGATAACGAAAGCCAAGTCGACCCGGGCACGGCACGCTGCAATTAGATGTGAACACAGGAGTGAACTTTCTTTTACAGTGTGAAGGGAGAGTTGCGCGTTTTTTATTTTAGAACGACTCAAAGAAAGTAACACAACTCTGATTGGTCAATGAGTGAGTTCCTTGGGCATCATTTCCGTTCATCTGCAAAACCTATTTGTCTTAATCACCTATCCTTTCAACCTTTAATTTGGACTCTATAATGCTGCAAAAAACCAACGCCTCGTAAGAAATGAATATCGGAATGGTGTCAGTTACGGTCATTTAAAAAATTGCCTCCCATTAGCGTGACCCCCTACACCAAAAGCATTCAAAATTTATCTCAGTTCTGTATACACAAAAAGTCCTCCTTGCAATTTCTATCCAGTAAGACTTTTTTTTTTTGTACAGAGATGAGCTTAAAAACCCCATTGCGGCAGAATAAACCCCGAGCTTAAAGAAAGGTATGCTGCTGCCGTCAACTTATGAGAATATTAATATCAGATGCAATATGATCCCAACTTTAATTTTATCGTGTACAAGATGTGTGACAAACATACCTCCTGTTCCTGGTCTTACTGGTGGTCTAATAGGACGTGTACCTGCAGGAAAAACACATCAGCTTTGCTTCAAAATGAAAAATATATTAACAAATCAATCAGAACCTAAAGTGTACGTTTATTGTTTAGATCATTTGTTGTTTTATAATTATACATGTTCTATTTTATGAAGCCATATAGTTCTAACATTTAAGTTCAAATTAAAAAGTAACACACCTCTACATGCTCGTCGTTGTATAGTACCCACTATAGAGCCCAATTGTCTAAACCCAGCTGTTATCACGTGACTTCTACGTCCTGCCGCTATTTGTAAGAGCTGTCTACTGTTGTATTTCCGACCGATTCCTACCGCATAACATTTGATGTTTGCTCGTCGGAACAAATTTGCAGGAGACACCACACTGTCATATGATCTTCCATCAGTCATTACTATAGCAACCTGAAACACATAAGATCCAACTTCTGGTTAGGTAAGGGAAATGGAATATTTAGTTTTTCAGCTGATAAAAAGTGGTTGAGATGTTTTGCCAGTCAAGTATCTTACAGTTATACCTTACGAACTCCTCTCCGTGCATACCGGAACACCCGGCTATAACAGTACCGCATAGCATATCCGGTCTTCGTACCACCCCTGGGGTATCGTATCCGACTAATGGCATTTAGAATTTGTCCTTTGGAACGATAACGTCGAAAGTCGAAGATCAGTCGAGGCCTTGACGAGAACAGTACGACCCCTACTCGGGTTTGCCTGCCTCTAAAGTTGAAGCGGCTGACAATCGCTCTGACAAAGTTGAGGCATCGTCGGAAGTTTCCTTTGCCATAATGCTCGATGCTTCCTGAACCATCGATGACGAAAGCCAAGTCGACCCGGGCACGGCACACTGTAATCAAATCAGTATAAGACATCATTGATCTCTCTGTTACAATGTGTAATGGCATTTGCATGCAGAGATGAAATTTTGTAGGGGAAGGTAGGCTTTGCCTATTTACACCATAAAATCTACCCTTCAATCGTCGTCACAAAAAGGTTTTTTTCCAATACTATCCAATCTATGATCTATATTTTTTCAGATCTAATGCTTCAGATCTTCATCGGATAAAAAAGAAAGTGTAGGGTATTTAAGGTACACCCGTGCTCATTTTTTAAGGTTTCATTTTAGATGCATTAAAATTCAACGGGCCCGAAAGGATCCCTGTTCGTGATCTCTGTTCGTTATGCTCAACTTTTTCCAGCTAAAAGAAATAGAAATAAGTTAAGGGCTATCACTTACGCACCCTTCAGATTTCATCGATCGAAGTAAGTTATGTTTGACTTACCGGAAGAATAGTTCTATGTAGGAGCATTTTATCTTAGAGGGCCTGCATTCTAAAACTATTAAAATTGAGAGGAAACTTCGTTGGCTTTATTGTAATGGACTTAAGCCATGAAGCTCAAAACATACCTGGACGGGGAATTGATCTTCCTAAAAGCAAGAGAAACAACACAGGTCATGAATTTTGTATCGATGGTACCGATTTAGTAATTCGTGTCAAAATCGCTAATATTTGTGTGTAAAAAAAATTAATTCATGTTCTGTTTGAGATGAAAGTATGTTACTGAGTTGCACTGAAATCAGTGTGTCTTTGCATCAACATTCGTCACTGACTCAACTCTTTCCGCCAATGAGTGACCAAATGGCATCTGATTGGTTGAGAAAAATGCGCAAGTTTTCTGGACCAATCACAGAATAAAGTAAAGCAAACCAAAAACAAACTTCGATTACTTTAAGCACTTAATTGAAAAAGCTCTTTTAGGAAAACTCACCATTTACTTCCCGTGACTGGTACCTGGGTGAAGAAACATATAAACACTAGTTTCAACAGATACGAATGTAACATCGCACTTCTCTCGGTTTTAGTCGAAGAAACTCGAATATTTCTCATCAATAAATTTTCAGCTCTGAATATTCTGATTGTTTCACTCAACTACAGTTATCAGCCTATATTCCGAGTCACCTTATATGGAAATACATTGCACAACTGTTGCGAAGCTGAAAAAATCACCAGATATCCAAAAATTCAGGATTTATTGAAATTTTATCAGTTGAACAATTATCAACATGCATTTATGGAATAATTGTTAATTACTTCAAAGAGATGATAATCCACAACGAAAACTATAAAAAAAAGTTTTGCTTTCACCAGCTAGAACTGATTTCATCACAATTAAAAAGACTGACATAAAATATTTAAATGACAGATTGTCATGCTTGCTGTATTTGATTTAAATTTTTTCCCAGTGTAATATTTTTAACCACCATTACAGAGGGACGTGATGTTTTTCCTTATTGCACCACACTTGAAACAAATTTTCGCGACATATTTACAAACAAGAAACAGCAAGACCTGCAAAGTGCAAGGTGTCTCCTTAACTTTAAACAAAACACTTTTGTTCACACGCATGCAACCATATTATTTCTTCTCAACTGGACCCTATGGTTTAGTGAGCGAACGCTTGTCTTAGTGTAAGTTTTACGTTGTATAGTACCCAGGTGCTCTTTCATGTCTATTAACAAAAAATTCTCTTAATTTAGGACTGGTAACTAATTTCTTAATCGATAAATAATACATAAGAATGAACACTTAAGGAAACCTAATTGACAAAGATCAAAGAGGAAAATCATTTCCTCGGTCGACTTTCCAAGTGAAGATCGATCTTTTAATGCCACTTGTTCCTGCATTAATTACATTGCCTGTTGATTTCGTGAATTGAATAACGTTAACGTTGAAATAAGCCCAGCAATTGATGGTGGACAACAGGTTTGCATATTGTATATTTTCGATCGAATCTCAAGATCAAATCCTCTTTGTAGAAATCTAAAGGGTGGATAACTTTAAAAGGAAGGTACGATTATTAGAGGAAATTTAAAGATTTTAGAAAACTTATCATCGATAACGTTTACGAAACAGGCGTCGTTATTAACATGATTTTCTCGCTTAAAACGCGAAACAAAATTAGCAACAATTAAAGCCCATTAAAAGGCGTTCTCAAGATGACCAAAGAATCTTGAGAGCAACAGAATAAACTTTTTTTCAAGTTAGTTACTTTTATAGAAACTATTAGCCCATAACACTTTTCATCTTTCATTTTAAAATATGCTGTTTGAGTATCTGCTGTTGGATACAAAGAACGTTCAAAGCAAAATTCTAGACGAGTTAAATTACATCAAAAAGAGGGACTTGATTTACTTACACTTGCAGGACAACAGTCGACAGAAAAAGTGCTCGTATCCAACCCATCGTCCCTTTTAGTGGAGATGATTTCGTGGACACAACATTTTCAAAACTGGCAAAGCACTAACTGAGGTAACCAACTTAGTAATAATCTCTAACGAAAAACAATGTTGATAAATTACTTCACCTGTTGCGCTCGATTTGTTTTCCAAATAAGCTGAAAAATTCATGTTAGATCCACGAAACTGCGCCGACTGGACTTCCTAAAGAACCAAGTAGATATTTGGAAAAAGTTAAGTTTCTTCCTTTGGCATCCTAAGAAACAACTCTTGCAACCAAAATTTTTTTGTTTATCAAACAAAGTTCGTGCATAAACGAATTAGCAAAGATGGGGTTGAGGAGAGGAGAGAGATAGGGAGGCCTGAAGTTTGTTTCATACGAGGGTGGTGGAAAACAAATGAAAGAGGTGTATTATTATATAAGGATCATTTTGATCTGGAGTCGTGTAATTTGCACTCCGATTTTTCTTAACTTAGGTCGTTTCTAACACTTAAAGCAACCGAAATTTCTCTTAGGCTTAAGTCTTCAAGAGGCGAGGTACGCTACGCATGCCCTAAAAACTAACCATTTTCTTTTGGGCATAAAGGATATTAATTTGGTACAAAAAGAAAAAAAAATTTTAACCACAAGTTAATCGACAGGTCTCAAGGATGACATTTCCAGAAAATATTGAGAAAAAAAAAGATAAAAATCTGTTTCCACTGAGTTTACAACAGGTATCTAATGAGAGCCAATGTCTGGTAAGGGAGAAAAAAATAAGCCATCGTCGTATTCTGTTGAAGATCATTATTTAAAACGTCTCACGGGCTATAAACAATATACATGTATTTCTTGCATTTAACGGCTTTTATCTTTCATGTCTCATCAGTGGGTCGTCTAACATATTTAGATATTTTTATTAGCAATAAATGAGTCACAAAAGGAATTTTTCTGTTTCGTTACTTGTCATCCTAAGTCGCGTCGTACGAAACAGATTTTTTTTTTGCCAACTCGTTTCTCAGCATGCAGCTGAAGAATAACTTGACTTGTTCAATGTGACCAGAACTAACGTCATGCCCGACTATGTCTGAATCCAGCTTGCTTATGTAAATTTCCAGTTACCCGAAAAGAATATAAAAGACGAAGTGAAACAATATACACAAACAAACAAAAAAATTCGTTCTACATTCTAAAGAGTGTTAAACTAACCGGACATAATTCTGAGTGTAGTCATGAATTTTCTCTGTAGGCGAAAAGGAAAAAAAACAAACAAAAAATATCAGGGAACACCGTACATTCGAAGTATAAGCCAATATTTTCGCTTCCTTTCATCTCCCACGGCTACAATCTTATTTTAGCTGAAGTGCTTGCGGTTTTCATTCCAAGTTTCCATAAAAAACTTGTGAGACATCATGGAATAAAAATAAAATTGGGTGCAACTCTTAAACTACATAGTAATACAGTGATCGCCCAAAAAGGAAGAAGTAATTTTCTTCAGAGGGAGAAACTCCATTGGCCGCGCGCAATTTTGGGGTCTGGGACAGTTATTTGACAGTCTCTCGAACTACATACAGAGAACATTAGACAGTAGTGGAGTACGTTTACTATGAAGTGACGTGATGGCGCGAACACGGGGATCCTTGTAAAATTTAATTCATTTTCAGAAACGTGACCTGAATACGGCGTCAACAAAAGTTTGTCATGAACATCGAAGTTAAAACCCGTGGAAATTGACCTCCGCGGACAAGAATGTTTTCTTAAATAAGCCGTGTAGACTGCCATGTCAACAAACGGAAAAAAGTAAATATCTTTTAAGCAAATTAAAGAACTATTCTGTGCACTACGTGTCGCTGGAAAAATATCTAAATTGTCTATTTAGTTTAAAGGAGGATTTATTGTCTTGCTAAAGAGGATATACTTGTGTCAAGACGTACAACTCGGAATTTTTTTTGAAATTTCGATCCCAGCACTCAACAACAAGTTTGCAATTTCACAACAAGACCTTGTCGTGAATTCTTGTTTACTCTTTTGATTTATTTTTGAAGATCCGGAAACAGGGTTACAAAGAGCAACAAAAGAAAACCATTCCCTAAAATCGCAAAATAATTTTGACTGTGTTTGCAAGATGGCAACTTAATTGCATTTGTAGGACAGTAAATTCGGCTCAATAGCTGAGATTATTCGGCCTGTGCAGAAATGGTAGTCATCTGTTATGATACAAAATAAACTACTCTGTGGAGTTTGTTTGAACTTTTAAGCGAATGAAATGACCGGCGAAAGGGATAACAATACGAAACATAGTCAAAAGCCATCATGTTAAGTAAAGCTATGTTGTTCTTGTGAGCTTTAAACAAACACCGCATACACAGGGCGCCATTAACACAAAAAGGAAAATGCTGCGCACAATATCACAAACTGACTTGTCTTTTGTCATAGGAACTTACTCTCCAATCTCTCTTGTGAGCACCAATTGTTAAAGTGACGTGAATATCAGACAAAAGAGGTGCCGAGCGATGCCTTTTGTGAAAATGCTAATATCTTAATTACCCCCTGAAGGACCATTAAGGTAAGCAGTGGAGCATAAAATACTGTATTTAGAAGGATTACAACACGGATTAAGGGATGTTATCTCGTGACCAGCGAAGTAGGTTTCCGTCATCTGACGGCGGTTGGCGCATTCACGGATGTAAATTTAGCTCAAAGCACGTTACAAGGCATTGCAATACGGCGAAGTTGTCATAAGTTATTTGAAGCGTCGCAGTGAAGAGCTTCCTTTGTAAACTCTTAATTCTTGTCAGTGACTTAGAGCACTCTCGCGAAAACAGGTCAACAGCTAACTCTAAAGTGAAGAAAAAGCACTGAAGTGTGTTTAGCAGAAGAATCTGTCATGGAACTGTCTCAAATCGACTCGCCTGGAACCGTTCGAAGATACGCAGACAGACGAAAGAAAGATAAATTGCAGAGATGTAGATCGGTCGGAAACGTGGCATTTCCGAATGGTTTAAACCTTTACAATCACGCCTATCACAATAAAAGGAGGCATACAGTACCCACAGAACAAGAGAGGACACCACCAGCTATTGTCATCGATTGTGCAAAAGACGAACCACAGGATAAACTGAACGAACTCGACATGCTAAATAACAATTACGATGAAGGTCTCTTAAATCCTTCATACGTTTTAGACGCCGCTGTAGCGAGGAATGACTCTCGCCTGCTTCATGGAATTTTAAGCGCTGGACACATTATGTTGGACAATTTAAACGCCAGCGGAGGGACTGCAATGCACGAAGCTGCATTTCAAGGTAAAGTGAAATGTTTGGAAGTGTTTCTGAAGTTTGGCGCTTCGGTAGACATAAGAGATAAAGAGGGATGGACGCCTCTTCACGCCGCTGTCTGCGGAGGTGATATTAGAGCTGTAATTTTCCTTATTAGGAATGGAGCGAGCGTAAAAGCTTACACGAGGGAAGGACTTACACCTGTTGAAATCGCAATGGACAACAAGGACAAGAAAATGGTCCAAGCGCTTTCTCTTCTTAGCACGGGAAACAAGCGCGTTCGAATGTTTGCACAAGAAGCATGACTTTTGAACAACGACATCACTTGTACACTTGTACATACATAATTGCTCTTGTTTTAAATACGTTTACATTCTTCATCACCTGAACAAATGTTAGATATGATCATAATATATATTTCAGCGATAGATTAATCTTATAAGGATTGCTAAAGTTAGAGTCATAGGTAAGTCACTCTACAAAGAGCCAAAGTACAGTTAACATCGCAATAATACCATGCACTCTGCACATGCCTAATTAATATGTATATAACAAAATTTCCCGATTTTTTTTTTTAACTTAAGTAGATTTCTTAGAAGTCTACCAGTAATTCTCTTTTAAGCTGTCACAACAGTTTTTCTTTGATAGCTGAGTCAGAATTACTGAGTTTCGCTGCATAGCCTCAGAACAATAGCATATGACCATGCATGTATAAATTATTGTATCTAAACAGTTCGAACCGCCCTGTACAGCTTAACCCTTGAACCCCCGAGATCTGATTGTTAATTCTCCCCTCTAGCTACGACACATTTCTTTGTAAATTAGTATCGAGAATTTCATAGGTGTAAGATTAAGATAACAACTTCGAACTGATAAGTTTGAGTTTTCTTATCATCCGTTTATTGAATGAGGTGAGGATATTATAGGGAGAAGATACATGTTAATCACTTCTGGGATTTAAAGGGTTACTGGGTTTTCATTTAGGCTTTCATTTGAGGGTCATATACCTAAGGGCTGCCCTATTCTTCTGAGGCATAATGAATCGATTTAGTGTGTTGATTGCAAGGATTGGTCTCTCGCGAGACTTAAATTCTAAAGTTTTTTTCCTTAGCAGAGGACGATATGAGGTGTTTTCTTTTTTGAACGAATCAAATAAAGGCATTGTAAACCTGTAATTATAGAAGTCTGGTACTTGTCCAAAAATTCATAGCTTTAGAAGGCTTTCAAGCTTAAAGGTCGTGTCAAGCGTTCAAAGACTCGTGCAAATTCATGATCAGATGTTTATGTCCTGTATAGGATCAGCGCAGGTTTCTGACGTAGATACGTGGATATATTCGCATGTCTAAAAAACAACTCCTTAAAAGTAAATTTAAATGGGGATAACGGAAGGTTTAAATTAGAACTTCTCGATCTCTCCGTGAAGGAATATAAATGTGTACTTTTTTTTTCTCTGTATTTCAGGAGCTAACATTTATGCAAATACCTGATATAAACAGGAAAAAGGTACAAACAAATTTAGCGACTCTGTAGCTATATACAGCCAAAAAAAAAAGTCATAGGTGTTCGTAAATGATAAAACGTAAAACGTACAGATTGACAATAGTTTTTCACGGCGTGCTTGAATTGTGATTGGCATTTATTCAAATGATTGTTGGAGTTTAGGTGGTCTGAAATACAAATAAAATGAATAACTGAATAAAATTCATGATCGGATGGTTATGTCCTGTATAGGATCAGCGCAGGTTTCTGACGTAGATACGTAGATATATTCGCATGTCTAAAAAACAACTCCTTAAAAGTAAATTTTGATAAGGATACCGGGAAGTTTAAATTAGAACTTCTCGATCTCTCTGTGAATGAATATAAATGTGTACTTTTTTCTCTATATTTCAGAAAAAGGATACACACAAATTCAGGGACTCTAGCTATATACCGCCAAAAAAAAGTCATACGAGTTCGTAAATGATAAAATGTAAAGTGTACAGGTCGACAATAATTTTTCACAGCGTGCTTGACTTGTTGCTAGCATTTATTCAAATGATTGTTGGTGTTTCGGTGGTCTGAAAAACAAATAAAATGAACTGCCAGTCTTTCGTGAGTTTATGCGTTTGTATTTCCGCGAGCTATCATTCCACGTCTCACCACAAAGCCTTTACGTGGGGGCACCGGTTATGAAATCGATGAACCTTAACCGTCACACTCCGATACTAAAATTCTCATAGGTGGTCACACAGATTCCTTTAATGATACTTCTGAGAATTTAGTTATACATCAGTTCGTCCTAGTCTGTAATATTGTCATAACACCTTTCTTTTTCTTTTCCACAACGTATTAAGCCACGAAGATTAGAAAATAATATCATATAATGCTCTCTTCACTGGACGTAAGAGGCTTATCAGATCAGTAAGCGATATCGTGGTGTCGTCATAAGTAAGACTCAAACAAATTAACCCCATATTATTAAATTTTGACCAAGTGAAGTAAATATCTGTTAATCCGCCACATTAACGTATTTCGTTGCTCTCCTAATGCAATATTTCACATTTTCCCCTATCCATGATATCTCATGCCACTGTAGTCACAGCACCTTTAAATGTTTATTTTATGTATAAAGCCGTTAGGGTTTATTTCTAATCAAAATATTTTTACCTCAAAAGAAAAGTCAAGAGTACTTTATTGTGCGACATTTTTGCCCCGGTGACACTCTTCACTCGCTGTCAAGATTCATAAAACCTTTCGTGACCATCAAATCCATTTTTTAATTAACTAATATTAACTTTACGTAAGAGTAAATCCATCGTTTTATCTTCCTCAATAGTAAACTTTGTCCTGTTTACTGTGCTAAAATCTCAGTACCATAAATATTACTCTTTTTCCTCTTGAACTTAAGCTTTGTTTTTTCAATTCTATCGTAGAACAAATGCAATTTAATTAAAAGGCATGGGATGAGTTTCAATCATTTATACCCTTCTTTACTTCATGATTGTCTTTCTTAAAACTGAGCGTTGTAAATGGTTTATGAAATAAAATGAATTAATAGATAAATAAATTTAAAAAATGAACTAAAAGCCTCGATTGTTTTAACTTTAAGCTGAGATTTTTAATCGGTTTAAATTTCCATCCTTATTACAACCAATGCTTCTCGACTCGTGATCTTAGCCCATTTACAAGTTAGTAATGATCATGGTCCACATGTATTTTTTAAATACAGACTTAAAAACGGCTGTTAACACTAACTAACATTTTGATTGTAAACTTAAAAGTTGCGACTACCTCATTTTTATTGGCCGTACTTGAATTTCTTCACACACAGAAAAAATCGGAATGTCTTCACAAAAAGCAACCTATTCCTGGCTGAAGCATTTAAAAAATTGTGTCTGATTAGCGTCCGTATCTAGGACAGCTGATCAGGAGAAACTAAGGTAGAATTATTCACGTTTTTGTTAAAAACTAGCCTTCCTGGAACAATACGTTGTCATGCAATGCAAGTTCTTCTAAACGGACCCAAATGAATTGACAAACTTCTAAAGGGCGCTCAATGGATAAAAGAAATCAGGGTTGCTCCAAGGGTCTTAAAAGCTTAGTTACCTACTGAAAGATGTACGTATGGCTTGTAGGATGAATATTACGGCTGTGTGGAAAAGCTAATAGTGTCTATTTGTAAGGCTGTTCCTTCAGAGACTTTTAAGCGAATTGTTTGCAAACAACAATTTGAATAGACACTCTTGAGATGTTGTAAAGCTGTAGCCTGACAGAGAATCAAAATCGAAACTCTGCTATTAAAAAAAAAGTGCTCAAAACTTGGGCAAGTTTTTGACATAATCTTGCTTTGCGTTTTTCATTACAATAGGATATCTATCATGTGTTGTTTGACAGATTATGAGAATTCTGATATATTTAATTTTTCAAAATGTTAATGTTTCATCCGAGGGTAGTTTAGGCATTGATCCACCTTAGCACTGAAATAAAAGCCAAGTCATAATTAATGTGCGCTTACAAAAATCTTTAACCGGAACGACCGGAAGAAACTTCTAGAACCTCTGGTGGTGGGTTGCTGGCAGATGAATTTGTTTGTTTCCAAGCTTCCGACAGTTTTGTTTCGATACGAAGAGTACTTAATGAGTACAAAGAGCGATTCGAAATTGCGAAATTCACTTTGAGCGGATTAACAATGTTTCATGCTGGTCAGTCACACACAGGAGGTGATAACTTTGATTGCTCTCAATGGTGCGTCATTGTTACTCAGACTTGATGGGAAAAAAGGCACGCGATGTTGTGTTTACTCATAAAATATCCTCATCAACTTGATTTACATATGTAATCTCTCTCTTAAAAGTTTCAACTTGAAATTATTAGTCATAGAATTCCTTTGTGTGCCAGTGTTGACTTCCTTTTTCAATTTCTCGGTTCCTCTGTTCCCACGACCTGATGCTTTGTCATGAAACGCCCGCAAATATTGTTGTGGATACAGTTATTGTCACAGACTTATTACGACTATTTAGAGTCATTAATTCACTCTTTCAATTATAACGTAAGAGTGAATATGACGATATCCTCAGGCACTCTCTAACATTTGACGTCAAATTATGGTTGATTGATTAATGTTAGAATGGTTCATTGCGCGTCATGGCAGAAAGGCAGAGTGGTAACCCTTCCACTCCAAAGGTCTTTAATACTAATTCTATACATTTCTTTTAATTTTAGCTTTGAGAATTTGATGTCAAATTAAACAATATCCTGCATTTAATATTTTTCTCTTCAATTCGTCACCTTTCTACCAGAAAATATATGAATATTGTATGGAAATGTTCCTTTTGCTTACTTCTTGGGGTAAAATGGTTGAAGGAGCCAGGTCTCGGCATTTTGAATTCACTCTCATCGTTATTTTCACAAAACTGGCATTAGCAGCCCTCAAACTAGCCAATCAGAATATACCTTTCCTCCACATGTCCTCCCTTAAGTAAAAATAAGGGTAGTCTAATTGGAGAAAGAAACATTTGGACGAATTAACCGTAAAGGAACCAAGAATTGTAAGGATGGAAAAGATTTACACGGATTATCAATTTAAAAAACTTGAAAAAATCTAGTCCACGTTTTTCAAGATGGAGAACTCGCGTTGTGAGACCTTTAAGTCTGCCATTACTTCGTGACAATTCTCCTCCTGCGCGAGTGTGGGTGAGGTAGTAAATTTGCAAAGTTATGATCTTAAGCTTAATGACAATATTCATGTTAAACTTGAGTTTCTCTGTCGATCTAACGCAGCACGACGCATCAACGGCAACATATAGGCTTTCCAACTGGCTTTAAAAATTTTTTTTTATATATAGTTTCTAGTTTTGATTCACAGAAGTGATTTGAAGTGGACTTCATTAGTGTATTGATGTGACCAAGATCGATGAGGAATATATTCAATTGATTCCATTAACAGTGTTGGTAAAAGTACCAAGGTGTGACCTTATTAACACTATATTTGTAGTGTTGCCCATGAACCAATTCACGTGGGAAGATCCTGAGGCATATGTATACGTGTTGATTTATCAAAATACACAAACCTATGTCAAATACACAACTTAAAATCTGACCTTAGGACACTAATAGGGGATCTACCGACGCACTTGTAAAAGCAAATGGCTTAACACCGCATGATGATCATTCCTGCACATGAGTGAGCCACAAGCATAACAAGAACAGACAGACATAATCGTCATGACAAAAGAGAGCTTCATTACTACAATTTCGATGCAAAACACTTTCACTGTAAGTCGCTACTCACTAGGAAACATAACAAACGTCCATACTGGTGAACGCACGAAAATTGCCTGGTATTTTCCATCCCTACACCAATGCACGGCTGAATGTTTTTACCTGAGACACAAAGTAATCTTACATTTTTTTCCGATTTCGGCAAATCAGTAGCGTTTACATACAAAAAAGTATTCCTTTTTTTGATTTCATGAAACAGTTATTTCCGATGATCGTATAGTGGGCTAGGTGACAATCTATGTATTATTTATGTGAATAAAATCTCCTGTTTTCACGCCATTGACGTGCAGAAAAGGGTTTGTTCATGTTTTGTAAAATCGTTCGCCATTTAAATCGCGACAGATAGTGAAACTAATACTTTAGAAGACAACATAATGCATTTAGAGCTAGGAACTAGATTCAAGTTAGCAAAGACCGCTAATCCAAATGGCAGGTACTCAGCGGGTGGTAGTTGAGGAACTTTTGCATCTGTCCAAAACACGTAAGCGTGAAATTACATCACAAAACAATAGCAACTACATACCAATTGTCTCAATTAATTCATTTTTGTGTGAAACTGTTGGTGTAAGAATGGCGGAAAGCTTGGAGGGCGCCCTGGTAAATCCAAGTTTCGGCCAACTGATAACAGGCGGAATCTCTTCTCTTAAAGAAATTATACAAAAAGTGGAACTTCCCTTGCAACAAGCTTTTATATCGGGACTTGTTTTGGGGTTGAAAGAGTTTTTGAATAAGTTGGTTTTCAAGTGCCCTGAACGTTACCATAAATTGTATAGTATGTTGTTCATATTTGCCCCAGTGGTGGTATTCTTCTGTTTCGCGCTGATAATCTCAAGATCATTCTGGAAGATGGTGGCAGGGTGCTGTCGCCTTCCTAGAAATCTTCGTCGAGTAATCTGGCAACGCTCGAGAAGATTTGTGTATCTCAGTACCCTTCCACCAGTAGTATGGCTTCTATTTGTTCTGTTTGATACAAAGTATTACGTCTGTGCAAAGCTGGGTTCATTAGAGACTCGACTTAACAAAACTACGCCAGATGAACATCCTGAAATCTTAAGCGAGTTCGAAGCTGCTAACACAGAGTCCCAGGTCATTGGATTTATTATGCTGTCGATCACGATGCTTTTTGCAACGATATCAATCTCCGTCGATCGATGTTGTTCCAAGTCCGACACAGCAATCAAAGATCAACAGGAATATGAACATTATCTGGCCGAAGAAGAAATCAGGTTGTTTAACCAAAAGGTGGAACCTTTAGCAAAAGAACAAGCTAAGGTACACGTCGAAGCTTTGTTTGAGAAATACAGAGAGACAGGCGACAATAAGGAGATGATACGTCAGATATCAAAACACATAGAAGAGGAATTCCCTTGGGCGCCAACCTTCCAATCTTAAATTGGTATACAATGTAAAATCATGTTAACTTTGATATTCGTGATATCGACCTTACAATCAGGGGCAACCTTTACCAAGAACAACTAATTCAACGCCAAAATTCTTACCAGCGAAAGATCACCCGTGGCCACGAGGCATCCAAATGAAGCGCTTTATTCATAGCTCCGCCTAAATTAACATTGAACTCTCGCGACTTTCGCAGCAGTACTGCGATCTGTATTCATAGATCGCGTTTCTCAAGTCCTCACTCGAACATAACTAGTGCTTGTTTTCGCCAAAGGAAGGTTTTCAGGGCAAGCAACATCAAAATAAAGGAAAATAACCACGCTTTCGCAATTTCAAGTTTTTCCCGTCCATATTTCGAAAACAGCCGAGCTTTCGAACTGCGCGTTATTTCATGACGTCTTGTCTGTAACATTGCGCTTTCGTACTTTTTGTGACGTCATATTATGTTCGTTCGTAAAAAGTTTTTTATGTTAACATCACATCAAGAAATAGTGCATAACCCGAACATGCCTAAAACGCCTTTTTGGAGAAGCTCAGCTTTTTTCTCTCTATAGGACAGGTGGTTAAAAAACCTTCCCTCTAGTGCGATCACAGGGGAAAAAGCTCGGAGAGCTCAGGAAGCTATTTTCATGCTCACCTCGACGACAGACACAGAAAAGGACCTATTAATTATCCACATTCGCAAGCAATAATAACTCAGTTATCCACATCCGCAAGCAATAATAACTCAGACCGTGATTTTAATACAATGATATAACTTGCTTTCGATAAGAAAAAAGAAAAAAACTTCCCGCCTTGAACTGTAATATCTTTCTCTTAATCACCATATGGTTATCATTTTCCTTCCACAAATGTAGATGCTTTCTGTTTCGTCAAGTAAATTCTACTGGAAATAACTCCTCCTTAGTAATCTGTGTTTTCGGTTTTGAGGTATATTTTGTGTACGGACGGTAATGACTCTTAGTCCCCTGATTCAGGAATCAATTATGGTTATTTTTAGGTATTTGTGAAAACGAAAATGTCTGAGACGATCAACAGTCATCCCTTTACAGAGGAAAAAGAGATCAGTTTCAAGAGGTCAAGTAACACTATTTCGGGTCATTTTGTCATTGTACCATTTGGTCCAAAATGGAAAAATCAATATCAGATGAGATGACCGATTTACATCCATAAACAAACTAATGTAAAATTTTAGAACAATTAGTAGAGAAACATGGGTTAACTTTAACACGGGCTCTCAGGTTTTAGCGTTGGAAACGCACGATTTGTTCAGACAGTCTCGGTTTTTTGGATTTTTCAACTGCGCCTCTCTATTTGTTTGTTTTCTCAAAAAGTTCAAGATAAACGATTTCACGAAACAAGCTTATTATGTTGATATTTTAAATTGATGTAATCTGAACAGCTGATCGGTCTCAAAAAAGCAAAGTAGAACGGTCAATTTTCAATAACGGATATTCTACACTCACGTATTCGTTCAAAACCTTTCCTCCTAACTCTCATTCATTGTTTTATTTCTATTTTATCCATCAACAAACATGTTTTAGCGAAAAGGGACATAAATGTAGCTTAGGGAAGTGGCAAAGAGACTTTCGTTTTCATGTCAGGGACTTTCGGTGACTGACGTCAAAGTCTGTTTGCGATCGTGGGGAGTTGGGTGGGGCATCTTTTTCTTTCTTTGTTTCACATCCGGTTGGAACATGACCTTGCTTAAACAAAGAACTCTTTTCAAACTGACCGAAACTGAAAGTTTCAAAACCTTTCGAAACACTCGCAATATAAATCAACTTTCGCTCGTAGTGTTTGTATTCATTAAGTTAGCGTCTTTCTGTTGACAACGCAGTTTCGTCTGAATCCTTAATTTCGCCTCGTCTTCTCAGATAACATGAACACCGTCCTTCCCTCCTTTACAGGACTATTCAAAAGGTCTCGTCGATCACTGATGTACGGTTCTATAGCAGCTGTGACGATTGGCCTGGAGGGGTTCTTTGAAAGTATCGTGTTTAGCTGTCCTTGTGAAGGACACTTCGCTTACGGACTGGCTTTTTTGTGGGCGCCGGCCGTTCTCCTGTTTCTCATTGGAATCCTGGTAGATAGAGACTTATGGAGGCATTCGAGAAGGAATTCTGTCACAAAGAAGGAAACCAAGCCTTTCACCCGCCGCCATCTCAAAGCGCTCTTAACGATAATTGATGTATTAGTGCGAGCATCCATCGCTCCAGTCGCTTGGTTGATTTTGTCCTTTCTACAGCAGCAATACTATACATGCGCGTTTTTCGGTCCTCCTCTGACCAGTGGATTCACCGCGAGAAATACAACCGAAAAATGCTCTTTTAAACTCGACTTACGCACTAGGTTGCAAGAGGAGCACTACAAAACCCGTAGCCAAATAGCAGGATGGTCTCTAATGCTGGTAGCCATGTCTGTTCTCTTCACCACAATCTGTATTCGTCGATGCGTTCGGAAGGGAAAACATCTTAAAATACCAAGTCTTGATTATTATCACCATGTTGAAGCAAAAGAGGCTTTGGAGCATTATCACAATGAAGCGAAAGAACTTGCCAAAAAGAAAGCAAAGAAGGGGATAGACGAGCTATTTAAAAAGACAGAAACGAAAGAATTTAATTCCCGTCTCCAAAACATTGCAAAAGAAATCCAAGATACATATGGGTGTTTTTTTATCATACCGCCAGAGAGTCCCACTTACACCTCCCCCTCGACTGCACCAAAGGACTCTCCTGAATTTCCTTCGCATGCCTCGCCTACTGTGAACCACAGTCTTGTATCAGATGGATCTGAAGTGAAAAACGAAGGAGAAAAACATGGTCTGTCGTCTGCTACCAACACACCGCGTTTATCCCCCACTTGTCAGACGGCGTATATAAGTTACAAAGGGCACACGAAGCCAGCATTCAACAGACAAAACGCCAGTAGTAGAAGCCAGAAGGAAACAGTGTCCGAAGCCGCTCTTTGAGAAGTCACTCAACTCTTAGGAGAGGGGAAGGGGAGCGTTGCGTGACACTTCGACATAACGCTGTGGAGGAGACTAAGAGCAAATATTGTCACTCATAATTTAATTCTCTTCCGGTTGATGCAATCGACGAGTCGAAGATTTTGCGAAGAAAAGTTAAACCGCTAAATTCCGACAATTTAATTTTAACAGTGTAATATGCATGTAAATAGATACAGAAATGACGGGATGTACGGAAAGATAAAGAGAGATGGTGGACCAAAACACTCAAAGCCTTGACTCAAAGCTGAAAGTATTTTTCAAATTGTGTTTCGTCTATTTATAGAAGCACATGGATTCACCGAAATTGCGAACTGATCCAAAGGCAAAACGAAAAAGTAAAAAAAAATCTCAACTTTCCTTTATATTCGTCTTTGAAAAAGCATATTTAACGATAAATCTAAAAATAACAAGGTGACGGTATGATGTTGTTCTTTAGCTCTCCTACTTTCAAGATCTCAATATCAACTCTCCATACCGTCTATCGTACATTTATTGTATTTTGAGTGCTAAGAATTTGGTGTTAAACCAAACAATACTCCCCAGTTAATATTTTTCTTTCACGTTGAAAGGATGAAAGGATTAATTTCCCTTTGTTGACTCCTTAGAGTAAAACAGAATTTAAGTCACTCTTCATAAACTATTCAGGCAAAATGATTCTATTTACATCTTCCAGTTAGGGTTAACACTTTGTTAATAAACTTGAACATTGTAGTAAATCTACTTTGCGTTCAACACCGTCATTTTGTTATAATATTTCCACGGATTGAGCGGCCAGTCGTGTAAAAACAATTGCATTAGTAACTTGTCCTTTCCAGTGCCGGATTCTTTTCTGACCCTGTTTCATCATCTTTTTCACCGTCTTCAACCAAATACTCTGAATAGCAGACTTCCTATCATACAACGGGTCAGCTTTTTTCACACATACAATAAAGAGTTGAGACGCTTGTGACAGCTGAAATGGCAATTCGGGACACTTTCAATTCTGCGTTAAAAGCAATCGGGGATTGCCTTTTTGTTTGTGTCTTTTTTGGGGGTTTAATTTTCTTTTTCAGAACGCTCTGTGATTGGACTAGAAAGCCCTTGCCACCCAATCAATTAATAACATACAAAACTAAAAACGCTTACTTTTCAGTGACTTTCATTTTCCCGCTCTTCATAAAGTTTGCTTGTTTCTTCTATGATTTTTCATCGCATCCTTGCGAAATTTTCCCTTCATATGTTTGGTTGTGGCGATTACTGTTGTTTTGGGTTTACAAAACTTAACCATAGCGTCTCTTCATGGGAAAAATATTTCAAATGATTAACATTCAGGAAACTCAGCCAAAATTTGTTCAGCCCTAGAACAATCCCAGCCTCTTCCTTTAAAACAGTCCTGTACAATGTTCATAAACTTTTGAAGAAGTCGCCTTCCATTTGATACAGAATTAAAGTTCCCTGAACAATTTTCATCCGCATCGCTCGACTCTTTCACAGACTGATCTGTAGTTGTTTCCTTTACAATCTTCCAATGCCAATAACACAGTTCACCAGAGTACATAAGAGCGAGGAGGTGAGTATCACTAAAGATACCTGAGATCAAAATAAAAACCTTTCAATAGAAGCTTCCAAACATTTTGGAAGTTTGGGTTTATTTAAATGTTTACAATATAAGTACAACACACATGCGCCAACCGTCTTGACCTGAAAATTACCTTAATCGTTGGCTCTTTGCATTGAGTAGCTCTTAAAGGAACCTTTTCGTATTGGTTGTCCTTAAAAGAACAGTTTCACGGTTGAGAATATAAAGCTCCGTTCAGATGAGAACAAGCATTTTAGGAGCAGCCTAGCGGTTTTTTTGTTTTCTCGTAGTCTTCCCACAGAAAGAGACCCCTTACTGTATTTGTATGTAGTTACTTGGGCGAGATCGTTTTGGAACGGGATAGAATAATACCGAATTTTTTCCGAATGCTTAAAGTTCAAAAATATAAAGTGCTATATATGTTTGGGCGAATTCGTTGTGGTGGAGTTAACTTTCATATGGAGAGTGGGGTTAGGGTTAGGGTTAGGGTTAGGGTTAGGGTTAGAAATTAAGAGACAGTAAATAAATTCAAACGATCACCTTCTTTCAGAAGCTGCATCATGTCTTCATTCTTTGCTGAAACATCTGTCATCGCATCCATCATCAGCGGTGAACGAACACATAACATGGCCTCCAGATATTTGACTCCTGACTCGGCACACTGCAGGGGAGAAGACAGCAAGTAGATATTTGGGAGAAAACAATTATCTCTGCTAAATAAAGTTTTGCGAACGTAGACTAACATAGAAGACTGAAAGGATCAAAGGGTAACGAATCAAGGTGCGAGGTTTGTGCATTTAGTTGCCTTTGAGGAGAAAAGAGCTTTGAGTATTGATTAAAAAAAACCAACGAACAACAAAACAAATAAAACAATTTAAAACAATCAGATGATACCTGTCTGATATGCGTTGTATCAAGCTGCCTTCTTTGTGGATCATTAAACAACGTATGGCAGTACATGTAGAACAGAGCTCCACGCCTCCAAAACAAGCATTCTAGTATATCTGAGCCTAGAATTTGTCCAGACTGTGGATAAATTAGAAGCCACACTCCTCAATAACTATATGAAGCACAAAATTATGGACAAACCTCTTAAGCCTTTTTGCCCACTCATTTCACCTCTCATTCATTTCTATCTACATTTACATTAGCCAGACCATACATCCAAATCAGACTTCACTGATTCCTCTACTCAACCAGAAATCAACCTTCCTTGTCCTAGCTTACTTGTTCTTGATTTTCCTTTCTAAACTGGGTAGAACCAAAAGCCTCATCTGTATCACTTGTCAAGCAGTTACCTATCACAGCAGCACACTGTACCTCCCCAACATCTTGAACCAATCCTCAGTCTCCTCATTTGATCAGTGATTTCACTCACTTACCCTCATCTTCACTTCTGTCTACGTTCCCCTTAAACTCCACACTATATTATCCCTTCTCCTCCCCTCTTTCTCTCTTTATCCACAAGTTTAATTATTTTTCATGAATGATTCACTAGTTACTTACTTTGTACTCTGATCCAAGCATTTCTTTCACCAGCTCCTCAGGCTGGTCCAATTGGCCTTTATAATGAAAAAGAAAAACTAAAGATTTATCGCACTTTCTCTGAGATGACAGAAATAATGATACATACAAACCCATCATCATTCCCCCTCTTACCCTGAGACCCCTTTTCCAACTTTCAGTCCCACAAGTGACCACTAAGTAATTTCTCCTTACAATTTCAAACATTTTGTCAAGCAGAATGTTGATGAGAAGAAAGAAAAGCACCAGTTAAAAAAACACTTTTTGATCTAATGCTTTAACTTCCAGATCAAATTTTTAGTTCTCCTTAGTGTTGACCATACAATTCTTATAAAGTTAGTTCAGAGAATTTAGTATTGAATCAGCTAATTACCCCCTAATTGATATATTTCTTTATTCTCATCACTTATCTGGTTGATATTGTATTCATATTGTAAGGAGAAATTCTGTCTTGGTCACTCATGAAAGTTAAAGGGTTAACACCAATTTCTCCAAGATTAAGTTACAAGAAATGTACGGCAAACAGTGAGAGGAAAACATTTTGAGATCTTTATGAGTGAAAAGATTAACTCCTTCTTCCACAACTTGAGACTTCACCCCAATCTTCATCGCTGCTTCCATTGTTCTTAAGTAGCCATCCTTGAAAAAAAAATTTAATCCAAAAAAAGATTGCAGTACCAATTAAATGCCTTATGTCTCCTTTACATCTGTCTTCTGGGAAATCCGCATTTACCAGTCTACACTCCAGAACATATGTTTCGTCAAGAAGAGCCTGAAATCAAATTACTTATCTCACAATTTCATCCAAGCTCCTCTTATAGAAACATTATTTAATGCTGTTGTTTAGAAAAGTTTAAAAGATGATAAAAAATTTTAGTCACCTAATCTTTAAGTAAAAGAAATATTGATCTGAACTTGTCAAAAGTATTATTTTTTTATTGTCCTTAAATACCTTCATTGTCACTGTCATTTCCTCATTATTCGAATCCTATTGCACATTATGTTCAATTCTTATGCAAGATGAATAAAAATTAAGAATACACTGTTATAACAAAATTTACATCAATACAGAATAGCAACATACCTGTGAGTAATGTTGGAGAACTTTGAAAAGTACTGCCTTTTTCCCAGCTGCAGCTTGACTGTAAATTAGAAGAAGATTTGATTTTCCTTTCAATGTACATTCGATGTTTCTATTACGAAAAAGCTGTACTGTCAAAAGAATCTCCAGGTGCCCAAAGATTCTTTTCTAAGAAATATTAGGTGCCTAGCACATCAGGGGTTTCATACAAGTTGCATAAAAAATGGTTGCATGTCACACTCAGGCTTTGCTATGACACAGCTCTGTAGATGGACACATTCTAAATCAAAACCTGTATTAGGCAGACAGCATAATGAGGAATTTTATAATAGTTTTTGTTTTCAAGGCTTTCTATCAGCATGAAGTAAAATATTGCTTTGATGAACCACACAATGCTCTTGAAGGTCATTTTTCTTATGTTTTTTAATGAAAACAAAACATATTTCAGATGAAACATCATCCAACATCAGTTGTATAATGAGAAATGATGCAATATGAAATTACGCAATAAATATTTTAACAAAGTGAGATGTTATCACATTCTGACATTTGATTTTTGCTTTATCTACCCAAGGACACTATATAAAGGGATCCTGATTACACATTCTCTCCGACTCTGGATTTAACAATCAATCTACATTGCACAGTACTGAGCAGACTTATTTTCTTAGGCAAGCACAAGTGAGAGTCCCACAGATGTCTGCTTAACACAAGTTTCACTGTAGATTTTACATATTATCCAGAATTTCATCATCATGCTTACCCTGTTTCCAGGAGTTGAAGGCACATTTTGCACTTGGCCTCTGCTTTTTCTAATAAATCTAACTCACCAGCTTCTGCAAATACAACATAAATTATATAAATTATTCCCCTGTTTGATAAAGGCGCTGGTAACCTATAGCGGCAAGGTGACAGGCGTCACGAATCATGCCTTGGATCGATGCATGTTCCACGTTATGAACAAAAAAGTGCAAAGACTGACCTGATGTACTCTGTCGGATTTTAATGCATTCTTCATGAAGTGAATTAACTTTTCCTATTAGAGTTACGATAGCAGGATCGACAACTGATTCGCTCTCTGATGTCTCGTTCGCCTCGTCCGCCATATTTCGATTCTTGATGAGCCTGCACGTAAACAGTAAGCTTGCTCCATTTGGGTACGTCAAGTAAGCACCTGATTGTGTGTTATCAACAACTTCATACCGATATGGCGGCCGCGGTGGAATTTGGCGATCAGATTTTACAAGTGATCGGCAATCACGAGAAAGATTCCTTCTCGGTCTTCCAGGAGATGAGAAAGCTCGATGAACTATGTGACATCACACTCAGAGTGAACAGAAGGGAAATACGCGCTCATCGAGTTGTTCTGGCAGCTTGTAGTTCGTACTTTCGTGCCATGTTGACCACGGGGTTCCTCGAGAGCAACCTAGGCACGATATCTTTGCAGGATTGCGACGAAACCGCTGTTGAACAACTTGTAGACTTTCTGTACACATGCAAAATGAATCTCAACGAATCAAACGTGGAAAATATCCTTGCAGTGGCGAGCTTATTTCAAATCCAGCTTGTCGTTCAGAAATGTGCAGATTTCCTGGGAACCCTAATTAGGATTGAAAACTGCCTCGGTATTCAGTCGCTGGCGATGCAGTATTCATTGGGAAATCTTGAGTCTAAAGTGAGGAGTTTCATCAGTTGGAATTTCTTAGAAGTGTCGCGGGAGAGTGAATTCGTATTGATTCCTCCTCAGCAACTCAGTAAGATCGTGGAAAGTGATCGCTTGCATGTTAAGATGGAGGAGGACGTGTTTGAGGCTGTTATCAGGTGGTATAAGCATGACAGAGGAGAGAGGATAAAACATTCCGTAAGTTAATTTGTTAAATGTATGCAATATCAATTCTGTGCGAAATTTCTGCCGATCTTCAAACCCTTTAGTAACATTCTGTAGATGAGTCGAACGGAAAGGGGGACGGCCCATGAACGGGGAACCATACTCCCGACAAAGGGCCTGAGTAGCCGGAGATTTTCCTCTCGTGCATCGTTAAGAGACATGAAGTTTTCCATTTGCTTAAGATACCGATCCAACTTAGGTGACCCTCCCAAAATCTCCACATGTTTCCTTGACAATTTCCCGGAACCCTTTTAATCCCCATAGGCGAAAAGGGCCACTGTGAGAGTTTTACGGAAGAACAAAGCATAACGACTCAGCCAGGGCTTGAATCTAGAGCTATCGATCCGTTGCCTTGTGTACTAACCACTAAGCTTATGCATCTGCATACTAATTAGGAGTCTTGTTGGATACTATTGCAATTCCTCACATTTCTTATTTCATTTGACCCATTTCAGTTAGAAAATGACTTTGTCTCATTAATTTTCTGCAGGAGATTTTCGAGTTAGTTCGTTTTCCTTGCATGACCACAGAATATTTGGAAAACGTTGTCTTAAAAAATGAGCTTGTTCTTGGTGAAGAGAATTGGAAGAAGTTCGTAGAGGGTGCCATAACTCTTTTGACTTCTCCACTGAGTGTCAAGAAGAGGGCAGTGACGAGACGAAAATCACCTAATGTACTATACCTGATTGGTGAGTTGTCCTGCAGGATTGAAACATTTGACTTAGAAAGTGGAAGCTGCACGCCCGCAAGTGATATGGCGCAAACTGCAGGATGCGCGGTGGCTGTCAACGAAGACCTGTATGTTGTGCTAGGAGGGGGTACACGCATTGAAAAATACGACCCCAAGCTGAATGCTTGGGTCCAAGTTGGCAATGGGATCAAAGAGAGCGATTTTGATGTATGTGAGAGCATGGGCTCGATTTATGTGGTAGGAGGTGGAAAGCGCGCGAAAAGCTTCAACATTGCTACGCGCGCATGGAGTAAACTTCCAAACATGAGCATGCGTAGAAGCTTTCACAGAGCTGTTGGACTCCTAGGAAAGGTTTACGCTATTGGTGGAAATACACCCCCAGGGGACAAAACTGTAGCCTCGGTTGAATGTTATAATCCTGCGAGTAACCGTTGGGAATCGGTCGAGCCTATGAACACGGAACGCTTTCGACACGGGGTTGCTGTAGTGAGAAGTAAAATTTACGTCGTTGGCGGATTTGATGTGCGAAAAAGTAGTCTCAAATCAGCAGAAGTGTTTGATCCAGTGGTAAATACTTGGAGTTTTATTGCTCCGATGAATTATCCACACCGTGATTTCGGTGTAGGAGTCACTCACGATATGATGTTTGTCTTTGGAGGTTCAGGCACAAATTGTATTGAGAGTTACGATAGAAACACTGATGATTGGAATGTGGTTGGGAGTCTGGCGACGAGGTGGAATACTTTCCGTTGCGTACTGTGCCCTTTATTTCAATTTTAAAGAAAAAAGTTAAATTCTAACCATTATTATCGTGCTAGTTGAAATCATGAACAAACTTATTTTCTTTTTACCGTGGACTGGAAAAGCATTTTTTCAACATTTGCCTGACAAGCCATTTTTTCAAGTCGAAGTTTGAAGATTCCTTCGCCCATGTGGCCTGTAAAAACGAGTGTTAATTCTAACTATAGTTGGTTAAAAAAAAAAGGTACTTACGGCCCTGTCTTGAAACTGTCGAACTTTGAATACTGAATATTGAAGTTTTTCCTTTGAGGTTGCAATGTTGTCTCTTGCGAGAAGCTACTGAAGTGCAACTACCCTGCAAAAAGCGATGCCGAAAGCATCATTTGTCATGTGATGGCGCAATTAAGTTTATGTCACACTGATAGTGTTGTGTGCACTTTAATAACAAAAAAGCGAGTCCTGGAAACTGTTCGTATAGCTAACTCAAACTTGTGTATCTACGAAATTATTATTGTTTCATTTCTTGCAATAAAATCCTTAATAAATTCTGTGTTTTTCTCATATGGATTGTGAGGGTGGTTATCTAAAGGTAAGATTATCAAATTCCGTAGGGTTCGTTGCGTCATCGAAGTCGCCAGGATAGGAGAAGGTTAAAAGGGGAAAGGTTGTATAACTCCGTATAACCCTTTAACTCCCGTGGGTGACCAAGACAGAATTTCTCCCTACTACAGCTATATAATATCGTGCGGACAAGTGATGGGAATAAAGAAAAATATCAATTATGAGATTACTAATTGATCCGATACCAAATTCTCCAAACTAAAATGATGAGAATCGTTTGGCAGATAGTAAGGAGAATTACTGATGAGATCTTGAAGTAAAAGGGTTAAAAAGAGTGCCTTTTTTCCAAAGATATTGTGAAATTGCAAAATCAAACCAATTACAACGGATAACCAGATCAGAAGAACCAATGACAAATGAGATTAATTACGCTACACTGGCCTCAAGAACATTTACACACAAGTGAGCGATTCGGGATTGGTTTTGAAAAGTTTAGTTTAGAACAGCTTGACGTCTGATTGGCTGCGTGTGAGGCTTTAGTGTTGGTCATGTCCGATGTGCAGTGTATATCACTGGCTGAGTGGGTTATTTAATCTACACAGCCATATAGGTGATGTTTAATGCCAACCAATGAAAACCATTTAGTACAAAAGACCTGGTTTAAATCGTGATTGCTGTTTCTAAGGTTACAATAAAAAAGGCTGAGAGACTTAAAACAGGATTGAAAACAGGATTACTGATAGCGTCCCTCTGTTTAAAAAAGCCTTCTAAACTTTAAAACCAATAAAAACTTGAGGTAGTGACACCTTTAACACTAAAAGCAGCTGACGATACTGGCCAACGTGCAAACTCAATAGAACATTGCTAAACCCTGAGGTTTCAGTTGCCCTTCTCGTCACTTTCAAGAAATTAAACTTAATTGTTTCAATTGTTAATAAATGCGAAGGCCATAAGAAGTGTTAGCAACACAAGCCTCAAGCAGAGGTGATGCAGCACTTTTCCGGCGGTGGTTTGTCCCTCTCTAAGAACGTCTTTGACATTTTCAATTGAGCCGTTGTTTGGACGTGGGTTTATTCCAAGAAGTTTGCTCATCAGGGGGTACAGATCCACGGTGTTGAAAGGGTTCACCACTACACCTTCCCTGAAAGCGGGACCGCGGGCGTAAAATATTGAGTAGCTTTTTGATTGGTCAGGTGGCCAGCCATGTGACCCTTGGTCTTGTAAAGTATCGTTTCGAGAACGTGTTACCACCCAACCAACTTCAGTTTCGATAAAGATCAGAGGAATTCGACGATTATTCTTCCAGTGATACTCATCGGGTATTTCCTCTTTTTTGTAAACTCCACGGACATGAGGTATTGAATTTCTTGTAAGGTTTTGGTAAATGATGTCTGTCATTCCTAGCTTAGGCCAGATGTGGGCTGGTACAGACCCCGTATGTAGCACTGTGTAACTCGAGGGATCGATGTAATCATCTAAGTACACTCGACGACTCGCGGGAGTGTTATCTATTCCGTGATCGCTAATGACTATCAAGTTCACCTTTTGCAGAAAATCGCTTTCATTTAAACGCTTGAGTAAGTATCCAACGGCATTGACATCAACATTTTCCACCATCTGCCTGTACTCCTCTGAGGAAACCCCGTGTGAGTGACCTACCATGTCGGGCTGTTCAAAATAGAGAGCGATGAAATGCGGTGGTTTGTCCAAACTAAGCCACTCTACCGCCTTATCTACCCGTGCCGACCACGGACCTCTCAAGTCGAACACACAGTGGACGTATGGCGCACCTGAGCCAGGTGGAAGAGTTCTACTTCTGTACTTTGGAAGGTCCTTAGAATCGATTGCACCACAATCTATGCCGAAGCAGGTTTCCTTTTCGTAGTATGTGGGTTTGACTGAGTAACTGGTTGTTGCAGGCCAAAAGTACGATGCACTACGTCCTCCTTGTTTTTGCAGACTAAGCCATATTGGCTCTGATGCATTGTAAAACTTGGGATCAAAGTTTGAACAGTCGTAAGCGAAAATAAACTCTTCTTCGTACACAGGATCCCAAAATCTGTTATCCACAATACCGTGACTTTCCGAGTACAGACCAGTGAGAAAAGTATGATGATTGGGCCATGTAGAGGTCGGCATAACATTTTTTATGTATTCGGCGTTGACTCCAGTTTGTGCGATGAAGTTTAGATTAGTAGTCTTGGATCGTTGACTCTTCAGTGCTCGCCAATCCATTCCATCCAGTGATACTATTATCAGCGGAGGCTGATCATCCTTGACCTCTGCCACAGCATCGGTGAAAACAAACGAGAGCCGGAGAATAAACAGTATCAACATCTCCACGTCTTACTTAATACGTGAGTATAAAACGCATCTCTAAAGTCGTGCTCAGTCTAGCATGTAATATGCAAAAAATTTTGGATATTGATAACCGAAAAAACGTCTAACAAGATATATTTGATTTCGAAACAAAGTTGAATAATCAAAATTGCAAGTAATAGTCTCAAAAAGTGACAGTAAAACTTCACACTGTGATCAAGCTGTTTTGAAATAAGCAATTCCATGGAGTATTGAATTCGGCGCAAATCGGTTATTCTTGATACCTATTTGCATATAAGTGACTCGAATCGAACCTCAGACCTTCGGTTAAATTTGCCATCTTGCTCCGATGCTAAAACAATGAGCCACAAAGTGAATAGTTTACGTGTATTGTTTCAAAAACTTACTTATTAGATAGAAATAGTAGAGATGGTAAGTTTTGAGCTCGGTGAAGAATTAAAATTTTTCGTCTTGTCACGAGCGTGGGACAAAGAATCGAACCTCAGACCTTCGGATGAGGCTCTACCACTGAGCCACAGAGACTCTTCGGTGAAATCATTACGTTCAGGTCCTGAGGTTCGATTCCTCAAACTCCGAAGGTCTGAGGTTCGATTCCTCATGGGGACTCAGAATTTTTTCTTTGTCCCACGCTCATGACCAGACGAAGAAACATCTTTCTTAACTTACTTATTCTAACTAATTATAGTTTTAAAATTTTACCCAATCATTGAAAGTAATATAAACTCCTCATTTTCTCATATCCTTATTCAAAATATTCCATTGAGTTACCACCGAGAAATTAAACATATTTTTTAACAACTACTTAATTCAAAAGAAATGCTGAACTTTCCTGACTCAAGCCTCGAATTGGGATGACCTTCTGATTGGCCTGATGGGTGGCTGTCTTAGGACAACTGTGACATTTTCAATTGAGCCATTATTTGGACGCGGGTTCATTCCAAGAAGTTTGCTCATCAGGGGGTACAGATCCACGGTGTTGAAAGGGCTCACCATTACACCTTCCCTGAAAGCGGGACTGCGGGCGTAAAATATTGAGTAGCTTTTTGATTGGTCAGGTGGCCAGCCATGTGATCCTAGCACTGCCCCGGAGGATCGCTTCGGGAACGAGCAACCACCCAGCCAACTTCGGTCTCGATATGGATCGGTGGAACTCGTCGATTGTTCTTCCATCGATACTTGTCTGGTATGTCGTCCTTCTGTACACTTTCCGGACATGAGGTATTGAATTTCTTGTAAGGTTTTGATCGATGATGTCCATCATTCCTGGTTTGGACCAGATGTGCACTGGTACAGAACCTAGACCTAACAAAGTGTAGCTCGAGGAATCGATGTAATCATCCAGGTACACTCGACGACTGGACGATGATTTATCCATTCCGTGATCGCTAACAACTATCAAGTTCACCTTTTGAGAAAACCGCTTTCATTTAAACGCTTAAGTAAGTATCCAACAACACCGACATCAACATGTTTTATCATTTGTTTGTGCTCGCTCGAGAAAGGTCTGTATGCGTGACCTGCCTTATCGGGCTGTTCGTAGTAAAGAGCGATAAAATGCAGGGGGTCGCCCAAACGAAGCTAGTTTCCACTGCCTAAACTTTGGAAGGTTCTTAGAATCGATTGCACTGCAGTTAATCAGACAAGTTTCTCTTTGGTAGTATGTGGGTTTGACTGAGTAACTGGTTGTTGCAGGCCAAAAGTACGATGCACCACGTCCTCCTTGCTTTTGCAGACACAGTCATATTGGCTCTGATGCATTGTAAAACTTGGGATCAAAGTTTGAACAATCATAACCGAAAATGAACTGTTCTCCATAATCCGGATCCCAGAATACATTATCCACAATGCCGTGACTTTCCGGGTATAAACCAGTGAGGATACTCTGATGATTGGGCCATGTAGAGGTAGTCGTAACATTTTTTATGTAGTCGGCTCTGACTCCAGTTTGAGCGATGAAGTTCAAATTGGTAGTTTTGGAAAGTTGACCCCTCAAAACTCGCCAATCCATTCCATCCAGTGATACTAGTATTAGTGGAGGTTGGTCATCCTTTACTTCTGCCGCCGCATGCGTTAGTTGGAACAATACCCGGAGAAGAAACAAGAAGAACATGTTTACGGTTTATTTTATATTTTCCACACACTGACGGGTGATATAGCTGTATTCAGACTTGCACAGCATGTGCTCATATAGTTAAAAACTGGTTAAATACGGAAAGAATGTGAAAGTGCACAGGATATCTCTGATTGTTTTGTATGTCGAGTTAAACTGTTGAGAGACAGAAATTTTTAGATAGCATGCAGTTTTCCATTGTTAGCCAAAAATTATCAAGCGCCGAACTGTTATGGTTGAGCTAATCGAGGTAAAGCTCTTTTAGAGTTGGCACATTGCTGCACAAAACAGAGTTATATGGATAGAGAATTTCGTATTGCCTTATGTCTTACAAGGGATAAAGAGGATAGATTGTGTGCACATGCACCAACTATAGGCAAAAGCCAATAACACACCAAAACCCTAATGGGACAAGGGTGATCAATTTTGGAGACCAACTTAGATAAGTGCAAAAGTTGATTTCTACAATTCTTTGCAACTACTCAAACATAACAGTTTTTTCTCGATGTTTTGCACTGCATGGAGCGGGACGAAACGATTATTTCCAAGCATTTTTCTTTTTATTACAATAAGCATTAAGGAATCAGACGAATTTGGTATATTTGAGGTGTTTAACCGTAGGGTGCACGGCACTTTTCAATCATAACACAGTAGAATAAAGGCCTTGTCTGCCTGACTTAAAAAAATATTGTACAAAAATGAAAACTGATATTAGTGAAGAATGTTTGCTCCGATCCTTTAGGGCAAATATCAATAACCCACGTCTTGGAAATTGCTGCAAAGTATTAGAATAAGTCAAAGGCTTAATAAAAATATTCAAGACAGGATGATCAAAATAAATTGGGCCCCTTCAAAACAAACCATGTACATCGATTAAGAACAGACATAGGCAACAACAGACTGTACGTTGTTTTAAGGGATCCATACCGTTAACGAGGTGGAGGTTCACAGCCACTTCAGACGACGGCTAATATCAAACCTACCTTGAGAACAAAAGGCGCGTAGCGTTCAGTAAACGTTTATTTACAATTATCTTCTTAAGTTAAGTATTATATGAAAAAAATCAAGTGAAGTCCCAGTAAAGAAGAAATAGGAAGTTGTGAGACTGGGCGTTTTATAATTTATAATTTATAACAATATGAATGGGTTTCACCCAAAACTAATTTTTACTAATATGGTGCTTTATGAAAGTTACAAAGTACCAAAACTTACTGAGGTGGTCTGGTCACGCAATCTCTTAGAGCTAAATCACGCTTGGTCACTCTACCTTGCCAATTCTGTCACATATCCTACTAATAGAAAATGAACGTTTCTATCAACCAGTCATATTTCCCATAATACCACTGCATGACAGCATTGTAAAAGCTAGCGTGACGAAACGTGACTAAACACTTATAATAGCGTGACTTCGCCGCCTTGAACTATTTAGAACCGAAGGTGACAATGACCAGGCGAGCTGTAAGAAGTTTGTTTCAAAATTTCTTTAGAGATGTTTACTTGCTGACCCTTTGATATGATCAAACAACACAGATCATTTCAACATAGACTAGCAAAAAATATTTGAAGAATTATACAGCAGGATAAGCTTCCTTGCCTTCACGCATCGTATAAATGCATCTATGCCTCTCTCCAACCAGAAATCTTGATGAGTATTGATCTGTTAGAAATTGGGCTGCAAAGTGATGGTGGGTATCTTGATGTGGGGTTGCATTCCATCCTGGGGGAAATGTCAAGCTTTTGGGGAATTTAAAGCTTCAGAAACTACATGTAGGAAAGAGCTTTGATAGAGGGAGCCACTAAAAAGTCTTAAAACTTAGAACAAAAAGTTTGTATTGCAGTCAAAGCATGGCAGAGCTTCTCTACCAAGCTTATTAACAATAGGGAAGCTCTTCATTCCTTCATCTCTCTGGTCATCATCACCTCTAACTAAAAAACGTTTAACAAGTTACAATTAATAAATAATAGCCCTATTCTCAATAAAATACAGCTAAAATACTAACACGATAATTCTGCATGTCATAATAATGCACTTTTAGCTTTCTATCCTAACATGCACCAATAACATTGACTGTGTCAGACAATGTCCCCCTGTAGTACACACTTCAATATATCCGAGTTGTTAAACGGTTCATAATGGGTCAATTAGAAAGTTCCCTAATCATTAAGACTCTTCTCAATTTTTAACCACACTATTACATGCTTTTAGTTTACATCATCCTTTCTATAATAAGCTCCCTCTCAAAGTAGGTGTGCATAACTGCAACACATACAATTGAGAACTAAATTTTGATTCCCTAACATCACATATTTCCTTAGGAAATCATAAATGTAAAGTGGGACTCTAATGTTTGACCCTTTCACTCCTAAGATCTCATTAGTAATTCTCCTTACTGTCTACCATACAGTTCTGGTGATGTTTGTTTGGAGAATTTGGTATTGGATCAACTTATATTCCCTTAGTTTCTATTTTTCTTTATTCTCATCTCTTGTCTGCTTGATATTGTATTAATATTGTAGGAGAAATTCTGTCTTGGTCACTCATGGGAGTTAAGACAGACCCTATACAGCACTAACCCATAAACTACATATAGTAATCATTATTTTACAAATGGTGACATTTAAACTTTACCATCTTTAATCTACAATATAAAACGGATAACTTTTATAGCATTTGTCAATCATGACAAGAATTAATCACTTAGCAGTGGGAACACTGACCCGTGCTTTGAAGCAGTGTACAAGAAAATATCTCTGGGTACCAAGGGGATGGAGAAGAGTATCCCTAAATACTTACCTTTAGAGAGATTCCCACCCCTAGTGCTACTTCCAAGATCTGATTTGCTATTCTCCCAGGAAGGTGCTACTCATTTTCTTGTAAACTAGTAAGGAGAATCTTGTGCTAGTAAGGAGAATCTAATATTAGCTCAGCTAATCCCTGGTTTGGTGGTTGATGCTTTGACACTATAACAAGAGATTATAAGTTTATCATTACAGGGGGGGGAGGGGGAAGAGGGGGAGGGGGGAGGGGGGGAGAAAGGAGGGAAGGGAGGAAGGGGGTGAGGTAAGGGGGAAGGGGATCAGAGGATTACCTGATTTATTACACCCATTTTGAAATCACTGGTGGTCCTTGTAATCTGATTGGCTCTAATTGGTGCGATTTATTCATGAATTGCACCATTTTTCAATTTTAAATTGCATTTTTTTTCCCAGCCAATGAGGTGGCTACACTAAAAACAAAACAACCAATCAGATTTCAAGGCTTGTTTAAAGTAACCAATCAAATTGCAAGAAAATGAAAGACAAAGAGGCAAATTTTGCAACCTTGCAACCTTTGTTTCCAAAACTCATATTTTCCCCCTCCAAAATTGGATGAATTTAATTTCAAACTGCTAATTACCAGCTACACAGGGTAAAACAATTTAATCATTGGCTTTAACCTAAAGAAAAATGCCACTATTAAAAGACAAAGTAGATAGTTAAGTTTTAATGATCAAATAAATAACCTTCTGTGGCATTTTCTCACCTCCACTATTAACCAAGAGTTTCTCTCCTTTTTGCTAATCCTTATATTCCTAATTTTTTCAAATACAAATCCTCCTGAGAACAAATTAATACACATGTAATGCCTCTCAAGCAATATCATTCTCAGAACACAACTTTGCTAAATAAAAAGTCATTTAGTTTTTTTTTTTAAGACCACCTTTGATCAAGAAGGCCTACTCAAATATAAAAATATACAAATCCTTGGCACCTTTAAGTGAAATTCACCATACTTATCACATTGTACTATCTCTAACAGCATAATATTTAATGAATATGAACCCCACCTGCCATGGAGTTTGAACAAAACCCTCCTTATATGAAAAACCTGCTTTCACCCTTAAACTCCCAAGATCTGAATTTTAATTCTCCCCTCTACCTCCTACACATTTCCATGTAAATCAGATAGAGGAATTTGGTGTTAGATCAAGATAACAATTTCTACCTGATAAGTTTGAGTATTCTTAACACCTGTTCCTGGAAAATGTGTAGATAGTATGGGGTGACGTTTCATGCTAATCACTTTTGGGAGTTGAAGAGTTAATCAAAATACCAGGGTGGCCATGGTCCCAATAACCACAGAGAAGAAATTTGCCAACATCTTGCTTCCTAAAATCAAGAAAACACAAAACCCAGTTAAAGCCATACCAATGTTGCAAAGTCCACCCTTTCCAACTCCCTGCAGAAGTACTCCTAAAAACAATTCTTCTGCTTGTGCTACCCTAAGGGGCACAATATACATATAATCTTAACCATGGACCATTAGCCCTACACTGTAAGTAATAAAAACATTACAACTTGCTACATGTACATGACTGCCAAACTCAGGTCACAAAATTGGCAACTTCAGTCAACAAAATGTTTCCCTCTAGCCATGGTGAGCAAAACAGATGCAGCCTGGTGTGCGGACCCAAGAGATTCTTAGAAATGAATTATTGGTTTTATTTCTATATGGGAGGTATGGCGTCAGAATGGAGAGAGGACTTACCAGTATTTGACATTCAACAAAAGAACTTAGAGACTTTAAAAGACACCAACACTGCATCTTTATCATTAATTTCCTACTTGTAAAACAGTCTCTTTTTCACTAATTAAATTTTGCCAAAAATATCTATATTTATTTAGGAACTAGAGGAATCATTCAAATTCCTGCCCCCTTGGGGTCAGAATTGTGTTTATATGACCCCTCCAAGTGCTGGATTTGATTGTCCCTTTTTTTTCTTTATATAAGGCAAAATTTGCAGCAGCAACTTTCTTATAGACCTTTCCTCCTACACCATCTACTAGCGAAAGTGAACTTATTACCTTTAAACACCTCTAAATTAAAAGAAGAAATGCATTTGTTATGCTGGAAAGACTTGACAGTATGAGTGCAAATTCCCAACCCCACCCATGGAAGGTTCAAATTTCCTACCCCTGAGTATGGAGGACAGTCACATGCCCGTGGGTTACCAGGAAGA